GCCTGGGCGGCAGAATCTAACCAATACATTGAAGCAACCATTGCAACAACAACGACACACTATGACACAAAGCATCAATCCTTACAGCAAAAAGAAGACGAAGAATATCACAGCTGCCACTCAAACTACGAGCCGTCCACCACCACCATTGGTATCCACCTCGGCACCCAACAGCACAAATAACTCGTTCCCAGTAGCAAAGGCACCACCGAAGCCAATGGCGGGCAATGTTAATACCCACCACCACCACCAGCAGCAGCAATCCATAGAATCAAAAAAGAAGAATGATGCATCCATGATGGAAGAAGAAGAGGACGATTTTGGAGATTTTGATTTTGGCGATGACGTCATGGCCAATCTAGACAATTTGTTATCCATGAGATCCTCGACCGAAGTCAACGAGGATGAAGGGGATAATGATGATGCGGCAGCGAAACAACTACCTGTGGCCACCACAAAAGCTAGTATTGATCATGCCAGGAGTCACCTCACAACCACCAAACCCATGATTCAAAGTCCAACCGAAGTGGACGAATTTGGAAGCCTGCCACATTTGGATTTGGATGCTTTGGATGCTTTGGATGCATTGGAACAGCAAAAGCCCAGAACAACAGCAACAACAACAACAAGTGTCAAACAAAACATCATCTACGAACCACATAGTAGCAGTCCAAGTAACAACAGCGAAGAGGATGAATTTGGATGTCTTCCTCCTTTGGATTTGGATGCGATCGATGCCGCAATGACGCAACTACCGAGAGATGATGTGCAACAAGATCAAGCGGCAGATGAGTTTGGAGACTTTCCCGAATTGGATTTTGATGCCATGGATCAGGCCATTGTCAAAAGGAGTACTCAAGACCCTCATGATGCTTCCATGGGCTGTCATTTACCAATGAATGCTCCCATTCGGAATCCAAGACGAGAAGGATGGAATCAAGAGGATTCCTACATTGACTTTGCAAGGTACAAGGTGATTGATGTGGTAGATGACACTACCAGTTACACCAAGACACTCTCAGTGGCAGTCTGGACAGATGAGATGCGGAAGGAAATTGAAAAGGAAAAGGACTATCATAGGGATTGTCAGGTAACCATCGCAAAAGCAGAAGAGGATATTGCTCACCAATCTGCGGAAGAGCAAGGAAAGAGGACTCACAAGTACAAGCCAGACGGGCTTCTGCATCTGCGTGGAGAGTGGTATTATACGCCCTTGGAGCCGGGAGATATCGTCCATTTGTGCTCCCTTTCTGGTAAATTTCGGACCGACAGCAAAGCGTTGCCGATTATTCTGCACAATCCGCCACCACAAGACAGTGACTATGATGATCTTGTCTTGGTTATTCATCCGGATATTTTGATGATCCCTACCAGTATCAGCGAGACGGTCACTTGCTCTCGTCGTGCAGTTTTGAAATCTAGAATTGGCTCCACCGGGCTCACTGCCAAGGCACCACTCTTTGGAACGATGCGACACGAGCTCTTTGGTTTATGCCTGCGAGAGAACAAGTACGATATGCGATTTGCAAAACGAGCCATTCGCAACATGGTCCGGGAAAATGCAGAAGGCCTGCTTGGTTGCGGTGTGTCTACGTTGGAAGCCCAACAAGAGGTTCTGAAAGTTGTCCCTATCATTCAAAACTTTGTTGGACAATACTCGAACTTTGGAAAGGAAATTCCTGATTCTAATGCAGTATCCAATGCTGCCCGAATTGAAGGTAACGGGTACCAATCAAACATCAAATTTCTGACTCACAAGGTGCATTCCATTGAGGAGCCTATTGTGTCTCCCGAGCTTGCCCTGAAGGGAAATATTGATGGAGTGTTGGAAGCAGCTACGGTGGAGCTTGAAGATAAGCCACTCATGCCGAATGAAACCAGGAACCCTTTTCCTCAAAATTCGTTGATGTGCTTGGAACTCAAGACTGGTCACAACCAGAGGACGCAGAATGCTCACATGGCACAGCTTGCTCTCTACACCCTGATGCTGCAGACGCGATATGGTTCCAATCGGACCAAGTTGAGTGATGTCGACAATGTGATTGCCGGTCCAGCAGGAGCTGCCGCTGGTGGATTACTTTTGTACTTGAATGCACAAGGAATTGCAGCCTCTCATGTTTCTCCCCTTCTGAACGAGACCAAGAGCCTACTGGGTCAAAGGAATGTTGTCGCAAGTGGTCTTCAGCGATCATCGCGCCCAAGAGGAATCGTTCTGTCATATGACGATGGAAATCGAGATGAGAATTGGGTAGCACCAAGGTATGTTCCTGTGTTGTTGGCTCTTGTCGAATGAAGTATTCTGCTTTGTCCTCTCACTGCCCGCTCTAAAGCGCGAAACTCCTTCCTCCGCCGCCGGCAGTTTTGCCGGAGGTTTTGCCCTCTCCTCAGAGCGGTTGCGAACGTTGCTACATGAATCGGGAGTGCATGGTGTATGCAGCTACTGAGCCCAAGACCTTATCCGATCCAAATTGGGCAATAGGTGTCTCACACGCGGCACTACTCTCTAGATTTATCGGACAGTTGCATGACTCTGATCTGGATTACTTTCGGAATTGGGATAGGCTGATCGATGTGGAAGCAGATGCTTCAAATCAGCTCATGACCACTGCCTGGCTATCAGAGGCGCAGAAGCGTGAAAGAGAAGGCCGTGACTCTGTTTCTGGCCTTATTTACGTCCAAGCCGAACCGGACCCAAATCAAGATCATGTTTTGCTTACCTTTCAACGAGCTCCATTTTCACTATCCCAATCTCCGCTTGACGATCTCGCGCTTTCGAAAGGGAGCCATGTCGTGGTTAGTACTGACACAACTTCGCTGGTCCATAGCTCTGAAGATAGAGAGAGTCGTTCCTCTCAGAATGGCGGAAAGCGATTTCGAAATCGAATGCACGTTTTGCGTGGAGTTGTGGAAGAAGTCCACTTTGATAGGTTCATGCTTTTGACAGGACGGGAGGATCTCGAACGAATGCGAGACCTCACTTTGCAGTACAAGAAGTTTTGTCGGACGCATGGAGAGGGAATGCCACACCTCTGCTTTCGATTTGACAAGGATAGCTCATCTGTTGGAATCACAACTCTCCGACAGAACTTGATCAACTTTCTCACAGCAGATTATGCGGCTAAAGAGGGTGACCAATTGTCCCAGGTCAGAATTGCGAAGCAGACTCGGCTGCCAAGATTGCGGGATCTCATAGTGCGACTGACAGCTCCTGGTTTCCACGAGGCCTTCACCTTGGATTCGATATTCACGACCAATGCTCCAAGATTGAATGGATGCGACATGAAAGCTCTATCAACTGAGTTTTCATCCCTTAACTCCGATCAGAAAGATGCCGTTGTCAAAGTCGTGAGTGCCAGCGACTACACCTTGCTCCAGGGACTACCTGGAACTGGGAAAACTACTACTCTGGCATTCATCGCTCGGCTCCTTGCTGCTCGAGGGAAAAGGGTGCTGATTGCATCGTACACCCATTCAGCAGTGGATAATGTTGTGATGAAGCTAATGGAAAAAGGAGTGGGATCGGTTGCTGCTAGTTGCCCAAGTTCCCAGCTGATCCGAATTGGCAAAAGATCATCTTGTCACCAGGCTGTACGATCATTGATTGCTTCAGAACTTGCCTTGGAAGTAGACCGTTCAAATGGCAGAGGTTCCAATAGTCTCACTCAGACAGAGAACTATCAAAATTTCAAGGATCCGTCGGTGGAATCACTGAGAAAAGTTGTCTCTTCTGCTAGAATTGTTTGCGCGAGCGCTTTATCTGTCCCCCGTTCCCCTTTGCTGACTCATGAAAATTTCGATGTTGTGATCATTGATGAAGCAGGACAGATAAGTCAACCAGCAATCTTGGGAGTATTAGTTGCTGCAGACTCCTTTGTTTTGGTTGGTGATCACAAACAACTTCCTCCTTTGGTAAACAGCCAAATTGCAGAGACTGGAGGTAAGAGCGCTGAAAATTCAGCACTGTCGACATAGAACCAGATCTAATAGTTTGTTGCGTTCTCCAGGTTATGGTGTATCAATGCTGCAGCGATTGGCCGAGAAGCATCCGAAAGCAATCGCAACTCTGACATATCAATATCGTATGAACTCTGCAATTTGTCGGCTGAGTAGTGAAGCAGTGTATGGTGGAAGATTGAAATGCGGGAACGAAGCCGTCAAATCTCGAGCTTTGCAACTGCAAGGGTTCCCGAAATCTTTGCCGAAAGCAGCTTCAGCAAAAGCGTACCCTTGGCTGAGAGCCGTCGTCGATCCAATGAAAAGCGTGGTATTTGTCGACACCGACAATGTGAAGAAATCTCCTCGTCAGACCCCTCCAACGAACGAGGAGGAATTCGTCATGGAGCCACTTGAGAGCAACGTAGGAGGTAAATCGGGCGGTAACGTCATCAACAGAACAGAAGTTTCGCTGGTCAGTATCATTATTGCTGGCTTAGTGTCCTGTGGAGTTTCTCCAGAAAATGTTGGAGTCATTTGCCCCTTTCGTGCACAAGTAAGTTTGATAAGGACCATCGACTACGCTTCAAGATTCACACTCGTCTAATTGTTGCGTTTACTTTAGCTTCGAATTTTCGAAGAGGAGACGAAGATGTGCAACTGGAAAAAGCAAGGATTGGAGCTGTCTACAATTGATCGCTACCAAGGCCGAGATAAAGAGGTCATCATTCTTTCGACTGTCCGCAGCAATTCGTGTCACAAAGTCGGCCGCCTTCTTGCGGACATGAGGCGGATGAATGTCGCATTAACTCGTGCCAAATCAAAGCTAATCATTGTTGGTTCTTTTTCCACACTTTCCAACGGAAGCAAGCCACTGAAACCCCTCTTGGCCAGAGTCAACAGAAGAGGGCAACGCTTTTTGCTTCCGGAAGATGCAGTCAAATGTTACAATCTGTAACTTCAAACTTGAATAGAAATCGTAGCTTTGCCGAATATCCAAATAAAGCGACGATTATAGAATGCTAGCCGAAGACTCGTCCCTTTCTTCATTATCCGCTTCACTGAGCTGAACTACTTTGCGCATGTAGTTGGTCAGTAGCCCCAAACCTTCTCCTGTGACACCAGCACTAATTCCAATAATGTCACCTTCCATTTGTATTCCCGATTCCGTAACTACTGACATGAGACCATCCATGACGTCCTCCCTATCATGTTCCTCCAGCAAGTCCATCTTGTTTGCCACGACTAGAGCTCGGCGATTCAACATGTCTCCATCCCCATACGCCTGCAATTCGTCGACCAAAATTTCCAGATCGTCAACTGGATCCCTGCCATCCATTCCAGCCGCGTCGACAATCTAAGAATTATTAATAATCAAATATAGGTAGCGGTGACAAGAAGTGTGAGATATTACAATTTTAATTCCTTCGAGTACGGTGGGCAAGACAACTTGGCCGCAAACTTACAAACAAAAGTGCCTTGGTCCTTTCCAAATGCCGCAAAAAGTCATGCCCTTTTCCACGTCCTTCCGATGCCCCTTGAATCAATCCAGGCACGTCTGCCACACACAATCGGGTACCATCGGAGTATTCCACGTATCCCACAAGTGGATTCAATGTGGTAAAAGGGTAAGGGGCAATGTGCGGCGTCGCTCGGCTTGTTGCGGCAAGTAGACTACTCTTTCCAGCATTTGGAAAGCCAACCAAACCAATGTCGGCAATCAGCTTGAGCTCCAATTCCAAAAAGGCAGTCTCCCCCGCTTGCGGTTTGGCATGGACCGCAATATCTTCCATGGGCGGCAATCGACCCTGTCTTCCAGTGTAAATCGATGTGCCCGTACCCCCTCTTCCACCCTTGGCAACCACAGCGTAGGAACCATGGGTATCGAGATCCGCAATATCCACCTTTTCACGTTCTCCCCAAGGTACAAATGTCATGTTCTCGCTGCCGTCCATTATATCATCATATTCGTCATTTTCAAAGTTCAATTTGGGTGGCTTCAACTTGTCGCCATCGTCGTCGTCGTCGATTTCGTCATTGCCCTCGACGGGGGATCCTAGGTACTTGACATCTCCACCGTCGTCCACTTCTGGTTCCAGCTTGATGACAGTCTTATTTTGCGCATCCCATTCTTCGTCATAATCCAATACCCTCCGAATAACTACACCACTGTAAATTGAATAATAAGATAATAAACAATCGGTTAGAAGAATATAGTGTGGTTTAGTACGCATGTTTGAATACAATGGAAAGAACCACAATCACTCTTCAACCTTTCGTTTGACTTACCATGGAACTCTCAAAACAGTATTCTTTCCATTACGACCATTTTTGTTGACACTACCCCCATGTGATCCAGCGTCTGCAGTCACATGTGGTTTCGTCCAACGCAGGGTTTGCTCGTGCTCGTCTGCCACAATGACAATGCTTCCACCATTTCCCCCATGCCCTCCATCCGGCCTTCGTTTGTGTTTGCGGCCAATTCGTTCCAAGGAAAGGCTACCATTCCCTCCAGAACCTCCGGAAACTCGAACTCGCGTCCGATCGACAAACCTATAGCTGGCCCGTCCGCTATCTCGTCTTTCTTTTTTGTGTTGTTTCTTCTTGTCACGTCCCATGTAGTTCATGTGAACATCGAGGGTGACTGTTCTTGTACATATTTTGTGGGGAGCAAAGCTATCTCCAATGCGTTTGGGAAAACCTGACGATGATGCAGCATAGTGGAGAGATCTCCGAAGGTGATGAAACATTATTCTTTGATGGTGGAACTTGACGGATTGATTCGGTATTTGATGTCTTCTTCTTCTACCGGTAGAGTTTGGTCGGTGGTTTTTGGGTGATGGATTTTGTGAGCGGAAGAATGTCAGACGCAGAGGGGATCCCCCTCATCCATAATAGTCGGAGTAGTCCTCTCCCCTTATGGAAGTCGGAGTAGTCCATCCACTCCCTCCAAACAACGAACTCAACGAACGCAGAACGAGCGAGGAAGCCCAACGCCTTTCTTCTGCATTTTGTTGATGGTTTCGTTGTCACGATTTCATCTCGTTTTGGCATTGATGATTGAAAACCACTAACTACAGTATACCACAACACAACAGCATGACCGAATACGGCTTAATACAAGCCTCCAATAGCGATGAATTCTTGGAACAACAACGACAAGAAGAAGCAGAGGAAGAAGGAGGACCCATATCCTTCATACTGGATGACGACGACGAAGTTTCCGAGGACAATGATGTCGACGACCTAACTAATGGTGAGATTCATTATTCAGGAAGAATCACTGTGGACGAAGCGATTGAGCGACTGGGAATGGGACGCTTTCAATTGTACATTCTCATTGCGGCGGGCTTGAGCTTTGCCAGTGATGCGATGCAAGTCATGGTGCTTTCCTTTTTGGGGGAAGTCCTCAAAGTGGAATGGAATCTGACGGAAGAGGAAACGGCCATGATTTCCTCGATTCTCTTTGTGGGAGCCATCTTTGGGACTCTTATGTTGGGGCCATTGGCAGACAAGAAGGGAAGAAAGCCAATCTTTTTAATATCGGCATCGATTATTTCGATCTTTAGCTTGGCAGTCTCCTTTGCCACGAGCTATCGAAGTGTCCTGGCATTGCTCTTTTTTGTGGGATTTGGAGTTGGGGGATTGACGGTACCATTTGACATTTTGTCAGAGGTGCTGCCAGCAGCTTCCAGAGGAAAGAACTTGCTAGTGATTGAATACTTTTGGTCCACTGGTGTCTTGTTGGTGGTGGTCTTTGCCCGATCCACATTGGGAACCAATGGCGAATCTGGAAACTGGCGTCTCTTTGTAGTCTTGTCGGCCATTCCATGTTGGATTTCGGTCATTGTTGGCTACTTTTTTGTCCCAGAAAGTCCCAGATGGTTGTGCACACAACCAGGACGCGCCCAAGAGGCTTTAGACATTATTCGAAAAGCGGCCGAACGGAATCGCATCGATGTGGATTTCAACTTTCCAGCCACTCTGCAAATTGCGCAAGAGACGGAAGAAGAAGAATCGGACTTTTGTGAATTATTTTCCGAAAAGTGGCGCTGGACAACTATCAAACTATGGGGAGCCTGGGCAGCTTTTGCGTTCGCCTACTTTGGTACAATCATGACCATTACCGAAATATTTGATGATTCCGATCCTGATGGTTCTAACGATTTTGATTATGGAGCAATCTTTGTCTCGAGCTCAGCCGAATTGATCGGTACAACGATTGCCATTATCCTGGTGGATGTTGTGGGCCGAATACCCCTTCAGGTCATGTCCTATTCTCTGGGAGGCGTCAGTGTTTATGCTCTTTGCCGATTTGCAGAAAAGGGCATGCCTCGGAATACCCTGCTCGCTTTTAGCTTTGCAGCACGAATCTTCGAAATGAGTGGAACCTGTGTCACTTGGATATCTACCGCGGAAATCCTTACTACCGAGGTCCGGACGACAGGACACAGTGCCGCAAATGCCGTGGCCAGAATAGGATCCATCATTGCCCCCTTTCTAGTCCAAGGTGATTCTTCATTGGCCACCAAAGGCCTGGTCATGTTGGGAGTGCATTCACTCGCTGTCCTTTGCGTATCCCAGCTTCCAGAAACCAAAGGAAGTCACATGGGTCATACACAGGTTCCAGACTCGAGCGAACATCTTGACGACGACAACGACGATTATCTCGATCATGAAAGCAATGCTACTTCTTCTGGTAGCATTGACATGGTACCATCATGATCATATTTTATTATATGTATTGCTTATATTGTTACACCGCGAAAGCTATGGGTCTTCCGTGGAATGGATATGTGGATCTATGGATACTGACGCTTAGTATCCCAGCCACTTGTCGAATTCTTCTGGTTCCAGTCCTGTTCGCTTGATCAGCCTCTCGAGCACAGTCTCCTTGACTTGATCAGCTGTCAACAATCCTGTTTTCATCATGGCCATACCGTACTTGTACAAATGACCAAATTCAGCCTTTACCTCTGGAATGTCGAGGCCCTCCTTGATGTTGAAATTGGTGGGAGTCAATGTTCCTATGATTAATATTCATATACATTCAGGCATTCAATAGATTAGATTTCATTTCATGTCAACGGCCTTTCTTCTTTTGTCATCTTCCGCTTCTTAGCAGACTATTTTCACTCACCTGTTTCTGGTTCTTCGTCGTAAAGCATGCCCCTCTCAATCATCAATTCGTATACCAGCAGTGCTAACTCATTGGTGGGAGCTCCATTCTTTCTTGCATCTCGCAATTTTCCTAATTCGGGTGGTTCCTCCACTCCTTCACCGAGCGCACTGGAAAGAGTGGCAATTGTTTCATCTGCGGCTTGCGCAATTCGCTCGTCCACTGTCAACGTTGGCTTTTCGGGCATGGCCGATGCGAAATCACTTCCAAAATCAGACATTTTTAAACTGGTGGTGGTCGTTGCAACTCCTGGCATGGAAACTTGAGTTGGCGTTCTCCCTACGGATGGAAGAACAGTAAACCCATGACTGCTTGGAAGGTGAAGAAGAAGGGCTGTGACACTGCAAAGAGCAATACTTCGGATCATCTTGAAGCTTTGCATCGAAAATTGTTTGTGTTGATGATATGAATGAATACAAAGATTCTTTTCACATTCCGAACCAAACTTCAAGTTCGTCGTCATGTCGTACGCATATCGCATGGGACACACTGACGCCGAATTGACACCATGAAATCAAAATCTTTATTTTTTCATGGGAAACATGTACCAGAATGCCACAACATGTTGCAGAAATCACAACATGTTGCAAACAAAGAATGCCACTATCGAAAATGATGTAGAGAATGAGGACACTGCACTTCTTGTTGGGAAAGTTCCAAAAGGGGAAATGGAGTTTCTGGAGCTACTTCCAGCTTCCTGTCGGCCAGCGGTGTACATCATGATGATTGCCGTCGTTCTGATGGTTCTTTTGGTTCTGAGGCCCACCTACCTTTCGGAAATACAGCAGCATACAGTGGCTGAAGTTTTCACCAGCAATCCAAGCAAATGCACACAATCGCCATGCTTCAAGCCATCAAAGGTCACTGTCGAGTCTAAACCTGGATTTCCGTCGTTTCTGGATGTTGCCAACAAGGGCAGAATTGATGTAAGCTATGACAGTCGATCCATACGTATCAACGATGAGAGAGTTCTTCTATTGGGAGGGAGCATACATCCTAGTCGAGCAACAAAACAGACATGGGGCTACGCTCTGGATGAAATTGTTGCCAATGGTCTCAACTTGGTCACGATTTATGTCATGTGGGAAAATCACCAGCCAGTTCCAACCATGGATATGAATTGGGATTTTCTAAAAGGTATTCAGTATGAAGGTAGCACGAGTTCTATTGCGTTGAAGTGGAATCTTGCTTCTGCCATTCGCTCCGCTGCGGAAAGAGGGCTGTTCGTTCATTTACGAATCGGACCCTATGAATGCGCCGAATACACCTATGGTGGAATACCCGAGTTCATACCACTGCAGCATCCCAGTATGAGTATGCGACGACCAAACTTGGAGTGGCTTGAAGTGATGAAATTGTATGTCGAGCAACTATTGACTTATCTTGACGACAACAAACTCTGGGCCTATCAAGGGGGTCCCATCATTCTCGGTCAAATTGAGAACGAACTTGGAGGGAATGTGGATGCTGAGGCTGAGAATTTCTTTCTAATCAATGAGAGAGGCGATTTTGTGGAAAGGAAGGATATGCCAAGTGGTCCGGCTCGAGGGCTGCGGAATGCCACATTGCAAGACTACGCTGACTGGTGTGGCAGCTTAGTCCAGGATCTTGCGCCGAATGTGACATGGGTAAGTCCAGAAACATCCCAACCTTCGATGGCAAGTTTCCTAAATACTCAACCCAGATCCCAATTTTGCTTAGACAATGTGCAATGGACTCTCTGCCGAGAATACGATACTCACTTGCAATGGAATCAGTGAATGTGCAGACTTCTTGGAAAGTCATGGCTTCAATGGCCGCGTGCAAGTTGATCAGCCACCAATGTTGACAGAGTTTGAGGGGGGCTTCCAGATCTGGGGAGAGGACCCACACAACCCAAGCGACTACTTTTGGGGCCGTCCAGCAAGTGTCATGGCGCATGATGCGTTGCGTTGGTTTGCCAGAGGAGGCACACACCTGAATCACTACATGTTCTGGGGAAGTTACAATCGAGGGCGACAAGCCGCGGCAGGGATCACAAATATGTACGCCAAAGAAGCAATGTTGTGTCCCTCTGGTCAGCGTCATCAGCCCAAATTTGGTCATTTCCAAGCACTTCACCAGGCTCTTGCCAGCCTTGCTCCAATTTTACTGGCATCGGAAAGCGCCCTTGAGAAAGGTCAACAAGTAGAAATTTTGAATGATGACGGAAAATGGGAATATGGTGATGACCAGCTGCTCTACCAGTATCAAGCGGACGAACACAGCCGTGACGTAGTATCGATTCTTGAAAACAATGCGAACACAAGCGTTATCACTCGTTTTGGACACAATGTAATTGTCATGGATCCATATTCTTCGATACTTTTGAAAAATGAAATTCGAGAGTTCGACTCTTCTGTTATTGGACCTCGCTTTCAGGCATTTGAAAGAGTCTTCTCGAAAGGGCAACATGGACCAAAGTTATTGGACTGGGAGGACTGGCAAGAACCCATTGGGGCACCATCAAATCTTCCAGCGACAGTAGTAGCAAACCATCCAATAGAACAAACAAAACTCAATGTCGATGCCCAAGTCTACAGCGATTATGCATGGTAAGTGATGCTGCGTTCATCGTGACAAGTCGCAATTGGTAATTCCTCACTCATTACGTTAAACCCACTGTAGGTACGAGACTACCTTCCATATGGATACAGATGGGCAAGCAGCAAGTCTGGTGTTAGAGGCCCAACGTGCAAATGGTTTCGTAGTTTTCATCGACGATGTTTTTGTAGGATCCGCGGATGACCATTTTCACATGGAAGGACCCATTTCATTTTCAATTGATATTGTGGATATTGAAGGAGGGAGCCGCAAACTGAGTATATTGTCTGAGTCTCTGGGCTACCATAACTTGATAGGTCGCTGGGGTGTGGGGACGAAACCGAAGAGCAAAGGTCTAACAGGCGATGTTGTATTGGTTTCCTCCAGTGGCAAAAATGCCAGCCTCGTAGATGGACGTGAATGGAGGTCTTTTCCTGGTCTACATGGCGAAGCTATTAGCAACCAAGGCCTTTCACGACGCCATTTCGAGAAGAATCTACTACCTTCAACATCCACTACGCCGACGTGGGCTTCCGTCGTGTTTGACACTCCAATATATGAGCCTCGCACTCAGGGATTGTTTCTCCGGCTCACCACTGGACGTGGGCATCTTTTCTTGAATGGATACGATTTGGGGAGGCATTGGAATATTACTACAGACGAGACTGGAAAGTATACCCAAGAGTATTATTTCTTGCCACCCGACTATGTCCATAGTGATGGCAACTTGAATGAGCTCACTATCTTTAACTCACTACCAGACAATAGAGTTAGCGCAGAGTTGCTGGTAAGTTGGACAGTTGCAACTGATTCACCCAACTTCCAGGACGAAATCAACTTCCAGAATGCATGCCTGTGATGTTTTGAGATAATAACAAAAACAAAGCTCCTACCGCAGTACCTCTATGCTGTATCGTAGTCATCCAAATCCAACATATGTCGTGATAGTCTTTAGCTTTCCATTCAATATATTCTGTTCCATGACAAGTGGACCTTGGTAACCGCATCTTACCATGCTTTGTCCAAGAGACTGACCATTGATATTCCGTGGTAAAAATAGAGCAAGCGGTCTCGGTCCTAGCGCCTTGGAAGTCTGTTTCAACAATACATTGCCGTTATAATCGATACCATCTTCCTTCAAAGCAATACACCCAAGATTGTAGTTCCTCTTCCCGACTTTGCCGTAGTTCACTCCACCCCATGGGGGTGACATGAAGGTCATATCAATGGACTCGGGCAAGAGACTTGTCCCTCCAATCTTGTAACCATTGCACTCTTTCTCTAAACATATGGTGTTCGCGTTAGAGTCATGATCTTTCTGAAGTTTCCCATCATTGAAGTGCTTCAGCACATTGCCAATACCGCTGTGAATGAATATCATCTTTTCCGGTGCTACATCGTAGATCTTTGCGTTATGTGCCGCCTTTCGAAGCTTCTCCAGGTCACTATCAATACAAACGACACACTTCACCTCGTCTCTGCGAGCGAATGCGATTGCATTACCACCACAGCCACAGAACATATCGAGTATAGTCACTTTATTCTGGTTGTTGGACACCATGTGAGCAGCAATGTGATTGGCAATTGCTTCGGGAGTCACAGAGTACCATGATTCTTTGTCCAGCTGGATTCCCGAGTCAAAACGCGAAAAGAGACGCCGACGTTGAGACCAGAATTTATCAGGAACCTCTTCATTGGAGTAAGGGTTTGTTGTGCCATCGCCACAGTCTCCATTTGGCAATGGCTTGAAGTCGTCTTCGTTCTCATAGGACTGCATAAAATATAAACGGTGGAATTAGATATTGCAATTGAAAGACAGCCCAATTTTATGGACATGGACTTACGTTTCGTAGACGTCCCTTTGCACTCGCTGTTCTCTTTATGACAATGTAGGGACGGACGGCGGGTTTGGTTTTCTCTCCCGGGTCATCCTGCGACGATCCATTTGCAGGCTCAATGCTAGTATCTTTTGCAGCCTCTCCATCGACTATTGTGTCAGACAGATCATCATGATGGGAACCTGAGTTTTGAGCACTTGTAGAATCAATCAAAGTGCTCGATGGCTCCTTTTGCTCAGGCAGGTCGTTGTTCGAATCTTCTTTTTCTGGCTTCGGCAATTCAATGAAATTTTGTTGGTTGGCGCCTTCACTCGCCACCTCAGTCTTACTATCGGTAGATTCGTCTGGTACATTCAATGATTCCATAGCCTTTGATGCCTGTGATACTTGTTTGTAATCATCACTAAGTTCCACCCGTGTAATCATCACATCAAAGACAACTCCATCTGAAATATCCTCTGGAGGCTGGGTATCGGGGCAATCTTGAATCCAGAACTTTCTCTCTATTTTCCTTCTCTTCTTTCCCTTGCTTTCTCGATTATTGCCGCCTTTCCGACGTTTCGCGGACTGTTTGGAACGTGCCATGGTGGAAGTGTTGTAGGAGAATGTTGCATGTCAAAGATCTACTGTCTTGAGTTTTTGATTGATTGGTTGTTGCGCGCGCGTTGTCAGATGTGTGCGAAACACCGGTCGAACGCAAGCTATATTTTTTGTCACATGGTACAGTACTCTATAGATGCTGGACCATCAAACGGTGGCCAAAGATGCAATACTTTCCATGTTCCGTAACCTTCAAAAAAGATGGCACCAACATTAACAGAGCACGTGGAGCGTTGAGGAATAATTCTCCAGGTTTGCTTCGAGAGGAAAATAACATTCCCAGCTGACATCCGGCCAACCTTGTCTATATTCGGAAACTCCTACTGTGGTCTACGGAAGAACCAATGCACAAACCAGAAGTCTCTGGTGGGCACAGCCACAGCTCCATAAAACGAAGTTTGAAACCTCGTTTTTGAAGATTCAGCAATGGAAGATTGGGCAACCTCCTCCAGAAGCCAGGCACGGCCACCATTCCCCTTCCACAAGTCGACTTACCCGTTCGACGGTTCGAAGGTTGATTCCACATGTAAGTTTTCCATCGCAGCTATTGCAGTGTAATCATCAAGCATGCGGTGATATGCTGACAACAAGCTGAAAATACATAAAGATCCATTCCAAGCAAGCGATGAGGAACTCCTTTCCATGTACGCCGAGGAAAGGGCCCGGGCGCAGAGGGCTAGATTTGAAGAGTCGAAGGAAGAAACCAAAGAAGAAGATGATGTATTAGACCATAGGTTCCAAACCTCGTTTATTCGTCCCGGGTCCGAGCAATCGAAAGAAGGAGATGATACACTAGACAATAGATTCCAAGCCTCTTCTATCAGGGCCAGGTCTGTGGAGTCAAATGAAGAGACAAAAGAAGAAGAAGAATTTGTTGAAATGGACACTGGATTCACTCAATGCTTGGACTACTACGAGGAAGAGCTCGAAATCGATCCCACAATACTACCCACTGGGTCAGCCAATTTTTGTATTGTACATTATGAATCGTATACTCCGCCTCCCATCAGCTGGATCATTCAAGCAATCTACAGCGCAAGGCATGATCTAAGATTCAAGCTCAAGACGCCACAGGGTGCCTACATGCTTCTCTATACAGATGAGATTATTAACTGCGTCCTAGTCCTGATTGACGAGGACGATGGAAGTGCTTACTTTCAGATCGAAGACTTGTATGGAAACATTTTATTTGCTGATTGCGATCAGGTGGAAGCTCATATACTTTATATAATCTCCACAGAAACGAGGAAAAGACAAGCCACAGTGGAGCATGCCAGTATGGATCGTGAAACTTTCTCCCAGAATGCCAAGCCCAAAAGACGCCGAAAGCACAGCGGACCACTCGTCTCTGGTCTTCGCAAGCTATCGGGGCTAGTCAAGCAATGCCGCACATCATCTCATAGTAGCTAATACCTTGATTGGTTACAGTAACAGTTGCAAACTATCTGTCTTATATTTCATGTCTTTGTTCAAGAGATTGTGATTCACTTTGAACCGTCAGTTCTGCGACCGGATAGATTCGCTTATTTATTCATTGAAAAGCCTTGAGGGGGCTTTGGAATGAGACTGAGTAACGAAGATTCAGTGTCCTTGTCATCCGTTGTACCCACTAGAAAGCAATAATGCTGCATAATGAGGACCCATTCTTCCATTTCATCTAGAAACTCACATCGATTCGCCCGTTGTCGCTGTTCGGCAGTGACAACACTTTGATAGGCAGACCACATGTTGCATCCACTTGCTTTTGCGAATCCTGCTTCCACAAGCTTCTCTATTTGACTTTGTAGGGTTTTAGTTCGTACCAGGCAGGAGTCTTGAGTGGCAACACCTACTTGCAATAGATTCTGTTGCATCATTTTGCCAAAGGCGTCGCTACCCAGAATTGGCTCATAGCAGACCACTGAAGCATTCTTGACAGCAGTGGATAGTGCGGAAAGTAGATTCTTTGAGTCTGGATCTGGAACATACATGAGGACACATTCCGTTAGGAATAGAGTCGGTACTGAGGCATCCAGATTCAACTTCTTTATCAGTACCGATGGATCCTCACGAATATCATGTCCAATCAGTGTGTAATTTTGATCATTCGTCGTGCAAGTGAATCCATGGGATGTTGCTTTTAGTGGATACTGAGGGGCAAGAGTTTCGGAATCACCAATAATTCTCGCTTTCTCTTCAATGACGAGTGAATGGTCCACATCGTACCAATCACACTCCCTCGATGCATTATTGCTCTCCGTTCCCATAAGTGATCCATCACGAAATCGAAAGTATGAGGTATCCTTCCCTGCACCAACGACTACAATCTGAAGTTTCGATGCTGTCTGATGGCCTGCAAGAAAGGAGGATATGGCACGATCCACACAAGCGACTCGAGCATGGGTCCCACGTTTGATGATCGGTTGAACTTGTCGTTGGGATGGAGCACAAGATTGAAAGAAGGTATCTATGTAGTCGTCTGCGTAATATCCAGCGTGGACAGCTGCATGCTTTGTGCGAATAGCATCATCAGCAGTTGCAATTATCCTTTGGTCGGTGGGGCTCAACATCGTCAATCGTCACAAAAAGTTTGGATGCGTAATATTCAAAGATCGAAGGTAAATCGGGTCTAAATAAGTACATCTTACTTGAAGTTTCAAGTTAATTTACTTCAACCAAGACATACACCAGTATAGCTTCAACTGCTCAACTTTCGTAGAACACTCTATTTTATGGGATGACTTCGGCAATGCCAAGAAAGTGATGATATGTCTATTGCTCCCTTATAATTGCTTCCTAGCTAATGTTCACTCTAAGACTAAGCTGACTTGTCCAGAATCCAATTGGCAATGGTCTCAAACAACTCCTCGCGATTGACTTCGTTCAAGACTTCATGCTTCTCTCCCTCGCGAATAAGAATTGTTTTGTCCTCCGCTTTCAGCTCGCTTGATACTTTCTTGTTGACTTTCACAGATGCAACAACGTCTGCATCTGCAATCACATAAAGAACTGGAAAAGCAATGGTTTTACTCCCTGCAATTTGTTGAACTCGTGCTTGAGCCCTTAAACCCTCTGCCGCCCAACCAGCTTTGGCATTTTTCTGGTTCAAGGGATCATTCCGATGTTCTTCTTGCTTGATTGGGCAGCTTGTCAATACTTCAGCCGAAAGAGCTGAAGGGATCGAAAGATCTGGCACCATGGCTCCAAAGAACTTCCCAACAGCTTTCTTGATTGGATTCGCCAAGGTTTCTGATGGTTCACAATAAGGATTGCTGAGAATCACACCCTTGATTCCACTGAGATCGTGCTCTGTGCCACTGCCTTGTAGAATGTAATCGAGTAGCAACAAACCACCATTGCTGTGTCCCAGCAGAAATGTATCCACATTCGGAAGGAGTGTAGTGCGGACCGCATCCACGTCGGTAAGATAATCATCCCACTTGTCAAGACTAGCCTTTTTTCCTCCTGAAGTTCCGTGACCGCGCATATCAAACAAGGTCACGGAAATGGCCGATTTGTTCAAGAATTCGGCAAACTCCACATACCGCATGCAATGCTCGAGATACCCATGCAAGATTATCAACTGGGCCTTTGGTTCCTTGCAATGGAACTGTCTTACGTGGAGATTCGTCCCATCTTTGCCTTGAATGACTTGTTCGGCAACCATCGTTTGATTTTTGGGATCAGTCGTTTGGTTTCGGTGAAAAGATTGTTGAAAATGATGGTGTCAACATGCGAAGCGCGTCAGCGTCGCGTCTCCGTGCTCATATTCAATATGGGACTCGAATGGGACGATTACTTTGACCCAGTGTGCCAACTTCAAAAAAAGGCTTGATGAAAACTGCCGACTTTCATCATTCATCCAGCTGCTTGGGTACATGCCATAATACATGTGATTCATTCAAAATTATGGTTGATTTCTTACTATAGCTGATAATAATTATGAGAATTCCACCATGAATCGTTCTTGCCCTGCCGCGATACCAGCATCGGTCAAGGATTTGTCCCTGTTGTCGTTGTCCAGACTCCAAACCTTGCGTGGAAATCTCGTTGCCAATCGATAGGGTCGCCCTTGAGCACCAGCTGATGCCAACAAATAATCTCCAAAGGCAAATATATCCTTCATGGTCGCTTCCGCTACAAAAAATCGTCGCTTTCCAGTTCCCTGGCTGTGTTGAATGTGTACCGTGCAGACACCTTGTTTGACATCTACAGGAGGTTCCGGTAACAAGTCCGCCTCCATTGGTGCCGGGCTGGCGGCAGCCGATGCAGTTGTCTCAATTGGTGTGGGTGTGGTGGTGGATGGTCCTCCTAATACTTGACCACCAGTTGTGAATCCGCCAACGGGCTTTGGTGCTGCACTTGCCTTGGCAGCGTTATCCTTTGTCACTGGCGGAGTTTCTGCTTCACCAATCTCCACTTCAATATCAGTATTGATACAAGTCACCGCATCATAGGTAGATGGAATTACTTTGGTCACCTTCAAATCAAATTGAACCCCACGATGCCAAGTGCAAACCACGTCTCCTTTGCTCAGCGTCGCTCGAGTTCGAATCAAACTCTGTTCCAAGACTAGTTTGACATCCTTGAGACCATAAAAATTGTTTTGAATGGCTTCCTTTGTGGGAACCAAAGTACATCCCTTTCCTTTGGGCAGTTGCAAAAGCGTAATTTCCAACGACAAATCGGGAATGTCAAAGGCACCCCACGCCAAGTGACCTGGTGTTTGGTCTTCCGATGATGCCGCACCTGGAGCCATTGTTTCGTCAGGATCGGCCCCTGCCGCCGCTGGATCGACTGTGCGCTTGACTGGAATGTGAGCAGTAGTATTGTTTCCTACTTCTGTATTGGCATTGTTGCGACCCAACAAAGCCTTGGCCACCATTGGTGGAATTCCAACATGCCCTTCGTCTTGCGTAAATTCAACGACCGTACAATGAGTGTAAGCCAAGTATTTGTGCGACAGTTCGTCTTGAAAGGCTTGCATTTCACCGACTTCATCCTCATCGTTTTCGTTGTCGTCATCACTATCGCTGTCTGCCATGAAATCTTCATTTGGTGGTTTCAATGTTTTGATCAGAATAGACGATGGAAATTGATAGTCAGGATTCAAAATACCAATCCGAAAGGTCCAAGGGCTTCCGACACTAGATTGATCCAAACTGCTACTCATGGCCGATTGCGCCAGAGTCTCCAAAACAGAAGGAGGAAGCGCAATTTTGTCACCATCCCCGTAAATGGACGTCGGTGACAGGACGAGTGATGCAGTGCCAGGACCAGCCGCAGATGACGACAAGTGTCGAGTCTTGAGGGCTCGTTCACATTGGCGCATGTATCTCTTTTGATATTCTTCTAGCTTCTTTTGACGTTCTCGTTCTTGGCGTTTCTTTTCGGCTTGCTTTCGTTGGTATTCTGCTTGACGTTTGGCCTTTTCCGACACGACAACTCCTTTTCCCCCGGCACCACTCCGCAGCTTTCCACGCATTCTGGATTGATCCTTGGCGAGTCGCTTGACGGAGCTTTCAAAGTCCATGTTTTTGTATTTATATTATGGTACCGTAGATCTTGATATTTTTGGAATTGTTAGATTGGGTAATGTTGTGTGGGACGAAGTGTCGATGGTAAAATAACTTGACAACTTCCGTGTCGTTTTTAATTTGTGTTTTTCTTTCTTCTTTTCCTTCCTCGTTTCGAATTCACAACGAACACTGTCGAAAACGAGATCACTTTCGAGGGGAAAAGAACATCCGTCTGATTGACCCGATCGACCAACGTCAATTGCATTCGAATGAATCAACCCGCCAACGAAATCAAATCATATCAAATCTACCGGCATACGAGTATCTATCAAACACATCATCAGTCTTCTGCCATATGATATATCAATACCGGGTATGATACATCGTGAAAGGGCTGATCAACATCATGAAACCCCAATTCACATCAAATTTATCCCTTCTTTGCATTTCAATATGTCTGCTGTCGACGAGTATCCAGAAACTCTCATGGTTCGCAAATGCTTTGTCATTACCACCAAATACCAACAGTCGTCGTGACTTTGTCGTCTCCTCGACCACAACGATAAGCGCTGTTATACTATCATCGAAACCATGGGTTGCCAATGCCGATATGCCCATGCCACTGCCCAATACGGAACCACGCAATGTGGATGTCGGGGGAGGTTTTGACTTGTTGCGCAGCGACACTACCAAAATGCCATTGGACGTACTGTATCCTCCTTCCATGGAAGGATTGTGGGTGTGCAGTCGGATCCCCACCTCGGTCGAAGGCGATTTGTTTCAAGCCCAAGAAGTCTGGAAGGCGTTGGGAGGAATTGAATCCTTGGTCTTGACCAGCAAAGGAACGAACAAGCCGGAAACCTATCTGACGAGATTTCTAAAATCGACAGAAATGCCGGAAGATGGGGTAGTGAACGATCGCGGCTTTGAGCTAGTCCAACGACGAAAACAATCACGAGCCGAACTACTATCATCACCACAAGTTACATGGACGGTCGACCAACCAAATGTATTAAAGTATTCCATCAACAATAGCAATGACAAATTTACAACCTTGACTGTCAAGAGTCGGACTGTCGAATTGCCTTCGGAACAGAAAGCTGGATTTGGCTTTAACGAACTGATCTGTATCGAAGAAGATCGAGGAGGAGGAGAGGGAGCAAGTAAAATGGCTAGTCTTGTTGGTAGTAACAACAAGATTCTTCGAGCGGCCCAAATCAAGAGACGATATAAGAGATCCTACGACGACCAGGGGAATCGAGTGGTGGAAGGTCTGGAAATCATCAAGACCTATCGGGTCTTGGATGGGATCGCGGGGATTGAATTTCCGACATCGACAGTCAAGTCCCAAATACGATTGACAAGGCCGCCATCTTCTCCTTCCTAACCTTAGTATTATTAGTAGTAGTATGAGGAAGTGGATACATTAACAAGCTAGCATATCGTCGATTGAATTTTCGTAGTTAGAATCGCATCTTCCAAACGTTAGCAGACGGCTATTTGTTCGTCAAATTCTTCGATGGCCGAACAAGATCCTTAGCCCCAAACCTCCGTTTTGTCCGTCACAATGCCTTCCACTTCGGTAGTGTGTGCGCCGACACTGGCCAAAGAAAGCACATCCACAATATCTTGATCCGAACTGATTGCCTCTTCGGGGAACCAAATTCCTGGAGCCACCTTGCCCGACAATACGGCAGAGCAAAATGCCACGACACACTCTCCCACACAGGGTTCTAGGTTTTCGTGGGCATAAATTGCACTAGCTTTTGTGGTGGCATCAGGTGCAATCACATCGCATCGCATGGCATTGGTGGCGCCCGCAAAGTAGTCTACGACTCGGACAATGGGCAGTGAGAAAATGGCCAATTTGCTCATTAGATCTTCATTGGCAAGGACGGAAGAAGGCAACTGGGCCATCAATCCAAGCAATTGGTTCCAGAATCCAGGTGCGGTTCCAAAGAGTGCCTTCACGCTACCGACTCCCAGCACGTCGTGAATACTGGCAGTCTCCAGGAGATTCAAAGGTGCCACGGGTTTGGTGCCAACAATCGGTCCAAAACTAATGTCCTCGTACCCAACCATGGCTGGAACTGGGGTCCGGCGTCCCTTCACTACTGTTAGGGCCTCTTCGGCTAGAATCAAGAACGTGGCCACCAAGAGTGTCGCTCCAGCACCGCCAGAGCCGGCAGTAAAGAATGAGAAATCGACTGTCAAGTCTTCAGGTTTCAACGATTTGTCAGTGGCCAACACCTTTTGAGCTAGGGATTTTGCCATCAGGCTACTAACTCCAGGCCAGCACCCGGTACTGACGATACAAGGAGTGTCGCCGCTTTCTGCTATTTGAGAGTATTTTGATTTGGCTGCTCGAGCAGTGCAGTAGTCGTCACACACATCGACATATGGAACCTTATTGTTCACTGCAGCTTCCAACACACCATTGATGGTACCTACTTTGCCCTGAAAGGGACCAGCTGTATGAACGACCAAGTCCGGTGATTTCTCTTGGATTGCCTTGCTGACAGAATCTGGATTTTCCCGATCCAAAATTGAGAATCCGATGGAACTAGCGTCCAGTGACTCGAACATTTCACTCCATCTTGCCCTCGAAGCTTCCAAGTTATTGAGATTGGTCCCACCTACTGTGACTTTTGCTCCTCTTTGCAAAAGCTGCGTGACCACACTTCCACCAACCCGACCGCTGCCGCCGACAACTAGAACATGCTTTCCTTGGATTGCGTCAAAGGATATTCTTGAAGAATCTGACGCAGACATTTCAACACGAGAAACAAAATTCCGAATCAACCCATTTTGAGGTAACACAATGATTTGCTGAGGAATAAAAGCGAGCAATGGTACTGCTTGCAAGAGCAATGCACTGAACCAAAAGGCAATCATAGCATATGATAGTGCAGGATGAATGAATTATACATCTCGAGTTGAAGTTGGGGATTGGTTGGAACATAAAAAGTCCCAATTTCGCGATGATTCAAACAAACCACCACAATTTGTGAAACTCGCCGTCTACATATTCATGTGAGTGTAAGAATGATTTTCAAATTTGAAAGATTATATCTTATCCAAAACCACCACCGAAACCTCGAGCTGCCTTCTTCTTCTTCTTTCCAGCCCGGCGTGCCGAACGGTTTCCGGGCATCATGGTTTCAATATCATCAGCACCAGCCATTGATGGATCTTGACCTGCGGGCATATTCTTGGACATACGACTCATCATGGTTCTCATTCGCTGAAACTCACTGATGAATCTAGCAGCGTCCTCGAACTTGTTTCCAGATCCCTTTGCAATTCTCCTTAATCGGGAACGGGCTGTGGTATCAGTGATAAGAAGCGCTGGATTCCGTTTCTCTTTTTTTGTCATACTGCAAATCATAGCTTCGTTCTTCTTCAATCGCCTTTCTGCGGCTTGCATTTGATCAGCTCCAATTCCTCCCATACCAGGCATCATCTTTGCGACTCCACCAAGGCTTCCCATTGAAGTAACCATTTTAGCTTGCGAGAGAAAGTCTTCAAAATCGAACTCTGCCGACATCATCTTTTCCTGCATCTTCTTTGCTTCTTCGTCTGACACCTGGGCAGCAGCCTTTTCGACAAGACTGACAACATCACCCATGCCCAAGATTCTTGATGCCATACGGTCGGGGAAGAATGGCTCAAGATCGGCAGTTTTTTCACCGACACCAACAAACTTGATTGGCTTTCCACTCACACCTCGAACACTCACAGCTGCTCCACCTCTAGAGTCACCATCCAACTTTGTAAGGATCGCACCCGTAAGACCAACAGCAGAATCAAAAGCTGCTGTCAATGAAGCAGCTTCTTGACCAGTCATGGCATCAACAACAAGCAGTGTCTCATCTGGCTTTACAGTAGTCTGGATATTCTTCAGCTCCATCATGAGATCTTTGTCGACAACTTGACGACCGGCTGTATCAACAATAACCGTATCGAACCCTTCATCCTTTGCCTTTTGGACAGCTTGTTTGGCAATATCTACTGGATCTGCGTCGGTTCCCATCGAGAAGACCTCAACACCGATACTTTCAGCAAGAATCTCCAATTGTTTGATAGCGGCAGGACGGTAGACATCGGCAGCAACAAGAAGGACCTTGCGATTTCTCTTTGGCAACTTGGTGGCAACCACTGGCTCGTCAGTTTCTCCTACGGCAGAATAATCGGCTTCTCTCTCTTTCAAGTAGAGGGCAAGCTTTCCAGCAGCTGTCGTTTTACCGGCTCCCTGCAATCCAGCCAAGAGGATAACAGCTGGATTACCAACTTCCCCTACTGCCAAGGTCGCTGCAGGGGCGCTATTCTCAACGCCACCCATTGGTGAAGAAGACTTAGAGTCGCCACCCATCATATCAAGAAGTTCGTCATACATGGACTTGATGAACTGTTGTTCGGCAGAGACGCCCTTGATGACTTCGTCACCTAAATTTCTCTTCTTTACTCCTTCGATCAAAGCGTCCGCAACATCAATGTTCACATCAGCATCAAGAAGAGCGCGGCGAACCTGGCGCAATGCAGGCTTGATGCTTGACTCTGTAATTCTGTCAAAGTGCGATCGATTTTTGTGAGGCATTACTGAATACGTCTACAAAAAAGATGTCAAAGCAACCTTCCTTGTCATTACTAACCTCTGTTTCGGTCCCAAATTCTTGGCAACTTCAGTCAAAGCACTCGTCAGTTGATCAAACATCATATTCAGTTGTGTCCCATCTTTTCGAACTGGCTGGGATACTCGTACTTGGAAACCGCCAGTTGTGAAGGAAGATCCCGACAGAGATTGAGATTGGAAGGCATGACAGCTGGCTGCCAGGGCCAGCAAGACTAGGGATGGTCGAGTGAACTTCATCTCGACCGACTTTTTGCGATGAGACGGTGTTTCTCAATTAGTTGGTGCTCGTCAACCATTTGCCATCAACACTATCCTTCATCGTACACTACTGACGCATGGACCGAACGACGCACATTCTGCAATACTCGACTCATCCGAATCTATGGATAAGGAATTATGAAACCGATCTCAAAATTGCAAAGATGGCAATGCTTCGAAGCCGAGGGCAACATCAGACTCAATCAGGTGGCCACAGCCTTAACAAATCATATCAGGCACTTTTCGAATCGAGGAGATCTGGCTCGGACATGACTTCCCAAAGAAACATATTCGCTTTCTTGTCAATGGCGCTTTTTGTGGCACTCCTCCTTGTGATCCACAGTCACTCCTCAAACTGTGACAAGTCCGCTTCAGCGATGCGAAAGTCATCCTCTTGTGAAATCACATTTTCGGAATACAAGGGCCATCAATACTACAACAAAGAAAGTGGCTCTGTGGGAACACCAAAGTGCCTTGTGGAAAGCAAATGGATGAAACTATCTCAGCACAACGTCAAGTTCCCAGGAAGCAACACAGTATTCGATGACTGGCTATGGATCGATTATCATGATAGAATCAATGTACTTGTAGAGGACCAAAGAGTTTCTGGAGAGGAGAGAAAGTTCCTAGTATTTGAGCAATCGAAGTATGCCCTAGAAGGACGCCAGTCACTAGCAATCATTGGTGGAGTGATCGAGCCTGGAGAAGAGGCAGAAAATGCAGCCCGAAGAGAAGTTGCCGAAGAAATGAACGGACTTCAATGTGCAAATTTTCATTTCTTGGGACGATATAGAACTGATGTGAATAGAGGAATGGGCTGGGTGAACTCGTTTCTTGCAACTAACTGTTCACGAGATCAAAAAGCAAAGTCATTTGGAATCGATGAAAAAGATGAAGTGGGCGCTCCCGATACGGAACGTCAAGACCTGACATCAATAACACTCTCTCGACTGAAAGAAGCTTCAAGAAATGGCGAGTTCCTAGAGGTTCAGTGGACTGCGACAGTCGCTTTGGCTCTCATGCATCCAGAGATAGAAGCTGCGCAATAGAAAACCACGGGTTTGTAAGAAAGTGAAACAGCTTGCTATCAGCATGCGGTATTTATTGATATGCAAAACGTAAATGTTTAGTGTTTTATGTAGCTCTATGCACTTAAGGTCTTCGTGACCTTTGTGTTTGTATAATAATAATATAATGATTCATGTGTAGTAATCAATTGTGATGATTATGATGATTCGCAAGCTTTGCGGCGGCAGTTGCTTCTTGAGTGATTACAGTCTTCACAAAAGATGCAAAGTACTTGCGATACAGGTCCTTGTGGTTCGAGCGAGGCTGATTGGGTTCTGTCATATCATTTCGCGATTTTCCAATCTGCGATGCAGACGAAAGACCAGAGTAGCTCTGAGACCGGTGCATTTTGAGTCCTGGCATTGATGGAATCTCAGGAACTTCCAAGGGTTGAGAAGGTTTGTTATCTACCTCATCGGAGGGAACAGGACCAAACTCTACCGTCGCCGCAGTATCAAATGTTACTTTCGATGGGGCCCGATACGAGTGCGTTGGAGGATTTCTCAAGGCATCTTTTGATATATTGGAATTGAACGCCGGTGTCATTGACAAACGGCGAAAGCGCTTGTCAGGTGAGGACGGTATTCCTCGTTCGTTGCACAGCTCGTCCGTGCTGTCGAAACTTGAAAATGATTCATCATAATCTTCGTCGTCATCAAGGTCATCGCGTGGACTGTATTGCCAGAAACCTTGGCTCGAATCGCTGGATCCTTCTGATTCAATCGAATTGGATCTGCCAGTTCTTGTCTTGGCAATTGACATGCTCTTGTCCATGCTAACATCCAAAACCACGTCAGCTGCCCATTGCTCTGTCTCATCTCGTTCACCTTCTTGTTCGCCTTCAACGCTATCTGAACTGGAACATGAAGCTGAGGAGTTCACCATTCCAGGCACAGTCTCATCCTTTGCCATCAACTGGAGGCCAGCCAACCCATTCGTGGCTTGGCCAAACTGAACCGATGAAGCAACCTTTCGCATACTGCTTGACACTCGAGGTGCACCAAGAAGACTGTCAGTATTGAGAGCAATCTGTTCGGTAAGAGCTTTGGATGCGGCAGAGTGGTGCCATCTGCCATTTTCAATAGCAAGTCCGGCAAGATCCCCAGCCATGGAGAATAGAGCCTCTAATCTGGATGGCAACTCTCCAAGGGTGTCGTTTCGGCAGCACATACATGCGATATCGTACAAAGTGAGACCCTTGCTGATACCGAGCTTGAGTAACCGGGACGATGCGCAAAAGTAGTCGATCGCTTTTTGATCAATGTTGAAACGATCTCGTAACGTCTTGGCATCTTCTTCAATGTCTAACCGCATGATATACTCCCTTGTTACCTTGCTGACGGGCTATATTGAGAGAAGTGTAAGATACCATTCATTCATTCACGAGAACAATACATAACTGCAAACTGCTTCATTTTCTTACCTGCTTGAGTTGTGGCCAATCCAGCCAACACCAATCCATCCACGAAACATCTGCGGACGCTCTCAGGCAAAAGCCATGATCGATCGGTATCAGCTGTAATGAGTTATCGGATCGTCTCCGACATAACAGGTTGGCAGCATTACGATCGGCATTCAAAAGCCGAATGTCTAAAAGTGCAATCTTGTGTACTTCATCGACTCTGATCATACTGGGACTGATATCATCCATGGAACACTCGGTTCGTATAAACTGTTGGAAGGATCCAACTTTCGTTTCTGTGGTACTTGAAGATGTCCCCCCACTCAGAATGGAGTGAGCACCAATAGATGCCCCTCCTTGAGAGACATTGAGTTGAGAACCATTGGAATTGAAGTTTGGATGACGAGCTTCCACGAGGGTAGTCATGGGAACATCGCTAAACCCTTCGTGATCCATAATGAAAGCTGCTACCTCGCGGATACAGGCTTCTCCTGGAACAATTCCTTCCCTGAGAGATGTAGATTGAACAGGGTGGGGAAGATATCCTCTGGGATTGTTCTCCGCATAAGGCTCTTCATCGGCTGGTTTGAAAACTGCAATCTTGGATTTACGCACATCATGCAGGAAGTAAGTTCCGCCCGATCCATCCAAAACCAATTCTGGTTTTAGACCAATGGTAAGCGCACGTCGTGCTTGTGTCACCTTGTTTCGTAAGAGTCTTGGTGTGATATCTACAACGGATTCTGAAATGTTCAATTCGGTGTTGGAGCAATTTTTCGCACCATTCATTGTAGCTTTGTTGTTCTTGTTTTTCAAAAATAAGGTCTCTCCAGATTTGTAGATACCAGCATCATGGAGACTTCGATGGTTTGGCAATTCCTGACCTGATGTCATAAGAGGTCCGAAAAACAACCTTTGGGAATGAGGAGGATAATGAATCGTGCGGTGGACTATATCCTTGATATCTTTGACGCAGCACCAAGATTGCACAGTAATGGGGCGCTTGCGTCTTGATTTATCGTCGACATCAACGACAAAGAGCTTCAGCTCGGCACCTCGAAAGCTGGACTCATTCCGAACCTTTAAGTTGTTATCCATAGATACCATTTTGCTATAGGTAAAGTATGTGTTGCTGCAAGTGAGACTGATAGATTATACCGCTGTGGCCGCCTGGGAGGCGGAAAGCAGGACGCGGCGCCTCGAGATATTCGTCTAAAGAAGACACGGCACGAAGGATCGAAATGTCCCGAAAGATCGCTCAAGACTAAGATTTACGGGTTGCCTCAAAGCTATTGTCACGGATATCTAAGATCCACGAAAGCAATAGTTATTTGGTAACAAGTAAACCTATGCGATCTATGAGAGATTGTCTAGGAGAAGGATTAAGGCTGGGGGTTGTTGAGTATGTTTAGCAGAAGGCTGATGCAATTGTGTGTTCTGATGATGGGCACATCCTTCTGGTTCTGAAGGCGCCAACCACGTAACTGGCAAGATTTTGGCTACACGGACTGAACTGCCAGAAAGGATTTGCAACAATAATGATTAACGCGCAACAGAACCCCCCGATTATGTTCTTTTCTTGTCTCTCCGTACGTTCCTACGCACAGCAACGTATGTTTGCACCTCTTTCGCCAGTTAAAATTCGTATTCTGCCGAATTATTTTGAGATAAACGTTTGATGTCTCACTCTGACACACAACGACACGTGATTGACACAAGCTGTCAAATGAGGTTTTTAAAATGGGATTGCACAATCGCACCAATCATCTTTTGTAGTCCGTGTGATTGCGTGAAAGAGGAGGTCAATAGAATGACTTCGAATTTTGCAAGCACCCATACATAAGATAGTTCATGTTTCGAGTTCATGTTTCGATTGAAAAAGGGTGCACATAATTCAAATCTATCCACGTGTCCATTGGCCGCAGGTTTGTATCGTACGTAACCTTTCGAAATTACAAGACACATGATGCATCAACGAGTTTGTGGGATTGAATCTAATTCTCTTGGCAGTCATCATGACTAACACGTATGACATATGATTCTGTCAGCTTAGTCCAGTCGGCCAATCCTTCTCCAAGAGCGCTACTGTAGCTGTGTGTGCCTACAGTATCCAAGCGTCACTTGGAATAAGCATTAGAAGATAGTTGAAGTTTGGTATTTTTCTAATTGGTTTATTTTAAAAGTTCGTTTATTGCGATGATTTGTTCAAGAACATCAAAGTTTCGACAGCTTGTTCGGTATCCAAGGTGGATGGCTTATCTTTGCCAGCTGTCTTCTGCTTCTTGTTCTGCTTGACGTTGTATTCTTCGGTTGGCACTGCTCGTTTAAGTGATGGATTATTTCGACTCCCACTTTCAAGGGAGCCCTCCATCTTCTTGACGTTTTCACTGCTAGACGAAACGAATCGTTCTAGAGTATCGGCATCATCCATGGCATAGTCTGCCCGCTGGACAGGGACGAACCGCTGCGATTCGTCCGCGTTCTTCTCTCCATTCCGGATAGGTCTTAAACATAGTAGAATCTCCAATTGATCCTCTCTTGGTGGTGTAGTACTTGGCGCAGTAGTAGGAGCTAGATCTTGATGTCCTTCAGAGGGATCCGATGGTGAATCAAAGGAATCTTCACCAGTCATTCTTGCTCGGACCGAGGATGTTACTTCACACCAGACTGTAGTAAGATCTTGACGGATCAGACACATTCTGAATGTCGAAGACAATGATTTCTTTGTTTGTTCTGCGATTTATTGGGGAGGGAGTGAGTGAGTCGACTTTAATTGGAACACAAACATACCAAAATGACAAGTCTCTTACCATTGGAATTCGATGTATCACTTCCCGAGGATGACATTTCTTCTCTCGAGTCATTGGATTCTCTGTATCCAGAGTCGTCCGAAGCATTCTCAGTAGTCTTCTTCTTTTCTTCCACACCCGCAAGCAAGGATTCATCCGAGGATGACTGGTCTCCGTTGTTTTCGTATGCTGCTGCCTTCTCGCTCTTGATCTTGGAAAAATCCGGAACATGCTTCAACGAAGAGAGTCTTGCAGTAGCATTGTTGGCAGTGACTGAGGCCCCAGTGACATCGTCCTTGGGTCCATAAGTTCGGCCCTTTTTCTTGTTTTCCTCCATCTTTTGGTTGTGTCTTCGTACATTGCGACTCAAATTCTCATTTGCCTCAGACATGTTCTTGGCATCCGAAGACAAAGAGGATGAGTCATCACTGCTTGTGCCTCGCTTGGCATTTGCAGAACTATCATTGGAGCCATGAGAGCCACCCTGGCGTACCGCCTTTTCGTCTCCAGATGAGACCGCAGGGGATGTTATGCTCGTAGTCAACGAGGACAGTTGAGCCTTGCCAGCACTGTTGTTCGTGGAGTCATCCGAGTTCTCGTTTGAGCGTTCGGTTCGTTCCGTGTTGAGTCTATCAGGTCTTCCTGATTGCTTGCTATCCACTTCTACCACTGATAATGGAAAGGATTGGTCGGATACGATAGCAGCACTGCCGGTGTTTTCGCTAGATCTCCCAGAACCGTTGCCATCACCATTTCCAGCAACGGCCTTGGTTCTATCGGTATCTACGCCTAGCACTCGCTTTTCGCCACGGCGGCGGCGATGCTTGGATTCCAAGCCCACTCCTGCTCGCTGTGCACTTCCGTGAGATTGTTCCTTTTCACATGTCACCATATCACTAATAAGCGATCGGAGATCATCTCTCGAGGCTGGAACCAAAAGATTGCCAAGCTTGGCACCGATGAGATCATCATTCTTGTGTTTCAAGATTCTTTCGACTTGAGCACTGCAAAAGGTGATCTCTCCCTCCGTAGTGATTGCCACCACGAGATCGGGAAGGAGCGATAAAATCAAAGCCTGTCTCTTTAGTCGCGCATTGGTAACCTTCATTTCCTCGACATATTGCTTTTTTCGAGCTCTTGAAGTGCTAGCAGATCTTCGATTGGCAATTCTCTTGGCATTCTTCTTCTTCTGCTTTCTTCTTGCTTCCGTTAGGAGGAGTCCAACGTACTGTGGAACAGGACGATTGAGTTGATGCAGCAGTGCAACATGTTTTTCTGTTGGTGAAAAGAGGAGAGTGAGAGACTGCGTGTTAAAAATGGACAGAGTCTTGTTGTCATCCTCGATAGACTGCAGCCTGTAGCTTACCGAGTTGTTCCGCGCTCCAAGACTGCATATTTTGTGCCTGAGCCGAAGTAACAGTTGCACTGGGAGCCACTGTTGATGCAGTTTGCAATGCCCCTTGTTGTGCCTGTCCCTGTGAATGTGATTGTGAAGATTGCATGCTACCTCCCAGACTACCTCCCAGATTCATGAATTGTTGGAGCGATGATTGATTGGAATTGAAAGGTGCCTGCATTCCTCCACTGGAAAGCATCGCTGCAATCTGCGCCATTGTTGGCATCGGTGCTTGGCGACCCATTAATTGACTTCGGTTATCTCCAAGAGCCGATGTCATGGATGGTGCTGCAGTCTGACGTCCAAAAACATTGTTTGCTTGGTGAACTGCTTGAGCTGTAGCAACAGCAATGGTTGCAGCAGCGTTTACAACAGCGGGGTCAAAGACATGAGAATTTTGTTGAGCATTCAGAAACTGGTGACCAGAAGCAAACGGAGAATGACTCTGTGCTGTAGTGACCATGTGAGCTGCCATCGTTGATCGAGCGGGGCTGGGGCAACTTGTCTCCCCGTCTCCACGAGAACGATCACCACCAGACATCATCGTATTTTTCTGCACTTTTTTGTTCTTTGTTAGAATCCGCTCTTTATGTTTGAGTTGTTGTGTGGAACGAGATCTATACCGCCACTATGGAAGCTTTGTTGCGTGTTGAGTTTCTGTCTTGTTTCAAATGGACTTCCAATTAAAATTGGAGTGTGATTGTGGCAATCGTTTTTCCATCAGGTTTGCATGCAGCTCAGCATTCTTTCTTGTCCAAAGGTCAGTTTCAGTTCACCATCTGCTTTTGTTGTTAATTGTGGCGGAGCAGATGGTAAGCCATCTGCCATTCTTAGTGACTTTTTGAAATGTGCAGCTGTCTTTCAGTTAAGGTGCAATGTTCGCGATTGCAGTTTGTTAATTATTGATCCTCACAGCTGCTCACAATCTGCTTTGAGTGACGATTGGTGAAGTGTTTTTTAAAATAATCACCAGAATCACCACATGCGTCAGCGGTTGGTTGATTGGCTTGTTTCTGAAGGTTCTTCAACTATCCCACTCAATCAACGATACACGTCACCTTGTTAAATCCCTCACGATTAACGAACCTGAAGCTTTCGTCAGACGTTAAAAGTGACGATGCCAGTTTTCCATTAAAAACCATTGAGCACGGTCATCCTTTTAGAAATTACCTCACTCGACAAGAGGTATCAATGATAATTCGCCCCCTTTACCAAACAAAGAAATGTCAGCAGGGGCAAGTACACTATTTTGAAAGTGTGAATTGTTTTGTCTGAGTCAGCCAGTCCCAAGTGCTTCGCATGCAATACTAGGAACTACTACTAGTTGGGGAAATTATTACTTCAAACCGTGGTATCATCAGCGTAGCATCATGTCAACTGTGTCATGCAGCTGATTCTGTCTGTATTTGCAGGGCAGGCTGTACACGTGTATCTATATATGCGTTGCATAGGATCGATGAATCAATCGTTCAATAGTCTCCTGCCCAGAGAGCTCTTGGCTGTCGAGCCCCCACCTAATAGAATGAATGAATGAATCGATCCCTCATGATACGTTTATGCTTCTTCAAGTCAATAAATCTCTGAGGCAGCCTCGTTTGAGTGATTGTTTCATCGTTGCAGTGCGATTGTACCGTAGTTCTTTGCTACACGCATTTCCATGATTCCATATGCAGGTTATATGCAACATCATTCGTCTTATGTCTGCTCGAACAACAACTACCGATCAATCCATCACCTCTATATATTCGTTCATTTGGGTTTGTAGACGCAGTGCTCAAACGCTGGTGTGTTGTTGGTACCTGGATGAAAAGTCTTGGATATTTCCTTGAATTTGTTGTCCCAGTAGTACTTGGCTGGGAATCGAGCAAAGGGAATCGCAGCTTCTGGCGATGGGGGTGTAATATCCATATGAACCCAAGACAAGCGTAGCTCTTTCAGCGACCTGTGGCGTAATGCCTCTCCATACAATCGTTCGCCGCCAGCAACCCAGCATGATATATCTTGATTGCTAGTCTCATTTGCATCGTCAGGATATTTTTCACATGCGTCATTCAATTCTCGCGCCTGATGCAGTGCTTCATCAAGGGACTTTGCTAGACTGAGCTGCACATCGTTGGGAGACCCATCTTCTATCTCATAACTATCCAAATCACTCATACTTTTGGAAATCACAATGCAGTGTTTGGCATGGTCAACGTGTTCAAGTTTCGGATGCTCTTCCAAGGTTTTGCGTCCAATGATCAGTATAGAATCTTGTGTCAGCGACTTGAATATTCGTCTATCTTCTGGCGCCGACCAAGGAATCTTTCCATTGATTCCAATCACTCGATTCTTGCACGCAGAAATGGCCGCAACGATTCCAAATTGATCAATGGGCTCCTGTTTCTTACTCTCTTTCGAGGAAATTGGTGATGATGATTCTTGTGGTGGTTTCTTGGGAGGAGGAAGTTTCGGTTTGGTCGGTGCTCCGGCAGGCGTGCACCATGAAAGCTCCTTCACTGAAAAATATCGAACATGCCGTTGGAAGGATGACCCTTGGATAACAGGCCTTGAGATTTTCAGCCCTTGCAACATCTTCAAACAAATTGTTTCGCCTTGAATATTGTGTTGAAGAATCATCAACAAAAAAGGATGATGTACGTCAATGACGTCATCGTCTGATTCTCACCTGCCTCTGCGAGACTATTTCAGTCGTCATCTTCGACTGACCGGTGTCCGTAACAATCCAACTGTGAAAGCAATGGCAAGGAAGCATCAAACGGCCCAATATTGAGAGTCCAACTATCTGCATTTTCCATTTCCGATCACCTAATCTACATACCCACACGATATTAAAATGAGTCAAGAAGTCGGAGGTCTCAAGGGATTCTTTCAGCGCGCCGGAAAGTCTATGTCCGAAGCCAAGGTGGTTGCCAAGGATTGGTCCTGGTGGTTGGCCGGATATGGAGCCAAGGCTGGAATCTTTCTCGCATCAACTTCGATGGTGGTCCTAATGCCATTGATTTTTGAAATTAACCGAGAAGTTATGGTGAGCGATTTTTCTTTTTTGAGGTACCTTATGCACGACAAAACATTTTCAACTCACAGCACATGACGTTTTCTCGAACCATCTCTGCCCAATTTAGATGATTGACGCGGAGCGAACGCAGGTCAAGGAACTCAGAAATCAGGGTCACAGTGATAGACAACTGCAAGAAATGGGATTCTTGGAACTTTCATTACACACTCCTGCCGTTGCCAAGGCATCGTAATACTACTACTATCAATAATCCCTCCATGGTGTCCTGGTAGCGGGTATGGCATATTTTCAGCACTCCAAATAGACGCACGATAATGTAAACCAACTTTCTTTTACTTATTTCAGTGTCAAGTTGTGACGAAACTCAATGTCAAAAAGATAACTATCAGCCTTTACGCTTCTGGATGAACAACTTTCTTCTGGTTCTTTCCGATCAATCAAGAATAAGTCTCTAGTGCCAGGATAAGATTAGTGCCCTTGAACGTTGACAGAAAAGCTAGTCTAGAGCCAGTTTGTTTTCTCTTCTTTCGTTTGCTAGGTACCGGTACCTGTATTGTAAATGGCGACAAGAATGAATGAATCAATTGATCAATCGATCAACGTCTAGTACTTTTATAGCTGCTTTCTATTTTGAATCCCGAATGAATGAATCAATCTGCCCTGGCTTTCGTTTCGGTTCGTTGACACTCACACAACAATGAGAAAGATACAGGCAGTTCGCTTCCTTGTCAACAATCTGGCCATGAGTTCCGCGAGTGTAGCAAACCCGACCTTTGCAGCTCAATCCTTTGTGAACAAGTTCAACGAGGACTATGAGACCAAGCATTTGAAGTTCGAAGAGCAGTTCTGGGGCACCAAGATGGATTTGTCTTCCACACCTGACATGACCTTTTCCGCTGAAAACTTGTCCAAGACCAAGTCTGAAATGGAAGATTTGCTTTCGGATTACAAGACTGTAGAAGAGGCCAAGAAGTTGAGGGAGTCTCTCCCCGACTCTGCCCCACAGGACCTTATTGACTGTCTTGATATTATCATTCGTACTTGCGAATGCTATGCCATTTCTCCTGACAACAAGGAAGTTCGAGAGTCGACCAGTAGATTGGAAAGTGAACTTGAACTCAAGCGAAACCGAATGGAGTTGGGCTACAAGGACGCTGAAGGAAACTTCCAGAAGGCTTCATCGGTAGGTCTTCGCAATATGCTGCAAACCAATGAAGATGAGGCGATGCGAAAGGCAGCCTACGAGGGTCTTCGATCCATTGGTCCATTCATTTGTGAAAATGGCTTTGTCGAGATTATCAAGCTACGCAACAAGCTCGCAAAGTCTAAGGGTTTCGTCGATTATTACGATTACCAAGTCACCAGCTCGGAAGGCATGAGCAAGCAAAAGCTCTTTGAAATTATGGACGGTCTGGAAAAGGGAACCCGACCCATCATGGAAGCTTCTCTCAAGGAGCTGGAGAAGAGGCACGGTGCTGATGCATTGAAGCCTTGGAATACTTCCTTCAAGCTAGCTGGCAGTCTCGTGCAGAAAATGGTAAGGCATACAATTCCGCATAATCTATCTTTCCTGATTCAACTTTGCATCTGACAAATGTGTCATGCTCTTCTTCCACCATTTTTTTAGGATCCATACTTTCCATTCGCCAAAGCACCACTCCGATACTGCCAATCCTACTCCAAGATGGGAATCACCTACGAAGGTTCCACCATGAACTTGGATTTGTTGGAACGCGAAAACAAATATAGCAATGGATTTTGCCACTGGCCCAAGGTGGCTTGGACCAAGCCGGATGGCAAGTGGGAACCATCCACTGCCAACTTTACCTCCTTGGCCAATCCCAAGACGGTCGGAAGCGGATTGAGAGCCTTGACCACTCTCATGCATGAAGCAGGTCATGCGGCACACTTTGCCAACATCAAACAACCCAGTCCACTTTTTGGTCAAGAACGTCCTCCATTCTCGGCTGCCTTGGCAGAAGGCCAGAGCATGTTTTTGGATTTGCTGGTCAGTGATGCTGCCTGGAGAGCCAAGTATGCCCGGGACACGGATGGAAACCCCATTCCTTTTGAGATTATTGAGGAAGAGATCAAGTCGACTCATCCCTTTGCTGTCCGACAATTACGTTCCATGATCTCTGTGCCCTACTTTGAAAAGGCCTTGTATGAACTCTCTGATGACGAATTGACCCCTGAGCGCATTCAGGAGTTGGCAGATGAGGTTGAGAAAAAGATTCAAGGCGGTCTTGGACCAAGACCTCTATTGTCGGTTCCTCACATCATTTCTGATGAAGCAAGTTGCTACTACCATGCCTATGTTGTAAGTGTTGAAATCTTTCAAGCCGTATATACTATGTTCGAAGCACCATGCTAAAGCTTGTTATCGTTTTGCAGTTGGCCGAAATGAGCGTCCACCAAAACCGAGCCTTCTTTATGAAGCGAGATGGTTTCATTGTGGACAACCCAAAGGTCGGACCCGATATGACCTCGAACTATTGGAAGTACGGAAACAAAAAGACCTTTCTCGATCTTGTGAAGGACTTTACTGGATCCGAGCTCTCTGGAGATGCCTGGGTCGCCGAACTCAAGCAGAGTGTGGAAGACATGATTGCCAGCGAGAAAGAGGAGTATGAAAAATCCGTCAAGGAGTGCACAGACGAAGAAACGAAGTTGGACCTGGACATGGTGGTTCGGTTTGTCGATGGAGACACGTTGATCTCGGATTCTTCCACGTCGCCGAATGGATTACTTGGTGCTTGCAACGAATTCGAGACCTTTGTTCAAGCAAGAATCAACGAGAACTAGACTAACAGCACTGTTAGAGAAATCTTCTAGTACCCCACTACTTTTACGTGATTTCTTTGTCCTTATCCAATTGAAATTCGGCCTCTTCTAGAATTTCATTCTGATGTGATTCAAGCCCCTGCTGATCTTCGTCTGCATCATCCCCTACTTCATCGTCCTCATTGAAACCAATGGTGGTCGAGGAAAACATTACCATCTGTCGCCGTCCAATACAACAGGCCACGATAAGAGCCAAGAAAAGTGTTGGGATTGCAACAGCCGCTGCTAATTCGCCGGATCTAAGAGTGCTCTGTTCGATGGGGGTAGCCGAAGCAGTCTGATCACTAGAGGTAGAAAATGGCAAGGATGGGGAAACAAATGGTGTAGTTGGGGCTCGAGTGGGTGATTTTGGTGGAACCTTGTTACACAGCTGACAGTCAATGTGGCGAGTAGCATCCGAAAAATATAAATCTTGCCACCGAACATATGTAGACTCGGAATCACATCCCAAGGCTGACACGGCACAAGTGTAGGAGTCGCTTGCTTCATGGTAGCAAGCTCCGGTTCGGACTTCATCACATCTGCAATTTTGATATTGGGAAGCTGGAGTAACCGTGTTGAAAAGAAGGGGCCCTCCAGTGCATTCTGTCATGTCCCAGACACAGAAATTCAAATCTTGATCAAACCAGCATCGGCTATAAAATGTGGCTCGTTCGTTTGTCAAATCATCCCTCAAGTTGCATTCTTCGTCTAATGGATTGAATTGAACTGATAGAGCACATGCCGTATTGTGCGAGGTACAGATGAAATCATCAACCTGTCGATTGAGACAACGTCCCAACTTGACATCTTTTGTTTTTTCCAAAGAAAGACAGGCTTTGGCAGCCGAGTTCAATATCAAACCGCCTTTGAGTTCGCGGTTGGAAATGTAGGAATGTCCCAAAGGACACTGGGAAGACTCCAAAGCACACATGACGTTAAATTCATCGTCAGGAGCCACACAGGCACCAGCCTGGATGTATTCTGTCCCCATTATGGTTCTCTGTGTGGATAATGAATATATGCCAGTATTGTTCGGATTCTTGTCGAATGGTTAGCAAGGCAGAATTTGTGTCACTTTACTGTAGTGGCAGGAATTTTTTATATTGAATCGATTTGGTCGAACGGGTGGCGAAGCACGTGTTTCATTCACTGATTCGTCACGACAACTTATTTGGCCTCACATCTTGGACCAGCTGAAATCGAAGCCAAAAGCCTGAAGCACGTTCTTCGTGTTCACCAAAAACCAACCACCTAGATGTCAATCTCCTTGACACCTTCTACCCACGGGAGTTGAAGCACATGATTCGTCATTACTCGTTGGTCACGAAAACACGACCATAGGGCTATTGGTGGAACAGTTTGGTCTCGCATCTTTACCTGCTGAACTCGAAGCCAAAGACCTGAAGCACGTTCTTCGTCTTCACTAGAAGCCAATCATCCACACGTAACTCTTCTTGACACCTTCTACCTACCGGTACGTACCGTAGGATATCGTACTATGTACAGAAAGCCTCATCATAAAAGATCCAAACTCCAAGTTGCCACCGAGCCTCACAAATTCCAAAAACGAGCTGCAACATGCTGTTCCGTGCCGCTGTTTCCTTTTTAATCCTGGCTTTGGCCATGGCTGCCGATCAAGCTCCAGAAAATCCAACTGGATGTCTCACTGAAGTTGATCTCGACATTGACTACTTTCCTGACAAGGTCTTTCCCCAGCACTCGCAACTGTGGGAAGTCGAGTACCACAAGACTTACAAGGTTGTCACCAACAACAACTTTCCCGATCAAAAGTACTTGTTGTATCTTTGTGGATCAGAAATCCCGGTAGGTGTCGGTGAAACCCTGGCCATCCCAATTCCAATTCAATCAAACGGTGGCTACAGCATCACTACTACCACTGCCATCAGCCACTTGGAACTGATGGAAGTGGACACGTTTGCCAAGGGATACATTACCAGTCCGGAATGGATCGCAAGCAACTGCTTCAAGGACAAGATCGAAGCAGGAGACATCACCACCGTTCCAGGTGCCTGGAGTGGCGAGGCGATTCCAGAATCTCTCAAGGATTTGGTAACCTTCCTCAACCCAGGTTCCTCCTACTCGGTGAACCTAACCTACCCAATCTTTGTCAATGAGTACCTCGAAAAGACCAACCTAGCTGTCGGAGAATGGCACAAGTTCTACTCGGCATTCTTCAATACCGAAAAGAAGGCCAATCAAGACTTTGATGGCATGACACAACGCTACGAATGTGTCTCGCACAATGCCCAATCCTTGAGTGCTGATAGCACCAAGAAGAAGGTCATCTTTGGAAGTTGGTCCGACTGGTCCAAGGCCTGGAGCTTTGGTCCATGTCCCAACTACTATTGCGACTGGGTACGTACTGTGAATGGTTTGACATATCGCTTGTGAATCCTGTCACCAATATGAACTTCTTCTTACATGTCTTCCTTGCAAATTCAAAATGTACAATATGTGTAGGTATCCGATTGTGGAGGAGAATATCTAGTCAATGACTCTGGTTTCTTGGACGATGCCGCCTTTATTGAGTACGCCAAGGATGCCGACATTTTGCTCTGGGCCAGCCACGGTCCCCCATATTTCAATGAGACTTATGCTGACAAGAAGGAGGTCTTGGACCAACTCAAGGCGGTCCAAAACGAGATGGTCTTTGACTCTACCAAGGATGGTCTGAACACATGGCACGAGCACCGTTTGGTCGAATTCGACGTAGTGTTGGAAGACATTTGCAGCATTATTTCTGGAACTGGTCTCCTCCCCCATCAACGAGAGTTCTTTCGCAACGTCTTTACCGAAGAAATTGGCTCTGTTGCTGAATGTGTGGATGGAGAATCCTCATTCACATTGAAGGCAGACGAATGCGTCAGAATTGGCGAAGAATCATCCGAAAGTAGCTCTGCTGTTCGTGCCATGGCCAGCCTCTTTTCCATGGGAACTTTTTTGTGGTCCATGATTGCCTAAGAGTGAATATCATAGTGTAGATGGTCTCAAAATGCAATCAAGTAGTAGTAAACTCTGAAGTAGTAAATTACAGTAGTACAAATGTGCATGTTAATAATGGTGGGGTGATCCATTCATTGAATTGGTTACGAAAAGTCACGATCCGGTAACAATCGTGGTGCCACCAGGGTCCAAAGGTAGAGAGTCAAACACAGCCATTGTGACGCAATGATAATCCACATACTGACTTTTCCCACTTGTGGATTAGCAGCATCGCCCTCGTCTTCAATCGAACCCCATGCTGTGATTGCCATACTGAACCAGCAACTCACAGTTCCCAACACTACATTTAGCTTCCAATTATTGGAAAAGGTGTCAGGAATATCAGCAGCAGCATCAATGTCATCGCGCACTTCATCATCACCATCGCCGTTCTCCTCGTTAGTGACAATGCCTCCAATCTTGGGTCTTCCTCCTTCTTTCGAAGCAGCAGCAGCTTCTTCTTCGGCCGCTTGTTGGTCTTCATTGTTGGATTTCCCCAAGGTCGAATCTGCAGTATAGGACCATCCGGTATAGGCTAAACTGATTAAAGTAATCGTCACACCAATCACAACACCAAGAATATCTTCGTCTCCAAGGAAAGGATTGCACTGTGCCTCGGGGTTTCTTGCGACTGAAAGTCATGAGTATCAGAATTAGGGGGAAAAGAAGATGATTAGAATATCTAGTACTCCTGCACCAAAAGGAAAGGAACATATGATGCGATTGACTCACCGGCAGTATAACACAGGGAAGTGGCGTAGGCTGTAATGATGCCACTCGCCAACAAACTTCCTTCCTCTCCCGAAAGTTGTGCCATTGTTATCAGGATACACAGCACCACCGTAACCGCAATGAAGATCGTGTTCAATTGACAGCCACCATAGAAATGAAATAAAAGTACCCAACCAACGATCGAACAGATAAACAAAAAGGCAGCTGAAAACAAAATGGCGCCCAACCACTTTTTGCCAGATCCGGATTCTTCCGCTTCCGCCTTGTCCGAATTGAGGATCCATCCATCGTTCCAATTATGTGCAAGATCCACAAAAATGACTTGTTGTATAATGACAAAGACGACAGCCCCCACTCGGGCAATATTCAAGTAAATGGGAGAAAAGATGGGTTCGTTTGGTACAAAGCACATGCCCACCGCCAAAAAGACAAAGAGAACGTATTTGGCAGGCCACGCCACTCGATTCGCTGTCCGATTGACACAGACAGCAACAGTTGCCAACAAAAAGAAGACAGCTGCACTGAATCCCACTCGGTACACCCCATTGTTGCCAATGCATCGTTGTTGGAGTCGTTCCGTCTCCAACTCCTCACAACCACCCCACCAAGCCTCCGTGACATAATTGACACCCGGTGATAGATTGACCATGACTTGAGAAACACCATATTGAAAGGCAAAGGAGAGGGCCACCACAAATACGAGCAAAAAGACGGATCGTTTGCGTCCCGAAAAGGCTCCGGGTGCGACTGAAGATGGTTTGTCATTGCCACAGCACGCTCCAAATAGGGACATTAGAGCGGAACAAAAACACCACGTGGCAGTCGTCGCGACACATGATATAATGGCTCCCATTTTGTCCTTTGTTGTTGGTGATTAGTATATATTGGATGCAGTGTCTTGGACTACCTGGTATGGGAAGAAAGATGTATGAATATAAGGTTTTGGAAACGGAACGCGACTGGAGACAGTTTCAAGTTGTCAATTTCAAATCTTGTTTCTTACGCGCAAGTGACCACTTTGACTCCTGCTGGCTTGCGGGAGTTGACTAGGCCGACTTCTCCAAACGACTAGTTTTGATGCAAAATTCTTCTCTCATGCATCATGCACACGACAAACAAACGACGTCGACGTTATTTCCTTTTTGTGTAGAGTGTGGAAACACTCACACACGTGAAAGATCAAACTTCCGAGTATATCGCTCCCTTTCATCAGATTCATTACGTCGAATACTGATAATCGGCTTTAACAAGAATGGCATCGTGCAACAATAGTAGTAGTGATAACGACGTTGCGTCATCACTCGCCCTACCAGATCCGGATGACGATTACGATGATTTGTACGGAATTAACAACCAAGTTGAAGAAGAAGAAGAAGAAAAAGAAGCTAAAATCAATAATGATCCCACCGAGTTTGTGAAACCTGCCAAGCCTGGTATTGAAAAAGGAAGCAACAATTATGATGATGATATCATGGATCAAATATACTTGTTGGGTACCTTGATTATTCGCGTGGTGGCAGCTCGTGATTTGGAACCCGTCAGCAAAGGAGGTGGATTCGGTGGAATATTGGGATCTTCGAAAGGCAAGGCGAATCCATACGCCAGTGTCAAGTTTGGTGACACCACCCAGCGAACCTCGGATGTGTACGATACACTGGATCCTATTTGGCCACGACAGGAGACTCTCTTTATGGATGTGGCCCTGCCAGTGGCCAAGCTGACGCATCCCGATCTGAGTGGCGGTGGTACTCTGACTAGTAATCATAATTCGTCGGAAACAACAACCAGTAGTCATGCTGCCGCCATGATTCCGGCACCAACCAAAGAAGAACCCTACCAGAAACCAAACACAACTCTGACGGTGGCGCTGTTTCACAATCCTGGATTTGGAAAAAGTGGCAGTGGCAAGAAGGCTGGTGACGATAGTCTCTACCCAAACAAAAAAGGTGCCAAGGGCGTTGTCGATGGAGATTCAGATGATGTATTCATGGGAATGACATCCGTCGATATGACGCAGCTGCTGACTGGAGCCGAAAATACCTTTGACGAGTGGCTGACTCTCAGAGGAACAGCTACCTCGAGAGGGTCGGTGCGAATTGTTTGCGAATACGAATCTTCGGATCCAATTCCGCGAAAAAGGGACTTTTGCCGCTTTACAACCTTTTGTAATCCAAGAGACCTTTATCCATTGATACCGGGGAAGCAGTATCAAGTGGAACAGGTTGACGGAGACAACATTTTGGTATCCTACAAAAGCCCAGAGGGTTGGTTGTGTACCTTTGAAGCTCATCGATTTACATTAATCTGCCAAGACAATCTATCTCCAGTGGAATCAGCTCAGGACGAATTGGTCGTCATTGCCGAACGATTATCGCACTCACCACTGGTGCACCAAGTCACAGAGTCTGTGGAACGAGTGGCGACAGAGGGCTTGCTAACTGTTGGAAATGATATTGTCAGAGGTGGTTGGGGATTGTTCAATCGCTGGCGAGAAGGGGGTTTCGGCACTGCGATTGGTGATGTGGTCGACGCTACAAATTGGGATGGTCGTTATGATCCAGATCACAGCGATGGCTTGGATCTGCCCGAGGCTCGCAGCTCGATGGACGAACAAGAACAACAACAAGGAAATAACCTGAAACAAGCGCCTTCCGAAGTTTATGATAGTGAATATGGTGATGCTGTGGATCCCACGGCACAAGCCCTGCAAGGCATGCCAGCTTGTCCGATTACTGGAGAGCCAATGCTAGACCCCGTGGTAGCAGCAGATGGTAAGGGAACAATATTATTATTGAGGCGCGAGAGATACTTGTATGCTCACCAACGTGTCACGTTGTGTCCATTGTTTTTAATCTACAGGTCACACCTATGAACGAACTGCCATTGCTCGATGGTTCCAAAGCAGCAACAAGAGTCCACTGACAGGTGGTGTCCTCTCTCATAAAGAGCTGGTAAGCAATTACATGCTGCTGTCCAGTGTTCAGGAAGCAGCATCTCGCAACCCATCAGCAGCAGTATTAGGTGTTGTCGAGGAAAATGACGAGGATGGAGTTGGCGGGGAAGACTTTGAAGACTCGTTTCAAGAGGAAGACGACGACGAGGATGAGGACGAAGACGGCGACTTGAAACAGGCTGCAGTGGACTGCTGATCAGGATCCTGTGCCACACTAGCTATGAAATTCAATGAATGACATGGTGGTCCCAAGACGCGGCACAGTAAAATTATATTCCATTAAAATGAATTTGTAACAACACCTCGAGCTCGTTTGCCAGGGATCCCTTTCTTCCATAAGTTGGAACAGTGAGCTAAGTTACCCATCAAGCGATACATTATGAAACAGTGACATTGGGTAGGTCCTCTTCTTCGATTCGGGCCCCACTACTGCCGTCCATAAAGTAGTGAAACTTGGGATTCTTCCATTTGATGATACTGCCCTGTCTCAAACCCGGAATGCTTCGACTGTTGGTGTAGGCCGCGATACGGCGAAGCTTGCCCAGTCGATCCTTGCATTGAAATACCTGTCGCATCATGGATTCGTCCAACATGGCTCGAATTTCCAAGACCTTGCCTTCTGCAGGCCGTCCACCAAAGGCTTCCAATTCTTCCCACGAGAGAGCAAGTTCCTTTGGATCTTTGGTCTTGGTCCATTCAACACAGGTCTTCTTGTGAGCTTTCCACGCCGTCTTTTGACAGTCTCTATTACAATAGGCCACCTTTTTGCACCTTGCACACATTTTCAACTCGACAGTGCTCGATTTCTTGCAATAGTCGCAAGTGTAAAACTGACCCCGTCGGTTGGATGATTTAGGCGGTGCTGCGATCTGTTCGTACAACCGTTGCGTTTCTGGTCCACCGTATTCGAAATTAGTTTTATTGGGATTCTCTTTCTTCCAAGCTTGTGCCATTGCATTCATTTGAAGCATCGTCCCTTGCTCCTTTTCCAAAGCTTCGCGGAAGGCGGTTTCCACGTCGTGGCCTTCACGGGCAAACTTTTGAAGCTTTTTATCAGCGTCTTTTAAGAACTTTCGGTTTTGAGCGAAGACTTCTTCGGACGGCCTAGGATGCATTTGTTCCATGCCACTCAACGCTACATATGCTAGAGCCTTTTCTTCTGCAGCCTTCTCCCAAGGGGTCCTTTTCTTTGTTAATCCTGCTTCTTCTTCCGCAATCCGATTTTGCATATCGAATGACATGCAACACTCATGACAAACCTCGCGCCTATGAGCTTTGCAAAAGCAACGATTGTATTCGTCTGTCACAATATCCATTTCGAGATACCCTTGCTGCTGGTTTGTGTATTTTGTTATGAGTATCTGAAATGTTGAAAGAGCAATAAGATGTTCAAATTCAAAATTGTGATACTCTCTAGCACTGTAAATCGGACTTTCGATTTTTTCCCAAAACCCGATGTCAGCCAGACGCCCCAGTACTGTAAATGTGAACGATGAGTACCAGGTACGTACTTGTTTAAATAAGTACCAGGTATTATACCTTACAAGTCCTGAGTTGGAGTTATAGTGCTAATTTGAGAGTACCTGGTACTGGTCCTGTAGGAAATCCATTTCATGCCATTGCATACATAGAAATAGAACAGCGAGTTTGTCAGCGCTTCCGTTCTCCCATAAGTTGGAAGCCAATCAAAGAATATAAGATGATGGACCATGATAACGGTGACGTTGGGTAGGTCCTCTTCTTCGAATCGAGCCCAACTACTGCCGTCCATAAATTAGTGAAATTTGGGATTCTCCCACTTGATGATAATCCGATGCCACTACGCTAAAAAAGTGTTGGATCTCAGATTGTTGTATACTATATCAGTTTAGTTTAGGACGACTCTTTTCCCTCGAAAAATAGTCTCTCCAATTCCAGTATTCGGTCTTCTCGATCGCCTGGCAATACTTGGTAGTCTGGATCGCCTTCCTTCTTGGCTCTCAAAACACGACGTTGCTGGAGAGTCCATCGATACAATTCACTGTTTCTTGGTGATACTCTAGCGTGGCCATTTTCAGCGTGAAAACGCACCAGCTCTTCGAACATTCGATCCCATCGTGCTGTATGTGCCGTCCAAGCAAATTCAATCCCATCCAGTGCCGCTATTCTCTCTTCGGGGAGCTTGTCGCGTTTGAATAGGTACCTTTGGTGTCGCACCCAGTTGGATAGATCAGAATATGGGCCAGTATAGGGGATCGCAAAGTGGCCGTGCTTGGATTGGAATTCGCAGAGTTCTTGAAAATGCTGAACCCAAGTGTCATCATATACTGCAGCTTGGAAAGGGAGTTCCAGTAGTTTCTTTGCGCGCATATGTGTAGTATCATCGTCTTCCCCCAGGCCTTCGGTATCGTTCCAGCCGAAATCCATTTTGTTTAGTTTCTCAATCTTTTGGACAGCATCAAAGCTTTCTGATTCGTCCAGCCCGAGCTGTCTTAAGGTGCGCCTTTGTCGATCCACCCAACTCCAAAGGGGGGATGATGTGGGCACTCGAGTGTGTCCATTCTTGGCGTAGAAATCGCAAAGGTCCGCATAGTTTTTGTCCCATGTATCACTCAGGACATCCCACGAGAAACCAATGTCGTCCAAAGCTTGTATTCGATCCTCTTCCAATCCTGATTGCCTCCTCTGTCGTTGGCGGGACACCCAGTGTCCTAATTGTGGATCAGCATCATAGTCTGCGGGAACCATTGTGTGTCCCCACTCTTCCTTGTAGACTAGAAGCTTGTCATAAAACTCCCACCATTTTGCGTCCCTCAAACTAAACACAAAATTCAATTCCTCCAAGAGGTCTACCCGAGCTTGTGTCATCTTTCCCTGTTGAAATTCTTTTCGTTGTTTTTCTACCCATCTAGCTAGTTGTGGATCTGAATCTCTGTCAACCTCATGACTTCCATCATTCTCCAACGCCCATCGCTCTAGCCTGTTGAACTGACGTTGCCATTGGGCATCTCGATCCGACCACATGAACCCGAGGGATTCCAAAGTTAGAAACCTGATCTGCTGTGCTTCTGAGAGCTTTCCCTTTTGACGTTGCGCGGATCGATACAAGGTTCTCTGCTTTCGTACCCATTCCGCAAGGTCATCGGAAACTCCTCCAAGACGTTCTCGTTCGAGCATGGCAAACGACCCCCTTCCTGATGGCACATGGCAGTCGCCGTGAAGGTTCTTGTACTCCAAAAGCTGATTCAGCATCGCTTCATCTTCCACACTCAAATGTTTTTGAAGCTCATCGTCATCGATTGATTCACTCAATGCCGAAGTCTCAACGGATGAGAACTGTCGAGATGGAATTATCAGAGGTGCAGCTATTTGTATCCGAAATCCATTCCACTGCGACTGATGGATATGACAGTGTGTAAATCTTGATGCTGTGCATAGCTGGCGCTGAATCAGTCTTAACATACCATGTGAGCTGAGACGACATGCCATGGTGTTCAAAACTTTGGGTGGTTAGTACGAAGTTCAAAACAAATTCACGAAGAAAGGAGGAGGGGAGGACTTTTGAGGTCGGGGAAACGTTTGGGGATTTTTCTGTCAATCGAAAGCCAGTGATTTCTGATTGTACCGGTATGGGAAAAAGTCAAAACACAACACCACCAAAGTCCGAAGTAACCAAAGAAAGAGTTTCCATACAGGGCTACCACTTTATCTCATGACTGCCGCGTTATCAATTGAAGACAGCACCAAAAGAGTTCTCTTCGGAACTCCTGAAAACGACCCCGGAACGACATCAACACTGTCATCGTCACTGTTGGATGGTGAGGAAAGAACAAGTACGAACGCACTGGCGACACCACAATCATCGCCGAATGAGAAGAATCCGCTTTTAGAATCATCAAATATAGACTATAACCTTCCTCACTGCTCGCTGCCACCTCTGAGTCAGCTACAACCTGTGGAGACCTTTGTATTGAACGCAATAAAGTCACGGCATGATGAAACCCCAGAAGCAACGCACGTCCAAGGTTACAAGGCCATTATTGACTCACTCCGAAGACCGACAGATCCAAATATGATCCGAAGCGTGCTGATATCCTTCCGAACAGCTGGTTCTGGATCAGTCTTGACTATGATAGCGGCAAATCCCACGATACATGCTCAACTGGTGCACGTGGTCCTTCGCCTAAACTCCACCAATCCTCCCAAACCTCCAAACTCGGACGACGAGAATGCAATGAAACAATTTGAAAACCTAAACAAGATTTACAAGGAAATGCATCTACTGGATGCTCACTTACATTTCATGTTGGCCTTGGTCAGTGCCAAGTCAGCCCATTTAATTCCCGTGATGACCGCGGTGTGGAGAATGCTTTCCATGCGAGTTGGACTCCAACCAGAAATGTAAGTGCCCAATAAACATGTCTCGGGTGCATGCAATCTCGATAAGTAAGTTTATTCTTTCTCACCAATCCAATCTGATGCCACACAACAGGTACCATCGGCTGCATGCAATGATGTATACCATGTTTCAACTCTTTCCAAAAGCGAGATCAGACTTTTTTTCCATTGTTGCCACTAGATTTCCGCACATCAAATTGGATCAAAGCATCCTTTGCCACTATTGCAAGGCTAGCTTCAAAGTTTTGGAGTACCTTCCGAGTATGCGAAAGCAGCTCATTGATACCGTAGTGGACAAGTGCCTCGAAATCGATGTCAACATTAAGATTCAAGACAATGGAGAAGTATCAATAGAGGAGCAAAAGAAGGAAGACAGTGCCACCGAGGACGCGACAACAGAAAGCAAGGATGACAATGAATCACCAAAACAAGTCTCGTCCAAGGAGCAGTCTATCATTGACGATCTTTCGGAGAAATTGGATTCATTACTGGCACTCCTGTTGGAAGAGATCAAAAAGGCTTGCAAGGACTACATTTCAGCTAGAGAAATGTACTATGAAATCATGCCAGTGTTTGAGTCTACTATATTGACAACTCACAAAGCCAAGTTTGTGCAATTTTGCATGTTCTACGCTTGTGGATTGGAGTCTGGTCTTGTTGACAATGATTATAATTATGATGACATGGAACATGTGGAACATGCGATCCTCCATCGAGACTTTGCTGCCAAACTATTGGAAGTGGTGATGGATCCTTACCGAGCTACACTTACGAGACAAAGTGGAGCATGCTACCTCGCCTCGTTCATTAGTCGCGCCTCCTTTGTTGGTCCTGATACAATCTGTGAAGCCATTTCTGCGCTCCTTCGATGGGCAGAAGCGTACATTCAATCCTTAGGGCAACACGGCATTCACGCTGCAGATAGTAGAGACCAAAGTGAATATCACTCGCTTTTCTATACAGTATGCCAAGCTGCGTTCTACATCATGTGCTTCCGGGGGAAAGAAGCAATGGAATTTTACAAAGAAGTTGTCGCCGCGTCAACAGAGGAAGCAGGAGACGTACCATCACATATTGACTTGAGCCCTGAGAGATGGACTAGGATATGTTGTCATCAGTTGCAGCCACTTCGATATTGTTTGGAGAGTGTCAGAAGTGAATTTCTCCACATTTCACATTTCTTTGACCTGATCGGCGAAGAAAAGTTGGAAAAACTGTTTCAAGATTCAAAACAAATGTCGACTGGGAGGCCGAAGCGACGTACAGCATCAAGAATTTCTACTCTTGGCACGCTTTCCGTGCGACGACGAAAGGGTGGAGTTGGTGGTCTCGGTAGAGGTTCCAATCCTCTCAAATCCTTCTTCCCCTTCGATCCGCTGCTACTGCGGAGGGCGTATGATTTCATTGAACCGTACTACAGGGATTGGAGTGGGTCTATTGAAGAAGAGGAAGAAGATGAGAGTGTTACTTCAGAAGAATCCGAAGAAGATTTTTTCGATATGGAAGCTATTGATCATGATGGCAATGGAAATCAGGCGCAAGAAGACCATGCTACTCAAGGAAGAGATGTGCATGGACGCTCATACAGTATTGATCAATCCGAGGCTGACGAATCTACTGCTAGTGTTCAAGCTGGAATGACAACTCCAAATGTACAAGAGAAAAAAGATATTCAACGAAAGGCATGGACGGAGGCAACGAAGCGGCCCAGATCATTAAGCATGGAAAATGGAAGTTGGTGAGGCAACTATGGTCTTGGGATTGTTCAATCAGCTCTGAAAGGATAATGTATAATGCTTTACTCCCTGAACCTCGTCCTTACAGTAGGGATGGAATTGTATAATAGCAAATGACGTTAACAATATGAGTTTATTGGCATTGTCTAGCAGTGTTTAAGGTGGTGGAATGGAAGATTTCTTCAAGAAGATGTCGTAGACAAGTGTAGAGCCTGGTTTTACGAGGCACTCTCCGTCTTCCAAACAGACTCCTTTGTCACCAAAATTGAGCTCTGGTGGAATAATCGCTTGGACCTTTTGTCCAACCTTCATTTCCGCGACCATCTCATTGATTCCTGCAATGACTGCTGTGCTACCAAGCTTGAAGAGCAAGGCGTTGGATTTTCCCTCACTATGAGTTCCGTCGAAAATTTGGCCGCTTGTCAAGTAGCCAGTGTATTCAATTGCGACAATATCGCCTTGTTGAGGATAATTCTTCTTGTCTGTGTCTTTCGTGATAGCATACTTGATACCATTGTCAAGCTTGTAAATCGTCGGCGCAGCGTTTGCAGCCTGGGGGGCTTGAAGTGTTGCAGCAGCAACGACAGCAGCTGCTGAAGATCCAATGAAACCTCTTCGGCTCGACACCTCAGGAAGATTCATGGAAAGAGAAAACGCGCTTGTATGGCAAGCGGCAGCAATTGCGAGGGCCAGTGATAGAACGATTTTCATTGTGACGGGGATTTTATGCCAAGGGTGTATTAATACTTTGTTGTGTGCTAATGACAACAGTCTTGAGTCAGAGTTGACGGTGACTTCGTATCATCGATGACGGCAGTACAGTAGTTGGTTGACGTCAATCAGTCGACCCCTTCGATTGAATTACGAAAAAAGTCCGGTGATCGATGTAAAGTATGAAGTCTCATAACTTTAAGGAAGGATACATTTGTATGCTAGGGCAGCAGCGCCAAATCCATTGTCAATATTGACAACACCTACCCCTGGACTACAACTATTCAGCATCGTAAGCATAGCGCTGATACCGCTGAGACTGATCCCATAGCCAATAGAAGTAGGACACGCAATCACAGGGACGCTAGCGAGTCCTCCGACGACACTGGGCAATGCTCCATCCATACCAGCACAGACGATGATACACCCCACTTGAGGATCTTGTAGTCGCGGTAGGTTATTGATAATTCGGTGGAGGCCAGCAACACCACAGTCATAGACCCTATCCACCTCAACATTTGCTGCCTCCAATGTCACTGCCGCTTCCTCTGCAACTGGAAGATCAGTTGTGCCAGCTGTTGCGACAACAATCTTCTTGGCAAGCTTGTCTTCGTTTGTGATTGGTAGATCTTTCAAGCCTGAAGCACCCATTGTAATAATTCTAGACATTTGGTCATATTCAATAGTACCGTGCTCCAATGGGATTTCCTGCATTTCTTTGAATTGATCTGGGGATACACGTGTTGCCAAAATTGCTCTTTGGCTGGCATTTGGAAAGGCTTCAGCATTTTCAATTCGTTCATTCAGGTTTCGAGCAAAGTCGTCGAGAATTTTTGACACTTGATACGGAGTCTTTCCTTCTGCAAAAACAGCTTCTGGGAACCCAGTTCGTTGGGTTCGGGTGTGATCAAGATTGGCAAATGCCGCAAGAGTCTCTTCAGGTGTTCTACTAGTCTTGGTGGCAGTCTTAAGCATCTTTTCGGCTTCGACAGGGTCCAATTTTCCTTCCTTGACAAGCTCCAAAGTCTCCAAAAGAGAGCGACCTTGGAAGGACGAGAAACATCTCAATCCTTGGACATTTCTGCTGAGGAAACGAACTTGTTTAGCGATCATTATTGCAATACTCCTGTGGCGAGAGGGAGTTTTGTCGGAACCTTGAGAACATCCTCTTTGATCGATGTGATGGGTGACGCAGACCTACCGATATGAGTACAATAAATAATAAATGACGTCATCATTGACATTTGAATCAACGGACTGCTCAAACGAATGATAGCTTAGTGTACCGGTAGTACCTGATGCCCTACATACATGATTATTGCACTGACGAGCATTGCAAGCTTGTGAAGTATATTGCACTGCTTTGTTTCATCTAGTGCCTTTTACCGGCTTGACTAATAACGATGCAGCAACTGCAGTGAGATTTGGGGGGGGGGGGAGGGCGGAGGGGATTACGACAGTTCAGCTCTTAAAATTCCATGGTGCACCGGTATTGCATTTCTTCTTCACTTTTCTTTGCCGCATTATTGAAATCGCTGAAACATACTTTCCAACAGCATCAACGGGGGGAGGCAAATTACTCCCTTCACAAACCAGCACCATTGATTCATAACGTCCCATTTCTCAGGTATGTTTTTGTCATGTATACATTGCCTCTCGTGCTGTGGCTCGGAGCAACACTAGCGTATGAAACAATACTGTGAGCAATATGCTTTCGTTGAACGTATCCCGAGAATGTGTTGCATCCAGCGTTGGAACTCCTACTGTCATCACCCTCGGAAACCCGGAATCAATGTTCTTGCACTGGCTACATGTACTTTTTTCTTTGGTTCCTTCTCCTTCACCAACCCGTCTTCTTTACTACTATTTGTGTCACTCTTGATTTCCACAAACATATCATCATCGATTAGGCTAGTGGGAGCATAACGGAAGGTACTGTTTGTTGACTCATCGTTTCTGGCCGCGAGTTCTCCCCCTGAGAACCATCCACGGCATGCTTGATCCATGATTTCTGCTCTCAGATCCTTTTCAATATCATTATCCGAAAACGAACAACCGACTCCAAACTTGGTAAAATCACCTTGACCATTGGATTGTACTTTCTCCATCGCCTTGGCCATTTCACTGTACTGCTCCCATGTTTTCTGCAGGTCATGAAAGTGTTGCTTGGAGTCGCTTCCGAATGAAGTCACAGCTTTGTTCTTGTCAGGATGAATCTCTTGCAGCTTGGCAAAGTAGGCACGTTTGAGATCTGCATAGGAATAGGAAGCAGAATCGAGTTTCTTATGTCCTTCGGGGCCAGTTCTGGAATACTTTTTTCCAAAGAGCAATCGAACCAGCTCCTGCTTGACTCTCCGGGAACCCGCAGCTTGTCCAGCTCTTGTTCCTCCTCCGTTCATTATGGTTTTATGTATAATACTTGATGGATAAGCTTGAATGACTTTCAGTCCACCGATGCCGAAGATGCGGTGTTTCTTCTCCAAAGTTCTGGGACGGCCGGGAAAATCAACATTTACTCCCAAGAATTGTATGCTAAATTTCTATTTCCCGGCCGTTCCTGCCCTCTCGGTGTCTCATTCTTCTGTTCTGTGCAGTCAGCACGTGATTGACGTCATGTCATTCCCGCCGACTCATGGACGACTCAGTGGACTTCAAACTTCTGACCAGCTCGAAGCGAATCGTGCTCCGTCTGACAGTCAGCCGGTCGCAGAAAACATGGGGTCAGTCGTTTCTATCGTACAAATCAGTAGAAAGTCTACCTGCCCGATTCCAGTTTCTAGTCCCAAACGAATGGCCATGTCCTTTCCATGAAAGCTCATAATTGCTGTCTGTTCCCGAAAGGTGTGTGTTTCCTTCTATTGTTTCGAATCCATACGATGGCCTCATGGAGTTGCTTTGGAGGCTTAGTTTGCAATGTTATCAATGGCAAGGGCAATGTTATGGCTTTTGAGCAAACGTTCGTGTACTCATCTTGATATTTTCTTGTTTTTCGTTCTCTCTAGGTTTTGAGCAACCAATTATCTAAAGTCAATATGCAAATTTTTGTTGGATCTACCGCTTACGAAGTGGACGCCGCCACCTCCGTCGAGAGCCTCAAGCTCATGATCGAGAACAGCGAGTTCGTCCCTTCTCATCAAATCTGCCTCATGAACGGTGCCACCATCCTTGAAGAGGGTTCTCTTGAGGAGAATGACGTCGAATCTGAGGACACCCTTCAAATGCGCCTTGCCGTCCAAGCTGGTATGCGTAAGAAGTGGCGCAAGAAGCGCATGCGTCGTCTTCGTCGCAAGCGCCGAAAGATGCGTCAACGTGCCCGTTAAGCAATCTGCTTGATGAGTACGTTGGGTACCATGGGCATGGAGTTCGTTGTTTGTTAGGAAACTAATGGATGGTCTCTCCATGGCTTGAGATATGATTTGTGTTATTTAACTTTTATAGAGCATTTGTCAAATTTCAAAATGAGTAATTTTTGTAGAAAGGTTGTGATGCAGTTTCTTTCGTCCTTGGAGCTCTTGAAGAGACAATGCAGCTTGGAAAAACCAGTCAGATATCGGGAAATGCTAAGGAAATCACAGAATAGCCTGGAGGTATGGGTATTTAGTAGGATTGATTCTTCTAAAGTAGGACGACTAGTCAGCTTTTGACGTGTCAGCTGGAAGGTACATTGGATTGGGCTTTCGTCCAGGTACCACACTCGTCACCTCCTTTTGCTGAATCCGTGTGCCTTTCTGAAAGACCTTCATGACTTGTTTCATCATCGGGTGACCCGTTTCATGCGTAACACCATTCACCATGTCGAGATATTCTGACAGTGGTACCCACTTTGCAGCCTGAATCTCGCACGCTTGCGCTTGTGGTTCGGGAATGACAACGTTGCCATCCTCGTCAATATCCTCTATCGAGTCCAAGTGACATACAAAATACATATCTGATCGTCCGTTTGCAAGTCCATGAGTGTGACGAAAGCTTAGAATGCTACTGAACTTGGTCGGGATTCCAGTTTCCTCCATGACCTCTCGTTGAGCAGCGTCTGGAATGTATTCCCCCAAATCTGCTAGGCCACCTGGTACCTTCCATGGCATGTAATTCTTTCTCAGCTCTCGTACGCAAAGAATTTCATCCCGTGAGTTTACAACTACGGCACCAACCCCAACGTGACTGAATGGGATTGCAAGCAGGGTGAGAGCAGAGCGACACGACAAGAACAGCTGCTAGTCAGCCAAGAATCCAACAGAATAGAGCTTACTGTGTGGCAAATTCAGGCACCTTTGATTCTTTGTCGGTCGGAAGCCAGAGATTCAACTTTGCAGTATTTCCCTGGGCATTGTGAAATTCGAATCCCAGATCAACCATATCTTCCAACAAACTCCCACGGGCCATTGGAACATGCACCCAAACACTTCTCTTTTCCATTACGCGCAGCGCCGAAACCGTCTCCTCCAATTTTTGTTTGAAGGTCGATTTATCGTATATACTATCTTCATCAGCTGGTATCACTATGGTTGCAGAATTGTGAGAGGACTTTTCAAATGGAAGCAATTGCTCAGAGGCAACAGTCTCGGCATTAAGTGACGACGATGTCATCATTCTCAAGCCACCTTTGTGTAAAGGAGGAACAAATGCTGCACAAATTTTTGGGGAGCACAAATGGGACGCGAGTGTGAAACCAATAGTAGCCGTATACCCAACCAAGCGCCGAAACCGTGTCAATCGCATCATTCAGTTGCTATTACTGTACGGTATGATTACGATGATGTTGTGAGATGTTTTGGGAAAACACAGTAAAATATCATTCGTCATATTAAAAGTCGATTCATTCGAATCGAATCACTCGACTGGATCAATCTATTCTGAATTGGCGGGGGCAGGAACGAACGAGAGTACGAGTACCTGGTACTGTGCCGGTACTTCTTGGGACGTACACTGTAGTACTGGTATTTGATTGAAACACACCGTTGAATCTACCTGCTGAAAGGATACCTTTGACAGGAAGTAAATGATACGGTACATTCATTGATCTTAATAAACTGTGGGCAAGAGGCATTTCGACCTACTGGAAAATAATCTATCTTATTTTATATAATACATATGATCGACATAATCCTATTTCAAATGGATCTGGACAATTAGAAATGGAATGATGAAGCGAGAGTGGCTACGATCTTGCGTTGCAGTTACGGCTCAAGCTTATTGTCCTGCTTCGAGATTGGGGCGGCTCTCTTGATATTCAAGGCCTTGAGAATATCAATGGAGGCCATGTTATCCTCTCCATGCTTATTTCCTGGCAGTTTCAGTTCGTCTGGAATGTCACAGTCCTGAGGGTATCCAAATGAATGCAAGAAATATGAGAAACACATAAAGGGCAAATGCTATTTCACGACATAACTATTACAGTACTCACATCAATGCCTGCAGCGCATGGCATACTCTTGAGCCATTCACTGGCTACAAAGCTGGATTGGTAGACGGCATCCATGGAGCAATCATCGTCATAGAGATCCTGCCAGCAGGGATTGAAGTTGTCATCTGATAGATGATTTCGCAAGAATGACTGAGTCTTTCGAATGGAGCTTTTCTGTGCAATCCAGCCGTGTGTGACCGACAGTAGGGATGTTAGAAGAATGAGCTTGATCATATTTGAAATGTTGACTTTGGTATTGGTTGGATTGGTTGTTGCTTGTTGCTTGTTGTGGTTGGTAAATTAATGGGATGACCAGTGTTCTCTTATGACGAGAACGACTCGCTGAAGAACTTGATCTTTGGTGTGATCGACATCTTCTCTCTCCCATAAGTATATTTTTCGACGTGTCAAATCTATCGGCATTCCCGAACCCGCCCTCACAAAATCTCCGGCCTTCGCATTTCGACAATCGTCAGACAAAAATGAAAAAATGCATGATCATGACATAATTTACTTTTATTGAGAAATCAACACACATCCACGAAGACAACAACAACAACAATGTCGTCAGTTACAGCTACAAGTCCAAAGAAGGATCCACTATTCGAACAAATGATGACTCCTTCAACTGGTGAAAATGTCCAAGATCTTCCGCTCCACAACTACTACTCCGAATTCCGTCTCGGTCAAGGAGATCCCCTCCTCAAGTCAAGTATGGAGGGATGGTCATGTACGACTGTCGACGGCAAGGAAACAAAGAAGCCACAAAAGGAGGTTCTACATCTTGACCACGGAGAAAATTCCAACGTTCTCGCATTTCCAGCTGCTTCAGCAGTTGGATTTCCAAACGAGACTGCCCTTGCGGCCCCACTCCAGAGCCCCGCATCATTGCTTCAAAAGTAGAGCTTGGAGTAATCAAGGAGCATCCCACTGCAACCATGCTTTTATTGCATCGCAGCTGTTTACCTACTAGTATCAGAACCAAAAAAACCAGAACAAAAAACGAACCCAAAAACAATAATCACAGTGTAGGAATATTTATTCAACCGACCGTCAGCTTTTCGCCAGTATATATATTAAAGGACAAAAGTGTTGATTCTGGAGCGCATAATGGAGAAGAATACGGGCCTTCGTGTTGGCCGTTCGCTGTACCGGTAGCAGACGATGAGGAGAGGACGAGCGACTGGCCTGCAGCATATGGTTCCATTTCCTTTTCCACAAGTCCGACAAAGCGCCCAATCTTCTTCAGTCAAGCGGAACAATTACTAGACCAAAGTCAAGTCAATTATTATAATCTGCCTAACTTCCATCTATTGTGACTTGGCGACAACCATGTGCGATCATCTGGAATCATTCTGTGACATTTAGGGTATGAAAAACTCCCCTCCCTAAACAACACAGGTTTCAAAATCAATCGTACGTCCGTCTCCCTTCACCACCAACCTCCGCAGCTGCGATGATGCACCTTTTGGCATTATAGGTTTACTGAGTGTATAGCCTTTTCATTAACATGTCGTCAACGAATTCAAACAAGAACGAGAAATCCGACGATAACGGAGGAGGCCGAGGCGTCAAATTCGGTACCGATGTAGTCTACGATGATTCTTACGCAGCTGGTGGGGATGAATCGGAATACGTTTCCTCGTTGCCAACCGAGGAAGAAGAGAGGCTTATGCAAGCCAAGGGTGTCAGTGAGCGTGAGGAATTAGATAATTTTGATGAAGGACGTGTGAGCAATCATCCAAGTACCCTTGCAGCATCCAGGAACAGCGCGGTACGTAGACGTGACCCAACATATCAACATCACTTTCAGATCAATCGTGCTCACACTCTAGCTTTTGTTTATCAGGAAGACAAGGGGGATGATCTCGATCCTTTTGCAAATGCTACGGGAGGTTCAGGTCTGGTCAATACAAGAATTTCGGATAGGGAGAGTGAATACCAAAGGCGCCGCAACAATCGAGTCTTGCGGGAAGATGGTCTCAGCTTCAAGGATGCAATGAAGCAAGCAAATGTAGAAAAAGAAAAAGACGAATTGATCCGAGAAATCAAGAAAGACCTTGATGAACAAGCTGAGCAAGCTCCAGGAGAAACACAGGGCGAGGAAATTTCAAAAGAAACAAAGGAAGAGGGCACAGTGAAGAGACGCAAGCGAAGGTGGGATCAAGGTTCTGGGACACCAAACACTACTACTGCTGAAGCGGACGCAGCGATGGTTTCGGACTCGGAAACTGTCGAATCCTCCAAGGGGTCCAAGTGGGACGAGGAAGCACCCGGCAAGTCTAGGAGGCGTAAGCGTTGGGACGAGACCCCGGTGTCTTCTTCTGTCTCGGCTGCAACACCTCTAAACGCTCCAGGTGCCACACCTGTCTCGAGTTCCGCAAGAAAGTGGGATGAAACTCCAATGATCGGCGGAGGAGCAGCGGTTACCGCTACACCAGTGGCGGGGGCTGGACAAAAGAGCAATCGCTGGGATGCTACGCCAGTGGCTTCCACAGTGCAACCCGGAGTTCCTCAGACACCCTTGGGAGGAAATCTCAAGGCACTTGCTCTTGAGCGAGAGATGGAATCTAGAAACCGACCTTGGTCAGATGCTGCACTAGATGCGATTCTGCCATCCGAAGGCTATGTAATCATTTCGCCACCTCAGAACTATATTCCTCTCCGAACCCCTGGTCGAAAGCTGCTCGCTACTCCAACACCAATGGCAATGACTCCTCAAGGATTCCAAATGGAAATTCCCGTTGAACAAAGACAAGATGCTTCTGTACAGGAGATTCGGGAGGCATACGGTGTCCCATTAGCTGCAACGGCCAGTGAGACCGGAGATGCAAGCGCATTGCCTTACATCAAGCCCGAAGATATGCAATACTTTGGAAGACTCATGGAAGATACCGAAGAAGAAAAATTGAGTAAGGAAGAAGTCAAAGAGCGACAGATCATGGCGCTACTTCTGAAGATCAAGAACGGTACTCCCCCACAACGAAAGACGGCAATGCGCCAAATATCTGACAAGGCCCGAAGTTTTGGTGCAGGATCTCTGTTCAATCAAATTCTACCCTTGTTGATGAGTCCGACATTGGAAGATCAAGAACGCCACTTGCTGGTGAAAGTGATTGATCGTGTTCTCTACAAACTAGACGACCTTGTGAGGCCATATGTCCACAGAATCCTAGCTGTGATCGAGCCACTCCTCATCGACGAGGACTACTATGCTCGAGTGGAAGGCCGAGAAATTATTAGTAACTTGGCAAAGGCAGCAGGTCTTGCGACTATGATAGCAACAATGAGACCAGACATTGACAGTCCCGAAGAGTACGTTCGAAATACAACATCACGTGCTGTTGCGGTTGTTGCAAGCGCTCTTGGGATCCCATCTCTTCTTCCATTCCTAAAAGCAGTATGTCAGTCACGAAAATCGTGGCAAGCTCGTCACACTGGAATCAAGATCGTGCAGCAAATTGCTCTTTTAATGGGTGTTGCAATCCTTCCATATCTTCGAGAGCTGGTTGAAATCGTCAGTCACGGTCTTGTGGACGATATGCAAAAGGTTCGCATCATCACTGCCTTGACTTGCGCCGCCCTTGCCGAGGCTGCCCACCCGTACGGTATCGAGAGTTTCGATTCTGTTATCCGACCATTGTGGAAGGGAGCGTTGGATCATCACGGAAAGGCACTCGCAGCTTTCTTGAAGGCTGTTGGTTTCATCATCCCGCTGATGGAAGAAAGCTACGCCAGTCACTATACAAGACTGGTCATGCCTATTCTTCTACGAGAGTTTCATTCTCCAGATGAAGAAATGAAGAGAATTGTTCTGAAGGTCATTCAACAGTGTGTTGCCACAGCTGGAGTCGAGCCAGACTACATTCGAACTGAAATCTTGCCAGAGTTTTTCAAGAACTTTTGGATCCGCCGTATGGCACTCGATAGGCGCAACTACAATCAAGTCGTTGAGACTACAGAAGAACTTGCTAACAAGGTTGGATGCTCTGACATAATTAGTCGAATCGTTGACGACCTCAAGGATGACTCTGAACCTTATCGTCGCATGGTGATGGAAACTGTTAAGAAAGTACTTGAGAACTTGGGTGCCGGAGATATCGATGAGCGCCTCGAGGAGAGATTGATCGACGGTATTCTTTATGCATTCCAAGAACAGGCAGTTGATGCCAGTGTGACTGGTGCTGGTAACCTTGGCAGAGAAAGTCAGATTATGCTTGATGGCTTTGGGGCCGTGGTGGTAGCCTTGGGAGTACGCTGCAAACCATACCTCAAGCAAGTCGCAGGAACTGTCAAATGGCGTTTGAATAACAAGGCTGCGACTGTGAGAATGCAAGCGGCAGACTTGGTTGCTCGTATTGCTGTTGTCATGAAAGCCTGTGATGAGGACCAGTTGATGGGGCATCTCGGAGTTGTTCTTTACGAGTACCTCGGAGAAGAATACCCAGAGGTTCTTGGTTCTATCCTCAGTGCATTGAAAGCAATTGTAAACGTTATTGGTATGACACAAATGACGCCTCCAATTAGAGATCTGCTTCCTCGATTAACACCGATCTTGCGAAACAGACACGAAAAGGTGCAGGAGAATTGCATTGACTTGGTTGGTCGAATCGCTGACCGAGGAGCAGAGTTCGTTTCTGCCAAGGAATGGATGCGAATTTGCTTCGAACTGCTCGAGATGCTCAAGGCTAACAAGAAAGCAATCCGTCGGGCCGCTGTCAGTACGTTTGGTTTCATTGCTCGAGCTATCGGTCCGCAAGATGTCCTCCACACGTTGTTGAACAACTTGAAGGTTCAAGATCGTCAAATGCGTGTTTGTACTACTGTTGCTATGGCCATTGTTGCTGAAACTTGTGGACCTTTCACTGTTCTCCCAGCTCTGATGAACGAGTACCGAGTGCCAGAAATCAACATCCAAAACGGTGTGCTCAAAGCAATGAGCTTTATGTTCCAATACATTGGAGACATGGGCAAGGATTATGTCTATGCTGTGACACCGATGCTTGAGGATGCGCTTGTTGACAGAGACCCAGTCCATCGTCAGACTGCTTGTGCTTGCGTCAGGCATTTGGCACTTGGTGTTTCTGGACAAGGATGCGAAGATGCTTTGATTCATTTGTTGAATCACGTTTGGCCGAATGTTTTCGAAGAAAGTCCCCATGTGATTCAGGCCTGTTTCGATGCAATCCAAGGCCTTATGGTTGCACTTGGTCCGAACGTAATCCTCCGATACGTGTTACAAGGATTGTATCACCCTGCTCGGAAGGTCAGAGAGGTCTATTGGCGTGTATTCAATACGCTATACATTTACAAAGCCGACGCTTTGGTTGCAGGGTATCCCGTCGTTGAGGATGAAGAAGAACACACATACAATCGAACATCGCTTGAATTGTTCATCTAGACGCGATCTCACTTCATTCTTGCTTTGATGGTATCTCTCTCTACAGAATGAAACAGCAACAAGACTTGGGTGGTGCGGCATTCTTTCAATACGCTTCGCTTTCATGCCAAGATGTGGAAATGAAAGCCACAGCACCCTGTTTTGCGGCCGTTTCAACTAGCAAATTAAAAATAGAACATTTTGTATTATACTAGTACATTTCTAGATTTTTTTCTTTCCACTGCCTAATCAAGCTCAAGCTTCAGCTCTACTCCGCACTCTTCAACGCTGCTTTCATCCGTCGCCACTAGTGATAACCAATGGGTGTCATTGGACAGTGACAACTCCGCTTTGTCCATTGAAAAGTCGAAGGATTGATTGCTCAATGGCGATGTAGTGTTCAAACGATCAAGTTTTCCCCCTAATGGCGTGTCTTTCGTAGATTGAATTGGTTCTCTTCGATCCATTTCCTCGTCAGAGGGGTACCCTTCGTGGTTAGAAATACCAAAGCGGAAAATTTTGTCGGGTTCGCAGCCATTTTCTTTCGGCCCTTGTCGTACAAGCTTTCGAGACTTGTTGCAGTCCAATGCGCTTGTATTCTGTACCTGGTTCGCTACAGATTGAAGTATACTCTTTCCCATGCAACTTGTGTCAATTCGTGGGGCACTTGGAAATGGCAACACGCGAAATGGTTTTGAAATTTGATGTCGAAACATCTCCATCCGAGCATGTGTCGAAATTCTGTTGCTTCCGAATACATTGCAAGTGAATCTTCGCTTCGCATCAGAGTCATTTTCAGCTTCGTCATCATCATCACAACTTTCCACAGCCGTCAGTTGCGACTTCATCGAAGCAAATGGTGGAAAAAATTCTGGGTCTCGAAAGGGACCATGGCTGACTGGGAGAACAGCCGGAGGTTTGAATACGTTGTGATTCCTTTGCCTTGTTTTTGGTTCCAAGCCAGCATCACAGTTCCATCGTTTGGGTGGACTCAAAACAACTTCGTCTTCCGAGTATGTCAATGAAGCTGCAGTCAAGGAACCAACAGAAATAGAGTCACCGTCCACAAAACATACATCTCTTGGGACCATAGAATTATCGTGATAAGGCATTGCTTCAATACGGCAAATCAATGGATCAACATCTAATCAGCAGAATGATATTCGATTGAGTTTGTGACAACGACTTGGAATTTTCTGAGAAAACCAAACTACACGTGTACCGATATATGTAGGCGGAGAATTCATAGATTTTCTAATTACCATGCACCAAACTGTCGAGTCGACGAGCAGTGACAGGCAGGCGCGCCTTACATTTATGGATCCGTCTTGGTTTCCGCGACGGTTTTATGGTGCGATGCCCGTTACAAAGACCACGATCCAGGCTGGAGCACGAGTCACACAATCGGAGGGGACAGGAATATACGAGTGATGAACTCCACCTACTTCTAAGCAATGTGACTCCTAAAAGACTAATATAGCTATCTGAGTCGATTCAACAGAAGTTGGTGCCCCTGGAAAACATTATACTCCACTTTTTGTCTTTGCAACTCAACTACCACCTCTTGTTCGGAGTTTAGTAAATCCACGATGCATAGGAATGCTGGTAGCGGATCACCTGCTGGGCATTAGGAGCCATATGCAGTTTCCATATCCTGCAAAAGCATTGCCCACAATCGCTGCTTTGTCTCCAACTTCGCAACCATTTCCGAACGATATTCATTTTCGTGCACTCTAGCATTTGAAGATGCATTTGGTGTGAGATTTTCGGTTCCACCTCCTAGAGACTGCAGTCCTGGTGCTTTTAGTTGCTCTTCAAGGAGTGATTCGATGATCTCGATCCTTTCCTTCACATTGCTGAGCAACTCCTGAAACACATGCGTTTCTCGACGGAGTGCTCTGTCAGCGAGGAGATATTTTCGCTTCAACAAGGCGGCCAATAAGTTGGATCCCCCGTTGCTTGATTGTGATAGACCGGTACGGTAGCTTCCAGAGAGAAACCTTTGACCATACGGCGATTGTTGGCTGGATAGGGGAATAACACTTGATCGGGCAAGAATGCTGTTTGTAACCTCATTTTTCGGCACTGTTGAGGGAGTCAGGGGGTACTGCTCAGCTTGAATATCTTCACTTTGGTATTTTGCTGCTTCATCATGTACGGCTTTGTTTAACTTTACCGCGTTTACCAGTCCTCCCAATTGCCGGCGCTGCTTTAGGAACTGTTCAATAGTCCCGAACACATCTTCTTGCACTTCGCCATCATCTTTTACATCCACCAAATCATCACGTTGTCCCTCAAACTGAGTTTCTAGGGAATCAGCGGTATACAGTGAGCGGAGGATTTGGAGGTGAAGCCGAAGAAAGGAATTCTTGGGTGTGGTTGGAATGAAACTTTGCGGATCTGCAAAGCTGCCGTTGTTTTCGACTAGAAGAGACCGTTTTGCTAATTTCACCTGCCCATCCCCACTCTCATTGAACTCTGATCTTCCTCGTTTTCTTGATTGCTCTGTAATGTCTGCCATTTTTTGATCTTTTGGGTGCAATACCGACCCTGGTAAGTTGATTGAAGAATGAAACCATCGTTGCTGAATATTGGTTGGCCGTTAACGGAACGTTATTTCTTCTCAGGTGTTCGACAACGCGTTGCCCATGTCAATCGGAACACAACAACAAGAATAACTGGAACATACAGTACTTTAGAATCAAACATGGGAGAAACAAAGAAGAAACAGCAACAAGCAAAGGCAGACATTGACCAGAAGTTTGCAATGGCCCGTCCAAATCGGCAAATTTTGGAGGATCTTGCGGTATGTTAGCGTCTTTCTTCGAAAGTATCAGAATTCTGGAAGAAGCCTCACCTCAATCGTGCTTTTGATCTTTAAATCACCAATTGAATGTTTTCCACAGGTTGCCTGTGCCAAGGATCCATCTCCTGATAATACCTTCCAATATGCATTTTGCCTTTCCAAGTCACCAGAGAGATCTGAGTTGCGTTATGCCATTACGATTTTGGATGGGCTTGTCAAGGAAGGATACGAACATCAAATGGATTGTATGTATGGTGGAGCATGCGCCTTTTATCTTCTAGAGGACTACGACAGATGTAGGGTAAGTCAAAACTATGTGACTGAGGAGGCTTCGTGTCCCACAACTTCTATCCACAACCTCTTCTAACCATGGTGCTGATTCAGGAACGCTGTGAAAACATTCTGCGGTCGAATCCTGAGAGCCGGCTTACAATGGAGCTTCATCTCGCATGCATCGAAGCAAAGGAACAGAAGGAAGCAGAATTGATGAAGAAGACTGCAATTGGAGGTGCCGTTGCCATGGGAGCTCTTGGTGTTGCAGGTGCAGTGGCCAGCGTCTTGTTGGCAAAGAGATAGGTGTGAAGAGGAGAGAAAAGGTTGTCACTTGTATCATGCATCTGTCGAAATAAATAACTTGGCAGGGCACAAACGTCATGAAAACACTATGAAAAGTACTTTGCATCATTTATCAAGCTAAATGTGGTTACTATCGTTACAAGGTGGTGTGCTTATTGGTTTGGCATTTTTCATACAGTCTGCCTAGCTTCTAGATTCTCCATCAATCACATTTTGGAGGAACCACATTCCCACAAGCGACAAGGATGATACAACCCCGGCGGTTAGCAGTCCAGAATCTTCGATCGCTTCCTTGAGCAACTCGAATACAGCCACCCATGCCATAGCTCCACCTGCAAAGCCCAACCCAGCCGGTAGAACAGGAATAAAGTGGTGAACAAATTCATAAGCTGGAACTGCCATGAGTGGTTGAGGAACACTCGTCAACACAGCCCACACCATTGCCGTCAACAAACTGGTCCCGCGTGGCATTAGTGTAACAGCCATCGCCAATCCCTCTGGAATGTTGTGTACAGCAAGACTTGCAGAAATAAAGACACCAAGCTCACTACCGTGAGAACCACCGAAACTGACGCCAATTCCAACTCCTTCAGAAAAGGAATGAAGGGTCATAACGAAGAAGATCAAGAACGCACGCTTCGCATCTGCACCACCAAGACCACCGATGCTCAGATCCTCATAATCAGCCAAAACTCGCTCAGTCACATTGATGAACAAAAGGCCAATTACTGCCCCTATGCCTGTTCTCACTAAAACCGATAACTCCGATGTATCCTTTGGATCTTCAAAGTTGCATCCCTCATGTACCAGAGAATAACTAGCCGCAATCATCATCCCAGCAGCAATAGCTATAATGCCGAGGAATGTTAGCACACAGTAGATGAAAAAGGACGCAGTACACAATGCTAAGGCTTTCAAAACGTACAATTCGATATTCCAACCCAGTAAGAAGCAAGGTTTGGGGCAAATGCTAATGGTATAGCGCCGATTCCGGTGCTAACAGCTGTCAACCATCCATAATAAAAAACGTGTTGTATTGAAGGCGCTTCCCCATGAGGTGGCTGCAGGGGAGTAGGCATGGCATAATAGGTGATAGCCGCACATATTATAAGGGCAAAATAAACCCAGGTCTCCGTCGGATGGACTGTTGTTTTCTTGCTTTTCTCTGTTGTTTCTGAAGTCATATTTTCTTTCTAAAGGTGCTTTGAAAGACCAAGAAACACTGTCCTGTTCACTAAGATTCGTATTGTCGCTTCAATCACGGAACAAAAAAATGGTGACAAACAAACAACAATCTTGTGTTCAATTTCGCGACCTTTTTGCTACAAATTGACTGGCGAGCGCGTTATATCTCTCTGATTGTTTGGCGGATACTGTGACGACCGAAGCCTCGATTGAGCGATGAACAGAGGGCCGTTGATTGGGACAGCACTGTCCTCTGTTGTTTGTGTTCAGCATTTGCCTCTCAACGTCAGCTGGGTTAGGCAGGACAAGCATCCAGACGGTCAAAGAACTATCGAAGTACGTTTTGATGTGTCAATCGTCATTCGGCCACGCACATCAGAACAAACTCATCATGTTGACATTCTTCTGATCACAAAAAATTGCCATAATCGATCTAATATTGAAACATCTGAACAATGAGTCAATCAAAGTTGGTATTCCTATTCGCTGTGCTAGTCCTCTGCTCAACTAGTGTCCTCGGTTTCAGCAGTCCTCAATTGAAAATTCGCCAAGATACCAGCTTGAACATCTTCGGAGGACTCAAGGGTGCATTTGCTAATGAAGAAATGGGTGCCAAGAAGAACGAAGGCCTTTCCAATGGACCAAATATCAACGATAATGTGACTGTCAATGGAAAGGCTGTCCAAGGAGCCGTTGTCGGACAAAAGATTACTGTTGTTGCCGGTCGAGCCCGTGTCAAGATTCCCGTGAACTGCCAAAAAGGAGACTGTGGAACATGCATGGCGATGGTCAACGGGAAGAAGGTGAAGGCTTGCCAAACAGCCTTAGGCGCTGGAAAGTGCACTATCAAGACCTTGTAAGGGGCGAAAATTATAACCGATAGAATATGAGTGTTTCTTCAATCAAAGCCTAGGGTCTAGTCTTCACAAACACATCACTAGGTTATCTTGATTGTACAAAATTGGACTGAAGTTTCCATATCAATTGCCAGGCCACCGGAACTCTTTCCATTCTCCGCAACCATCTGAGTTAGCTTTGCCAAGTAAATGGTGTTTCCAACACATATTTTAGCAAGTTGGCGCAGGTCATTCTCGCTAGCTGAGACGAAGTCTGAATCTATAACCTTCAGTTGCGACTCCAGCTTATCAACCATAGTCTTGCTCGTTTTGAAACATTCTGAAGCCGAATTGAGTAATTCCTTTTGATCCACACTTGAGAAATCTGATCCTTGCTTGTAGTCTGCATAGGTGAGAGGTGGAGGTTGTGGCATCACTTGGAACGCCTCGAATCGCTTCTCGAATATCTTTTCTTTTGAAGTGAACTCAAAGTCTATCTCCTTAATGAGGCCTGCTTGATTTACAGCTGCCATAAACTGCAACAGAGAATGATGTTAGCTGGTCTGCGCGTCGAGACAAACAACGGCTCGAATGCTACTTACTCTGACGGTACCTCGACATAGACCCCTTCTCAGATTCATGAGGAGGAATTCGTAGTCATCCTCGATGTCCTCAGCTGTGGGTAAAGCTACAGTGTTGGCTGCCTTCTTGTTGTGCTTGCCGCCTTTCTTCTTCCCTCTTTGTATTTTGCTCTTGGCTTCAGCCATTTGCGCCTCTGCGGCTTTGTGTGCATTCTTCAATTGACGAATGGTCGAAAGCTGCGTTATCAGTGACGAAAGCAAGTAGTCTCTGTACCAGTACACAACCGCTATTTCATACTCCGAGCAGAAAAGATCCAACTCAAGGCCGAGGGCTACCGTATGATCCATCAAAAAAATTGATATGGTCAATGCATATAGAGTGAAGTAGGGCGCAGCTCCGGGGTTTTCCTGCTTCAAGGCACTATCCACCAACTGTGCCTCTTGAATCAGTGTTGTCCAGTCGATCAACATGACAGCATCGATGTACGCTCGTTGTCGTTGACGATTCAATACCATAACCTTCAGTATATCGTACATTGGTTTTGCCATACGTGTAATGAAGGCCCCAGAGTATTGGTTGTTGAAAATTGTGTCTGGTAAGTGGAACTGTCGTTGCATGCTCTTTGTGATCAAAGCAGGAAGAGGATGTTGCCCAAAAATCTTCTCATCAAAGTACAAATTCAGGACAACCAACGATTGAATGAGAATGTTCAGCTCTGAAACGGAGATCACGAATAGCATTCGTCTGATTCTATCAAGTGAGTCACCCTTGAGTAGCATTCGGCACAATGCCCAATCCAGATCACGTGTAAATTTCACAAAGAATGACATGGTGTCTGGGAGCGTTTGAAAGCGAATGGCTCTGACAGGAGCATTACCAACAAGAGGCCGATTCACATGCGAATCGAATACTCTGCGAATGGTAGTTTTCGCCGAGTCTGGTTTGCGCTTTTCTAACCTTTCAATAGTCGGGCAGAGCTTTTCCAGAGCTTGAAGCGATTGTTTTGCCATTCTTTGCACCTTCTCGATAGCCTGTCGTACATTTCCCCCGTTCAAACGAGCCATGGTAGTGCACATCGCCAAGAGATCCAATTTATACTTCAACAGTTGCGCTATGACGTCAACTTCGTCTTTATCTTTGTCATCGACTTCAGAAACCATGTACTCAAGCGTGTTTGCGACTATATTCACAACCGAACCTTCATCTCTGTCATTGAATACGTCTATACTGTACGTGCTGACAGTAAAGTCTTCTTCTTCGTAGATATCCGCATTGAGAATGATACTCCGTATTGAATCAGTAAGTTCCAATATAATTAGTGTTGAAGCATATACGACGTTTTGGGCGAGAGTCCCTTTCATCGACTGCTTCTCTTTCCCATCGTCGTTCGAAACAGGTCCAATTAAACGTTGTTTCATGTCTGTAACCACAGGTTTGTGTGCATATAAACAAGTATATGTGCTCTCCACAACCGAGGCTCCACCAAGTAGCGATTCCAATCGGATCATATTTTCTACCAGTATGTGAGCTGCATCCAAATTTGTAAGCCCATCCCAAGGAAGTGGATCAACAGCATCGTCAAGTCCCGTTGGCACAGGCCGCGGAAATACTAAACGGTCATTATTGTCGTCCACTTTTACACCAAAAGGAGCGACCTCAGAGATCGGAATTTCACAACAATCCATCTTTGGGTCCATGACTTCTAATGCGGCCATGGCATCTTGAAGGTTGAACCTATCAGTGTTGCAAAGCATCGGATTAGATACTGTTAGAGATTTGGCTGCATCATCCAATATGGTTGTAATATCAACCATCTCCTTTTCAGCCTCCTCTGGTATTTCGTCCATGTCGTCGGAGCTGGTGTCGCTCATTTTCACTTTTGTTTGTTTGTGTAAATTCAGCCTCATTTTCTTCATCTTCTGAGACTGAGATTCAATCGAACAGGTCGGGCGTATACGTGGTGGTGGACAGATGAGATTTTATTTAGTTCTTTTGCGCTATCGAAGATAGCCAACTGGCGCCTACCGCCTGGTTTCTTCCGTGAGGGATTCTTTCTTGGTGTGACTCTGGTGGGTTGTGGTGTGAAGCTGGTCTTTTGGATTGCGCGCGAAGCGTGCGGTTCCAGAAGACCAGTCTTTGATATCCCGCAAAGCGGAATATCAGAGACTTGCTTGCCTACTAGGTCATGCATTGATGCAAATTGCAGCAATGCATGGCCTAACAGGGATGTGGAGGGAGGGAAAGAAAGAAATAAATGTATTTCTTGAAGTTCGATAAATTGATCGGACTTGGTGTTGCGGAGCAATGATGTTGAGACGGTCGTTCGACCGTCGTCAGTATGATGAAAGGAATCCAATGATTCGTTCTCGAGCTTTCGTCTACGTTAGACTATCGAAGATAGCCAACTGGCGCCTACCGCCTGGTTTCTTCCGTGAGGGATTCTTTCTTGGTGTGACTCTGGTGGGTTGTGGTGTGAAGCTGGTCTTTTGGATTGCGCGCGAAGCGTGCGGTTCCAGAAGACCAGTCTTTGATATCCCGCAAAGCGGAATATCAGAGACTTGCTTGCCTACCAAAAGTTGATGATCATGGTGTAATCAACCAACCACCACAACACACGAGACGCCATAGAAGAAACAAGATGGAAGAAAACAGGAAGAAATAGGAAAGAAGAAAGATCGGAAGGAAAGATGGATCTAAGAAGAAGGAGAAGAAGAAGAAGAAAATGTCAACTTCATTGCCCCTTGAATTGTTCGCTCAAGCGTGTCACCAATGGATTGAAAGCAGTCGCGGAGGTAGGTGGGCACAGAGCTCGGAAGCCAGCGTAATCGAAACGCGATTTCGTCATTATTGGCTCCACCTTTTTGTAAGCACACTGCTGCGGTGACCCGATTGGAATGAGGAACAATTAGATGCCGGTTAATCCGCATATAGTGGTTTGGATTGGGATATGCCAAATCAACGGAACGGCGCATCACTTCAGAGACCTCCCTGGATTTTAAGAAGTGATAAGAAGACATGGTGCCAGAACTCCATACGCCAATAGGGCAAGTGCCAGGCACACCAAGCATTGTCTTGCGACGAATGATACAAACAGCAGCATCGACAGGACAGTAAATTTGGTGGCCAGTGATCTTGAAGCGCTTCTTCACAAAGTTGAAAGCACTCTTATCATAACGCCAACAAAGCTCAAGCCACACAACATCACCACGGTTGTATCGTGTTACCAGATGATGGTGTGGGATCAACACATAATCCTTGTCAAAGAAACGAAAATCGATAGCCATCATAGCAAGTGGCATTCCCCGGAACGCTTTGGGAACATCATTTTTGTGTGGGATTGTATTGAACAGTTTTCCACGGTCTAAATCGCCTTGAGAATATTCACTGGCCCGAAAACCAGTGAAAATACCTAAGCGGGTCCAATCATATACACAGTGTACCTTACCAAGGAATGTGGCAGTGGGATCTGGTGAGTTAGCAAGCCATTGTTGCAACGCAACAAACATTTCCATGGTAAATGGTTCGTATCGTTCATTTTTCTGTTGCCAACAACGACGATCATGAATTTGCTGAAAGAGAAATGGGTGATACCGATTTTGCTTGCCGCCATAAGCAGGATCCATAACTTGGATAGGGCGACCTAAGCGATATTGCAAGTATTTGTGAGCTGTTGACAAATAGTTACGAAGTGTATCCGCTTTCAAATCCTCTTTTTCTTTGGAGTTGTCACCTCGTTTGACATCACGAAGATAAGTGCCAAGTACAAGGATGCAACCGGCATCATCTAACTTTTGTAAATCGTGCTCGGAAAGTTCTTGTCTGATGCACCAATTGGCAAAAAATTGGGCTCGAGAGTCAAAAGATCTGTCGTTACGCGCCCGTACTGATCCCCTGTCGGCGGTTCTTTCAGCGTCAATGCAATCTTGGACAGCAGTTCGAAAGGCAGAAGGCAGATGCGACATGTCTGTAGTTGGGACCATTCCGCGATAACGGAGGCCAATGAATTCTCGTGATCTTTTCCTTGAAGTTGTGGTCGACTTAGGGCGTCCGCTGCTCCGTTCTGATTTCCAGGATGATGTTTGGGACAAACTTTCATGAGTAATTGAGAGGCTTCAACAAGCAATGCAGAACCTATTCGAGCCAGTCCCTGTAGAAGAGGATCTTTTGTCCTGGATGCTGTCGACATCCAAGACACAGCCGTTGTATTATCGATCAATAAAGCTAAAATGTAGCCCCCATCGATGGGGCCGAGAAGTATCACACATTTGATGCAGATCCAAAGGTTGATGAGTGCACCCAGATATTCCAATGGGTTGATGTGTAAGAAACCATCAGGTAACGCTGGGTCATTAGATGAGATTTTTATTTCACGCATCTCAAAACCTGCTTCGACAAGAGTATCACGGGTCAGGCGCCAGAGGAAACTGAAATCAGCACTCCAGCCACCCAAGCCACCATAGCTTGCGTCGGAATATGCACGATGAGTGTAGTCACGATCCAGGTACAAAGCGATAGGCCGAGACCAAAGTGGGCTGTCCTCAGGCGCCAATAATGTCTCCAACAGTTGATGGATTGTAGCAACTGCCACACGCGATAGGTAGATACGAGAACATGTCCACCAGCTTCGTTTGTCGGAGAAGGCATTCTTGGCAGCCTGTGTCAGTGCATTTTGCAAGTTAAAGCTCAAGAAATTGCCCCATGGTGCAATTTCAGATGCAGATCGGACAATACCAACAATCTTTGCCATCTCACGAGGAGAAACGCAACGTGGACGACGTTTCAGGATGTCCAACAACTGTGAGTGCAAGTCTTCCCGTTTGTAGAGTGGCCAAGAAACCGTCATATTGTGTGTATTGATACGAAATCCTAGAAACAAAAAGGTTTCTGTAACCTCAGGTTCCCACTTTTTGTCCTGGAGGCAGTCACCACGGCGCTTATCACCATGACCAAAAACCTCAAAGGCAGACATCACACTGTGATTGATTGCTTGCTTGATATGTTCAGCAAAGGCGGCAACTGCATTGTCGTCAACATAGCTAGCATTGTACATTCGAACAAGTTCGGTCACAGACAACGGTGGGTGATGGGAATCAGCAGGGACCGTGCACAAAGGAGTAGAAGTATCAACGGCAATGGTACATTTACGGACCAGCGCATGTAATTTGTCCAAAGGAACATCAACACGACAAGTTGCCAAGACCTCCCGTAGGTCGGCAAGAACACAGTAGAATGATGGAGCATTCCTTGAACCAAACACCTGGCCCACTGGGACAATCAAGTAGTCTGAGTATACATATGCAAATGCCACAGCTACATCTGGATGATAAAGCACACGTCGAAAGGCGGCTTCAATATCGTCAGCATGAACCAAAATAGGACTTGTCGGTTTGGTGATGCGCATACGGAGAACTTGACGTAGAAACCTCTTGAACGCAAACTGGTAGTGGATTGGAGGGCACTGCTCACCGGACTTATCTTGCTTTGGTTTGGGGATATAGGTGTTGATTGATCCTAAGTCGTCAGGACCATTGGAACAGTCAATGCAAATCCGACCTTTACCTTTGTCAAAAACCCACTGGATAGGATTAATAACCAGACCTGGGATGAATTGGAACACAAACCGTAAATAGTGAATATGATAAGCCTTCCATTCTTCTTTTGCAAACTTCTCCTCAACTTTGGAAGAATTGGCAGCAACTGCTGGATGGTTATCATATTCTTCTCTAAGGACAGTAGCAGACATAGGAGTTGTGTATTGGGCTTTGATAGGAACACCCTCAGTTTGGATGCGATAAGCCATTTCAAGTTTGAGTGGTGGGTATTCAGCCGGAACCTCTTTGTTATGCAAAGTAGAGTCAATGACATCCCATTCTGCGTTGAAATCTCGATCAGAATTGACGTATTCGCCACCCAACCAACGAATGAAATCCCCATGTAGAAAATCGAAACGAAGAAGACCCGCAGAATTGAGCTTTGCCCGTGTAGGATCCAACCTTGTCGGAATACCCGTTGTTGGTAGAACACGTGGTTCTTTCAAACAAGCCAGCGAAGTGACAGAGGCAAAGCGACGAAGAGAGGCATATTGACGCCACTGAGGCAACGCAATAATCACGTTGTGTCTATCCACTGTCGACAGAAAGCCCCAAGCATAATGAATCATGGATCGAGGGTTGACCTTTGCGTGGGTGCTGTAGCGATCTTTGTGTACTTTTCCAAAACCCCATTGTCTTTTGCGAGTAGTCTTCCAAGGACGAGAGAAGGGAAACTCCAAAAGCAGAGAATTTTTCGCCAAAGCCGGAGTCACCAGGGTCAGCACGTTATAATCTGTTTCATCCAAATAGTTGCTTGCCTGTACCAGGTGGGCAATCAGCATAAATGTCGGCTGAACTTGTCCATTTCCAGGAATATTTTCATGTAGCGTCTTAGTAGGAGTGTTGAATTTCTTTTCTTTTCCCCATGGTAGACACGGCACAGTCTTAAGAGGCAACTCACGAATCGGAAGATATTGCCAGTCCCAATCTCCAGGCCATCTGTTTTTGATCCGAGCTGGTGGTGTCTTGTGAAACCGACGCCTTGGGGGAACCATGATCTTTACTCTGTCTGATACCACTGGCTTGGAGTCGTGCTCCACAAGCTGGGCCCCTTCGGGTACCAGTGGATCCCATCACCAAGTTGTACTTGGAGTCAGTTTCTTGAATGCCTTGCTCGGCAAAATATGATCGTGATACTTCTTTATGAAATCGACAATTGGCTTCCAATCCTCTTCTTTGTAGGTGGCCGCGGACCAACGCGCATCATTCAAATCGATATGAAGACGAGTTTTGCCAGCATAGCGGCCCACCTTGTGGGTCTTACAAGTCCCGGGTTTGGAACAAGTACAATGGCCCTCAAAGGTGGAATTTAAACAGATGGGATACAATGTGTTCTTACCAGAAGTGCGTTTAGCGTGAGGATCCACAATCAAGGGATAGGTGCCCCGTTGGACCACTGGGTATAACATTTCCGACGGAGATTTCTTTCCCAAAGGAGTGACAGTATGATTCCACACAAATAGTGGACTGGTGTTACGAAAGGGAACATTCTCTTTATCATCCCGAGTACGCTCCGTCGTCTTTGGCTTTGGTAGGTCCAAAAGCCGTGAAGGCGCAGCTTTTTCAGGGGCAAAGAAAGGTGAAGAAGACATCGCCCACGAACATTCGTTTGGAGCAGTATACCGACCAGCTCCCCAATTGCGCTGTATGCGAGTATAGTAGTCATGAAGAACATTTACTACACTCTCCGTCTGAGCCATAAAACCTGCACTATTCGTTTTTGACGGCACCGACATAAATACTGCATTACGGTCATTTGTGGGCCACGCATCACTAATACCATAATTTTCCACATCATGTCCAATACGATGGTCAACGAACTTCTTCAGAATGTGAAATAGTTCACTTAAATCGCGAACGTAAGCAGCTGTACACTGTGCAGGTGTCTGAGCCCATCTACGACCCAAATTTGTGTTCAGGACATATTGACATATGTGTCGCAAACAATGACCAAAGAGTGAACTGCAGAAAAGTTCATCATTGTAATCTCCGTTATCCGAAGTTGGGTTTGTAGAGCCCAAGAGTGCAAAATGATAGTATATCACCATTGCAAATTCTTTCATCTGCTGCCAACTTAATCCGTCACTTGGTAGGTAATCAGAAGAAAAGTCTTCCGAAATACAGGGTAGGAATGCTAGCAATGAAAACCGTTTGGACGTTCCTGGTGGTGGAGCGCTGTCAGGATCCACCCACCATGTAGCAATATCAAAACTACGCTTGATGAAGGCGCTGTCCATTACGGACCGCAAATCACATTGTAGCTCTCCAACTTGCGAGAATGTTCCAAATTGGTATTTGGTTCGGTACTCTATAGCCGTACAAACAATATTCGCAGCCACACTGCCATCATTTTTGTAATCAAAACCTTCCAGACATCTACGCCCAATTTCTGTTGGTAGTCCAAATTGGAGAACGTCAGATGCCATTCGATCACCGAGAGATGTTCGCACCATCCCCACCGTAGGAGGGACTGGATGCAACAACCAATATCCAATTGCCTTCAATTCCGGGGGGCAACAAATGCGCTCCATGTCCGAGTTAATACTGGCAGTCCGCACAGGGGTATATTTGGACCGCAAATTTGGCTTGTTTGTGGTGAATCCGGGATGGGCCGGATAATAACCCATCGGATACATTGCACTTCCGTACCCTGCGGGATAAGATAGGTTTGGATGCGAAGCAGTATACATGTGAGGAGAAGGTATCCCTGGCGATGCTGGAAACATCTGTTGATGGTGCATCGGTGTTGGCAACCCAGGCGTCGGCAATCCTGTGTTATGTCCAGCAAACGGGGACGGGCCCCGAGGGGTAGGATCAATTTGGACTCGTGGACCTTGTTGAAATGGAGAATTCCATGTTGAATTGTGGATTCCATTAGGAGGCATACCTTGGGCTGGCGACTGGAGTGGTATGTTTGTACCGTTCATAACACCAGCAAACGGATTACCTCCTGTGGCATCGTGGAAACAATTGGAATTGGGATGATTGACACCCATGTGACGATTTTGCAAAGGAGATGGCGTCACCGCTGGCAGCTGTCTATCCGCAAAAGATTGGGTCCCAGCATGATCTTCAGGTGGCTCATAATTAGTTCCGTGCCCATCTTCGAAATGACCATCCTCAGTAAGGACGATCAAATCTCCACGAGCTGGTACCGGTGTACGAATTGGTGCTTGACGCAAGCTAGGCTTGTGGCGCTTAGCCGCCTGAATGAACTCTGCCATGTCATCATCCACAGGCAGACCGGCAGGTGCTGCACTAGGCAACGGCAACCGTTGGGCAACATATCCTTCAGGATCTTGAGCAGAGGATGGGAGTGGTCGAGGTGTATATTGCAAGTACGATTCCGGAACCTCACTCCCAGGATCTAAATCCAGCAACTTGTACCATTTGGATACACGACCATCCCATGACCTTTCTTCATCTTCATATGGGAAGAGGTAGTTGACAAAGGCTTGACATTCAGCAGGTAAAGTTGTACCCAAAGCTTCAGGAAAGGAATCCGACACACGCATGTTGTGCATCTTGACACGAGCACGCATCTTGAATCCAAGAGGCGACGTTGGCAAAGAGGCACTGCGATAAATGATTTGCATGAGATGGCTTCTGAGGAAACGATCCATTTGTTCTTGGAATGGGGAGAGCAAAGCCTTATCCAAAACTTGATCGTTGTCGAGATCTTCCTTGGTGGGGAAAGAATACCAGAGTGGCATAGCATCCACAACAGGGACAGCAAAACTTGCAGGACTATCTTTAACGGCCGTGAACCAAGATTCAATAATTGGCTTTCGTGTCTTCATTAGATGAAGAAGACCCGAGAAGACCTTTTTCCGATTAGCAATACTATTCTGAAATTCATCAAAACCGCCGCTCGCAGGCCAAACAAAACCCACAGGACAAGCAGACATGGTTGGAAAGAAAAGAATTTTCCAAGCATCACGATTGAATGGTTTATTACCAATTGCATCTCCATCTGTCATCAAAACAGGAAGAAGAGCTTTGGCAAAGTCAATTCGATTGCCCGTCAAAGGGGACGCAAAAGTATGTCCGGACATTGATCCCAACAGAAAATGGGTCTGTTTTGTGGGATCACTAACATACTGGCGCGCAAGATCATTGGTGACAATTTCCCCAAGGGGAGCCGGAGCTCCACACGTATTGGGTTCCAATATATCCGGTTTGGTCAAGACCGGATTGGAAATAAACATAATGTGACATGGCTCTCCATCTTCACCTTTCCTGACCAAAAGGGCAAAACCAGGAGACAATGTTTCTCCATTTCTCAACCGCTGGGCTGTAGTCAACTGAGGATCGTTCCACTTGTCAAACAGTTGCTCCAACTCTTCCATCCGTTGATCCTCGGGCTCCAAATCCTCCGGGCAGGTCACCTGATATACCGGGGTGGTGGTATTGGTGACAGGGTGGCCGAATGATTGATGGATTGTTTTGTCCAATCTCATTCCTCGCCTAGGATTGATGAGTTGATCGTGGATGGTCAAGTCTTTATGGGGCAGACGAGTGAGCTGATCCCAGAAGGTACGGCCGCGGGTTCCATGTTCCGACGCGAAAGCATCAGTCAAGAACTTCATGATGAGGCAGCAAGCAGGGATGGTGCGGCGGAAGGGAAGATGAAAGAGCACTAAAGGTCAGGTGTGATAGAGCGTAAATTCGACAGCTAACACAGGCAGTTTTCGCAGATCAGATCTACTACTCTTCGCCAACAACTTGATTCGAGAGTATTGAAAGAAAGAAATAAATGTATTTCTTGATGTATACTCGCACACAAGTTCGATGAGCAATGATGTTGAGACGGTCGTTCGACCGTCGTCAGTATGATGAAAGGAATCCAATGATTCGTTCTCGAGCTTTCGTCTACGTTAGAAAAAATCGTAAAGTGGAAGTTTGCAAATTCGAAACCGAAAAATGCAGGAACGATACCCTTTCGGTTTCGTCATTCCACGCTCGTTCATGTTCATCAGTTTCTACATAGGTCTTTATGATGACACGATCTAAAGCTTTCGATGGCTGTTGCCATAATATTGGAAGTGAATCATGTCAAGCATCCGTCGACTTTCGGATGAAGATGTGCGAGCTGTCTTTGAAAGCTTGCATGGAGATCATCAACCCCCTCCTCACCTGAACTTTAAGATTGTTCCCGTTGGTCCTACCGCGCTGAGGTTATCCCCACCATCCTATGAATTTGAAGGTGAGTAAATCTTACGGCTCTCGTCTTCTCGCGTTGGCGATTGACTGACATGTTTCCATCGTCCCCAATAGATGGCCTTTACGTGTTGCTCAAGCCCGACAAGAAGAGAAAGAATGCCCGAGATTGGGTCCCCGATCTCTCTATGGTTCCTTCACATTTGAGAAACTTGACCATGACAGACTTTCCGCCGAAAATCTGTCCTTGGAGTCTATCTGGGCCTCAGTTTCCCCAGCCTACAGCCATACAACAAAGATACTGTTATCCAAAGGGAGAACATGAATACTCAAGCAGGAAAGGAGGAGCACTTTGGACGATGTATGAAAGAAACGGTAAAGAGGATCTTCAATTTCGGCTATTGCATGTCTACTTCTCTGCGAAGCGTGCCATCAACAAGGGAGTTGACGTTGCGACAGAGGGAGTGGTCGCAAGCAAACGAACACCAACTTCCACACCTCGTCGAAGAAGAAAAGGAACCCCGAATCGTTCTTCTCAATCACCCTGGAACGAAAAAACTTACCCTCCCCATAGTACACCTCGATCTATCCATACAACCGTCACGGAATCGCCTTTGAACATGCCGGCTCCAGTTACTACGTTTCGCCCATTTGCCATGGCTACAAGCTGGCATCCAGACCAAGATATTTTTGTTTCTCCGTTTACCAACGTGACTGATTTTCTTGGCCAGCCTTTCCACCCTCTTCCTTCTTTCGAGCTTGAATCACTGGATGAGAAAGCCTTCATGGCACCTGAACAATCAGACTTTCAGATGATGGAAAGGTGTTTCCAGGACGACGCCCAGTCTTCCAGTCGCCATGGTACAAAGCGAACAAAGACGACCACCCAAGCTCTGATGGCGAGTGATTCAGCAATAATGGACCTCGAGTCTTCCTGGACTTTAAACTTTGGATACGATTCAGAAGAAGACGCCTATCGGCAAATGGACCGTCGATTGAGCATCATGGGCGAACGTGTCCGAAGCATGGTTGCCTTGGAGACTGACAAGGATCATGCCAGAAGCGCTGTCGTCAATTGGGCCCGATCTATTGAATCAACCACTTTCGACGGTCATTCAGGCTCCCAACAGACTGATCAAGGCCATGATCGCGATGTCATTGATAGCACGTTTTCGCCATTAGAAGATGCTGCTATTTGTCACCTTTGCGCCCGCCTCGGCCCACGGTGGGAGGTCATTGCGAAGCGCTTTCCACGTCACTCAACATTAGAAGTGAAATCGAGATTCGAAACCCTGAGGAAGGAATTCGAATCGGGCCTTGCAAAAATTAATCCTTCAACCGAACTTGCTGAGAGTGCCGAAGCTCTGAAACACTCTGTCCTTTTGAAGGGCCCAAATGCAAACATGAATATCCTGCGATATCTGGCAGACTACATTCTGAAAGAAGATGGCAAAGGAGCAGTAGAGCCACCAACCTCTTTTGGCCCTTTCCGCGTTGCCAAGGCAGCCGAGGCTTGTAAACGGTGTGGGCTGATAGTGCCGTCTTTGCAGACGGGGAGAATCATTTGTGAAAAGACGGGATGGTGCAAAAAGTGTAGCAAACTTTCCGCGATTGTCTACGGGGACTACCTTCGCGAGATTTATCCTCTGAAACCTGCCAAGCAGAGAACAGCGAGCGTTTGATGCATTAGTCTATCATGGTACCTGGTAATCAGTAATCAGAATCATATTAAATATCAATGATTTGTAACTCCTTGTTTAAATCTAACTAGAAACGAAAGTTATTATACGGAACACACAAATGCAAGGAGAAGAGACAATCGTTGGGTAAAAGTCTTTTCGTTCTAGCATTCTAGCTCATTATAATTTGTATGGGCTTAAAGGTAGGCTTGAGTCATGTCGTTTAGGATTCCACAGGTGTTTTCACCCATAGCAACATACGCATAGCCATTCATGCCCCAGCTATTACCCCATTGATTTCGTACAATCCAATATCCTTCTCGAGCAGAGTCATCTTGGCTGCCACTCCCGCTGTTGCCATTGTTTTCTCCATCATTATTGTTAGAGCTGTCGGTATACGCGTAGCCAACAACTTGAACGCAGTGATTCATGTCCAAAAACTGAGTACCGCAACCGAGATCGGATGTGATGATTCCCCCAGAATAGTCTTGCCAAAGGGAAGCTTCCAAACAGACTACAGCGGGGCCATAACTTGCCAGATTTCTGACTGCGGTACTTTCGTCTTGGTCGTCACAGTCACACCCAGAACCATCCGAGTAGCAAATACAACGATCGGTTGCATATCCAAAGCCCTTAATGTTTCCATAGCGACCTTGGCTAGAGTAATCACCATAGTTGTTATTCTCACCACCACCGTCGTAATATTCATCTCCGCTACTTTTGTCATTGTTACCCTCGTCAGCTGCTGGACACACTTCCGACCGCTTGGAAGTGACAGAATCTTCGGTCCAGTAACTGGATGTCCCGCTCAGGCCATACGTCATTTCCAAAAGAGTGTAACTATCATATGCAAAGTTATTGGAAAGCGGAAGTCCGCCATGGTCCATGACGTACTGGTAAGCATTTTGTGGCCAGCCGCCATCACACATGCTACAACTTGTTTCACATGTGATGACTTCGGCTTCTGAGAGGTCGTAGAGATTTCCTGTACCGATGAAGTGTGCCGATTCGACCGTCTCAACGGCAGTGATAGCCCAACATGCTCCACATTCACCTAAAAGACGACAGCATACGTGAGATTCCAAAAGCCTCCTGCAACATCAGTTCATGTCAAAGTTAAAAACAGTACTCACCTTGATACCGCACATCCGATACTGCTCCAGAATCTCTCCAATCGACAGCGTTCGGGTAAGTATCCGCATCGTATTTTGGTTCCATGGTTCCAATCAGACCAAATTGCATTCCACTCGAACTGTACAACCATCGCAAGACACAAGATACATCATACCATTTGCAATTCATCTTGGATTTCATGACTGGTTCTTGTTGCTGAAGCATTCGTCGTTTCACTGTTTCGTGGATCTTGGCTTTTTGAACCTTTGGATCTAGCGCCTTGCCAGTCTGTTGCTTTCCGAGTCGACGAAAGCCCATACCAAGACTAGCGGTATGCATTTCATCGGTTCTTGGCCCCTTGTATCCAGTCAAAAACTTGCCAACAAATTCTTCAGGTGACAAGTCCATCAAGTGGTTAGAGCCAAAGACTTCTTGTTTTGTCATTTTGCAACGGCCATGCCTTCGATTTTTATCTTTTGTTCGTTTATGATTCTGTGACCAAATTGCAAATCTATGTTCCTTTTCTTTATGGGAATGATAATTCTTCTTGTGTTCCGACATCCAGTTTTCAAACTCCATTCGAAGTTTGTGTAGAGACATGTGCTCATAATGCTGTTGATGATGATGTTGCTGATGTTGTTGATTATGTCCTAATTGTGATAATCCCAACTTTCGCCTCGGTGGATAGTTTTCATTTCCCTGTTGTTGTGCTGCCAATTGAGAAATGTTCTCCATTGGGACCAACAAAACTTGTTCTGATACTGGATAGTAGTAAGCATTCTGACCTCCGGCCACATTATTTTGATATTGATATTGACCCATGTTTTGGTTGGATGCTTGTGCAGCATCATTCTTCTTTTGCACACTTTCATTCTCGATTTCATTGCTGCCAAAGGAATGCATCAAGGCTCCCGTTGTTACGAGCAATGCACCAAAGCATACGACGATCCACACCTTTGCATACGATAGTATTTGTTTGCCTTGTGACATTGCCATTGAATGTCTTCCAGAAGGACCATAGCTAGATGCTCCATAACCACCAGGGTTACCATGAAGCCCATTTTCCATTTCAAAGGCTTGTCTCCGTTTTACATAACTATCATATGCGGTGGTATTATTGTTTCCTCTAGGCGTTGCTCTTGTTCTATTGTTGAAAGTGCTAGTTGGCGAGTTCCGTCTATGCGTCAATAACAATCCAGAGCTCGTTCGAATGGGTTCGTTGTTGTCTAATGACATTTCAAATGGTACGGGTCTTGGGGGTTCTTCTTCTATTTCCAAATAACCAGCCCCACCTGGAACAGTTGACTTTTTAATTTCTTTCTCCCCCATCATGGACGATAATTCAAAGGCAGTCGCGTCAAACAAGGCTTCGTCCGATGCAGGTTGTTGTCGCGGTCGGTAAGGATCAAAGGATTCTAGTTCGTTTGTGGGAGAAAGCGAGCTTGATATTTGGAACTGTTGCTGCTGCTGCAGCTGCTGTTGTTGTCCGGAAGTGGAATTAATGTCCACCGAACTCACGTCGTCGTCGGAATCGTAATCGGGTTGCCGACGAGCCCGCTGTGCGGCTTCCATTTGTCGTTCGGCCATGATTTTCTTTTGGAAGGCAGCAGCGATGGAGAACACGGCACCGAGAGTTGGTTGTCTGTTTTGTTTTCCCTCTTTTCTCTTCTCGTTGACTGAGAAACGTCTTGTGGGATGGCCGGCGTGATGAGCGAGCTTGCGTGTAAGTATTTCGTGATATAAATTAATGAGGAATGTGTATGCTATAAAATTGGCCATGTTAGGAGGAGTACTAAAAATAGAGTATTAGTGGCGTCATGGCTAGCAAGTCAGTTTCAATTATCGCAACAGTTGCTTCCTCTGGTGCCCCCCAAATACTTGGTGGCTACAAGTTGATCCTTTTCGAAAAGGGATCAAGGAAGCATGTGTCGGCTGGCTTTTGTGTCGGTTTGCCCAATGCCAATGTCGATTGGCGCACTAGCTAGACATGGTCACAACAAGGGACCAGATTGGTGGGTTTTTCACCGCTTTCAGGGAACAGTTCAGCATCTTTCGGTCATATCCTTAGTGCACTCATTTCCTCACGACTTGGATTGAATTCTTCGCTTCTTGCTACTATGCTTTCTTCGGTTATCTCTCTTCTTTGTCATGCCTCGAATCTTTTCAAGGTTCCTAGTAGACGATTTGCTCTCCGTTTCATCAAAGACAGCATCGCTACGTTCCACTCGTAACATCCAGGCTAAGAGTCCTCCAATATTGACTGGGGCTACCATAGTACAAGGTTGTTTCCAATACTGAGGACACCGTTCCAATGCTCGCAACACGGCATCCGGCGAACCACACAAGAGTACCATGCGACCAGTCTTGGGGACCAAAACCCGGGCACATTGCACCATGACCAATGGTAGCAATTGTTCTACCGCACTTGCTGAAAGGCACATTTTGCCAAACGGCAAGTCCGAAACAACAGCATCCACAATCCCAGATCGAAGTGGCAACAAGGCAGCATCCCAGGCAACGGACAATCGACTAAAGTTCTTGTTCTTGTTGTCGTCCGCCTCGACATCCTGTTGTCGCGCAATATTCTCCAATGCAAAGGCAGCCGAGCAAATGGATTCATGATTGACAACGATATCACCACCAATACCAATAGCTCGATGCTGATGCTGTTGTTTGTTCCAATAGTAGTGTTCGGCTTCCACCGGAATGGTGCCAATTCCAGCACAAGGATCCAACACCATTTCGTATGGTTTCAATTCGGCCAATTCCAGCATGAGATGCGCCGTGGTGGGACGTAAACGTACCACTCCCGACAAGACATCTCCACCAATGTAGGGTGGAGTCACATCGGGAGGCACTCCCCCAATAGCAAAGGATTTGGACCCATGAGAGGAATATGGTTGCAAGGAAATTCCCAACGAAAAGGCTCCATTAGCCATTACCACCACCAGCACTTCGACATCAAAATTTGTCAAGTCTACCTTCCAATCATCGTAATAGGGAATGAGGGTATCACCGTAGTCTTCCATGAGCGATTGTAGGAATTCTGTTCTTGTATAGGGAAGATCCGCATTTTCTCGAACATTGGACATTCGAAATCGAAGCTTGTTGGTTTCGATTCGTTCCATCAACTCGTTGTACGCTTGTTGCGGCATTCGTGATTTCCATATTCTCTTGACATGTTCCTTCCATAGATTCAAGGCTCGATCAAAGTTGCGTCGATACGACGACTTATCAGTTGATGATGATGATTCTTCATTGCTTGGTGGTTTCGTCGACCAATCTCCAATTCTGGATACCATTTCGGACTTGGAGAGTACTGGCTCTTGTCGTTCAAATATTTTACCATGAACAATTGTTGAGAGTAAGGGCCCAATGCATCGAGATGTCATGAGTTGCCGCCGCCGCGTTTGCACCATCATCCACATACTTCCAGAGACTTGACCAGGGCAAGTCCATGAGGATTTGCCATTCGATGTGTATCCAAGAGAGACATGAAATTTGCTGTGCAAGGGAATGGTACCTACAGGACGATGAAACCAATCCATAGATGCCCTATTTGCCTTGACCTTTTGAATGTTGTTGGTGTTCTTTTCTTGAAGTTTGTCCAGCGTTTGGGTCAAAATACCATCGCCCTCTTCTTCTCCAAGATACTCGATTCTGGTGTCTGGGTTCATATTTTTCAAGAGAGAGGACGCTATGGACTGATGTAAGCCTCTTGGGATCATTGCAAGGTATTTGTAGCAATCATCCACCGTGATATGTTCTTGTTCAACTTCCATTGTCATATGTTTTGCAGGAGGTTTGCCAATGTTGAGACAGACATTCAATTTTTCAAAAGTTGAAAGTGGGTGGATGGAATGTGTGATGGTCAAACTCATGTCGCAGTATGACGTCACCTGTGTCGCTTTGAAAATTCAAATCCGATTGTCCGCGTGAGCACAACCTGAACTTTGAAACTGCAATATCAATCTTGGTTGATGAGATTACGGTAGAGACGCTTTTGAATCACCAATCTTCATTCACACACATTCACAAACAGAAATGAGCGTTCCTACCATTCTCGTTACCGGCGGCTGCGGCTACATTGGCAGCCACACTATTATCACTCTTCTGGAGAAAGGCTACAACGTTGTAGTGGTGGACAACTTGGTGAATTCCAGCAAGGTCTCGATCGATCGTGTGGCAGAAATTGTCAACTTGAACAAGGAGGAACGAACCAAGCGACTGGTTGTTCATGAAGTGGATGTTTGCGACAAGGAAGGTCTACGAAAGGTCTTTGAAAGCTCTCCTACATTCCAAGCCTGCATTCACTTTGCGGGATTGAAGGCCGTCGGAGAATCCACCCAGATTCCTCTGAAATATTATCACAACAACCTTACTGGAACCTTCATTTTGTTGGAGCTCATGGATGAATTCAATTGCCACTCAATTGTTTTCTCCTCGTCTGCAACTGTCTACGGAGCTGCGGACAAGATGCCAATCACCGAGGACACTCCTGTGGGGGCTGGAATTACCAATGCGTACGGGCGAACCAAGTACATGATTGAAGAGATCCTCAGGGACTTTTACAAATCGAAAACTCTCGGAGGAGCCGAAACTGACTGGTCTGTGGTTGTCTTGCGCTATTTCAACCCTGTTGGAAACCATTCTTCTGGAAAAATTGGAGAAGATCCCACTGGTATTCCAAATAACTTGATGCCATATGTTGCCCAAGTGGCCATTGGAAGAAGAGAATTTTTGACTGTCTTTGGAAGTGATTACTCAACCCATGATGGAACTGGAGTTCGAGATTACATCCATGTGGTAGACCTGGCAGAAGGTCACTTGTCGGCTATCCAATACACTGACAAGAAGAAATCTGGAATTTTTACATTCAACCTCGGAACTGGAAATGGATACAGTGTCTTGGACATGGTCAAGGCCATGGGCAAGGCATGTGGCCATGAAATTAAATACAAATTGGGTGATCGTAGACCCGGTGATATCGCGACTTGTTATGCGGATGCAAGTCTCGCCAAGGCGGAAATTGGATGGGAAGCCAAATTGACATTGGAAGATATGTGCAGAGATTTGTGGAGTTGGCAATCGCAAAATCCTAACGGTTTCAAATAATTTTAAAAATGTTGCTGCTGGATAGTCCTCGGTCCTCGGCCTGTTGTTGCAGTCCGATTTTTAGTTTTCCTCCTTGAGCGTAGACAGCGAAACCTTCCCCTTGGAATCTAACTGCACCTTGAGTCCAGCTTCGCTCAATGCTGCGGTTTGAATCGGACCGTTTGCGTCGAGCTGGGCCACAATCTCCTGATTTGAAGGGTTGTCTTCCAGAACATTGCGAATAGCAATGACGCTCCATTCTCGGAGTGTGAAGCATGCTGTAGCAAAGGTTGTGCACGACAGAAGAACGTGAAGGGCATTCCGTTGTTCTGGATTGTTATTGTTAGTATCCTCGTCCCCAGTGTGGGATGTGGAGGCCATTGGAAGTAGAATAGATCTCATCAAATCTTGATTCTGTTTGCAACGAAAGCATAGGTTTCCAACAACACGAACAAGCAGAGTGATTTGATCTTGCTCTTCTGGCGACATTTTCATTTCCCGTGCTTTGACGCCCTCGTTGCGCTTGGCAAGCACATCGACAATATTCGCCAATAGTGTGGCGCATTGCGGAAGAAACTCGGTTGTCGTACCAAGATGATTGCGAACCTTACTGCATCCGACGCTATCAATGGCCAGGAAGGTAGACGATATCTCCAATATTGAAATGACGGCAGACTGCAAAAGTAGCATCTCGTCACCTCCTGAGCCAGTTTTGCTGAGATTTTTTAACTTGCAAAAGAGATTTGCAAGGAATTCAAACGACTCTAGTCCGACCTGATCGAGCATCTCTTCGACATCCCTTTCATCCTCCAGTTGCTTCACCATACAGTGCAGCAAAACATTCTGTTCTGGTAGGACACACTTCATGTCTGACAACGGGCAACGGGATATTCCAATGTACATTCTTCCAATCATTCCAAGTCGTATCAGTTTTGTCAGAAGTAAATTTATCCATTCAGTAGCCTGGTCCCACTCTCCGTAGTCTTCTGATTCTATTGATCGTTTGGCGGGAATGAAATTCCGAAGCATCGAGCTTATCAATATGGGATCAGAGGCAACATCCTCAATGAACGACTGGCGATGGTCGATCTTGCTTTCCAGCGCACATACACAGTTATGAAGTGCTGCAGTAACAGCAGCTGCCGCTCCTCGATTATCAGACTTGATGGAAAAGATAAAGCAGTCTACCCAGTTGGGGGGCACTACTACTGTGGTGTCTGAACTGCTCTCTTCGTTGCTCTTGTCGTCTGAACCGGAGAAATTGGATGCAAAAATTCTGGCAACCATCTTGTCTTCGGGTGGTGCAACGCTAAGTGCTGATGTCAGTGATTCGGCCGTTGCCTCGTTGCAGGTGACAAGATTACTCATAAGCTGTGCTGACAATAGCCGGCACTTCGAGTCCGCTTTATTCATGCAAAGGACTCGAGTGAGCGCAGAGTGTGTATCACAATTCAAAACGGCATGGTTCTGAAAATCGACTCGTGCTTCTTCATCTTGAAAGGACACACAACAAAGACCATATCGTAATGCTGTTCTTGTTGTGAGAATCAGTTCCTTGACCTCCTCTTTTTCCCTTTGTCGATTTGCCAACGTTTCAGTTTGATATCTCGATATTTGCTGGGATAGATCGGAAAAAAGCTTCTTGAGGTTTTGAACCATTTGCTCCCAATCAGATGCACGATGAGCAGGTTCCACGCATCTAATTTCTTGCGCGTCCTGCAAAGCCTCTTTCCACATGGCCATCATTTTGTTTTGTGGTGGGAAAGTTGGAAATCGAAAAAACTTGTCTGTGGTCAGTCGTTCGTCCGTATCGGTAGTTTTGGGGGTAGGAATGAACAAAACCCAAAATAAAGTGTGAGATGACAACCCTGATTTTCAGAATGATTGTTTAGAGTTGTAATAGTATCGTAGAGTTATTATATTAAAATGGAGTTAGTGTAGAGTGTACAATACTGCAAGCAACAACTGCAACGCATCGCAAGGAACTTTCATTGTTGTAAAGAAAGCAACTATAGCCAGCTTTTCTGTCAATCTGAAAAGATTCAAAGTCCCATTTAAAAATGTAAATCGATCCATGTGTTATCAATCTATGCTTGCAAATGCCAGCCAATAATTTCAGTCATTTACTTGGCGCTGTAAAGAGCGATCAAACCAAGGAGGAAAGGTAGGGAGATTCCGGCCAATCCCATCAAGGCAATTGGGAGCTTTTCCTCGTCGGACATTTTGTCAGTGTTTCTATTTTTTCCGGAAAAGAAAAGCCAATCATGTTAGCTGTCGGGTTTATTTTGAGCAACAGCAATTAGAGCATCCAGGCTTACGTTTGGAAAAAGTCCTCGGGTTCAGAGTCACGGGTAAGAGCATCTCTTTCCTTCTCTTCGAAGACTGCCATGTTCAAAAAGACATTGTTGGTTCTTGTCGTCGTTTGGACAGTGTTTGCAACTGGGGCAAAGCCGGTAACAGCAAGAAGGGCGGTGGCAAGGATGGTAGAGAGAAGAAAGAAAGATTTCATGGTGTCTTGTTCGTTTTTCAGAAGGTATGATGAAAAGGGTATTTTATGACACGAATTGGTCATGAAGTGGTCGACCATGTGTGTCATGATTGATTCTGATGTTGAGAATAACACGTCATTTCGTTTTTGGTCGGCTTAATCAAATCAATCAGATTTTTGAAACTATAGTAGTACTGCCATTGGCTTATGGATGAGATTGTTCCACTAGGTGGTACGAGCAATGATACGAGTACTCCTCTAGCGCGAATGTTCCATTAAATTGAAGATTGTTTGAATCCTACTTTATTATGCGCCTCTCATATATTATATCAGTGATAGCATCAACTATATGAATGACCTACTGCTTGACAATGCTGAGCTAGACTGCGACTATTGGAAAATGGCTTTTGGCAAATTCTGCATTTCCAAACGTTCCTATTTCTCTCTTCCAAGAACAATTTCCTATCAACCATGAACAGCTGCTCCAAACCGTCACAATCAACGAGATCGAACAACGCCTTGACCTCGTCTTTAACTTGTGATTCTTCTGGAAGTAAGCACTTTTGCATAGCGCAAGGTTTGGTTGCATTTAAACAGAAGGATAAGATCAACCGCACCCAAGCTTCAGCCTCTTGAAGATCTTGAACTCCTCCATGGTGTCGAAACTCATATGTCGAAGGGCGGTCGTGAAGTGTCACGTTCGTCAGATTTAGTTTTCTGTAGCGATCCCAGCCTGGATTCATCATCTTCACAAGCTGTTTCCTGTGGTTTGTCGAGGATATCTTGTTCCATAGTTGGCGGTTGGATAGCTGGCCAAAGGCCATCCGATTGGATTGACAGTATTCGTTCCTGTTAGTACGGCGATTGCGTCCATGTGAATCATTCTCTGCAAACGAGACAAGAAGGTCGAAGGCATTCTCAAGAGCAACGAAGCAACGGGACACAGATTTCATTGCCTCGAGACTCGATATAGGACTACCTGGTTCAGCATCAACATGCACATGGAAGCCACAACTCGCATTTGTAGAAACGCCGATTCGCCGGATATTATCCATGACAGATCTCAGCTGATTCAAGCCTTCGTCCCCTAGCAGGACAGGAGAAACCAATTCGAAGCATAAATCAGAGTCATTCCCTCGAATGCTGCTGTCAGTGACTATTTTCCAATGCCTTGTCGTAGCGTGTGTATAGCCAAGAAATTCCACTTTCTCAGGGCCAATACTTGTAAGTTTTCTGGCTATCTTTTCCAAACTGAAGCCATCTCGATGTCCATCAGGGACAACGATTTCAATCTCCAGACCGAATCGAATTTGAGGCAATGGATTGAAGGTTAGCACATGTGATGGCGCTTTGGCGTCACATGCAGAGCACTTGTTTGCATAAGGCTGGTTTACAAACGTGCAGAGTGGACAATCCCAACTACCAATTCGCTTGCCGTCGGACCTGTCGACAGTGTACTCGGTTGCTATTTCATTCATTTGTTCTACGAGTCTGCGCTTCTTGCTGGACACAAACGATAGCTGTGTTGCAGCAGCTATTTCTCGGTCTTCAATCTTTTCCATCTGTAATCTTGCAGACCTTTCAGATGCGTGGCTCATGATGGACGCTTGGATTGCTGTCTCAGCATGACTTATCAGGGAAGCAAGGATTTCTGCTTCTCCTTCATTCCTGGGACATAGCTGTAGTCTCGACGACGGCTCGGATGCGTGGCTCATGAGGGAAGCATGAATCGCTTCTTGCTCTGTTTCGTCATGACTGGCAAATGCACGAGCGTAGCCTTCATTTTCTTGTTCTTGTTCGTGAGCTTGGTATGACTTGAGAGATTCTTCGATTGCTCGTCGCAAGTAATCCTCTTCTTCCATTCTGTCTTGGCGATCGGAGTAGATATTATTACAACCACTGCATCACTACCGGTACAGGCATCGATAGTTGATCATGGTCAATATCGTGTTTTTTCGTTTCGCTGTTAAAATACTGAGGGATTGTTTCCCCTAAATAGTTTTATTTTGGGGGAATTGTAAAGAAGACAACATCAAACTTCGCAATTTGAAATTGGTGAAACTTAATATTATAGAGGCGGTTTACTTTCATAATCTGATAAGACAAATAAAAGTATTAATACTGGTACTCACTGATTATAGAATGAGCCTTCAATGTATTCAGCACAATACCAGGCAGTCGATAGGCAGCCTGAGACGCCTTTCGTCGATCGCCAAGAGAGAAACTCGAAACATTTTTTTGCCAGAGATGAGGATGCATCCATCGCATTTGAAGGGAGAAAGATACCGATTTCGCCGCTTCTCTGAAAACGGGCCCCCGGCAGAACTTGAACAGATGGTGGCAGAACAACAGCTGATTGTTCGCCATTCTAATGCAGATTCTGTAGTTAACCTCAATGTAGGGGGGAAAGAGTTTGTTACGCTCAGATCAACTCTGCAGACTAATCCCGTCTTGTATGACCGAGTGCTGAAGGCCGAAATCAACAATGAGCTTGTCAAGGGTGCAGTCTTTGTCGATAGGGACCCTACACACTTTGGTACCATACTCCAGCATTTGCGGAATGTTGCAGACAGCATTACAATGGCTCATGCTGCAAAGAATCGGTTTAATCCTTTCACTACTCCCAAGACCGAGGTCAACATTCAAATTCCTGGAGATACTGCAAAACTGAGAGAGCTTTTTATCGAAGCAAGATATTTCAAAATCAAAGAGCTGGAAGCCGTCCTCTGTGGATACGATTGGTGGTCTTGGCTGGCAAGCTTGTTGAGTGGAGGGGCAACCAACCCGTTCCATTCGGCATTGCAAGCTGCGAAAATCGCGCGAGGAACATTGCTAACCACTAGTGGTTTGAGTGGTTTGGGTATTTTGATCGGCGCGCAAAGAAAACGTTCTTCAGATAGCGAGGCAACTGCAGCCGCAAAGCCGCTCCTAGAATCGAAGGCATAGCTCCTTCAGTAGAGAGTGGCATTTCTGTACGGTACTGTAACCAAAAGCAATCGAGCAGAGCTCCCTGCATCGTAGGCTACAAGAGCATTGTTCAACCATTTAAGTATGTTGCTGATGATCCATGACACTATAGTAAATGTTTTTGCAGATGATGAGAACCTTGTGATTGCTTTTCCATAATATATGACTAAGTTGATGACGAAGAAAATACATCGCAATGATTGTTAACTACCGATTTTTATTTTTATGGAAAAGGATCATCCTCTACGGGTTTTATTTTAAAAGCATTCCCCAGAAGCTTGAACAAAATTTAACAGGTTGGAATGTACTAGGGACTGCCTCCTACATCTTCCTTTGTGACTTGAATGGCGTTACAAACGCAGCGGGTTGTAAATGCATTGATGAATGTTCGAGGCTCTTCTTCGCACAGGGTAGCTGTCGATTCACAAAGATCGTCATCTCGTAGCACAGTAATGACCACGATTAAGAGGAGAGATGTTGGAATTAGACATAGTATCAGAAAATGTACGAAGCTAGCTCTTTGGACTCGTTGTAATTCACGTAGTAGAATAGACCGCCGCCTTTCTTCTAGTTCCGGAGAGTCTTGCTCCGCCCACAAAGCTGATGTGGAATCCATCGCATTCTGGCGGTCAAGGACAATCACTGTTTCATCGTCATCGTCATCATCACAATTATCTCGATTTTCGCTCTCTGCATTGTTTAAAAGCGAAGCCTTAACTTTTTCGCTGGAGATGGAGTTGCCTTTGTCGTGTTCCTCTTGCTCGTTGCGTCGCTCGGTTGATGCCATGGTAAGAAGTAGGACTACAGAATACGAGCTTCTTGGAAGTAGTTCGTTTGCTTCGGAAGGAAGGGTGTTGCCAAATTTTGGCGGAGTAATTCTGTGAAGGATGTACCAGAGGCTACGTGAGCGATCGTAGATTGAGATGAGAGAGGCAATTCATTCGACAACTTGGATTACTGTTGTCCATATCAGGCAAGACGTTTTTATTGAAAAAGAAATTCTCCTTTTATTTCAGATTGCATGCTGGATATATCTCACCTTTTCAATGCTGCAGAACCAAGAGTGCTAGTGCCTGAAAGAAATGGCGCAAAGAGTAGGAGATGTACGATCGTTTGAAATCTGGACCCTACCGGATGTCTTACTGTACCACATCAGTCAATTTGCCGCGCCACAAACCGCAAGAGCAGCATTTTTCTGTCATAAGCTTGCTCCATTGAACAAAGCCTCATTTAAAACAATCTTGGAGGAAGAAAAAGGCGACTCCATTTGGGATCTCGTCCTTTCTGGGGACTATGGAGTTAGCTCTGGGCATCAATGTCAGACAAGACGAGTATCCAAGCGGTTGAAACGGAGTCTGATGGATCAGGTGCGAGATGCCCACATCCTGCTCAAGGACAATACAGAAATTGCATACTTTTATCTCTCAGAACATTGCAATTCTTCGGGAAATTCAAACTGTCTCACAAAGGGTAAGCTATGTGGGCTAATCAATGAATATGGTCCACATCTAATGATCAATAAAGCAATATCATCTGGTGGTACCTTTCTGGTGGAAGTTTGCAGGGCAAGGCACGTTAAGAAAACGACAATATTACAGTGCGTGCAGGAGCTGGTCGAAAGACAAGGGGCTCTAGTCGACCAGAAGACACGCGAAGCGTCCAATTCTTCCCTTACGGCTGTATCAGTTGCGGCTGTTCGTGGTCTGCCCAACGTTGTCAAGTATCTTCTATCAAAAGGTGCGAACCCAGATATCAAATGTTCTGGCAGGTTTCGGCTTTCGACCAACTCCAGAATGAGCATACGATGTGTAGGAAGTGCAATAGGGTTTGCACAATCAATGCTGGATATGGAATTGAAAGTAGGAGCTGTCCCTGAAGACCTTGTCGATCTGAAACAATGCGTGAAGTTGTTGTCTCGACGATCGGGGGTGCAACTGCGTTCGAGCCCATCAAAAATACCGGCTGACTCTATGCCCCCCGCTGAGATAGCTATAGACCACCGAGGGGGGCAACCTATGCGCAAACGACCAAAAACGAATGCAAGGGGCAAAAAATAGAATAGGTTTTGCATATTTCACACCAGGAATGGTGAAATAGAAGCACCTCCTCCCTTCAATTTTTCTCATCCGAAGGGGACACCAAACTCCGATGATACAGCAATTTTTCTACTTCCATCGAAAAGGAAGTTCGGTAACGTGGTGAAGAACCTCGCATCTTCTGTAGTTGGTGGTTGGGCGGGCGGGTTTTTGAGGACTTTCATTCGACCACTTGGATTCAGGATTGCACATCTTCATCTCACTCGTGAAAACCTCTGTTGCTGGACGTCACGCCTTTTCAATGCTGCAGAAGTACAAGGACAAGTGTCTGAAAAGAATGGCTCGAAGAAAAAGAGATGCACTCTCGTTTGAAATTTGGACCCTACCGGATGTTTTACTTTACCACATCAGTCAATTTGCAGCACAGCAAACAGCTAGGGCTTCATTTTTTTGTCACAAGCTTGCTCCATTGAATAAAGCCTCATTTAAAATCGTCTTCGAGGAGGAAAGAAGTGACTCACTTTGGGAGCTTGTCCTTTCTGGGGACTATGGTATTATTTCTGGGAATCAACGTCAGTCAAGACGAGCATCCAAACGGTTGAAACGAAGTCTTCTTGACCAAGTACGAAATGCCCACATCCTGCAGAAGAACAAAGCAGAAATTGCCTACTTCCATCTCTCGGAATATTGCAACTCTTCGGAGAAAGCAGGCTGCCTCACGAGGGCTAAGCTATGTGGTTTAATCAATGAATATGGTCCTCATCTAACGGTCAATAAAGCAATATCATCTGGAGGTACCTTTCTGGTGGAAGTCTGCGCGGCAAGGAACGTAAAGAAATCGACAATATTGCAGTGTGTGCAAGAGCTGGTCGAAAAACAAGGGGCTCTGGTCGACCAGAAGACACGCGAAGCGTCCAACTGTTCCCTTACCCCCATATCAGTTGCGGCTGTTCGTGGAATGCCCAAGGTTGTCAAGTATCTTCTATCAAAAAGTGCGAACCCAGATATCAGATGTTCTGGCAGGTTCCAACTTTCCACCCATTCTAGAACGAGTATAACATGCATAGGAAGTGCGTTAGAATTTGCGCAATCAATGTTAGAGGCCGAATTGAAAGTAGGAGCGACCCACGAAGAGCTGGTAGATCTTCGACAATGCGTAAAGTTATTGTCTTGATAGCTAGTATTTTTATAAATAATTACTAAGATCATGTTAATGTCGCCAACAAAGTTGGACTTGCGATCACATAAAACCGTATCTGGTGCATACCTATATAAAATGATGAGCGATTGATAGATTGATACATACTGGGTCTGCATTGTATTGCTTCGCTTGTGGGATTTTGATTGTGATTGATTCATTGGACTGCTTTGGATGTTATGTACGTCGACCGAAACCAAGTAGACACCAACCAAGTTTTCTTCTTTCCTAGAAAACACATCTCCGTCAACAAGATCAATAGGAAGCAACAGAACAATGGAGGGTCCTACTGCAGTCGACGTTCCTGTCGATATCAGCTCAAATGATGCGAATGCGCGAATGGTACAAGTTTTGTGTTGTTTGTGTGGAATTTCCATCACTCCCAACTCTGCAAATACATGCGCCAACTGTTTGGCAAGTTCATCCGACATTACAAAAGGCATCAGCACTGAATCGACTCTTCACCAGTGCAAAAGTTGCCAAAGATGGCACAAGGAAGCTGGAAAATGGATGGCGTGTGACCTAGAAAGTCGGGAGCTGATGGCGCTATGCCTCGCCAACATTAGCGGATTGAAGTCTTCAAAGAAAAATGATCAACGTATCCGCCTTATCGATGCAAATTGGATCTGGACAGAGCCACACTCCATGAGACTGAAAGTTCGTTTGACAATTCAGAAGGAGGTCCACACCGGTACTATTCTTCAGCAGGCATTTACGGTTGTTTTCGTAGTGAGGAACCAACAGTGCATGGAATGTCAAGCCGAATACCGGCAGGGGTCTTGGAAGTCTCTGGTTCAAGTTCGCCAACGTGTTGCCCACAAGAGAACATTCCTATACCTTGAACAATTGATTCTAAAGCACGGTGCGCACCGTGGATGCCTCAGCATCGAAACATTCGGTGACGGTATGGATTTTTATTTCCCTGACAAGGGGAAAGCTGGACGATTCATCTCCTTTCTCGAGAATTGTGTCCCAACCAAGGTATATCAACGCGCTTTGCTCCTTTCCGTATCAACGATCCTCGTCACAACCTCACATCTTTCTTCTTCAGATCAAAACATCCAAAAAGCTTATCTCGACTGACGACAAATCGAACATTTCCAACTTCAAGTACACAAACTTTGTGGAGATCTGTCCGTTGTGTAAAGACGATCTTTTATTCCTACCAGCAAAGACCGCCCGCAACCTTGGAAACATTGCGCGTCTGGTCCTAGTGAAGAGCATTTCAAATCTCATTAACTTGATTGATCCCTTGACGGGACAAACAGCTTCAATGAACGTTGAGTCTTTCTGGGCTGACCCAATCCGTCCTCTTATCACAGCCGCTCGATCGCGAATGACGAGGTATGTTGTTTTGGGAAAAGAACCAGTATTCCTTCGAAGGAATGTGTCAAAAAGAGCAACTTCCCGAAAACAAAGAACTCGTCTTGCAAATCTATCTTTGGCAAGAGAAAGTGATCTTGGTGTCAACGACAAGCAATTCGATGAGCTATCATACGTTGGATACCTCATGAAGGCTGGGGATGTGTGTGTTGGTTATGATTTGACAGAGACCCAGTTCGTTGACGACGATGCTGAAGAATTCAGAGCAGCAGGTAAATTGCCAAATGCCATCATTCTCCGCAAATTGTACGGAGGTGTTGCGACTGGCGAATCTGACGCAGCCAAGAAGAGAATATGGCGTCTACAGCGCCTCGATGTTCAAGTTGCGGAAAGCATGAAGAGTGCCAGAGCTCAGAAGCAAGAAGCAGAACAGGAGGATATGGATGAAGAAGACTTTATGAGAGAAGTCGAAGCAGACAAGGAAATGAGAAATCAAATGAATGTCTACAAGAGTGACGCACTTAAGCAGAAGAAGGAAGAGGAAGACGCTGCAATGGATAATGATGAGGATAGCGAGGATGACCAGGAAGTCCAATTAGAAGAACTCCTTGAAAACCTTGTTGTGGACAGTGGGCCTGATCCTGAAGACAATCCTGAAAACCAAGAAGGATTCGCCAGCTACGAAGAAGGCGAGAAGGCCGCCAAGGATGGTATCCGATATGTTGGCCGTGAAGAAGCTAGAAATATGAAAGAAAAGGAGTCTGCTGTTCCAACAAAAGCTTTCAGCGACGAGTATGACCTATCGGATTTGTAATCTTTCCGATATTTCTTGAGTAATCAATATAAAATCATGTCTATTAGTTCTTGTTTGATTTCTAGAACTGTTTACTTGCAACACAGTTTAACATGCCATCTCCGCAAAAGTTTCGTGTTCTATCAATTCTCTATCATTTTCATATACTCTTCACAAAAGATCGACATAAAGCTTTTGAACACTGAAGTAGGTTCCAATGACGCCCACAGAGGCCCCAACAATCAAAAGTAGCAAAGCAAGGCACGAGTACCCTTCGAGCCGCATAGCCAATAAACCCGGAAGGATAAAGGCAATGATTGTGCCCGAAAAACATCCCACAAGATCGAGAACATCACCAAGATTGGGAGCAGCAATGGCAAGCCCTGTGCAAACAAACCACAAAGAAGTCGTCAGGAAGACATGGCCAACGAGCCGCAGCTGTCTGCTGTCTTCAGGAAGTAGCCAATTTCTCGGAGTTGCAATGCTCTTCAAATGGTTCAGGATCGAAGGCTCTGATGATGTGGCTGGTGCACCATTTTGGTCATCACCATTTTCTTCCTGAATCTCATTTCCTCCTTCCACATCCTCATTGGAATCGAGAAGAGGCTCCAACAGTTCAGATTGTGGATCAGTATCAATCGCGCTACTAGAACTGTTGTCCTCTCTGATGCACGGATGAACAAGTACTACAATGAGAAGTTCCCGACATGTAAATAAAGGAAGTGGGAACGTCAGGACCATTGTCGTGCACAACAGAATTTTCGCCACATCTATCATCCAGCTTTGAGGATAAATATCAAAGATATCAGATTCCGTCTTGTCCCAGAATGTCATGTAAACAAATAATCCCACCGTTACAGAGATTGAGGTAGCTGTAAATAGGGACCACGATGACACCTTCTTGAAGTTATCCAGTGTTTGTAGATTCGGCTTTAGCGAGCCAAAGACCAAATGAACAGTATGCTGCGAGACAAAAGTAAAAACAAATGTTCCCAAACTCTCTATGATCCCAGGCCGAATTTCCAGCCAATCCTTGGAAAAACTTGTCGATGGCTCTCCGATATCTGGACATCCAAAATAAATGTACATCACAATGGCAACAATGGAAACCATCGACACCAAGCTGACGACAGAGAAGCTCGCCAATGGAGTCATGTCTCTCAGCAAGCAAAGCGGTAGAATCATAGTAAGGGATATCATCCACGTGAACGATGACGGCTCGTCCAAGATGTGATGGAACCATGCTTTTGAAGTTGATTTAGAGCCAAAGATCAAATGGCCCAGAGCAGGCGCCAGATTGTCCCTGATGACAACAATGTATGCCACCAGACACCCAAATGCATAAAACAGTTTACAAATGAGGACTGTCACTCGGCCTGTACGACCTAGTCCTTCCGCTGCCAAACCCTCATAGGATTGATCTTCAATACCGAGCGAGAGTCGAATGACCAAATCTAGTGACAACTTGGTCAGCAAGCCAAAGAAGATTATCAGCGCTATCGAAACGAAACCCCCCGACGCCGCAATCGCTCCACCAAGACCAATTGCGCCCGCACCTACCTGGAAGAAGAACAAGCAAAAAGATAAGGCGAGAACAGAAGCGGCGGGCAAAAATTGCCAGAGCAAAACTTACAATGGCATTCGTGAAATTGAAAATGGCACCGGCAACGTTAGATCCTTGGGCTGTTCCTTCTTCTGCTCGAGAGGATTCATCATTTTCAGCTTCTGAGTCTGTAAGAGATGCCGTTTCTTGTTGCTGCATCGTTGATCTTTATTCTTGAGAACGGCAGGTAACAGGAAGTGTCTCGGCAGTGTGTGAGACCAAGATGTCTGATCGGTCGACACTATATTTGGCATCTATTGTTCAGATAAGATGACACGACTTGTTGACGTTGAGAAAAAGAACTTTGAATTTTGATTTGAGACTAGTTCTGTCTTTCATTTCTTCTCGTCTGTCCAACAGCCGTTTCAGACAAACTACAGAACTTTTGATGGACTTTTGGCTGGATGGTGTAATGATGAACAGAGCAGACATCCGTATTGTAGGTACCTGGTACCATACCATCGGAAGAGAATATGACAAATCACTGTTCCACATTTGCAATGAGATCCATCGTATTTTAACAATGTTAAAACCTCCAAATTGTGCCCCACAAGAAAAACAGATTCATTCTCCCACCACCTTCCTAGTAAGCAACAAGTTGATCGAGTCTCCCTATTATCCCTCAACGCGAACAACATTAAAAGTATTGAAAATAGCATTCAAGAATACAAACAACTAGCAATTGTACGACTTTCTTTTTTATAAAATTCAATTCTATGCTTAGACCTTGAATCCCTTGGAGCGACGGCGACCACGGGCCTTTTCGAATTTGCGTCCTTCGGATCTGACGTATGGCTTGACACCATCGTGGGTGTGTGGGTTGGTGACGGAAGTGCTGTGACCAAAGTGGGCAAGGGCGCTTCTGGACTTGGGTCCACGAAGCAAGACAGTATTGGTTCCCTTGGGTGCCTTCAAGGCGAGTTGATCGAAAGTAAGGCATTCTCCTCCGGCTGCTACAATGCGCTTTCTGGCGGATTCAGTGAATCCAAGGGCGCAGACAGACATCTTTGGGCATTCCAACATACGAACATCATCTGTGACCTTTCCGACAATGACAGCAGTCTTACCATCCTTGTTGGTCATGTACTTGGAAAGACGGTTAAGACCGATAGGGGGTTTGTTGAGCTTGCTCATGTGCAATCTCTTCAAAACTGTGGCGCAGAACTTGGAGTCAGTTCTTCGTGACAAGAACTTGTAGAGCTTGATGAGAAGACGGTTGTAAGGATTCTTGGTCTTTACAACCTTCATCGAGCTCTTATGCCCGGTGCGGCGTCCTCCTGCTTTCAAATCAATACCCATCTTGAATTATTCTGTAGCGTCAAAGGAAAGGGAATTATTGTTAGACCAAATTGTTGTTTTGCAAATTATATAGGGGCTACTGCCAATGAAATGAAGTGTGGAATAAAGTGATGGTTGTCGCTGAAGCCTCAAGGATGGGGACCATCGAGAAATTGAATTGATTTCCGAAAACCCACTTTCCATCGTCAAACAGAAAACCGCCACAACAACAGTCCTACAACAGCTGCTAATAATAATAACTGGTCCCCATTGATTTCGACTACATTCGTATTGTTGGCATCATCATCGTCGTCAGCTACACACCTCGTTTGATTTTTTCCGCTTGCTTTAGCAGCTTGGTTGCAGAGTTGTTCGTTGTGCAGATTTCAGGCAATCGAAGGAATCGTGAGTAGTAACGAGTAAGAGGAACGGAACTGGGGTCGATGTTGAGGGGACAAACATATTGGGGGTGAAAGAAGACATTCCGGAGAATATCGATCGGATATCGGATGCCAAGCAAGAATATCGTTATATATATCGTACGTACCGGCACCACGGTATGTTTCATACGGGCCATGCATCACGCGTACCTCTTTTGATGGTACGTGATCAATATCGATGGGTCATTTCTAAAGACTTTTGACAATCTTCTTTTGATTGAAAATATTGTATTTATGCCACTACACTCCCAACAGTGATTCTACCTAAGTCTGTTCACCACGGAATTCACCGGAATGTGCTCAACGGAAAGACTCAAGACTCTCTGAAGAGACGGAAAATGGGATTGCTTGAAGCTGATCAATAATCAATCAATCAATAGAGGCTGACACAAAAATTCAAACCAACAAACTTCAATAGCCGGTACTCTGCCCACAGAAAAATACACCACTACTTTCACTATTCATAACGGAAGTAACAACAACAAGAACAACAAGAACAACAACAACATCAAAACTACAGCTGCCATGGTCTCTTTTCCAAAAATAAGATTCAGCCGCAAGATTGGCAACGCGAACCTTTCCAATCACCGCCAGCGCAGACGAGAACCTTCCCGCATGAAGAGCTTGTTTCGCAGGTCCAAAAGCAGCGATTGGGAAAACTGGGCCGAGTTTCACAAAAAGTACCAGTCCGATGTCTACCGCAAGTCTGCTAACAACCAATACAACAACTTTTCGAGCACCCCGAGCAAAAAGAGCACCGCCCAAGGCGAAAACAACTTTTTTACCAAGATGGTGATGGACTCGTCTCATCACGGAGGACCCAAACCCAAGACAGCTCAACGACGAGGGAGTGTGGGTGGACAAAGCCGAAGACGAGCGAGTATTGCCTTTTGAGAAAAGTCATCACATTGACAAGCCATACGTTCGGATCGAGAGGCAGCGAGCTCTGGACTCTTCTTTATCCAGCCAATAAGTACGGTACACAAGGGGCGTGAATGAACGGATGAATGAATGGATCCCTCCGCGGCAACAAAATTGAACAGTGAGAGCAGCATCTGACATTACCTACGTACACACATATTTTTTAAAAACATAGAAGAATACACATTTTGAAACATGACAAATCATATCCTACTCCTCCACTACCAGATGAAAACTGAATAAAAGAGACGAGACGAGACTACTGTATTAATATTGGCTCTCAAGTAATGCTGGGACTGATCGGTTGTAATGCTGATAATATCTGATAATATCTGTCTGTGCTGTTTTGTACTGATAGTACTGTAGCAAATTTACAAGAACTTGGTTTGACTGACAAACCACATGGTGGCCACTTGTGATGCTGCAAAGCCCAACACCATAAAGCTCCGTTTGGGCCCATCTTGTGCCGTTTGTTCTGGAATGCAATAGGTCATGGTCTTGAGCATGAAATAAAAGGCCGCCGAGGCCGTCCACAAAAAGGTGACATAAAATCCCGACATGCCATAATCCAAGACAAATCCCAAAAAGAGTCCAAACAACATGTTAATGGTCAACCCCAAATATTTGTATCCGGTATAAGAGATTAGATCCAAAAAGGCAATGGGGACTTGCATGGTATAGAAACCAAATCGAATAATGGCCACTTCCAAGATTTGGGTCAAGAAGCATTTGGTGGTAACATCGGCAATGACTTCGGGGTTGAATTTGCCGGCCGTTCCATAACAGAGGGCGGCTAACAAGGAATACGTAATCAAGGACATGACGGGAATGTACAGATCGGGAGCATTTTCATCGGAATACGGCAAGGCATAGATGGTTGGAATGGGTGGCTGTCCTGGTTGTTGGTACTAGTGTGTTTGAGAGAAAGAGAGAGAAAAAGTTAGTTGGAAATCGTTCGAAGCAAAACATTCACTATAACAACCTGTGTGTGATGTACAGTATTGATTCATTCATTCATTCATTGCGTGCCATCATACTGCTACTCACAGTGTTGTCTCCACCCGAAATAATTTGTCGTTTCCAATTCTTGGACAAGAAAGGAAAGAGCACCTTTTGCATTTTGCGCCTGACGTAATTATTATCTACGGCGTAATAGGTCCTCAGAGTTTGCATGGTATAATCGACTCCGGGAATGAGGCGAGCAATTCCAATGTCTACCACTTTGATAATATCACCTTGATTGAGGCCTCCTCCAGTCATTCCACGCAGTGCTGCTTGAGTTGCCATGCCTTTCATCATATCAAAGCCAGAGCCGCCGCCTTGGGTGGGAGCCCCAAAAAAGGAACCGCCTGGAGCATGTTGTTGTTGCTGCTCTTGCTGCTGCTGCTGTTGTGGTTGCTGGGAGTATTGACTTTGTTGGTCGTAGGATTGATTCATTGGTTGCTGTTGCTGTTGCTGTTGCTGTTGGGGTGCCGACCATTGATTGGGATTTTGAAATTGATTATTTTGTGGTTGCTGTTGTTGAGTGGTGTTTTGATATTGGTTGTTTTGTTGAAAGCCCCCAGCATTGCTGTTTCCACTGTAGAATCCACCGCCACCACCACCAGCATTGGCACCGCCTGCATTGTAATTGTTGTACATGATTTTTAGTTAAAAGGGAATAGAGTATATATGTAGGAGTGTTGGTTAAACAGATAAATTGATGCAAGAGTAAAGTCTTTCTCAATTTCGCACCGTCATTTTCACGAATTCAAAAATCGCTTGCGAACGCGATCTGGTTTCGGATTGCGTACACGCGTACGTACAGTGGACAGACGCCCATTGTAACTTACTTCGCGCCATCACAAATTAACATATCAAATGCAAACTCACACAACAACTCACAATAACAAGTTTTAGAGACAAACAACATCCATCATGAGTGCCTCCCATCGCAAACTGGCGCGATTACCCTTGGAGATCTTTGACAATTTACATGTGCGAGTACAATCGAGCCATGGCCAACAGCAACAGCAACACCAACAGCAACAGCAACAGCAACAGCAACAGCAGCAAACCCCAGAAGGCCTTCGATCTCAAATTTGCAATCGTCTCAAACGATTTCCGTATCGTCAGCAATCATCCAACAATCACCACAATCATAATCACAAGGGTTCTTCCACTACCACCACTACGGCCAGCATCAAGACGGTCGGTGACTTACTAAGAGCCAACAAGCGGACTTTACTCATTGCCTTGGATCCGCTCTTGACCTTTCCAGAATTGGAATTGCTATTGAGAAGAATTTGCAAGATTTGCAGCGCCAAGAACAAGAGTGCCTTTACCCTCCTCAAATCGACCCATGACAGCTTGCCCATCTGTAGTATCAGCAGTAGCAGTATCAGCAGCAGCAGTATCAGTAGCAGAAGTAGTAGTCAAGCCAACATTGGAGATCGCTTGCGATACTTGCCCACTGGTCTCAAGTCACTCGATTTGGCCTTGCAGGGAGGCATTCGAGTGGGATCTGTCACGGAAATTGTGGGACGAGCGGGAGCGGGCAAGACCCAATTGGCCTTTCAATTGTGTCTTTTGGCGGCCAAATACAATCAAGGTTCCATGTACATGGATACCGAACGCAAAATATCCTTGGAACGACTAGCCGAAATGAGTCAATATCGATTTTGCAACCAAAACAGCAGCAGCTGTTGTACAACTACAACTGCGAACAGCAATATGTTTTCCTACAATAATTCTACTGCTGGTGGTGCTGGTGGTGCTGGTGGTGCTGGTGGTGCAAGCTACAGTGAGGATGGCACTCAGTCACAACCTACCAAGAATGCTGCCAATGACAATGATGAATCGTTCAATTTATTTTCCTTCAAGTCACCCGAACAAGTCCTGGCCAATGTCATGGTGGAAACTCCCTCGTCGACGGAAGAATTGATTCAAACCTTGGATGCGGCCGAAGAAATCATTTTGCATCGAAATCAGCAGACCACTAGTATTGCTGCTACTGGTGGTACTGGTGGACAAGATAACAACAACAACAACAACAACCACAACAATTACAACCACAATACTGCAACTACAGTATTCCCAATCCGTCTGTTGGTGGTCGATAGCATTGCGGCACCTCTCACAAGAGACTTTGGATCGGATGCCTACATTGCTCGGTCGGCGGCCATTTTTCAATGCGGACAGATATTGAGACGATTGGCCGAAACCTTGCATTTGGCAATCGTGGTCATTAATCAAGTGGGGGCTGTTGGGAATACTAGGAATACTGGTGGTAGCGGTAGTAGTAGTACTAGTACTAGTACTACTACTAGTACTACTCCTATTGGTAGCAATGAACAAGCCAACAGTCACAATCACATCCACCAACACAATCACCACAACCACAAATCACCATTGTCCGTCAAGGCAGCATTGGGAACATCATGGTATCACTGCGTCTCCACAAGGTTGGTGTTGGATCAATATGATGTCATGAAAGACGCTGGTAGCAGTAGTGGACAAGGCAATGAAAATAATGATGGTTGGACGGATTTTGGCAACCTTTCCTCCTTATCGACAACACGACGGACCTTGACGATTGCCAAAAGCAACATTGTGCCCAACAGTTCGACTCACTTTGAGATTTGCAATCTTGGGATTGTGGATACAGCAAATACATAATATACAAATACACCAGTCAATATGTAAATATGTAACACTAATCTATGTAGTATGTATATAAAGTGGTCTTTCTTTGTTGTAAGGCGTATGGTACTGTACCTTTTACGTACTGTAGGTACCAGTATTTTTGGAAAATCTCAAAATGTGAAGCTTTGAAAGTACTTCGTGTTTTGGAAGCTTTGCACGCTCACGGACAACAATATTCAAACTCGTAGTTACTGTTTGAAACTAGCCGCCATCACAAAGGTAACAACAACAGAAGACCACTTTTCTACAGTGCCGTAATAGGTACAATACTATAATACAGTACGTACCGGTACAATCAATATACCGATATCCACAACAAGCAAGAATGCAAGTGAATACCAAACTAGAAGCAGAATACAGTCTCCATGGATCGTCATCAGGAAGAAGATTGACGACGACAAGCTTGAATGAGAAACTCAACACGGAAAAAGTCAAGGAAACTAGTACAGATGAGACGTTGAGAGGACAAGCCGAGAAGCGTATCATTGACTTTGTAGGAGATCAAGTTACTCCAAGACAACTGTTGGGATCACTCCGTGTATTGAAAGCTGTAACGACATGCTTCCTAGTCTTGACGCTGTTGGCAAATTTAATGTATATTATCTTTGTGGAAGTTGTGGCATCCAAACATGTCAAGAAACTGGCAGGGGGGCGCAGAGACTTTCTGATACGGCTGTTTGGACTGGCATTAAATGTCATGTCGATTCTGATTGAGCTTGATTACTCCCAATACACATCTCCATTCTTTGGTTATAAGGGATACTTGCAAAGGGGTCTGCTTCTCTTTTTTGTTGCAATCATTACATCACCGGATCCAACGCATCATGGACTGGTAAAAGGTTATGCGGATGACGACTATTACGTTGCGGACGCTGAGAACAGCATTTCGGGTAGTGCTGTTGGATTTCAAGCGATAGCTTCATTTGTGCTGTAAGTGAACGCGAAGCTCCGTTTGCTACCGACAAATCAATCAATCAATTTTGATCATTTTGACCCTCACCACCACCACCTGCCTCCTTTCTTCGTTGACTCACTCCCAGAGGGGCATGTGGGTTGGTCTATTTCGCATTTGGAGTACTCTTGATAGATCGTTTTACTTCCGATTCTTTCGTCACAACCGATGACCCAGTAGTAACCACCGCTATTCCGACCCCTGATGAGATTGAAGCATTGGATAGACCTGGGAACAGTCGTCCTGTTTCCATGCAAGGGCCATAGTTTACAAATGCTATGTTTTAAGTAATGTATTTATATGTATAAGTGGGTTTAAAAAATTCTAAAATGGAATAGCCTTTCCTGCCCAGTCGTAGAGGCCTCCTGTGTTTTCCTCCTTCATGGAATCAATGACGCCCAGAAGACTGTCAACAGTGAAATCAACCGGGAATAATCTGCCTTCTTGAACATTTTTCTGGAACGGTTTTGATAGGTCGGTATCGGTTGTCCCTGGATGCAAAGCAATGCACCAAACGGACTTGCGTTTCAATTCGTTTGCCATTGTCCGAGTAGCTTGGTTTAATGCAGACTTGCTTATTCTGTAAGAATACCACCCCCCTAGTCCATTATCGGAGATGGAACCAACCCGAGCACTAAGATTTGCAATCACAGCAATTGCTCTACCATCTGAATCATCATTTTTTCCTCGTCGCCGTCTTTGTTCCATCAATGGTGCCAAGCCTTGGCTTAGCATGACAGGACCAATCACATTGATATTCATGGTCTTTGTCAACCAATCCCTCTCTATCTTTGTAATACTTCGCTCTGGGCCGGGTGTATCCTTTCCGTCGCCCAAAAGGCCAGCAACATTCAACAGCATGTCCACACGGTCGAACGAACTCTTGATATTTTCAACGGCACTATCCACGGATGCTTGGTCCTCCAGATCCAACTGGATTACTTTTATTCTGCTTTGCTGATCAGCGCTCAAGGAAGATATGAAATCGTTAAGCCCTTGGGCACTTCCGGGATTCCGACACAGGGCGACAATCGTTCCTTTGGATCGGGTTTGTAACGCCTTGACAAACTGCAAACCAATTCCACGGGAAGCACCGGTCACGACAAAGACAGCGTCAGCATCAGAATTTCTCGCAACACTTTCCTGTTCCGTTGTCGAAATTTCAATATCATTGTAAACCGCATGCCCTTTGCTTTGTGGCGGTTCGGGTGCCTGAAACGTCGACGCGAGACGAAGTGCCGAGGAAGGCGAGGATTTGCTACTGGTGGTTAGCACAATGGATCTACTGTGATGCAAAGGTGGGACTGCACTCAACGCTCGGACATTCTGTTTTGCGATTCCTACAGCAAAGGCGGCACATGTCCGCTGAAGAGAAGAAATCATCATCTGTTTTCGAAAAGTATGTGAATGAAGCGAAACGAACAAAATGATGATGATTGATGTGAATGATGTGTTTTCGTTCTTCATTCCAACAAGAGTCCAATGAGTCAAACAAAAGCTGACGTATGCGTCCGTCCAAATGTCCGTCGTTATGTCCGTCCGACTGTGCGTGCTTTTTCGATGGATTTCTCCTTTTTGAAATCGGTCGCATCAATCGACAGCCATCACGCAAAGGTGATATCGTCCAATCTTTTCGATAACCTTCTTTCGCCAAAACTCAAATACAATTTGTCAACAATGATCTTCCCAAAGTCCATCATCCTTGCTATTGCAGCCCTTGTTGCTCCAACCGTGAATGGCTTCCAAATCGCCAAGCCATCTGTTGCTTTCCGTACTGCTGGACAACAAGTCGTCTCCTCCACGTGTCTGTATGTCGAAGAAGAGGGCGAAGCTGGGACTGAGGCCGAACAAGCCAGCGATAACTCTGCTGGAGGCACTGATATTTTGAACTCTCCTGAATTCTTGAAAAGAAAGCTTGATGTCATCAAGAGCGATATCGCACAAGCCGAAGCAGACATTGCAGTTGCCAAGGAACAAGTTGAAGCAGGAAAGGCTGAATGGGGACCCCAATTGGAGGATCTTGAAAGAGAGGTTAGTTCATTTATGTTTCCGTGATTTGGTTCAAAATATATCTGTGGGCTTACCTTTCATTTTGCTGTGCATTCTGTGATTATTTTTTCATTCTTTTCCAAATATAGTACAAGAACATACAAGAGAGAATGTCATCTCAAACTGGTCAGCACAATGATATGGCAATCACGATGGTAGTCAGAGAAATGTTGGAATTGTTGGACAACTTTGACCGTGCCTTTGGTGTCATCAAGCCAGAAAATGACGAAGAAGCCGCTATTGAAGCCGAATACAAGGAACTCTACCAATCAGTTCTTGACAAATTCACCTCACTTGGGGTAGAAATAGTTGCAACAGTAGGCACAGAGTTCGACTATGAAGTCCACCAAGCCATTATGCAACGGCCGAGTGAGGATCACGAAGAAGGAATTGTGTGTGAAGAGTTCGCAAAGGGATTCAAGATGGGTGATACTTTGATTCGGGCTGCCATGGTTGCTGTTGCAGCATAGATTGATTCAAAAAAGCAATAATACAATAGACTTATTCAGCTTATGACGCAGTACTACCAGGTACCAGGTACTCTAACCTGTCGGATAGTTTTTACTCAAGTGTATCGAGGATTGTGTTCAGGGATCAGAGCATGAGTGTGAGTATGAGAACAATACCGAGAGGAGAACTGGTCTGTCTGTTGCTCCCGGATCCAATCGACATGAAACCGAAAACGAATTGTCAAAAAAGTGATGGAAAGGAAACGAAGAAAGTCCAACTTGACCACAGAGGGTACTTCTGTGGAGAATAGAACAGCTGACCCTTCAGATTCGCCTACATCGTCCACTGACGGAGCTGACGATCCAGCGAATGTTCCACTTGCGCAGAGTTTTCCTAGCTCGGGAGAATCATCAGAGGAAGAAGAGTTAGCTCGGCCCAATCCAGCGAGGCCAACAGAAAAGGTGATCTCTCGGCAAGGCCTTGGTTTATTTCTAAGAGGATTCGAAACTATAGAATCAAAGGCCAGGAAAAAAAGAAGATTCGGGTCCGTGGAAGAGCCAGCAGAACCTGCTCATGTGCGACGGCAAAAAAGAGAATACTATGATTCTGACAACTCATACGAAGCCTTGGATGCATCAGAATATTCAAAGGTCAATGTAGAGACTGTAGATTACTACGATGTTGCAGCTGGTCCATCATGTGATGAGTCGATTTTCATCAATTTCGATCGAGATGAAGTGAGCGAATTGATTGGGTATGCGACGGATGCAAAAAGGGAGGCGTCAATATCGGCGGCAGCGAAGTATGCAAGCTTGCCTGCACTAATGCATGATAAGTCTCGAGCTGCTGCTCCCAGTCTAGCCGGTCAATCCTTAGTTTCATCTTTAACATCGGTCACCACCCAATCGCATGGAGTCGACAACCCACTGTTGGGACTCCCATCTACGCCTCTGCCAACTTCTCACTTGCGATACATTTCGAAGATGGCTGCACAGGCTCCCGAATTTTCGGTCAAGCTTGAGAATAGATTCAGTGACTCTGCGTTGGTAGCAACTGGTATGCTTGTGGAAGAAATGATAACGGCGTCGCTCATGCCACTTGCAGGCTACCATGTCATGCGATGTCGGGAGTTGGAGGTTCGACGCGAACCAAGAGCCACAGAAGACTCTGGCAAGGCGGCAAAGATCGACCAAAAACCTCTGGTCCACCCCGTGACTGGCAGAGTGATGCAGTCGGACAAAATACTTGTTAATCCCCTTGAAAAGTCGTCCGAGGAATGGACGCTTCCTCCTGACGAAGCCATGATGAAGCTTCTCGAACAAGACGCGATACCGCCAGAAGGCTTATATCTAACCCCACCAGCAACACAAACATTACATGATGAAAATCGCAAGGCTCTCGACAAAGATTGGGAGGCTGTACAGTTGTTTAGCACCGACAACAAGATTACTCCTGAAAATGCTATTGAGAATATGGACATTTACCGACTCTTTCTACAAATGGCAAACTACAAACGACCGACAGAGGAATTCAGTGACGGCTCGAGTAGTGACGAGGCATCAGATTAAATGGGAGCTAGAAAAGTGATTCATATTGACACAAATGACGAGTGTCGGAACATGATTACTACATGCGGGGTAACAGTTTGAATGGTTGGTTGCCAAGATAGAAAGTAGGCAGTCAAAACGACCGCAGCTAATTCATAACTATCATATAGAGCTATCGTACTTCATTTGTTCTGACTTTCTTTCAAACACCAAAACGTAGCTCTCGGATACGCCAATGAGTTGTGCCATGGTCTCTTGGACATGCAAATCTTGCATCTCGTACCACTGTTTGGAAGCTTTGTGTTGGACATGGCATTTGTAGAACCCCTCCTGCAGCGGGTCATGCTTGCCCTCTCTTCCAACATCGGCCGGACTCTCATGGGTAATATTGGCCACTAGATCGTACTTGTCCGCCAAAAGGTCGGGAAGTTTGGTAATCACAAAATCTGTGGCTGCATTCAGCAGTTCCGACTTTTCCAATGCAGTGGTAGCAATCGCCTCCTGTCCATACTTTGTGAGCAGAGCCTTCAACTCCTTCACCTGTGTGTGTGTGTGCAGCAATCAGGTTGGTATACAATGAATGTTAGGCGCTGAAAGTGTTATTCGACCCAAGCAATTGCAAATCAGCCACTTACGCTCATGTGCTTCACTTCCTCTGCTGTTGGTGGAATCGTTTTGCCATTTTTTGGAAAGGTGTATGCTCCCAAATCTAAATTTTTGACAGGGAATGCCACAATGGTTGGGTTCTTTTCTCTTGAGTAATTGTTCTTTCGAAATCGCCCAAGATGCAAGATGAGGTATGGTGGTAGCTCCAAAAGTCGATATCGTTTCCGTTGTGCCACCCCACTCTGACTGACTGCATCAGAAAAGGATAGGCCATCAAATTTTTTCAATACGTTGATGAGGGGCTCTTGAGGAATGACAAGCCCACCATCGTCGTCCCGAAAGAGTGGCTTTTCGGGAATGTCCAATGTCAGTTGCAAAAAGGATGTTTCAATAACCGTTTCTTCAACCTCATCCATTGCGGCATCACCCGCGTCACCATCTTTTCCATTCTTGTCCTCATATTTTTCGTCCAGCACTTTGTATTTTTGCGTGGTGACTTCCACCTTTCCTTGAAAGGTCTTGTAAATGATACTCGAGCCGGGTTTCCGGCTTCCCCCCAACCCAATGTGCAATTGATTCAGTAGCCATGACATGAACTCCCCGGCTTCTGCCTGCGTCCCCACTTGAAAGCGTTTCTTGGATTCGTTCGAGACTGCCTGTATCAAATTGTGTGGATCCACATGACTCTTGAATCGCTTGTCGCTCCAAATCTTGCGGACTAATTCGCCAAAGCACAAGGCCAAATGCGAGATTTTGTGGGGTGGCTTTTTGGGTTTCTTACTATTTTTCTTGCTGCTGGAAGACTGTATGAACAACTCCTTATTGGTCAAGCTTAAAAAGTAATCTCGCAAGGGCCGAACATGTGCCAAGGCTTGGACCGTCGCGTTGACAAAATCCGTCTTGTGCAGATTGTTGAGGCCCACATATCCCGGCAAGTATCGCCGTCCAAACAAGTCTCGGGCCAGCCCCATATTGGCATCTAGAGCGGCAATTTCTGATTTCGAAAAGGTGGGATGCAACGCAGCGGAAATGTCCGATAGAGAAGAATCCACAATCTCATAGTCGTCTGGCAGACAATGAAAGGTGCCATTGGTCAAGTGGACGTATACATAGTGTCCGTCATTGACCGAGTGCACAAAGGCCGGAGTGCTCTTTCCTTTCCCTCGAAAGAATTTACCGCATACGAGACAAGCGTAGACATGGGGGCCGGATTCCATTGAGACGGAACAAGAGGGTTCAAAGTCAAAATCCAAAAGTGATCGTTCAATGGTGTCCAAATAAGGACAAGCTTCGCTCTTTTTTCGTTTCTTGGAAGAATTGTCAGTCGACATGTTCTAAGTATTGTTGAGTAAATAACACTGTATATAATATGGGGGAGATGGGCTGTCAGTTCTATGCTTCAGTTGTCATGCATGGCCTTTAGACTTTCCGTTTGTCTACTCTATGATGTCTTTTTGATTTTGTGTTTTCGTTTGTATTGATCAGGTTTTCAAGAGTGACCGACGACGGACAGGATCTGCACATGTGGAACTGCCAGACAATGATGCTGATGGACCGCAACAACAAAACATCAAATTGCATAACCGCACTTGATAACACACACAAATCGTTTGTTTGCATCGACAGATATTCTACTTAGCACAAGAAGCATTGGAATTGCCAACGAATAGCTACGACAAATAGAAGAAAAAACATAAGACACAGACAAAATACAATGGACTACCAAGGACAACGACTCGCTGAGCTTATATTCTACTGGATCATCCTTTCATTTGGAGCAGTAGGGTGGGTTATTGGATTCTTTCGACAAGACTTTATGGTTGTCTTTCAATTCTGGCTTGTGGGTGTTGCAATTTCGGTCGTGGTAAGTTCAGGCCAATTATACAGCCATGGATGGATTACTCCAAACGAATTTCTCACCTCCCGATTTTCTTTCTTTTCATCTCCTCCTACAGCTATGTGTTCCAGACTGGCCATTCTACAACAGGCATCCAGTCAAATGGCTCGAGTCTGTACCAGATAGACGGGGGCAAAAATAAGTGTTGTTGATTATAGCACTATATGTTTTATAGAACCAAAATACTTTGAAACGGATCACTATACTCCTTGCGTGATACTATCTCTAGGGTAGAAGCGTGTTGTGTGATGATAGCATTGTCTTTTATACAACCGAAATACTTCTGAAACGGATCACTCGTACCTCTCGTTTCGTGATTTCGACTCTAGTGTGGAAGTTTTTGCGGAATTTGTAGCAGCTATTGTTCATTACTGTTCTTTTACTCTCTCACAACTTCTGGCTCGTCGTCCCCCTGTACCCTGTTTCATCATTGTAGCCCAAACAATAACAGTCTTCTTTCCAATCACAAGAGAGCAGTGAAAAGGAACAGTTGCACCTTTCCCATGCAGCCAACGCAAACCAATTTGCTTATTGCCATCGGCTCTTATCGTCTGGTAGCCTTCGAGTGTCAGAGTCGGTCGTCGCTGTGGTATCAATGGCGTCGGGTGCAGAAATACGCGATTGATTGTAGTTACCAACACTGAGGATCTTGGCAAGTTCCGAATTGGCAAAGTAGGTTTCCACCACCCATGCTATGGTTGCCAGTGGAATAATGTCCGTCAGAGGCAGAATCTCTTCGGCAAACTCGAGGCCAAATAGAACATTCGACCCGCCATAGAGAGAACGAAGCAAAGCAGCAGCGGCAGGTGCATACACAACATCCGCGAGTTCACCCAAGACAGGAACTGCTTCAGAGGCGACGCCAAAAAAGTCAATGGCCAAGCACACTAACAGCTTTCCGAAATCAGCATCTACTTGCTGCTGCTGCTGAGCAGGGCTATTGGAAGCCGCCTGCGCAGTCTTCTTTGGTTTGTTTGGATCTTCTGGAAATATCTTTTCCTTGACAAAGGTTCCTACTTGCGAAATCTGAGCGGCAAAGAAGGAGGAAATGGCGGCAAAGACAATGGCGGATAGAACTTGGCCAATGACCAGTGCCAAAAATTTGGATCTCAAACTGTTCCAAAAGACATCCGAAACGACCACCGGGTCAACAATGGTACTTCCATCAAAGACTTCCACCGCTGTCAACAAAGAATTGGATACATGCGATACGGAAACTGGATCGACAATGCTGCTGCTCCCTACACGAAGGAGGTCAATGGCCGTCAGAATGGAACCGGATGCTTCTGTCAGCAAGGAGTTGGATGCATGCGATAGGGACGCTGGATCGACAATGGTGCTTCCAGGAAGGATTTCCACGGCTGTCAGTATGGAACTGGATGCTTCTGGGAGCAACATCCTCTTGGTGTTGAAGAGAGTATCTTCTTTCGAGGTTTGCAACGTGGCACGCTGTGAAGGGGCAATGTTGGTAAATGCAGTACAGTTCGCAATGACCGCTGCCAAGAAAGCGATTATTCGAATTGTAGCCATTGTTGTAGTGGGCAATATAATGCTTGGCACGATGAGAGCACCTGGTACCTGGTACCGTTGTCTTGCTGTGTTCCAGGAAATAAGAAAATATTTTCAATTTTCATTTGGTGAATGAATGTTGTTACGTCAGTCACGAGCGGGCCGCTCGTGACTAAAATGCGACCCAAAACCAACGCGATTTTTAATTCCATAAAATTGCGTATATTTGATGGAGACTGCAAGATGATGCACCTCTGTTGGATGATAGTCTTTGCCATTTGTTTCTCATCCATTGGAATTTGTTTCGTCATTGAGCCAATGTATGCAAGAACTTCGCATCGACGGTCTCCGATTATGATGGCAGCTTCTAGTTCTTCGAGGAGGACAGAACAACCACAAGAAGATTCCAATCATCATTCTTCCGCACCCATGGATATGTCAAGGCGAGGATTCTTGATTTCATCTTTGGCCTCAATATCCTTTCTCTCAAGTCCTCTCCTCGCGGCCAATAGTCCTTCAGATACGTCCGATACAATGCCTGACGCTCAGGATTTTTGGAAACGAAATAGTAGTACTACTAATTCCACTCGTACATACACCACGAGACCTACTAAAACGGGAACGGCAGCATCGAAGAAATACCATGGCCATGAGACACATCACAAAGATGAAGACCACAAAGATTTGCGCAAACATCCGAAGGTGAAAGTGAGGCCGACTGACGGAAGAAAGCACAAAGGCAATCATACCAGCATGCTGAGGAGGACTCCGCCAAGAATCAAGGGACTGGCCAGAAACGAACTTTTCCCAAAGATTTCAGAACTTTCAGTATAATTGTGATGTTGAACCACTGTAGTAGTATTCATATTGTGTTTCCTAGACGAATAGAAGACTTCTCTTCTATCTGCAGAGTATGCAGGAGTAGAAAGAAGGTGGTAACTCGTGACTCATTCAGTCGTGAGTAAACGAATCTTCGAAACGAAAAAACATCAACGTCCATCAATAAACCCACATAAAAGACATCATCGCCACGTAACACTTTCATTTTCTAAATGTCAGCTTGACTGGTTGCAGCTTGCATATCAATCGTGACATCGTAATCAATCGCTCAGACATGAAGGTCGCAATCTACAATCTAATAGCAAGTTTTGCGTTCCTGTCGCTCGGAAACTCGTTTAGATTACACACCACAGTACCACCACCTCTTCGAGTTTCTTCAAGCCTCTCTGAATCGAATTATGGCAACGACGCAGTCGACTCTTGCAGAACAAAAGATGGAATTTCTCGTCGAGGAGCAATTGCTGCATGCGCGATACCCCTGGTCTTCTTACCTTTGACTTCATTGGCAGCCGAAACGCCACCGGAAAACTACGAATGTCTATTGGATCTTCCACCTCTACCGGAAGATCAAGTTCGAATTTACCTTTGCCGACATGGACAAACTGAAAATAATCGACTACGAAAAGTCCAAGGGGCCAGAGTCGACCCGCCAATCAATACAAATGGTATCATACAAGCACAGAACGCGGGAAAAGCATTAAGTAAAGCTAGTCCTTGCCCCCAAACGTTCTTTTGCTCTGACTTGCAGAGAGCACGACTAACAGCAGAACAAGCCTCGAGTCAAATCAATCCGCAAATTGTACCAAAACCCCTGAGTCTTTTGCGGGAAGTCGATTTTGGTCCTGTTGCTGAAGGACAGCCAGTTGCAACTGCGAAAGCTGGTATGGAAGCGACCTATGCCGCCTGGGCTATTGGAAATGTTGATTACCGTCCCACTGGAGGGGGCGAATCGGGAAGAGAAGTAAGTGTTAATCGCTGCGAGCCTTCTTTGCTCAATGTATATGTGGCTTGTGTTCTCAAGTTCTCTTTCAAGGTTCTAAATCGAGCTGTCGAGTCGATGGAATATCTTGTGAAACAAGCCGAAGATTCGCCTAATAGATGTGTTGGTGCGGTGAGCCATTCTACCTTTATTCGCATCCTCGTAGGGATATTGCTGGATGAACCACTGGTAAAGACAGCAACTCGAAAAATTGACAATTGCAGCATTACCGTTTTGGATTTTCCAAAGGGATTCAAAACTCAACGACTCGGGCCCAAGGACAAACTGTTGGGTGGACTTTTGTCTCGAGCACCGCCCGATTTTACGCTAGATGTTCCAATTTGCACCGTCGTGAGGACGAATGAAAACCGACACTTGCCAGAGATTCCCCTGGGAGAACTACTACCTAGTCGAGCACGAGATGGATAGGTCAGCATCCATTAGCTCCAGGGAGTCGCGACCCAAGACTATCTGGGCATCTCATGAACAGCTTCTACAGGGGATATTTTCCTCGGGAAGGGTGATGAATCTTAATGAAAAGCACAATGTCTCCGGTAGGAGGTGGTTAGTCTCTGTGATAGCTCATTTATGCTGTGGATGCAAAAAACAACCACCAAACCGAGTATATATGCAATCTGATAAATTGTAGCACTCGCTACTTCAAAGATAGCGAATGAATCTCAAAAGCAAGGCCTGTACGAGAGGTAGAACCGTGATAGAGAGGTCGTACCGTTACCAGGTACCCGCTACTCGTAGTTACAGTAGTAGTTTGTAGTTTGTTACCATTTTGAAATTTTGGCTCGAAGTGGTCCTTTGCGCGACTTCCGCGCAATCCACTTCGAAACCACCCAAAATCTGGTGTCATCTTTTGGTTTGCACACAATTTTGATATCGAGAAGCAACATGGCATCATCTGACGAAGAGAAGCCCGTCGAGGAATTTGTGAGCGACGGAAGATACCGGAACAAGCAAAGATGTCTAGTTTTGTGCTTGAGAGGAGCTACTGCAAGATACCGTCACCTCCTTGAAGACATCAGAACTCTGATGCCACATCATAAAAAGGAATCCAAGCTCGACGCCGGAAAAACCGGAGTTGCAAGGGCAGTCAATGATATTGCGCAAATAAGAAGTTGCAACTCTGTGCTTTTCCTTGAGTGTCGGAAACATCAAGATGCTTACATGTGGATTGGACGGGTCGGGGAAAATGCTGGTCCAAGTGCGCGGTTTCATTTGACCAATGTTCACACAATGGACGAACTTCGCCTCACAGGAAATTGCATGAAAGGTAGCAGACCGCTTCTAACATTTGACGAATCATTTGGGCGATTGAACCATCTGAAGCCTTTGAAGGAACTTTTTGTTGACGTCTTTGGAACTCCTCGTGGACATCCCGCAAGCAAGCCATTCATTGATAGAGTCATGGCATTTTGCTACGTCGATAACAAGGTGAGTTGTTTCAAAGTAGAGAATATGTTGGAGAGGGTGGGTCGATGATTATATCAATGATGAGCGTATGTCAGACCTTCGGGAATGAGAAAACAACATCAATTTGTATTAAGACTACGATGGAATGAGACCTACACCCAAACCACGAACTTCTTTTCTTCCTGCATCCCCAATACCTAACTCATATTTTTTTCAATTACAGATTTGGGTTCGAAACTACCAAATCCTCGAAAAGCAACCAGAAAACGCAATGGAAGCACACCTTGCCAAAAAGGAATCCGGACAAGAGGAATCAACGTCTCTGGTGGAAATCGGACCTCGATTTGTCCTCGATCCAATTAGAATTTTCAGAGGCTCTTTTGGTGGACAAACACTCTATCAAAATCCAAACTTCGTATCACCCAACGATGTAAGAGCCATGGAATATAAGAGGAAAAACAATTCGTACATGCACAGAAAAGATTCGCAGAAAAGACGAAAAACACGCGATGAAGAACTTGTGATTCCGGAAGATCCGCTTGCCAATGTCTTTCGCTAAAAGCCGGCTTCTATCATATCAAGAGTCAACTTTGGTCGGCTAGAATCTCATGTGCACTAGAGTGTAATTAGCCTTTACTGTAACTTTGGCGTTACTCTTCATCTTTTCTCTATTCTATCAAAAGCTACCTGGTCTTCTTTTCCTCTTCTGTGAAAGTACTCGCCGACATGAAACGAATTCCCAATCCTGAAGGGTCTGTTAGCAACAGACCATCACCATCGTTGCCGTTGGTTGGATTGTATACGATATTCAGAGACTCGACGGCTGGATTGGGCGTAATCCTCTTCTTTGTTGGTTGAAGAAGAACACCCATGCAGCCTGCCGAAGGTGCCATATAAACCGATTTCGCGGGAGGAGCTGGCTCAAATATTGTGGTACCTTTCGATGGACGTGAATAGGGATACTCCTGGTTTTAAAACAATTTGAGCATTTGGGCCTGGCTATTTTTTCCAAAGGAACATCCTGGTAACTCACCTGCTCGACAAAGCCCAACTTTTCATAAAACGCTTTGCTTTCCTTCACATCTTTGCAGTTGACGGCGACAAGCATTATTGGGTCTGGGGTGATTCCAACAATACCTCTCATAGGAAAACCACTTGGGGATACAACGTTTACAAGTCCGTACGCATCAAGGATCTTGCCTCCAGAAGCAACCATTTGGGAAATACGATACCCCGGAACTCCAACTTGAAGGAAGTCAATATTGTTTCCAGGGGCATCATCACCACCCTTGTACAACGGTTTCATAACTCTTGAATCAAGAACCAGTTTCAAAGACATATGACCACCATACTTTGCAAAAGAAGATACAGGAATTTCAAAGTCACCTGGGATACTAAGTTGTTCTGGACCGTAGCCAAGCCACTGCAACAAGAAGAATGAGTTTTGGTGGTTGTGAGTGAGTTACCGAAGGGAAACGGCATGTTGACTGCTCGTATGATGCAACAAAAAACGTACAATCTCCTCCACCGTATCGCGAATTCGTTGTCTCAAAATTTGGAAGTCGAAGCCTTTGACAAGAAACTCAACCATCCCATCCAATTGCGACTTATCAGAAACGTTCACTGTTAGTCCCTGAATGATCGCTTCACTATCACCAAATTCCGGCAAGGTCCCAACATCAGCATTTACAGCTGGTACAATTGCACCCCCTAAAGCTAATGAAAATGATGCCGCGGCTGCGGAATGAATGAGTGATCTTCGTGCCGATGAACTCTCTTCGTTGGCAAGTTCTTCAGAAAAAACATCAAATGAGTTCTTGATCGTAGTTGAAACTCGGAATCCACTGTTTTGGGGTGCGACAAACCCTTGCGCAATTTGCGATCCACCCAGGCTCAAGCAAAATAAGGCAAGATAACTCTTCATCATGAACTATTGTATCTATAATATGATGATGTGACTGTCGTCAGTCAAAAATCTTGATGGGCAATCGATCGATATCGAATTACTTAGCCCCATGCTTGAATCATTCGACTAAATGATAACCATTATTTCCAACAATTTCGATTTCGGTCGAATGGGTCAATGATGCGTCTGGCATGCTACACTACGTGGATATGGCTTGGATCCACAAGCAAGGTCACCGGTCCCAATCTTCTCCACCGTTCCCATTTAGCAGATCCAGGTGGTGCCAGGTTCCAGAAGATATTGGTACAGCAGATGTAGTGTACTTTGCTACCTGGTGCTGGGACTGTGGAGTTCGCTACAGCGCAAAGCAGAAGTTTTACATATATGGTGAGATGGACAGCTCTTCTTCAAAAAATTGAAAATCCTTTCGAAGCACTTTGAACTTCTCTTTTATTTCGAGCGGAATGTCATACGTACGTCAAAAGGAACACGCTGGAAACGTAAGCAGCTGTGCAGTTTTGGAAAGTGGTCCCGATCCGATAACAAGTTTTCGAATAAAAAAGGGTTTGTTAAAAGGACAAAATGGATTGGTATATATGGTCCGAAACTAATATAAATCGGATGTCGAATAGTTTACTTATGTATCCCCAGTCTGTTGCTCGGTGACAGGTGACAGGAGTATTTCGTCTTTCTGAGTTTCAGTATTCAGTATGGGAAATTGCAGAATCACAAACAGCTGATTGATTCTCATAAACCTCGTTGCACTCTTGGTTGCACGTGTGCCTGAGAAAAGAAGTTGTCATGCTAACCGAGCGTTCAGACTCTACCACTTCCCTTTGTATCGATTGGCCGGATACCACCCAGAGTATTCTTGACGATGAATTTCTGAGTGAAGAGGAAATGATGATAGACAACAGCGTCGGTGAACCTGAAGGGTTCGGGAACTCTGAGCTCCCGCTGCATTCGAGTCTCTATACTCTTCTAGAATCCAAGAATACAGATACGCTGAAGGAGCCTACTAGAGTACCGTTTCCTGTTTCAAACAGCAAGAGGACACGAAACTTTACCAAACCAACCGTTAGCAATTCCTGCATGAAAAGGAAGAAGCCAAGAGGAATGCCCAAGCGCCCCCTTTCTGCATACAACATATTCTTCCGAACACAGCGAACTATCGTGCAAGCTAAAGCAAAGAAGGAAACACCGGAAGGCTCTAAAGGGCTTGGATTTGAAGGTCTTGGCAAGCTCATTGGCAAACAGTGGAAGAAATTATCGAAGGAAGACAGGAAGAAGTATGAAATACTGGCCGAGAAGGATGGTGTTCGATACCGTCAAGAGATGGATGCGTACAATCAAAAGAAGAAGATGCTGATGGAAAAGGAGAAGGAAAGAAGCAGCCAGGTGCCCCTTTCATCTGCCATTGGCTTCGAAACTGCAAGCAATCTCAATCGAGGAGACTTCGTGATCTCTGAATCAAGGATGGATGCTAGTGCATTCTCTCAGACACGAGTGGACACTGGTAGGATTAATGGTGTGATCATGAACTCCAACCCTCGAGATACAAATGAGAAAAACGCCTCTGTACCCGTACCAAGAACCATCCAATCGCTGGCTGCCAACACTGGAAAGTTTCCTTTGCCAGAAGGAACTGAAATTATGTTGAGCGATAGTACAGGGCAAGACCGGAAGTATCGTGTGGAGTACAAGTGCTACAGAATGTCAAGAGCTGAAGCTTCCAGATATGTTGATTCTGTTTCCGGTGCATTCCGACCGTACGAAGATTCACATGCCTATGCCCCGGAGAATTGGGGAATGCCAGAAGGTTACGTCGAACTTCCAAATGTAGGGATGACTCCTGTTTAAAAATCAAGCACTCGTGGAAGTAGACTCGGCTGCTCTTGATCAATGTCCAATCATGGTGGGGAGACCTTTGGTCCACGCTTTTTTAGCGTTTCAACCAAGTTCATAAACGTCCTTCCAAGCTTGCTCTTTCTCACAGTTTTTATTACTGTCAGGGGCCTTTGCCTTCAGTAAAATACCATAGCAAATGCATAACATGCATAATATGCATATTAGAAATTTTGAATAAATACATTTTCTCTTGCTTTCATGGTAAATACAGTTCAGTATACCTGTCACGAAGTTTTGTGAATTTACCGTACCATACCACCAGTACGGGCACAAATCGAGTATCATGCATGGGCCACACGGGTTGACGGGTGGACATGACGGATTTTTGAAATTCAGCTTGATGGATCTTCACAGCTTCGTGTCAACGTCAGTGGCATAAAAAGCACCAAGCGCGATGTGGTCAACACTCGTATTTTTGCTGGTAGCACAGCTATCATGGACAACAGCCGAAGAATCCTGTGCAGCGTCAGGGGCTCCTCTGAACTCGGCTTTTGTATTTGTCAAACCTCATGCAAACACTCCAGCAACTCGAGAAATGGTTGTGGACAAGCTCAGCAAAGCTGGATTGACAATCCTTTCCCAATCCGAGATCAACGGAGTCGAGATCGACGAGAAGTCTTTGATTGATCAGCACTACTTTTCTATTGCATCAAAAGCAACAATCCTTTCAGCTGACAAAATCCCTGTGCCCAACGAGAAATTCGAAGCATTCTTTGGCGAGTCGTATTCAAGCGTTTTGAAGGACAACCGGGCATTCAATGCATTAGAAGCATGCAAACAGTTTGGCTGTACCCCGATTGAACTTAATGATGCATGGCGAGAAGCTGAGAAGGCAGACAAAGTTGTCAAGCTCGGTGGCGGGTTTTATTGCGGTAGGTCATTGTCATGTGGCTCATTTATGTTATTGAAATACAAATTCTGACAGGAACAATAAGGACTACTTTCTGTGAACGGTAAACCGGAGCTTTATGTTTTTAATGCGTTTTTTATGTCTATGAGGTCAAAATTTGTTGGTGAAGAAAACTCGATTCAAGGGTATGAAGTACAATGGGATCCTTCTGTACTTTCTTGGGCTTCATTCCGTTCCGATGTTCTGGGGTGAGTAACACTGTACTTGGAAGGCTTGTTGTGTGTATCATATGTTACTTAATGCTGTGTCGTATTACTACAGTCCAACCGATCCTTCAAAGGCCAAGCGGGGAAGCATTCGACGAGCGGTGCTAGACAATTATAAGAACCTAGGTCTTTCCTCGAAGCCAAACAACAGTGACAATGGGGTTCATGCCTCGGCTTCCCCGTTTGAAGGTCTGGCTGAGAAAGCAAATTGGCTTGGCGTCAAACCCCAAGATGATCCATTCGGTAAAGCACTGCTAGGTGCTGGAATTGCAAAGAAGAAGCTAAATCAATGGTTCAAAGATCCCCAGGTGAAGCTGACAGAATCCACATCAGGCAGCCTGTTTGATGATCTTGAAGATTTGGATGCAGCTGAGTGCTTGCAAAGGCTGATTGAACTTAGCAAATTGAACCATTAGACCAGTAGACACATCGATAATGCTCGTTGCTGACTGAACAAAAACCTTGGCCGATACCAAACTATTGCCCTTTGTAGACGTGCGCCCTTTGATAATTCGTATGAGTTGATCGCAGCAACGCCCTGCCCATATCGTCCAGCATGGAATTGAGTTGCGAATTTTCATACTGCTGAAGTATATCAAGAAGGCAGAAGATTGCAGGCATGATATCATTCTTTCTGGCGGGATCCAAATTTCCTCTAAGAGCTTTCACATACTCCAAAAGGACTGCTAATACATGCTTCTTGTAGACATCACCGTGAGGCTGAAGGAGCTCGCATAACCGTGTATACTTCTGACATCTCATCTTTGCATCACTTTTCGTAAAGTCCCCATGGAGAGCTCGCTGCAAGAGAGCGACAAGAAGGCCACTCGTCAGAGACACACAAGAGTGAAGCTGCTTTGGGAATCTCTGGAGGAGAAACGTTAGCATTAAGCAGCAAGAACTGTAAACGCTTGTTGTCACAGCATGAAATTCTTTGGACGGCTCATCGAGTATATTGATGGCAGAACTGATGTGACACAGAATCAAAGCAATGTCACTTTCACGGAGAGATATTACATCCCGATTGCTAGCCATGTCAATGATCAATGAAACAGCACAATATACCGTTCTATCAAAGCAGTCGCTTGGAGTACTATTGTGCTTGACCATGCATTGAATGGCAAACATGAAATATCGACGTGAATATTCTGCTACAACCGGCAAACTGCTCGTCGGAGCAAGCTTCACAACAACAAGATGGATCAGCCGGAGTCGAAAAGCAGCAATTCGTCCTCTCGCAGCAAATGATGATAGATCATTGAGCAATGCTTCCAGTGAGCCAGAGTCAAGGTCAGTAACCAGCTCGGAGAAAGCAGTCTCGAGAACAGGGTTTCTTGTTGATTCAACCTTGATAATTCCATTGGCAAGAGATATTCTTGTGCTCTTGGTTGGCTTCGAAATCGCTAGACAACCAATCAAATAGTCTAATCCTCCTTCCACTTGATTTGAATGCAAGGCCTTCGTTGCTGCCTTTAGAACGCTATTCTCGATACTCTTTTTCGCTTCGATGCCTCCCAATATATCAGAGGTTTCTTCGGGATCAAACTTCAACAATTCACCCACGATATGAGTCGACTCGTTCCTTAAAATCAAGTTGGTAGATTTGTCATCAAGAGCGTTTGGGAGAAAGTCTTCCAGAGCAATGTCGAAAATTGCCATGATTATTCTCTTCAAATCAGCTGTGGACTCAACCAATAATGCATTCTTTGACAAATCCAATTCTTTGACAATAGCCCAACATAAAACGGCGGTGCATAGTTTGGCAGGATCATCGTTCGAAGTGTTAGATACAGAAATGATGGAATCTAGTCCCTCTGAAATATCCTTCAGAGCATCGGGCTGAACCATGGCATTCTTGGCAATGCCACCAAATGATCGCTTGCTGGAAGTTACCAGTCTGAGGTAACTATCGCCGTGGTCGTCCACCTTGGCCATCAATGCCTGTGTTGAGCTTGCGACACATTGCATGTAATTACGGAGGGTGTAGCTTTCTCCGATAATGGTTCCAGGGGTATTGTGGCTTGTGCTCTGCAAAATGTGAGACGAGATCTCCCGTAGACCGGTAAGAATGTTGACCGCTGTACTTTGAAGAAGGTCGTTTTTCTCGCATATCGATCTATAGACTAGATCAAGTCTCATAATGAGATCGAATGAATCGATACAATTGTCAGTCTCAGTCCAGATTGAAGCTGGCAAACTCTTTAACATTGCAACACACTTGGAAGCAGCTTTCAGATGAACCTTTCCCTCTTCAGAATTCACTACTTTTCCTTTTGCACTCGCTCCATTGGTCGTGAGTACTGTATTGAGCTGGTTGGCAGTGGAACGAGTCCAGGATGAGTGCGAGATTTGGCAAGTGAGGTATTTGCTGCTGAACTTCTTGATTTTGAAACTGGAATCCAGCGCCTTTTGGGTCAGCGCGGCAGTACACGACACTAAAGCACATCCCAAGGATTCAGCAACGTGTCTGGCTTCGAAAAATTCCGAGTCCGTCAGTAATCGAGTGCAAACGGAATCACCCAAGTTTGAGATATCATGCAATAAATGACAGGAAAAGAGATTTGATAGAAACACCACCATGTCTTTCTTTTCCACATATGGAGCCCAAGACGAAACGGAATCAGCAAGCGCTCGGAGACCGGAAGCCTTTTGTGGTACATCGACCAGTTCTATCCCTTCAGAAGCCGAAATTTGAAGTGCGAAATGAGCAAGCTTCTGTGCTGTCGCAACAAGTTGTTCATTGCTGAATTCCGCTTCATCAGACGAAAACATGATTTGCTGTTTTTCCTGTATCTGACTATGTAGTCGCTGGACGTACTGACAAGCAAGAAACTGCAGCTCCTGGCTTACAGATTGGCCGACCTCCGTACTGAGAGTAGCTCCATCAAAGATCTCAAATAATTGGTGAGGAATTGCATACCTGCTTGCTTCCTCTCGAGCTTTGTCACTCGTTCGGTCGATCCAGAATTCGCACTTGTTTAGAAGAGCGACAGCATGTCCAAACAGCTGCAACCCATTGCGACTCTGCGGCGACCGTATTGAGTTATGACTATGGATGATGCTTTGGACAGCACCATTGACTACTGCCTCGCATAGAGGATAAATTTCACTAGCTGTGTTCATTTCAATCCTCACGTTTTGAAGGATTAGCACCAAAAGGCTGACAACAGCATCAATCGACTTATGCGTTGATCTTTCTTCTCCTGCATAACGGACGATATGATCGTTTAGTCTGGTAAAGGTATCTTTGACTTGGTTGACTGGACTTGAGAATATCGCGTCAGCAAGCGTGGCCTCAACCTTGGGATCGCAAACCATAACATTCAGTGCTCGAAGAGATTCCCCCCTCTGATCTTTCTTCAGTAGATCTATTGCGTTGACAAACGATGAGACAAAGTAGTCAAGTTGTCGTAGCTTTTTGTAGGTAGAAGCCAAAGTAATGAAAAACTTTGAAGCTTCCTCGTGCAACTCTTCGTCGTTCGAGATGTTGATGCTCGTAACGCAATTGGCAACCACTTGCGGCAATGCATCGTGCAATACAAGATGGTTCAGCTGGACAAGAACATCCAAGCATGCTAAAGCGTTTTTCAATTCATCATTCGCCATTGTTCTGTTTCCTGATTTGTCGCTGTTAAACTTCTTGACAATGGTAGTCCCAAGATTGGAAAGAAATTGGAAGTGTACTTCTTTCTTGTCGTCCATCGTTGGCAGATAAACATCATGGACGAGCAGCTGCCTCAAATTCTGCTCCAAAGCCCAATAGACACTTGCCCGGTCCATTATCTCGCCCTCTTTGCCTCGTGTCTCGAGTCGATTCACGAGATGGGTAGAGAGAACCGAAAAGAACCGAAACTGGAGCTGCACAATCTTGAGACTATCGGACGCCTTCTTTTTCGAGTGTGCCTTTTCATTAAGTTGATCCCGAAGAACATGTGTCTGCAGGATGAAACAGTTGAGAATTATGGGCAAGATCCCCACAAATGCCGCAACATCTTCCATAGACTTTGAGTGCGTCGGAGACAATCCCATGGCAATCATCGGAAGAAGGCCTTCTTGGTAGCAATGAAATGACTTGGCTTTTTTGTCTTTGTCCACATCCATGTGGTCGTTTGAAGCCTGGGCACAAGTTGGAATCTTCATCATTTCAATAGACCGAAACCCATCCATGTGATGTTCCAAGTGAAACAATCCATGGAGCAACAAACTCTCTATGATAGGCCGCGAATCGTGTTGCCATCCATTCGCACTGCGTCTATATATCTTGATCAGGACACAAAAGACATCATGTGTGATGAGTTTTTGAAAACTCTTTTTGGGATTGGCCTTTTCCAATCGTCGATGCAACAAGCCAAGAGTGGATACCACCATGGCCTGGAATCTTGCTCCATCCACCGAGTCATCATCATCCATGGCGTCATCTCCACCATCGCCAATATCATTATCATCTCGATCCAACATGGGTAACAGAGAGTCGCAGATACTATCAAAAGGTGACATGTAGTAGTTATCGACCAAGATACAATAGCAGGTGGCGGCAGTTGCTTGGCTGCTTTTGCCCTTGCTGTTGTTGTTCTTGTTGCTGTTCTGCAGTGCAGTCTTGATTGCCAAGGGCACCAATTTGTGCAACGCTCCCAATGTAAGGATATCAGCAACCTTTATCGTTTCCTCTACCGTCGAAGCTTTGTTGTTGTGTTCTACTTGTTGTTGTTGTTGTTGTTGTTGGTACACCACAAATTCGAGACATGTTTTCAACGTCTGCCATGGAGTATTGTTATTGTCATCGGTATAGTTCTCGGAAGTAGAATGAGATGACCTCAAGAGTGTCTTGATCGACCACGGCAAGAGTAGGGTTACAATGTCTGTAGCAGAAAGAATGGATGCTTCGAGTTGGTTTGGTTCTATCTCACTCCTGCTGCTGTGGTGATCGATATCGTCGGATGATGATGATGATGATGATGTAGTTATCGCTGGCAAGTATGATATTAGCTCTTTTACGACCTTGTCCATCTTGGACTTTGATTCATCAGTACTCTTTTGTTTTGACAGTTCCATAATGGATAGGAAGGTGGGAAATACGGGATCTTTTGTCTCTCCTTCGTTGTTCGCATCCTGCTGCTTTGAAGATCCTTGTTGTTCTCCATGACGGTACCCAAACTTGTGGAACGGGTTCGTGGGACAAGACTTGGTACGACTGCTGTCGGAGTTCGACCTTCTCTTTCGTTTGGCCATTGGAACTGACGAATGATGGGTGGTTGGATGGATCTCACATCTTCATTTTTCGAACGTTCTCAGTCCGTCCTGCGACCTTGGTTGGTCGGAGAAGTCATGAAAGGCGAAACATTGATCCACCCATACGCATGCGTGGCGGACAGGCAGACATCGACGAAATTGGTGCTAAAGTTTCAGGTGACAAGGTTTTTTGTCACTGCCGGCCGCACCATACCGGTGAAGCGATAATAAAACCAGCAAAGTGATAAGCGATCATTCATATCATAGTGCACACTGCTGGCTATAACGAGACAACGAATGTCTCGCCATAGCAGTAGGAAGTCCCATGACTGGAGTACGTCCCGCAATCATCATGAAGATGAAAGACCAAGCAGAAGTCGGAGAGACTCGTCGCCTCCTTTGGAATCACCTCGCCATTCAAAGCACAGCGTTCTATCACCTCGAAGCGGTCGAAAATCACTGGGAAGCAGAAGAAGAAGTCGAGGCTCTGATGGCTCGTACGTTTCCTCAGGACATAAGAGATCTGGAAAGAGTAGCCGAAGAAAATCAGCAAAGTCTCCGTCCTTTTCCAGGTCTCCATCGCCAGTAAGAAAACCTAGGCGGCAGCAGAGTGACGTAATTCACCGTAAATCCCACTCCGAGTCCCCATCTCCACCTACAAAGCCCAGGCGATATAAGAGTGACGGCTACCGTGAGAGTCGCATAGATCGAAGAAGAAGCCATTACGCGGGGGACAATGATTCTGTCGATTTACCAGACGATGATCATAATGCTGGTGGTAGAGATAGAGATAGACGATCATCTTATCGAAACCGCAACTCCTCACGGAGATCTCGTGCGTCTTCTAGACGCCATCATTCGCGACGTTCCGAGTCAAATTCTCCTAGTCGTCGCCACCGTCGAAGTCGTCGGGATCGTGATCGTAGCCGAGGTTACGATCGTGAAAGGGATAATAACGATGTAGATCGACGCTATTACGATGAAAAGGAAAACGAACGACATCGATTGTCTGGACGCTCCAGACGAGATCGTCGGCGTCGGGATTCGTCATCTTCTTACTCGATTGAAGAAGAGGATGATCGGCGACGCAATCGTAGTCCCAAGAAAAGTGATGGTGGTAGGGGCATTAGCCGACGCCGAACAAGACGAAGTCATCGACGACCGAAACGACGTCATTCAAGCTCACCGTCGGTGCCATCCGATCGAGACGATCTCCCGCGCCAACAGTCGCCAATGGAAGTTGCACCTCGAGCGGGTGTAGTCAGCGAGGAGGAAGATGTGGTGCAGCCTCCAGCACCTGCTGTCGAAGTCACCAAGAACCCCGAGCCCTCAAAGACTGCTGAGAAGAGCAGCAAAGAAAAGAGCAAGGAGAAATCGAAACGCAGTACTTCTCAGCACAATGATGACGTTGGTCATTACCAAGGTGGAAAGGGGTCCATTCTCAATGAAAAGTACAGTGTCATACGAGAAGTAGGAGTGGGGACATTTGGTCGTGTACTGGAGTGCCATGATCTATCCAAGAATGACCAACATAAAAAGCAACGAAGACGCCCACAGCAGAACGATACAGTTGCCATCAAGGTCGTCCGCAACATCAAACGATATTACAAATCCGCTCGCATCGAGGCAGATATTCTCGCCGATGTAAATCGAAAAGGTGGCCGAGGATTGTCTCATTGTGTCATTATGCATGAGACGTTCAGTCTTGATGGACACTATTGTATGGTCTTTGAGAGCCTTGGCTCTTCTCTTTACGACTTTATGAAGCGTCAAAGGTACCAGCCATACCCTCCAGATCTTGTCTATGATTTTGCGAAACAACTGCTGGAAACGCTCGAGTTTATTCACAGCTTCAAACTGATTCATACAGATCTCAAGCCTGAGAATATCTTGCTCGTGAATGACCGAGAAATCAAACGCAACGGCTATTGGATTCCAGAATCGACAAGGATAAAAGTCATCGATTTTGGAGGAGCTACCTATGATAACGAGAAGAAGAGTTCCATTGTCAATACAAGGCAATACCGGGCTCCAGAAGTTATATTAGGTACGGGCTGGAGTATGGAATCAGACATGTGGTCGGCAGGTACGTTGTTCAATTGTGTAAACCTTATTTCAAACCAAGACATATCCTTTCATTTATTCTTACATTACCCTTTCTTAATAGGTTGTATATTGGCTGAAATGTACCAAGGCGAGTTATTGTTTGCCACTCATGATAATGTGGAACACCTAGCTCTGATCGAAAGAGTCATAGATCGCTTCCCACGATGGATGATCGAGCGGGGAAAGCAAGAGGAATTAATTCGCGAAGCCTTCCATTCGGACGGAATGCATAAAATGGAACGTGCTTTGGAACCAGAGAGCATGTCCTATGTGAAACGAATCAGATCATTGGAATCCATGGTGTTCCCGGAGGACGAATGGTTTCTATCAATGCTACGGCGTATTTTAGTGATTGATCCCAACCGTCGATCCACAGCCAGAGAGTGCCTCAACAACTCGAAACTTTGGACACGATAGCAAGTGCATGGCTACATAATTTGCTACATATTTTGTCAACATGATACAAGTGATATCGCCACAATTTTGGCATTGTAGCATATTTTTATTTTTCTGAATATTATCGTTGCCTAGAGAAAAAACTTTCGACAGGTATTGAGGGGTCATGAGAAATGAAGCGGTGAGAATCTTACAGAATCTTTGCGGCACCATCCTCTCCTTCAGTCTTTTGCCGTTTGGCACTGGGATCTTCAGTCTCCCCGTTGTCTCTCTTCTTGTCCCCTCCAGCACTTGCTTCCAACTCGTCAGCTTCCTTCTTTCTCTTGGCAATATCATCCCTGAGTCTTTGAAGCTTGGCTTCAAGTTCGGCTTGCTCTTGTTGGCCCTTTAGCAGTTCGTTCTTGATGTCTGCGCTGTTCCCGGAATCGGCATTGGGTGCAGGAGCTGGCGTCACGGAATTGCTTGGAATGGATTGCGGCTGGCGGAGCATGCTCAATTGGTCCGCACTAGCTTGGGAAGGAGCGGGAACGCTACTAGGAGCTCCAAGGGTCCCAAGACCCAAAGATCCACGGGTGTTGAAATCCATGCCACCAATACCTGCAGAGCTCTGTTGCTGTTGAAGCAACATAGACATTTGATCATTGCCACCACCAATATCAGCAGTAGCCTGCTGATGTTGAAGTTGTTGTTGCTGCTGCTGGAGCTGTTGTTGTTGATACAAATTCATCATGAGCGTAGTCTCTTGGATTTCATTCAAAAGATTCATATGGTGGAGCTTCAACATCCTATAGAAGAACACATCCATTTGTGAGCTCGAGTCCAATTTTGACGTCCACAAAATATTATCCACTACTTACTCGTAGTGTTGATTGGGGTTGACGGAGAGCCCCATTTGAGGCATTCCACCTCCGCCCATACCGCCACCCATACCAAGACCTAGGCTTGATGCACGGCGTTGTTGCTCTTCCCGTTTCTGTTGATAGTGATCCGCACGAGCTGCTTCGTAGGCGGCTGCTGCACCGCCGCCCACCAAAGGACGGTGCGGTGGCATGGTAGTGTCAATTCCGGTGTCAAGACCTAGGGCTGGACCAAGCGAACTCAGTGAGCTTCGGCGTTTAAATTCACTATCATTCATCATGGAGAGTCCCAACGAAGAGTTCCGCCTCTGCATCAAAGCGTCCAATTCTGCACCCGCTCCCCAGCCTAAACTATTGTTTCTGGCTACTGGAGGAGGGCCTCCTGAACCATTACTTGATGTCAGAACACCAACGCCAGTACAAGTGAAACGAAAAATAACAACCTACCTGCTTTTTTGTCCATTTCATCTTCCTCTCCGGCTTTTCTCCCTAATCTTCCACTGACAACTCGGACTCCAAGTCTCTCCAACTCTAGCATGACCCAATCACGCGTTGGCTTGGGGCGCATTGTAGAACGCCATGCTCTTGTCAAAGCTTTTGCACGAGCACACTTCTCGTCGGCCTCTGCTGATGGAAACGTGCCAAGCGCAATGGTCTTTCCGGCCCACTAAAGGAAAGGTAAAAATAAATTGTGAGAAAAAATGTGTTCGGGCAAAACGACAAGTTAACGGTCTCAGACGCATGCACGTCACCACGAAAAGACCAGGTGAAGTCACAGCAAGGCTTTGAGACCGAGCTTTTGACAAACACTTGGACTTTTCGACTGTACCAGAACACCGTAGATTGTACGAGGAAAAAACCAACCTCAACAACGATGACCTGAAAGACCATCACCATGTCTCTTCTGATTCTTCCATGTAATCACGGTCATCAAGTCATTTCAATTCCATTTCACAAAATAAAAACAGCCTCCTCACCTTTACGTGCACCGCTTTCTTCGACGCATTCATCATCGCAGATGGAGTAGCACTCATGGAATATCAACAATTTTGAGGTAAAGCAGTAAACGATGATCTTATCTTTCGATCTTTCGTCGGTATTTCAATCCAAACTTTTGAGAAGAATGTACAGATCGAAAGGCGGATTTGGAACAGTTGTCTTCAGCGATTTTCTGACTGAAAGGCAACCCGATTTCTTTATCGCTTGTCTGCTGTTGACGACTATCTCTGAAGATGTGTGATATGCATCAATCTGCCTCGACGCTTCGCAGCTCTGCATTGCCTGCTGTTGCCCTCCTTGCCATTCAAAATTCCATGAGTTCGATGCATGTCGCTACCATAAGTAAATTTATTTATTATTTGTCCGCGGAAAACAGACTAAAACAGAGTTTTCCGATCGGATACCGGTACAGGGTACAGGAAGAGATGGATGAATGAGTGCTTGTGAACAGCAGTCTGGTGGTTATTTGACAATCAATCAATTCAGTCCGGGCCTTGAAGTACACGCTCTGAAATTTCCATCAGCCTTTTTTGTAGAGTGTTCAAAGAAAAACACCAATGTAAATAATGTACTGTATTGTTTTATCTCAGTGAACCGAGCCGGGTAGCCGATTCTTTCTGGATAACCTTCATCTGGGGATGGCAATGCAAAGATTCTTTGAAAAATTAGATTTCAGATGTGCCAATAGACATGACGTTTCACACATTTTACTGTAGTTTCTCACGTCGATCTTCAAATCGACATTTATATGCAAACTACTCTAAGGGATGTGGCAAGATTTGTCCGTTGAACGAATCATACAAAGTACATCATCGCATTAATGTTCTATCTTAATTCATGGTGTACAAATACAAATTCGATGAAACAACAAGATGGCCCAACGAAATTGTCGTCCACACTATTTGTCTTGTCAGGAAATCATCCATCCAACGGGCCTGTCTCCGACGCCAAAAAGCTTTACCAAATGTTGATCAATTCAAACCAGCTAACTGGTGCAGGCTCTGTAAGCATACCTGTCAATACAACCGCTGGTGTGAACCCCCATAACAGAAGAGTCTTAGATTTCTGGAACATAAAATTGATGTCCAAAGCCTTGAAAATCAATCCTGGGGACTTGACAAGACTAACAATACCGCTCGTTTTTCGTCTTCTTGGAACTGGCATATTTTTTATATGTATTAGTGTATTGCGTGTTGCAGAAGGAATCGAACTGATGGAGTGGAGAAGAACAAAACCGGAGTGTGAGTTACACAATATGCATGCCATACCATCCTCTCTATTCTGACAGGAGACTTCAAGTCGCCCTGCCAAATTGATACCATGAATGAAGGCGGTAGTATATTTCGACATAATACCGCTGTTTCACTTACGTTGTCGATTGTTTGATTGAACCTTGGGACTGTTGTTGTTGTTGTTGTTGTTGTTGTTGTTGTTTTTGTCGCAAGCCGAGAGCTCAGCCACATCTTTTCGACGGACGCATACAGACGACTCTCCTTTTTGTGAACAATTGAATCAGTAAATAGTAGGAGAAGTTTACCTTCCGTTCAGTATCTGCGTTGTCGAATAGAATTTATTTTATACTTCAATAGAATACAATACCAAGGGTAAACTTCATAGTTCCATAGAGAAACGAACAGCACTACTAAGATTCTGCTATCCTAATCACTTCGGCTTCTTCACCTGCCTCAAAGATATCAGGCACTGATTTATTATGAAGCCACCACCAAACGCGCTCTAGTTTCATACTCGAAGTTCTTTTAAGTTCCCTATGCCATTTTATAGGTTAATCAATTACTCCTAAAATTTCTTGGGATGTTGCAGTATTTGTGACCATATCATCCCGATATCTCAGTCGCTTAGCAGTATGCCAACTTGGAAAGTAATTCAATCAAAGTAATAGCAAGACTTTATCATTAAAGCCTCTTTACTTCTTTTCTTCCAAGGATGGAGGGACAAGGGGGAAATAGCTTTGCGTTCCAACCATTGGGGGCAATCCCTTGAATGCTCGGATTTCATTAACATCAGCCAATAAACTCTTTTCCAAATTCACCCACTTGTGTGCTGCCCATGCGCCTCCGACCGAGCAAAATACATGCATCCACGGTTCTGGATATTTGTTTCGGCGCGGAGTTGTTGGATCGGATATGCGGAGCAGACAGTAGAAACAGAGAAAGTTAGGAATTGCCGATTCGGGAGTACTGACGCATCGACCAAAGAAACTTACGTCGTGACAATGGAACTTTTTGAATAGCATTGCTCATACATTGGGCTGTAAAGCCAAGTCCTCCTCCGATGACCGCAGTTGTGAAACCCATTTTGGTTGTGAGTGCTCTACCAATTCCAGGCAACTGTTGATGATCAAAGGGCGGTTGATACGTTTCGTTTCGTTGCTGCAACCCGAAGTTTTTTCGTACGAACGTCTACCGTCAGTTTTCGGTTTGATCCCTTCGACTAAAGAAATTCAAATCTCAAAATCAGTTGCTTTCCTTTTCTTCAAATCGATCTGTTGCAAATCGTGGTATGCCCCGCCATGCCTACCTTGGTAGACTTTCCCAGTGCTGAAGCTTCCGTCTCCAGAGATAGAGCGCAGATAAACGATGATGACGACGCTTCAGAGACAATGATCTTCGATGATGACACTGGCTCCATATTGTCTCTCAGCCGACAAGAAAGAATGCGTGCTGCAATTGACGAATCCACTCTGCTCCTCTCTCCCGACACTGAAAAAGACGGTTACGGCAATGGGTCAAACAGTCTCTTCGATCACATGAATCATACAAACGATGACAGTATCCTTTTGACACAACCCGAGTCGAAGAGTACCGCTGCTCGATCTTATCTCGACGTTCACGAAAAAGAGAACGAAAGAAGTTTTCACAACACTTCAGAGAGAGTCCAAACGAGAAAAGAGTATGTCCAGGAAAACCAGCAGTGCCCAAATCACGATTTATACCAAAGGAACTACAGCGCATTTGTCAGTCGGACCATTTCCAACTTTGAAGCTCAACATCCAGGCCAGCTGCAGGACTATCGTCAAATGTCAGCCGATGACAAGAAAGATGCCCAGCTCAATCTAATGACCTTACTTGGTCGGCTTGGAATATCAAAGGGAAAGAATGGTGGTAACGAAGGCACTCTCAGCAGAGCATCAGATTCTACAATGGATCAGAATGATTCGACGCTGTTGGATGCTGGTCGGTCTCCACCTCCTCACTTTGACCCAGACGAGACCGCATTGACGCTATCACGTACAGCAAAATCAAAGCGCGAAGTCTCTTTTCATCAAGATGTCTATTTGGAGAAGCAACACCGTTCTAGGACTAGTGATTGCAGCGAAGACGTTGACAAGTCCGCCATGCTGCTGTCACCTCAAGGAGGAGACGTTGACAAATCTGAAATGTTATTGTCCCCGCAAAGTTTTCAACCCTATGATACTGAACATGGCAACGAAGATAATGATGATCATTCCTTTGGAGTCCAAAATGATGAAACGGATGAGTCCATCCAAGATTCAGTGGAGATACCGCGTGCAGCAAGAGCTAGCTCTCCCGAAAACCTATGCTACAACTCTCCCGAGCACATTCGAATCAATCCCCATAAGCGCCTTGCTTCTACCAGTGGGAAACGGGGGGCAGACATATCACGCCAACGACTCAGTCAAGAATCAACGCCCCCGTCCCTTTCCGGCGCAATTAGGGGTCCAGACTCAGATATTGAGTTGTCGTCACATGTTCGACGTCTTTCGATTTCATCACCAGGAGAGCCGAAAGATTTATTTCTGGCATCGCAGTCACCAATTCAACCAAAATCGACGTACGACTCTTCTGATGATGAGCTGTCTTCTCAATCAGGTGATGGTTCTGATGTAAGGCGGTCACACTCGTTTAGACACTATGCTCGACCAAGACAGTCTGATGTGACAGTTGACACAATTGATTCATACGCCCGAAAACCGAACCGAGGACGAGCGATGAGAGAGGCTCCCGTGGGCATAAAGTTATTGCCTGGGGCGACCTTTCACCTTGAAAAGCTTTCCGTGAAAAGGACTGAAACGATGAATGCGAAGAAAGGGCCAAAGGAAAGAAGCAAGGGCAGTCGAGTGAAACGCTTCATCAATTTTCCTGACCCACTCGTGCGCTACAGCAAACGTCACCGTCGGGTGTTGAAAGATCTATTTGCTTGGATTAGCGATTCCGAAAAAGAATCTGATGGAGAAGATGGTGGATCACCCTCGAGCTGTGTTGTCTTTTCTCTTTCCGAAGAGAAGATAGTCGATCTGACACTGAAAGTGTTGCTTGCTGATGCTGCAATGGACGATAATCGAAGGCGCCAAGAATGTGATTCAGAATTAGGAGGGAAAACAATCATTGTAGTCCGTGCCAAGGAAGACTTATCCAAATGGGAAACAGCTTTGCGAGAAGGAACAGGGTGCTCGGTTTTGAATCATGCCACGCTTCCGCTTTCAGAACGGGTTCGTTCTTCAACAGCGGAGAAAGCAATTCGATACGATGTCGTATTGACCACCTATGATGCTCTGAAATCACCAGATGTTGCTATCCAAGTGGATGATATGGGATACGCTGTTGCAAAGCAGGCAGCACCGAGTGGAAGAGAATGGTTTTCGTCGACCAGCTCGAACGATGCGCCTCGAATGTGCAAACAACTCAGTGTTCTTCATCGAATCACATTCCAAAGAATCATCTTTAGCGATGCCCTGGGCCGAAAGTCTTTTCTCGCAAAACCAGGAACCACTAGAGCGGTCGCATTCAATGCACTTAGAGCTGATTCACGGGTGGTATTCTTCACTGGCTTGGAAGACTTGGAGATCCCTCCTTTACTGGCTCTGAAGAAAAGTGACAAGAGAGCAGTCCCCGCACTACTATCCTTGCTTCGATTAGCTGGAGAAGGCGAAGATGAAAGGGACGTACTACAGGAGTGCATTTGCGACGCAGAGGACATGTATGATGGTTGATAGATACACGCAGGTCCACATAGAGTCCAGTAGTAGGTATAATAACATTCAAAATAGCTTCTAATCAAAATTTAATTGCTCTATGCTGCAGGAGCTGCTGCAGGTACCGAGATACCAAAAGCATAAAGCTGTCCCGAGACTGTCACGCTCTGAGCTGATAACCCAGCTTCTTGGAAGATGCGAGCAGCCTCGTTGAAAGACTCCATCATTGGAACCACGTCTCCTCTTGCCAGGTAAATGTTTCCGATTTCGTTCAGTGTGCGAGCTACAGTCGCCGGGTCTTCCCGTCCAATCGTGCTTCGCTCAATGGCCAGCGCATTCTTAAAGTGAATGAGCGCCTGTTCCATGTTGCCATCCGCCTTGTAAGCTTCTCCAAGCTTGTACATGGTCATGGAAACATCTCGATGATTGGCTCCGAGGACCAGCTTCTCCACTCGCAGGGTTTCACTGTAACAAGAAATGGCTTCCTTGTAACTTCCTTGGAGTTGATGGCAGAGTCCCAGATTATAGAGGGTAAAGCTGACATCGCGATGGTCGTCTCCCAATTTGGCTCGACGAATTCTTAACGACTCGTCAAATAGTTGCATGGCGGTAGAAATCATATTCTTGCGGTAAAAGATGGTACCTAGATGCGTCAGAGTTGCCGAGACATCCAAGTGGTCATCTCCGAGAATGCTTCTTCTGAGCAACAATGCCCCTTGCAATTTCTTGGAGGCCATATTCGAGTCGCCCTTTTGGTCATAAATGAGACCAATAACATTGAGGGTATTGGCCACTTCCGCGCTGCCCTCACCAAATCGTTTGCGTTGAAGACTGAGTGCATGAGAATAGAGTTTAATGGCCAGGTCAAAGTCACCCCGTTGCCTATAGATTTCTCCAATATTACTCAGAGTCACAATAATGTTTGGGTGAGTCTTTTCCAAGACACGCTTTTCAATTTTCAAGCCTTGCTTGTAAACAATCAGTGCTTGATCAAAGTTTTCTCGTTCAAAGTGAAAGTTGCCAATGCGATTCAACAGCATGGCAACCTCCGAGTGGTATTCGCCCAGTGCACCTCGTCCCACTTCGAGCGATTCTTCATATAACTTGAGGGCCTTGTCGTACTCCTTTCGTTCTTGGTGGATTTGTGCAATCCCAGAGAGTACAACCGCGACATCGCGGTGGTTCTTGGAGAATTTGACCAGGGCCACTCTTAGAAATTCTTGATACAGTTCAATGGCACGATCGCAGTCTCCCTTTTGGTGAAGGGACTGTCCGGCATTAAAGGCAGTAGCCGCATAGTCGATGCTATCCTTGCCTAGACATTCGCGGCGAATCTCCAAGGCCTGTTCATAGAAATTCAGAGCCTTGTCAAATTCTTCTCGTTGCACGTGTACTCGTCCAAGATTATTGAGAGTGGTTGCTTCTTCCTTGGAATTCTTTCCAAGTACTCGTTGTTGAATCTTGACTGCCTTCATGAAGCATTGAATGGCATCTTGCGATTGTTCCACGCTCACATGGTAGTATAAAACACCGAGACAGTTGAGCGTAATGCCCACGCTAAAGTCTTCTTCCCCCAAAAGACTCTTGCAGTGTTGGAGTGCAATCTTATAAGCCACAATGGCTTGTTTGAGGTTTCCCTTGCGGTAATAGACTTGCCCAATGTTGTGCAAGATTGGAATAATCACCTTGTGGACCGTAATCATGGCAATGGGGGTTCTCTCATTCAGATCCGCAAGCAGAAATGTTCGCAGGGCGCGTTCGTAATACCCGGAAGCTCCGCACAAATCTTCCAATTTGCGTCTGGCTTGTCCAGCATTGAACAGAATCTTGGCTTGGACCGACTTGGGGTGATCTCCGGATTCCACCGCCTCCGTGTCGGGATACAAGACCATGCCTTCATCAAAGTCCATTCGTTGGTAAATATAACTGGAAGGAGGAGGTTCGTTGCGTTCCAGCTCAATGACAGGCCACGGGTCAGACTCTTGGCGAAGAGACGCCGCTTCTTGAAAGAGAGAAGAAGCGGTGGAAAAGTCACCCTCGCAATACAATGTCACCGCCTTGTTGTTTAATTCCATAATCTTGGCGACAATCTTTTCCGTGGATGACGACTTGTGGAAGGGTCGAAAGAGATGAGGAATCAACCGCCGCTTGTTGGTTGGATTGGAGGCAGTGTCCATTTTCATGGGCCTTCGGCGTTGTTTCGAACTCTTGTTCTGAAGTTGTTCGGGATGAGTGGAGAGACCCATGTTATTGTTTGGAGTGTAAGAAGTGTTAAGGCAGTAAGCTACTGGTGAACAACGAGATGCAGACGTTGTTTGACTGCTGTTTTTGGTAGTGTGGTTGTTGGTAGTTGTTGTTGGTTTTTAGTGATGATTGATTGATTTATGAGATGTGTGTGAGTGAGTGAGTGAGTGGTGTGTTCTTCGCTCGAACACTTTTTTTTTCCCCGCACTGGATGGAGTCAAAGCAGGAACGAAGCGCAATGATTTTGAGTTCGGTTTTTCGAAAGCCATCTTGAATCATCATCAGGTTTTTATGTTGCAGGTCTTTTTTCGTGCGCAGGTAGAATTCCATTGGTCCTCGTAGGCGGCGCAGCACCGTCAACTGTGTTCGTGGTAATGCAGCCCGCGTTCCGTGACTTTTGACACGGTGTTCTCTCCGTTAAGTACCCGCGCGATCCAACCCATGCAAGAGCGAAATGAGAAGAAACCGACGAGATCGATGGGGGAGAAGTGTATTTCTACTACCTTCGATCGAGATCGAAGAAAAGTGATAAAGTCACGTTTTGACTTCACTTTTTATGTTTGGGTACGTGTATCGCTCTATCGCTCTACCTACCGGTACATACATTTTGTTTGATCAAATACGATGGAAATCGAAACAAACAACCGATGAAACATGATGCAAGCAACCAGGCCAGCATTGACATATCTCCCTTCACGAGTCATTCACGACTACCAGATCTCCATGACTGCTGCTCCAAGCAAGAGTATAGCTCCAAGCATTTTCGTCTCCAAGCAGTAGATACAGTACCGGTAGATACACGCACCACACAAGAGTTGGTTTCAATATTGAATGTTTTTGAAATAAACAAATTGGAGTACTTGTGTACACATAGGCAGTATACCGTACGTCACTTCCTATCTTATCACACCCTGGTACCTAGTGTAGTCAAGTAGATTGTAGATCTAACAAGGAGCACTATTCCAATCCAAAAGCTGTTGGCAACAGCTTTTGCTACCAGGTATGGTACCTGCGACGTACCTGGTGCCAGGTACCGACCACTATCTAATGATATATCAGGAGAGCAAGGAACAACAGCTTGAAGTATACCGGTACTTTAGCTTGAAGATGTACGCATGGTCTTGCAAGATTACGTATTCTTTTTTGGATGGCGGCCAGATTTAGTTTCCAGATGACCCCGGTTTTGATGGGAGATCCGTGCGTCGTAAAATCGAAAACGGGTCGTGTGGAAGGTCGAACTTTGGGCTGTTGCACTCCATCTCTTTTTGGTTCCTCTTTGTTCATTACCGTTTTTCGGTCTATTATAATTATTACTTTTCACCCTCCAACAACCTCTCAACTCTTTACCTGAATGGACGGCCCACCATTATTGCGAAACGAACATGATGTTAGAACTCCAACGAGGGTAGTCGGTTTGATTCTGTTGCCAACCTTGGCGTTGGCGCTCAAGCTTATTTCGGGGGCTCATGACGAGCATCTTGGACACCAGCACCAGCACCACCAGCAGTACTTGAGACAACCACCAAGTGGTGCTTTTCCATCCTTTGCCACCACCATTACCCGAAATCTAGAACAAGCAACGGATGATGCTGCTGCTGCTGAAACGTGTACCCTCGATTGTTGTTGGCAATACGAGCCGACGATTTGCCCTTCGGAAAATGCCTGGATTGAAGCCATTCCGTTTGGGTTGCAAATTGCCTTGATCATACTTTTCTTGTGCTTGTCGGCACTCTTTTCGGGTCTGACTTTAGGGCTCATGTCTCTAGACAAGACGGGCCTGGAAATTGTCATGGGGGGAGACGATCCCGTTGCGGCCGGATACGCCAAGAAAATCTATCCCGTCCGAGAAGATGGAAACTTGTTGTTGTGTACACTATTGTTGGGAAATGTGGCTGTCAATGCTCTGCTGTCCATTTTCTTGGCAGCGTATACGGGTGGAATCATTGGTTTTATCTCCTCGACCTTTCTCATTGTCATTTTTGGAGAAATTGTCCCTCAAGCATTGGTAAGATTTTTTTGTTTTCGCAGGAATGGCATATCTTATATATGTCTCGAGTCGCTCTTTCACTAACTCACTAATTTTTTTAAACTTTGTTCCATGTAGTGCTCTCGGTATGCACTCAAAATTGGAGCTAGAACCGTTCCACTCGTCAAGGCCATTCGAATTCTTCTTTACGTTTTGACTGCTCCACTGGCGGTGAGTCTGATCCAAAAGAAAAATGTCGTCACGATAGTCGCTCCATACTCATGTTTTTTTCCTTCTTCTTCTTTCAAATTCTAGAAAGCTTTGGACTGTGCTCTCGGTAGAGAGTTGGCATCCACTTATAGTAATGCCGAAATGCTAAAGCTTTTGCAAATTCACGTCCAAGAAAATGTTCTGGACAAGGACACGGCGGGTGCCATGACTGGGGCCTTGACGTACAAGAATATGAGCGTGGAAGACGTCATGACACCTATGGAGCGTACTTTTATGCTCGATGTGGACGACAAGCTTAGTTTTGAAAAAATTGCCGCGGTCTTTAAGACTGGCTACTCCAGAATTCCTGTCTATGAAATCTCGAGGCACAATGTGATTGGTCTGCTCTTTGTCAAGGATCTGATCTTCATTGATCCAGAAGATGAAGTCCCCATTCGAAGTTTTATTCAAATCTTTGGACGTAATGTCCACGTGGTTTGGCCGAATGACAACCTTGGGGAAGTTTTGGCCGAACTGAAAAAGGGAAAATCCCACCTTGCCCTCGTCCGAGATGTCGACAATGAGGATGACACCAAAGACCCAGTCTATGTCATGCGAGGAATCATTACACTCGAAGATATTATTGAAAAGATTATTGGAGATTCCATTGTCGATGAAACGGATGCTTTCATGGACAATACTCAAGAAGTCAAGGTAGATCGTGTCGAAGGCTTTCAATGGGCCCGTCTTCGTTTGTTGGATTCCAAGATTACCGACAAGCGTCTTTCCGAAAGTGAGGTACATGCCGTTACGGCGCACTTGCAAACGAATCATTCCGAAACCTTCAAGCTGTTGACGCATGATCAACTGACTGCCCTTGTCTCCCGAACGCCATTGTGCAATTTTGAAGAAGCCCAGAGAGAAGTGGGACAGGCACTCCCCAATGAACTCTTGTACGAAACGAATAAGCCAAGTGATGTCTTTACACTAATATTAGGTGGTAAGGTGACCATTTTGGTGGGATCCGAAAGCTTTCGATCGGATCTTTCTTCCTGGTCTGTCCTCGGCAAGGGCGCACTGGAAAATGCTGCCTTTGCACCAGATTTTACCGCCTATGTGAGCGATGGACCTTGCAAGTGTCTTCGTATCACACGCGCCGATTTTGACAGTGCTGTGGATGCCTCCGCGGTGGAGCGCCGATCCTTGAGTGATCCTCGGCTTCCTGGAAGTGCAAGAAGACTATCGTCAACGGGCAGCGTGAATAGCGAAGTTTTGAACACCATTAGTGAGTTGGGAGTATCCAACCATCGCAAGCATACTCTTGTCACCTTGATGTCGAATGACGCCAAGGATGACGACAAGGTACCCGATAGTCCGAGCAAATCGCGGTTGAGTCTTCGCTTTGCAGATGTCATGGATTCAGAAGACATAATAAACAACGGAATTCCAGAAAATGGTGGGGAGAAGACTCTTGATGCCTAAACAAAATCAGCTGGCTGTATAATTAACAAAAGTAACCGTTTTGTAATCAACCTTCTACGTTTGGTATTAAGGTGCTAGTTCAAGGAGCCTTTTCAAGTGGGGCAAGGTACTTTGTGACTGCTTCGAGGACAAGTGAGAATTCAGCGCCTTCCCACCTTCCAAACAATGGATGGTTTCGGAAAGTCATCAGTGGAGCTCGAGGTGAATCAATGCCATGCAGGAACTTAGTAACAGCGAGCGCCGTATAGTCCAAATTGTCGGATGCACCAAATACGGTGGCAAACGATGCTTTTTCCACCTTCGTTGCCAGCTGGGGCAAGTTTTGCACAACAGTCATAATGTCGGGGGACAAATCTCGCTCTTTCAGGTTGGAAAACGATGAAGGCAAGGCTTCCTTGACATCCGATACTGACTTGTCCAAGTCTCCATCTAGATACTGTTGACAAAGTTCTTGAAATCGGACCAGATTTGTCGATTTTCCTGTGTCCAGAACTTCGGAACTCTCACAAGCTTCACCAACTTCATTCAAAATGTAGGCCATGTCCAGAACTTTGCTGGCGCCTGAGAAAATTGAAGATGAGAATCTTTCGTATAGGGTGTCAGTGAGGTCAGCAACGTGATCGTCAAAGTCGTTACTTGCGAAGAAAAGATGGCCTCGTGGAGAAACGCGCAAATGGAAGACTCGTCCATTATCACTGGTGTCCAGTGACATCTCAAGCTCGTTCATTGATTGCATTCTACGAAGAGCCGCAAAGACGTGTCGAGGTTCTGCTGATGGACCAAGCACTGTGGCGCAGTCAACAATCGAGAAGGTATACGCGCCAAGACTGTAGGCAAGGAACTGACGTTGAAAGGATTCCGGAACCTGATAGTCAGTACTTTCAATTTCCGGTGTGCCTTTGCTTTCTTCTCCAATCGGTGGATTGAAGCACTGGCAAACTTTATGAATGGACGCAGCAACGGCTTCTCGTTCTGCTAGTTTTTCTAGCGACCGCTTCTTCAAAGCAATGATGGCACGGTCGTAGTTGAAACCAACAACTTGGATAAATGGATCGCTCCCGCCGTCTTGTTCGATCAGCGATAGCAGAGTTTCTATGGTTTCTGATTTGCAGTCACACCCTAAGACGCTACTGCGAACAGGCAAAGCTACTTGCAGAGGCAGATTTCCAGTATCTTCTATGCTTCTCTTGCTGCGCAGCACAACCTCGCGGATTGCATATAAAAGTGCCCTGATTTGACTCTTTGAAATAATACTTGAGTGTTCTAGAGAGTGACGACGAGGGACCTCTTCCATCATGGGCAACGCGATTGCCTTGGCCTGCCGGCCGTCTCGTCCAGCCCGACCAATTTCTTGCATGTAATGCTCTGGAGAAGAAGACATGTACATGTGAACAACACCAACCACATCAGCTTTGTCAATACCCATTCCAAAGGCGACTGTCGCAACACAGATTCTTGCTTTTCCTCTCATGAACTGAAGACAAAAGATGAGGGATTTGATGGTCAATGAAGCGCTGTGCAAGTTTGATGACATACCATGCTCTGGGATCTACTTCTGGCACCCGCATCCATCCCTCCATGATACATAACAACTCCGCCCTCCACACCAGCTGCATTCAGACTCTCTGCCACTACTTCAGTGTCTTTTTGCCGCCAGACATAGACAATAACTGAACCCTTTGAAAGACTACCAAAGTGAATCTTAGCTGCACCATTTTGTTTTCCCTTGGTTAGTGGCGACAAAATTTTGGAAAGCTTCAGCACCAAAACCAAGTTAGAATAGAAAGGTCACCATGTCATTCAATGAAACAAGAAGAATAATCTACGTACCATGATCAAACGCTCTTCTTGACTCGTCACAAAGTGGCACGATACATCAATGTTATCGCGTCCACTTTCAAGAACTTGGACGCTATCATCCTTGTTGTCTGGATGACTCTTTTCTTCGACGATTCCGATGGTCTGGCAAATGTCATCAATGACACGAGGGCCAGCCGTAGCAGTTATGGCCAATATTGATTTCGGCGCCATGGTAGCCAAGATATTCTGAAATCTTAAAAAGCACGGACGAAAGTTGTGTGCCCATTGGCTTACACAATGGGCTTCATCAATACATAATAGCGAGATCTTTGGAAACTTGCGCTCGTACTGATTTGTGTTTGGATTCCATTTGGTCCGGAAGAGTCGCTGAAATGATGGACTTGCCAGCCGTTCTGGGGATACAAATAGAACCTTGATTCTCTTATGAATAATGTCGTCAACGATTGCTGCTGCCTTGGCAACTGATATGGAGCCGGAAAGGGTAGCCGCTGGTACACGTGGCGGAAGAGCCCTGAGTTGATCCTACAATTTCAAAGCAATAGTAGTGTGAGGGCGCCATTCCGAAATAGTACTGTATCATATGTCTTGACAAACACTACATACCTGAATCAACGACACCAGAGGAGAGATAACTACTGTTACCCCATCCAACATGGAGGCTGGCAAAGCATAACACAGAGATTTTCCAAAGCCTGTTGGGGCAACGAGCAGACTCTTCTTCTCGTCCAGACACCTTTGAATTGCCCACTCTTGACCCTCACGGAAGCTCGAGTGCCCAAACACTTGCGACAGCATCGCATGCATCCCAGATATCTTCGATTTTGATGCAGTGCAACTAATTTCTCCGTCTTCAAGATCCATAGACCCGCAACTCTTGTCGTTGCCATCTGTGTTGGAAGAATTCTTCTTTTCGTCTGCGTGAAAAATCTCAAGTTCGTCTTCGGAAGCGTCGGAATCATCCTCGTCACTCGAACTTTCAGAGTCATCACCCTTGACCGAAACCTTAATGCTCGCAACATTATCTTCCTCTACAGAAGTCGCAATTTCGTCACGGGCCCAGAGTGCCAACCGAAACAAGAGTTCCTTCTTCTTTCCGGTCTTTCTCAAGTTTCGTTTCGTAGCCTCTGCCCGCAATTCTGGAACGGTAAGAGTACGGAATCGTTCGACATAGGCCGCCACTTGTCGTTGAATGAATCCAGAGCAATTCGAGTCATTGTCGGCCAGAGCCGCTCGAGCTGCTTCCAGTGTATCATCCGCCCATTCAAAGTGATTGCACTGTTCTCCCCGAGGCATGGAGCAAGCATAAAACTTGCGGCCCTTGTTGCCAGTCGAAGTCTTCTTTACCACAACCAGTTTGCAAGGTTTTTGGTGCCTTGCACACTTTGGAAGTGTACAAGTTGTTGAGGGTGGTGCCTTTGACTTTGGATCTTTGCTCTTTGTTTGTTGTGACGATGACTTTTTATCATGAAAGACTCCATCCATATAGTCGTCCAATGGATCCAGACCCGTTCGCTTGGAGGTATAAAAGTTACCCGCACTACTGCGAGATTCATAGGAATCCTTTTTCCAACTATTGTTCTTACCATCACCATTTTCCTTTCCATTTCGTTCCTGGTACCGTTCTTCCCACCGGCTTCTTTTCTTCTTGTTCTTGGCTCCACGACAAGACCCTGCACTATTGCGCATGTTGAGTCGTACAAAGTTATCATTGACCTTGCTTGGTTTTTGCGATCGTGACGAAGAGAAAGAAAATTTTGAATCAGATGCGGTTGGTGGTTTGTTCATCTCATTGCTCATCTTGCTTTTTGACGGCAACTTGTTGCCACTTTGTTTCTCCTTGGCCCTAATTTCCTCCTCCTCTCTTTGAGCCATGACAACATCTGAGCGACGTTGATAGGCAGGTGGTGGAACGGAAGGAGTATCCTTTGGAGCAGCGGGAGCCTTAAAGGATACTTTCTTTTTGTCATCGTTCAATCCAACAAGTAGCTGGTGAGTAGCTTCGGTCGATTTTAAGAGCGAGGCGGTCGTGAAGATTGTCTTTTTCTTCTTGACAGGTTGTTTGGGCTTTTGTAGCTGCTGCGGTTGCGTTGTGGATAACGGCGTGGGCGTCTTTTCTGGTGACGCTACCACCTTTACCACTTGTATATCGTCATCATCATCGTCGTCGTCGTCACTACCCGAAAACCCATCGTCGTAATGCACATTGGTGGTAGCACTCGGCTGTTTGGGTGTTGGAATGATGGGGGCATCGGGAGGAGGAGGAGGAAGCACGTTGACAATTTCAATATCATCATCGTCATCATCGTCCTTATTATCATTTTGCACTGAACAAGGGAAGGGTCGTCGATGGTCAACGGTGCTGTGACTGTTGCTCCGGTAGTTCTTGTGCTTGGAACCGAGGCGGAGTCCCATAAGCGGTTTCGAAGTTGCTGCTTTGCCAATGATGTTGTTATTGGACATTGTGTTTGCTTCTACTTCTCTTCTTGTTGCTGTTGCCGTTTTCGCCGTTGACAGTGGTTCAGCAGTAGCAAAGCCTAGCCGTGTTCCAGTTTGGGCGAGGCTGTCGGTCGGTATGGAAGACGAAAAGAATGGAGACTTGTTGCTCATGGTGGTGGCCAGCCTTGGTTTCTTGTGAATAACATTGTTTGTTCCAATAGCAGCAGTATCCTCCACATTTCGAATGAGGGTACTCAGCGAAGTCCTTTTCGTCTTTGTAATACTTGGCTTGGAATGTTTTGTTTGGAAACCAGACAAGGAACTCTTCTTGGCTGCCGTTTTCGATTTTCGAAATCCGGGAACATTGGCCAACCCACCAAGTCTACTACTGCTACCAATGCCACTAGTGCTTCTCTTGCTGCTATCATGGTTGTTATTACTGCTGCTGTTTTGAATCATTCGAGACCATTGATTCTTCATGGTGGATGCTGCCTGTGCGGTTGACCTTGCAAATGGACTGGTAGTCGTCGAATTCGTTCCTCTGGATAGTGAATTTGTCAATCGATTGGAGCTGTTACTGCTGTTGCTACTTCTACCGCTTGTAGAGGCACTTGAATGTAAACTGGGCTTGTTGCCTGGATTGTTTGGAAACAAGGAGAGACTAGTTTGCTTTTTTCGTTTCATTTGGAGCAGCTTCTTCTTATGACGTTTTTGGGCGTCACTGCCATCCAAAATGCGTTCCAATGCTACAGTACTGGCCGGCTTTGCAGCAGGTGCCACTTTCGTAGCAGCCAGAAGCGGTCGTTTTCGAGATGGAATTGGCATTTTGCTGTACCGGTATGGATTCAATTGAATTGAGTTTAATTGAATTTAATTGACGTTGCCGACAACTGTGTGGCAAGAAAGTGCAACCAACGTTTGACACAGTGTCAAAATAAAAGCAACCGTTCTCTTTTTCTCCGTCTTGCTTCAAGTGTACCTGTACTTAGATCTTATCAAAGCGCCAAGAGATGGAAGCACAAGGTAGTTTGGGTGTTGTGGGTTTCGTGTTGCTACAGTAGTTGCTTTGTCTTGTTCGTTTTGCTTGAAGAAGCAAACTCATCACAAATAAAACCGAGCAATTTGTACGAAGGGAGGGGCTGGCTGGCGTGTTACGGTTATGGCGCGAAACATGGTCGAATGGGTCGTCTGAGAACATCAACACATCATCCATCGTCACATCACCATCACCATCCAACCAACCGAGCTTTTTATTGTACAGCAGCCAGTGCCTGCGGAACTCTCGATCAGCATCATCCTTTCAGTGGGTATGCGAACATTCCTTCAATCTTGGAACAAGTTTGGAACATCAAAATACTATTTGGAAATGAGAAACCACAGCAAGAAACGAGGAACATGTTGCACTATACTGTGGTTGACAACGACGACATCCTTCTACGATGGAGAGGCACTGTCCATAATAAATTCACAAAAAGCATCACCCAAACGATGGAGGCAAAGATTAGGACGACATTTCACTCCACATACTGCCACAAGATTTCATTCAACTGCTCTTGGATCATCGTCATCTTCCTCAACAGCAACAACAACTCCACCTCTCGATTGCTTGGATCCTGATTTCTTTCTACAACAGGTAGAAACAAGCGTTCGCAATGCGTTGTCCCAATTTCCGGACCACGACACCCAAAATGACAGCAATATCCAAGCAGCCCAAAAAGAGTTTCTTCTCACCTTGGACGGTCCTCAACGGGAATCCTTTGGTGTGGCTCAGAATTTGCATCAACGCTTGTCTGGTTTGCGAAAGAACAATGACTGTCCTCGATGTTGGATGCAGCGAGCCCATTGTATTTGTCAGGATTGTCCTCCCATTTCTACTTCCACCTCTGCACCTCTATTGCCCCAACTCGACCGCATATTTGTAATCATGCACCACAAGGAAATTGCCATGAAGGTCGATACCGCCAAACTCATCTTGGGCGCCTTTCCCGACAAGTGTCGGCTGGTGGTGGCTGGGATTGGTCCCGAGTATCAAGCATCCATGAAGGAACTTTACGAGGCAATGGAACTAAAGTCGTCAGCGAATGATGGTGATGACAATGATGACAACAAGAACTGTTTGGTGCTCTTTCCAGATGAGAATGCAAAATCCATTCAAGAGATTTTGGTGCAAGATTATCATGGACAGCTGCCGAATATGTCCAATGATGATGATGGTTCAGAGGTAAACGAGAAGATGGAAAACTACCAACCTTATGATTTGATTGTCCTGGATGGGACCTGGGCCCAGGCCCGAAAAATACACACCAAGTACATTGCACCCATGGAACAAGGAGGACCCAGGAGGGTCCAACTTAGTGAATCGGCCGTGGAAACGTTACAAGGGGCAAACGATCAATCGGGTCATCAGCTCCGGAGGCATACAGTGGCGTGGAGACAAGTGGGGACCTACGAGGCAACCAGGCTATTCTTGAAGGATTTGGAGCAAGCTCTGCCTAGGGATGATTTGCTTTTGTCCTCCAGTTCGGAGTTGAACCTTTCAGCCGAACCGGTTTGGAAACAAATTGCCAAGTATCAATCAATTTCCAATGAGGCAGCAAGGAGAGAGATGGGTCCACCAAGAGAGTAAGACGTCGACTCAAAACAATCAAAACAATCCAACATGCTGAAAAATATGAAAGTACAGTGGCGTGGAGACAAGTGGGGACCTACGAGGCAACCAGGCTATTCTTGAAGGATTTGGAGCAAGCTCTGCCTAGGGATGATTTGCTTTTGTCCTCAAGTTCGGAGTTGAACCTTTCAGCCGAACCGGTTTGGAAACAAATTGCCAAGTATCAATCAATATCCAATGAGGCAGCAAGGAGAGAGATGGGTCCACCAAGAGAGTAAGACGTCGACTCAAAACAAACAAAACAATCCAACATGCTGAAAAATATGAAAGAATAGAATAGAATTTTTGTTATGAAAATTTTACTTTTAAAACTAAAATATATAGATTCATCTAATATATACCATCCTTAACGAGAGCTTTCAGTCGTGAGCTCGGTACCGTCTCTCTTTTTCTTCGGAGTAACGCTGTCGTCTTCTGATCCACCAAAGCCAAGCTTCGCCTTGATCAAATCAGCCATGTAGGTTGGATTCGAAGGACCAACACAATCAGTCAGAGTCAAAAAGACAATGAACGATCCAACAGTGGCTTGGATAATGGTCATGAACAAAATTAAGGCAAACTTCTGGAAAAAGTTGATGACAGTGAACAACATAATGATAGCAGCGGCAATAGTGGTCACGCCGGCTGCCAAGATCGAAGGACCCATGCGGATCAAGGCTTGTTGAGTACGTTCGTGGCGGTCTACATCTCCGTGAGCGTGAGAATAAGCATGGCAAAAGTGGATCACAAAGTCCACAGAGACTCCAATGAGAATGGCAAAGCAGATCGATTCCAAAAATCCGAGGGTCCAACCAAGAGCCACAAGAGTTGATGTCACCGATGTCAAGACGTAACCGATGGTGAATGTGGCAAAGAATGTAAGCGAAAAGGAGTAGGAACTCAAGAAAATGACAATCGCGGCAGTGGCCAAGGCAATGGACGCACTTCCGGTTGCAGTAGTAAGCATTTGTCTGTTCGTGTCGAACCACCAGAAGGTTTGGGATGAGAAGATGACCTTGTTTGCAGTCTCTGGTGCGGTAGCAGACTTGGCGGTCATCCAACCGTCGATAGTGTTGTATTCATTCTCAAGGTCGTCGAAGGGACTGTCGAAACGGATGCGGATTGCGAATTCCATCATGATGATTCGGACCTTATTGTCCACGGAAAGGACGGTATCTTCCTCGTTTTGTGCAGCCCATTCCATCAAGCAAGCATCAAAGTTAGCCTCTGGAACTGGAATGCCACTTGCTCCACCGCACTTGGACGCATAACCTGCATCTGGACTCTCTTTAGCAGACTCAGTCTGCAGCCAAGCCGCAAATCGGTTGATTGGGCATTCGTAATCAACACTAGCAGGAGCTAAAAACTCTTCGGCAAACGCTTCAGGGCAGAAAGATTCCAGGAATCTTTGACTCGCTTCAGGTGCAGCATCAAAGGTGTTGTCAAGAACAAGTTGGGACCACTTCTTTGGGTTGTTTTGGTCTCCTGTATCAGCTGGTTCGATTCCAAAAGCGACAAGAATTGTGCTGCCGCCTGACTTATCGAGACTCGATTGAAGAAGGTTGTCACGCCAAAGGAAGTTTTCTTCAAACTGAATGGCATCCTCTCCAACAAGACGAACTTCGGCACTTGTTGGAAGTTTGAGAGTTGTTGCACCCCAGCAGGCCAAAGCGAATCCAATAAGAGACAAAGCCATGAGACCCCAACGGAACTTGTGAAGAATGTTGTAGTATCCAAAGAGGATTCTGTGGATGAGGCTCATTTTGTTTTCGTCTTCCAAACTATCCTCCCCTTCCTCCTTTTTGCCGCAATTGCAAGCATTGCAGCAATTAGATTTATCTGCCCGAAGCTTGGAGTCGTAAATACACAAGGCAGGGAAGACAAGCATACAGCACATCAAGTAGTCAAACATGATGAGCAAACCGCAAAAGATTGCAAACATTTTGATCTGTAGGGTATTTCAAAGAATCTGGGTGAGCAAAGATCCTGGAAGCAAGCTTGCACACAACAGAGATACTCACAGGTGCCACTGGGCAGATAGCAGTTCCGAAGAAAGCAATCGCAGTGGTGATGGTAGTTAGGAACATGGCTCCTGCGGCATCTGGAAAGGCAATGGCTGCAATGATTTCAGTGTCAGCGTCTGGATTCTCGATACGTGCGTTCTTCCATTTGTCAACAGCTACAAAGATGTCGTCAGCTCCAAGAGCAAAGACAACAAAGACTCCGATAAAGTTCAAAAAGGGGAAGAAATCAAGACCACCAAGAAGGGTGTAGACAAAGAAGGAAAGCGGGAAACTGAGAATAATCTGTAGCAGACCAATACCAGTGATGAAAGGACTCTTGGTGTGAACGAGAATGGCAATTGCGGTGATGAAAGCAGAAGCGCAAGCCAATGCCATGTCACGACCAACAACTGAATCAGTGAAGATTTTGCTACACAAAAAGTGTCAGTAATCAATATCAAGAAGAAAGGCGTCAAGTAAACAATTGAAACTCACTTGAATCCTTCGTATTGAGTATCATAGGCACCATAAACAACATCTTCAACTCCCTGATCGAATTGATCAACGAAATCATACATGACTTTTGGATCGGCGTTGGTTGCAAAGATCGACGAAGTGTACGTCATGAACTTTGTGCTATCAAAGTTCTCCTCCACAAGTGCAGCAGTGAAACCAGGAGGACAAGATGTAGGCATTGTGAAACCGTCCTTGTCGTACACTTCCTTCAAATCTTTGGTACATGCCGCCCACGAGTTTTCTGTTGCAGCTTGGTATTGGGTCCAACCTTCGCTGAGCTGTTGACAGGTCATTGAAAATCCATTCTCCACCACAATGCGCGCAAAGAGGACAGGACTGTAAGGAGGTAGACAACCTTCTTGGCATCCAAAGCAAAAGTTGTTGGCTTCCAAAACTCGCTGAGTGTTCTCTTCTGCAACGCAAATATCCTTGATCATGTTAGGACTGAGAAGAGTGGTAGAAGGGTTTTCGGTCTTCCAGATAGGCCAAAGATGTTCTTCATAGAGTAGATCCGTAATGTTGGCATACCAACCAATGTTACAGTTGGGAAGACCAGCAATAAGGCGTTGTCCGAGATCCGCCACATCCAAATCCAAAGTCGCTTGAAGGTCGCGGTGACTGGTCTCAAGGTACCACTGGGATTCCTCGCTCTCGATTGACTTCAACCGACGGCTCAGACCATCATCGGTTCCATCATCCCCTAGACTCTCAGTTTGCCATCCCGGCTGGACGTTCGAAAGCAAATCTCTCCATCTTGGTTCACCTTCGGCAAAGAGCTCGTCCTTGAATCTGCTCACAAGCAAAAGCTGTGTTTGCTTGTTGGCAATATCGGTTCCACGACTTTGCCAGCCTGCATTGTCCACGTTTGCATCAAATCCTCCCACTGTGAATCCCTAATAATAATAATGATGATGATCACATTAGACAAATGGCTAAACACTGGAAAATAATACAGTTTGCAGAACAAAAATGCGACTTACCACCACAGAAAGAATGACCGAAACGAGCAGCGTGGTCGACAAGAAAATTCTTGGAATACGAGCAATTCGCATAGATTGACGTTCCCAAAAGCCGTCGTTCACAACCGTTGGTGCAGTCGAATGGGAAATTCGTTTCACGTCCTTGTTGGAAGCCCCAGAGACTCGCTTTGGTGCAACAGAACCTGATTCTCCCATGGCGGATTTGGAAAGAGAGAGTCTTGTGATGGACAATTTCGAAGTTCGTTTGGGAGGTGGGGTTTCTTCGTCGCTCTCCGACTCAGAATCGATTTGAGAGCCTCGAAATCCCTCTGGCTCAGCGCTCAACCGCTTGCTAGGGCGATCCGTTTCGTCCTTCTTTGGCATTGTTTTGTTTCGGAAGTTTCCAAGGGCTGTGTGGAGAATTTTTTTTATGTGTCGTACAGTACAATTGCCAATCTGATCTGACGCAGTTTTGGGTTGCGGGGTGGTGGTACAAATGGAACTTACTTTGTCAACGAGGTTTTCTGCGTGAAGCGCGATCTGAGACAGTCCAATCGTACGAATTTCCGGCACGTGAGCAAGAAGATTGGAATTCGGGGGATCAAAATTGGAGTCAAAGGAGTCAATGGAAACCAATTTGCCGCTCGTTTCCTGTCGGCCCACGATTTGACCCACTTTTGGACATTCCCACAACAAGTCTTGCAATTCCTAGGACCTCGGTCGAAAGAGCTGCCTATTCCCACTGTGATAGAATCAATCTTGATACCCTTTTAGTTTTGTTGTCTACGGTACTCTTAATCAATTGTATATGTGCTAGATTCCAGTGTCCTCAGCAGGTGGCTGGAGCACGGCAGTAACTTCAATGTAGCATACTGTTGCTAGTGCCGTTGAATGAATACTACTACTGGCTCCGATTGGTGTACTCTTTGCCAGTTTCCTCTCGGTATCCAGTACCAGTACAACTGGCATCAAATGAACTGTAGCTTTCAGGCTACCTTGTTTAGTCGCTATCACTATCCATCATCATTGCCGCAAAGACACCACCTGCACCACCACTATTCTTGGATTTCCCTGCCTTCGATTTGGACTGAGTCTTTTTGGTGGACGACGAGGTTGCAATCCAAGCAGGCGCATGAGACTTGGATGCTGGCTTTTTGGCGGCACCTTTTTTGGGTCTCGATGCGGCCACCCCTTGCAAGCTGTTGACTCGTTCCTCAAAGGACTCGTCATCTTCGAACCATCCTCGACTCTTTTGCTGAGGAACAAACAAAGATAGATGTGAACAAACGATGTGAGATAATTGGGAGGTTGTAGCTTCACTGATCCTATATAGATACACACTACCACGTACCTCGAAATCGGCAATCTCCTCTTCGACCTCTTCTTTCCGAGCCAACGCTTTTGATTCCTTCAGGCTCAACAAGCGCCCAGCTGCCGCATCAACTACATCGGACAAGGACAGCAGCTCGGCTCGCAGTGTCAAGATTTCGGTTTCGTGCTTCAGCTTGGGTAGCGGCTTGGGCGTAATCCCTGACAACATTTCCTTCCTTGCTTCTAGCTTTGCTTTCATTCCGTTGAGTTTCTCTGCTTTCTTTCCTTCGGCTTCCTCAAGTTCTGCTGATACCTTTTCGAGACGCTCGCTTACTTGAGACAGGAGCTGCTTCTTCTCCCGACTGGTGATTCCACCTTCTTCCACCTGGCTGTGCATGAGATCCTTCACAATACCTTGCTTCTCGTCCAATGAATCAGATGACACGGAATCGTAAAATTCTTGTTCTCCATCCGTTAGCGGTGTCCCTGTCACCAGTTTCTGATCCAATTCTTCCAGCATAGTTTTTATGTTTGAGAGTGCTCCCATACATTCCTTCTTTTCACTCCAGGAAGGACATTTGCTCTTGGTCATGTTTTTGAATACTGCGTTGGAAGTGCTGACAATGAGATCTTCTACACTTCCCTTTGCAATTACAGGTACAGTTGAAGCCTGGTTGGAACCTGTTCCGTCGCCCGATGCTGGTGCATCGTCCTCCTGTATTCTTGGAAAGACCACGACAGTCTTGAGGTTCTTGCCCGTATCGTGTTGGAGCTTGAAGGAAGCCGCACACTCCTTGACGCAACTAGCACCTCGATCGTCTTCAAATCCAAGGTCTCGCAACGCAGACGTCACTGCCTTGGCAGCGTCAGCATCATACTTTTGCCGTCCCAATTTGCCAGCTCCAGTCACAAAGGTGATCCGAATCATTTCCTGAATTGGCAAGGGATCTTGGAAGGCGCTGGTGATGTTGTTGGTGATAGTAGTGACATTCTGTCCACCCAAGTCGAATGTAGATGACTCTGTAGATCCTCGGATGGAGGCGGCTAGTCCACTGGCATTTGTCATGGTGCAAAACAAACTGTTGATGGGAAGCTAATCGAATACAGTACAGTGTGAATGCTACAGTACAGTGTATTGTGACGACGATATGAATATTGAGCTTCTCAATATCCCGGGCTGAATCGAAGTGGTCGGCTCCCCATCAACCAACAAAAAGAACAACGAAGAAAATGGATGTAGGAAACTATTGTAGTAGCTATTTTTTCCAACAGGTCTACCTTTGATTGCAAATCAGTTTGCAAACCGCAACCTACTGTACGCTATATATATACCGGCAAGGCAGTGGTGGGATGTCGGGAATTTATGACTGTGACTGTGGAGAGATACTGTATGGGGCTCTTTTTGTTGCACCAACAGCAAGTGTTTCACAGTAAGCACTCTACCGACCGACCGACCGACGAAGTCCTTCGTGTTGCGGACGAATACTCGTCGTTTGTGGTTTGCCATTCGGCTTTCAACCGGAATGAATCAAGAGATACACTGTTGAAGAAACCATGTTTCAGTACATTCTTGCGTTCCTTGCGGGGAAGCTTGTAAGTGACTTTCTAAAAAAGGAACGGAAAGAAGATCCAGAAAGCACCCCAAGTGAAGCCAGTATCCTCGGGCTCACTGCAAGCGGAAAGATGAAGAAAGAAAGAAAAAACACCAATGCAAACAACAATGCAAACAACAATGCAAACAATAACAAGAGTGGTTATCGTCATTACATTGGCCAGGACACAACAGCTACATCTAATTCACGTATGTGCTTCTACTGTAGCAAAGAAGGCAAGGAGCACCCGATTGAATATTTCATCCAATACCCCTGCTGTGGCCAATTCATTTGTTGTGATTGCATTCGTCAAAACAGAAGACAGTCATTTTGTGGCGAATGTTTGACAAGTCTGCCGCAAAATTCGAATGCAATGCTCTTTATGTACAACCTGCTCGACAAAGGCGGCCTTAGAAAGGAATTGCATCACCGTATGCTGGGAAGATGCTTCCGATATGGTCAGGACACACGCATGGATGAACTCATGTCGTTTCCTGTTTACGAGCGAATGCCCAAACCTTGCCCACTGCTGGCCATTATGAGTCCACCAAGTGTGGGGCGTGCTGTGGAACATTTTTTAGAAGCAGCTAGGGATGGAGATATTTGTGCCATGCTCGACCTGGCAGACACGTACAACACCGATTTTCCAAACGATCCCTTTCAGAGGAACAACGAAACTGCAGAGTACTGGTTTCAAAGAGCTCTGGGAAAAGGAAACACGATATGCCCAATCGCTTTCACTCGATATGGAGAATTTCTATTTTGGGAGAGAAGGTTTGGAGAAGCGATCGAAAAATTTAAAATTGCAGCGATTTTCGGCCATTCAAAAGGCCAGTATAAGTATGCACAAATGATGCTGGATGGCTTGGGAAAAGATTCAAATGATGCAACTACCAAGGAAGCTGAGGTTGTTTCAAATGAAGAGACGACAGAAGCTATCGAGTGGCTTTGCAAGGCATCGGTGGATGGATACTACGGTCCATCCTACACTCTCTTGGCGCAGACCTTGCTGAATATATCTGAAAAAACTTTCGGGACAGCAGAGTTGGTTGGGAAGAGCCATATTCCACGAGTAGTTCAGATCTTGAACCTTGCAAAGGCAGGAAAATACAGAAACCGCCGACGAAACCCAAAAGAGATAATCGAGGAGGCAGATGAGCTTCTTGCTAGATACAATTGTACAAAACAGTGCTCAAATTGTGGAGCCATGGGATCCGAGAGTAATCCCCTTTTAGCTTGTAACAGATGCAACGTTACTATGTATTGCAGCAAGATCTGTCAGCGAAAAGATTATCGTGAAGGTCACAAGTTTGACTGTTGTGATCGTGAGGGGCTATTTGATTTCCACTCCATCAAGATGAAGCTACCTTGGATCAATGGTCAAGACTCGCAAGAAAGAACTGCACTGCCAATGCTACAGTCTACATCGAAGAAGACTTTATCGGAAATGGTTGACGACGATACCGATGAAATATACGGTGAAGAAGAGCTTGACTACGATGAATTTCTTTTGTCACAGATGATGTTGCGTATGCGCAAGAACCTTGAGACGTACTTGGATCGGGTTTTGGGAAATACGGACACGAGTTTGAACCTCGAGAAGAAAATCAAGGTGTTTATCACACAGGAAACAGATCTCAACGAAGCATTGAGTTTCGTGAAGGCGATGCAAAAGATTCGAAAATTGGGAAATGATGCAGCTCACAGGTCGCCAGAAGACCCAAAGCCTAATCAGAAAGAGTGCGAGGAAGCAGTTCGAGAATTTCGAAAGCAAAAGCAAGACTACGAAATTGCCCGCGCAAGAGTCGGAAAACAAGATCATGGTATGTCAGAATTATCGACAGTGCAAGAAAATACACCAACAGTCCAAGTCACGTCAGCAACTCAGAACACAACGGAGGACAGCTTACAGAAGAAGCCAAAGAAGAAAAAGAGAAAGAAGAAGAAGAAGAATTGAGAGCGTAATGGATTGAATCCACCTTACTTCCTTGCAGACACAGCAATAAATGCAAGGAGTCAGATCGAAGCATTGCTCCTTCAACATGGAAACGGAGACAAATTAGAGGATTAATATTACTGTAAGGATACCCACAAATATCACTACTACTCCAATGCAATCGAATGATAGAAATACATTCAACTTTGGCTTCATTGGTTTGCCACAACGGTACAGTACATGGTACGAGTCAGTACGAGTACCGTACGGGTAGGTCCAGCAGTGGCAACGAGGTTTTGAAGCGGTGATCGAAGTAGTCGGCTCTCACCACCCTTCAACCAAATTCAACAATGTACCCAAAAGCATCAAAACGAAAAGGGAAATGAAGCGTCGAAGGGAGGAACTAAAGTGTCCATCTAATGAGGAGCTTGTAACTCTTATATGCGAACCAGCAGGTGAGGTCACGAATGCTAACGGAAAGATCACGGTCCAACACCTCTGTCCCCATCCATATTGCAATCACAAGAGTGGTATCAACCTGATTGGTCGTCAGAAAGGAAAAAGCTACGCCAGTGTCATCAACCACCTCAAAGCTTGTATCGGTCGATACGACATTGAAGATCTCTACAACTTGTATACACACATCAAGGAACACCCGCAAGGCAGGAAGGAGATCTTGAAGGCATTCAGAGCGGACGTAATCGCCAGGATGAAACCGAATTCTGGTGAAATAGTAGAACAAGAACATGTTCAGCAGCGACGAAAGCATTATGAACTTCTATCTGCTTCAGAGTTGCAAGACGTCAACTCATCGATAGAGCATATATGTATGATAGGGGTCAAGAATCGACATGATGAGAGGAGACGGAAGCAGTTTAAAACGACGCACAAAAAGCTCCTGGAAAAGGAACACTCTCTACCATTGGATGCTCCTCCGGTGAATCCGTTTGGGCCTCCACAGCATCCAGACAACAATCTGTTTGCTGAGGATATAAGGCTGTATGGAAAGCACGAAACCAAGCTTTTTAGAGAAATACCAGACACTGCTTCGCCCATGGAAGCTTGGCCCCGTAGAGAAAAACACAAACTACATTGGAAGAAAAAAGACAGAATGTTTGATGATAAGGCATGGGATGTTGAACATGGAGATACGATAAACCCAATAGCTTTTACGACTGCTCGACTCTCCCAGAAAGTACCGAGTGCTGCTGATCAAGGATCGATGAACGGAAGTAACCTGCTGGTTGAAACCACAAATGTTGGATTGCATGAGACTCAAGTACCCCGAGCTCTACTACTTCGCTGTTGGGAGCGAGCGGTTCATGCATCAAGTTGTATGGCATCAATACCCAAATATGATGTAGAAGCGACTGCAGTTCCTTTTTCTGCGCCATGGGGCAGTCAGACACCAAGCAGTAACCTTGACGCACAGTCGTTATACAATATCGTACAAGAGCAAGCTGCTCGCTCGAAAAAGGAATCGAGGGAGAAGATGAAGGCACTTGGCATGGGCAACAACTTTCTCAAAAGAGCTCTCTTGGATCTGACCTGCTCTGTCTGTTCGCGTCAATTTGACGATCGTGCGCCGTTGGAAAGTTGTTTCTTTGGCGGTGTCGAAGCGAATGGACCCGAAACAGGCTTTCGAGGATGTTGCTGGAGTCTCATCAAGGAGAAGCAATTCTCAAAGATAAAATCTGCACTGGAGACCCATGTGCAGACACAGGTGACTGGTGCACTAAACTGTATCATGAAACAAGCGCAGGAAAGAGTGCCAGATCAATCCGGCAGAGATGAAATGCGGCTATTCAATTGGTATGATGTTTTGAAGTTTTTAGAAGGATCTATGACATCGTCGCAAACGTTTACAGAGGCGAAAATAGAGAAAGGTGTAACATCTGCTTTAGAAACTTTGGAGGTGCAACCTAAATCTACCCCAATTTTCTTGAATCCTGCTGTCCTGGAATCAGTGAGGAATCGTTTGGTAGATCGCTATGCAGACATTCCATACTAATCAAAAGGTCGGCTAATAATGCATTTCACTATCACTACAATTATTTCTTAACCTATTTTCCTATCATCCACAGCATAGTCACGGCGACAAACGTGAACAATGGAAACGACTCTGAGCCTCCAAATGACCGCATGCCGCTGGAAAATTCACACGGATGTGTGTGGTTAATGTCTCCACACACCGTGGCATTTGTAACTTTTGTAGGAACGAAAGTAGGTGCATTCGACGGCATAGGGGTAGAAGGAGTCGATGATTCAGCGATTGAAGGCCGTGATGTCGGATTTGCAGAAGGTAGTTTCGATGGATTCGCAGTAGGCGGTGTCGATGCCGCGTCCGTAGGATTGAAAGAGATTTCAATGGATGGTGTTTGTGAAGGTTTCGACGAAGGTGGTTCAGACGGCAGGAAAGTTGGTGAAGAAGTCAATTGAATTGTTGGCACTGTGGATGGAAGTAAAGAAGGTTGAGCGGTGTCTGGCTTACCATTTTCAGTGTATTCAATCCTGACTATAGAGGAGCCACGGCCGTTTGATCCGTCACTACTGAGAAACAATCGTCCGCAGTCATCAAATGATACATCGACGGGACGAAATCCATTGTCCCAGTTCGCATTAGGAGGTTCATGAGCAAGCAAATCGACTTCACCGCTAGTGGGATTTCCGTCACTATCCATCGCAACATACACTGCTTTGTATCCTATAGAACGGGTGAGACTAAGTAAATTGACATATATTAGTCAATCGTGACATGGGTGCAACATACCAGTGGGAATGTCTCTATTCCAAGATCCATGATGCGCAATGAACGCGTATCCATCCATGTACTGTGGAAAGGCAGTCCATTCATCGCATTCCTCTGGTAGCTCCGCCTTTGGCTTCCAGTTGTAGAATGTGATCCCTAGTGGGGCAGAGTGACCTTGCATCGAAGCAACTGCTGGAACATAGTCTTGCCGACATTGTTCGTCGGTGATGGCGCCACTGTTTAAAAAGCTTGGCCATGCCCACGCAGTTCCGATTCCTAGCCCTGTTTGCTCCGGGAGCTTATATTCTGTCCAACAATAAGGGTATCCCCAGTGCTTTCCGGCGTCTTCCTTCTTGAAGCGATTCAGTTCTTCAGCCTAAAGATGACGAACAGTGAGATTTGGATACAGTGATATGAATTTTGCTTCGTCAACAACACATAGGGCCTACCGGATTGTCTTGATGGATATCACCACCAAGATCGGATCGAAACAGATTGTCAGCTCCGTTCTCGACTCCCCATAAGTCGCCATGAGAATCAAAGGCAAGGCCAACTTCATTGCGCAATCCATCGGCAAATACCTCCATCGTCTGAAAGTCCACAGGGAGTGAAGTATTGTCCAAGATCACCCGACGAATTCGTGAACGATGAGAGTCGGGATCTACATTATTGTTGGAACCAACAGAAATATACAGATAGCCTTCGTCGTCAAAGATCAGTGTCCGGGTCCAGTGACCACGAGGAGCACCCCCGTTGCCATCAGCATTCATGTTCCGCACAGCAATTTCCATGCCCCCATTTACCACATAGTCTCCCTCGTATGGCCACCGATACACAGTAGTATCACTGGAGGCATAAATGTATCCATTCCGAATGGCAAGACCGTGATTCAAGCCGCTGGCCGCGGCGACAGTCCTCTTGGCATCTGGCATTCCATCGTTGTCGGTATCATAGAGATACGTTATGGATTCGGTCCCTCGTTCCAAGGCCAAAAGGCTGCTGGTGCCAGTCGAAAGGACACTCCTAACTCTAGATACACTGATGGGAAGCTGACAGGCAGAGAAGCCAGTTTCCAGGACTGCATTGGGAAGATCACACATGGCAAAGTTGATCTTGCGAAATTTGCGGTTTATTATTGTGTGAGAAAGGTGGAAGAAAAATAATTCTCATCAGGTACTTCTATAGTTTCCATATCGGATATTGAACATCCGTTCAATGTCAGTCAGTCAATCAGTCAATCAGTCAGTCAGTCAGTCAGTCAGTTCACGCCAAAATGAAAGTGTCTGATCAACAAAAAAGATATGATGAGAGTACCTGGTACGTACAGCATGATGTGCGAAGTTTGGCTCAATTGCCATCAGCCACTAGTAAACGACTAATGCCCACATCACAATCTTCTCCTCCATCATGAACTCCAGCGATAAGGAGGATGGTAGCTTAGCGGCCTCTGCTAATGCAATTACACACACTACCACAGTTACGACCGCAACCCTTGTTCTTCCGGATGACACGCTTCGCCGCGGAGATGAATTTATTCTACAGACAACAAGTGAGATTGCCGCTGCCACTTCCGACACACCCTTGCAGCAAGGAGGACATGCCATTCATATCGAAGGCATTGTGGACCTCGATGGATTAAGAGAACTGGTACCTGGTATCGATGAAGAAGAATTTGCAACGTTGTTGCACACACATCAGCAAGGCAACAATGATGATGATGAAGATAACACAACTTTACTGTCCACATTGATTCACCATGGCGAAGAATCGTACCTGCTTGGAGACGCAGAATCAGAACAGCAAGAGCTGGAAGATGTTCCTGTGTCCGCTGACGTATTTCTGGATACTCTTGCAAACACGATGTCACCAACAAAAGTATCTCGAGCGAACAAGACACAGACTTTTGAAACGTCAAATCAGGCATTTCTGCTATCAGTGCCAATGACTACTGCATCAATGGGTTCTGGAGGAAGTCAAACTTTGGTATTGGCCATGCCCAAAATTACCGAATCAGAGCCACTTATCATGGAAGAATCGGAAGTTGAGGCTGGGGATTCAAACATGGAAGGAGAAGCCAACGGGGAAGACGATGACGAATACCATGGATTTGTCGATTTGGTCCGTCAGTATTCGGAGTATCTTCCTCACATTCCTGCACTTCCAACGGACGTACAAGATGTCGAACTTGTCGCTACACATACAATCACTGAATTTCAAACAACTCAGAAAGTCGATGACGAAGAAGAGGAGCAAATCGCTCATTTGGACTTGATTGTGGAACGTCAAGTTCCTTTGATTGGCTACGTGATTTTAGTCGTCGGTCTGTTTGCCTTGGCTTCTGTTGGAGCAGCCTTGGATTTGCAAGAGGGTACTGTTACTCCGGCCATGAAGACGTATTGGAGACTCCAATCAACTTCAATGTGCATCTTCCCGCTTGCTGTGGTGTCTGTGGCACAAACACCGAAAGGAAAGCTCAAGGAGCAATGGTCGTCACTAACAAAGAGGGACATTTATTTCCACATGCCACTCTGTGCTGCCAGCTATTCGTTCATGACAACAGCTTTTGTGATTGCCCTGGACATGACGTCCTTGGCCAACGCCTTTGTACTTTCCAATCTTGCATCTCTTGTCATAATATGTGGCAAGTTTGTCCTTGGTGTTAAAGTGTTGCTATTGGAAGGCACTGGTGCGTTCATTGGCTTATCAGGGGCTGTTATTTGTGCTCTAGCTCCCCGTGTAATGGCAGCTGAGGCTCCCGGAAGGATGCTTGGTGCTCTAGCTTCTAGCCGAGAACACCTTGGAGATGGCATTGCTTTTATGTGTTCGTTAGGGTTATCGATATATCTGATTCTCGCAAAGAAGCTTCGACACAAGATGGACCTCTTTGTGTTTATGTTCGTTCTTTTCTCTCTTGCATCAGCCTACTTGTTATGCTACATAGTTTTGACGGGAGAAGAAATTCAAATTTCGATGGATCCAAATGTGGGAGTGTTTGGCTGGACGAACATTGTACCTGATCGATTGCCGCTGGAAATGTACATGGCAATTGTTTGCAACATCGCTGGTACAACTGGTTATATTGCCGTCATGAAGTACTTTGATCCCGTGGTCATTGCTATGGTGATGCTCACAGAGCCTGTCATTGCGACATTACTTGGAATTATTGCAGGAGTCGCGACCATGCCAGTGGGGCAAGTCATCGTGGGTAATGCCTTTGTCATCCTTGGTAGCACGATTGTGATTGCATCAGAATCGAAAAAGACCGAATCCATTGACGCTACTAAGGCTTTGAAGACCGTCGAAGCCACAAGTGACACAGCAGTTGTTCGAAATCCAAATATCGAAGCCCCCCACACAACCCCTAGTGCAGAGTCTAGGACAAAGGTCATATGGAAACCATCATAGTTCGCATTGTGGAAACTGAAGAAGCTATTGCCTGTTCAGGCGAGCCGATTGACCGCCAATTCACTTGAAGAGGACACAGATCGCAAGTCGGTGGCTGATGAAAAAAGATTTTTCCAAATGGGCCTTGGGGTGGTACGAGAATGGCATTTTGTCTATCTTTCTGAAAACATTCCTTAGAATAGACATCTTGTATCATGCTTCTAATAGTCAGTAGCGTTCAAGCTTGAATTCACGCTGTTTGAAGGTGACAGTCAACACCGAGAGGTGAAGTTGGAGCAGTCGAACTAATCAATGGTCACAGAAAGCGGGTCCGCCCGCCACTGCAACCGAAATGCCCGCTTCTGGCAAGGATCGAGGGCGTTCTGCGGCTAGTTTCATGGCTGTGGGTTTTTCAAGCTTAAACTCCGCATACACTTGCAGTGCTCTCTCTCTCTCTGATTTTTGTTTTTCTCTGGGTATGTCTCTGGGTATGTCTCTCATCATGGATCATTATCTGTTTCCCAAGCCTACAGACGTACGTACATGTATGTCTGCTTCCTGATCAGATGCGTTCGTGCGTTTCTCTGGTACAAATTCCAACTAGTCAAACTAGTCAAACCAGACAGCCGAATGAGAAGATAAAAGAAAAGAAAAATGAGAGTGCGTAGATTATCGGCGAAGCGTTTCGCTCAAGTGCCATCAGCCACCAATAAAAGACACATTCTTATCCATCATGAATTCCAATGATGATGACGTTAGCAGCTTAGGGCCCTCTGCCACTGCTGATATGGTCACTCACACTACTACAGTCGAGACTGCAACGCTTGTTCTTCCAGATGACACGCTTCGTCCCGGAGATGAATTCATACTTCAGACGACAACTGAGATTGCCGCCGCCACATCAGACGCACCCTTGCAGCAAGGAGGAGGTCACGTCATTCACATTGAGGGTATTGTGGACCTCGATGAACTCAGGGATCTTGTACCTGGTATTGATGAGGATGAATTTGCGACGTTGTTGCACACACACCAACAAGCTAACGGTGATGATGATGACGATGATGATGACGAAGATAACACAACTCTACTCTCCACACTGTTCCACCTTGACGAGCAGTCACACCTGCTGGGGGACATAGAATCAGAACAGCAAGAGCTGGAAGATGTTCCTGTTTCAGCTGACGCGTTTCTGGAGACTATTGCAAACGCAATGCCACCAACAGAAGTATCTCGAGCGAATAAGACACAGACTTACGAAACGTCAAACCAGGCCTTTCTGTTGTCAGTACCTATGACTAATGCATCACTGGCTTCAGGAGAAGAGCAGACTTTAGTATTGGCCATGCCCGAAATCAATGAATCAGAGCCACTCATCATGGAAGAATCCGAAGTTCAGGCTGGAGATTTGAACGAGGAAGGAGAGGAAGACGATGACGAATACCATGGATTTGTTGATATGGTCCGTCAGTATTCGGAATACCTTCCTCAGATTCCTTCACTTCCAACTGACGTGCAAGATGTCGAACTTGTCGCCACCCATACAATCGCCGAACATACTCCATCAGCCGAGGAGAAAGTCGATGGCGAAGAAGAAGAAGAAGAAGAGGAGGAGGAGCACATCGCACATCTGGACTTAATTGTGGAACGTAAAGTTCCTTTGATTGGTTACGTGATTTTAGTCGTTGGTCTGTTTGCTTTGGCTTCCGTTGGAGCAGCCTTAGATTTACAAGAAGGTTCGGTTACTGCCACGATGAAGTCGTATTGGAGACTTCAGTCGACTGCAATTTGTATCTTCCCGATTGCTGTGTTGTCGATGGCGCAAACACCAAAAGACAAACTCGAGGAACAATGGTCATCACTAACAAGGAGGGATCTTTATTTCGATTTGCCAATTTGTGCCGCCAGCTATTCGTTGCTGACAGCAGCTTTTGTGATCGCTCTTGAAAAGACGAACTTGGCCAACGCCTTCGTACTTTCCAATCTTGCATCTCTTGTCATCATATGTGGCAAGCTTGCTCTTGGTATTAAAGTTTTGCTTTTGGAGGGCACTGGTGCGTTCATTGGCTTATCAGGGGCTGTCGTTTGTGCGCTTGCCCCCCCTGCAGTGGTGGTCGAGGCCACTGATCGGATGCTTAGTACCCTGACTTCAAACGAAGAACAAATTGGGGATGGCATTGCTTTTCTGTGTTCCTTAGGAACAGCGATGTATCTGATCAAAGCGAAGAAGCTCCGATACAAGATGGACCTTTTCGTATTTATGTTCTTGATCTTCGCTCTTGCATCAGTCTTTTTGCTATGCTACATGATTATGACGGGAGAAGAGATTCGAATTTCGGCGGATCCAAACGTGGGGTTATTTGGCTGGACGGACCTTGTCCCTGATCGATTGCCGCTGGAATTGTACATGGCAATTGTTTGCAACATTGCTGGTACAACTGGCTATATTGCCGTCATGAAGTACTTTGATCCAGTGGTCATTACAATGGTGATGCTCACAGAACCTGCCGTTGCGACATTACTTGGAATTCTTGCTGGAGTCGAGAAACTACCAGTGGGACAAGTGATCGTGGGAAATGCTTTTGTCATCCTTGGTAGCATCATTGTAATTGCATCAGAATCGAAATCGACCGAATCCATTGACGCTACGAAGGCTTTTACGACAGTCGAAGACACCGGTGGTACTACGGTAGTTCGAACTCCAAAGCTCAAACCTTCACACAAGAGTACAACCGCTACTGCAGCTGGCACGGATTCTTCAACAAATGTGATATGGAAACCATCGTAGCTCGCGCCGTGAAACTTGGAAAATGGTGTCGGTTCAAGCATCGCCGAACAAAATGAAACAAGAGCTTTCTACTTCTACTAGAGCGAGAGAGTAATATGTCAATTAATAACGGTAGAAAAACTAGATAATACAACAAGATTGCAGATTTCAATTGCATTGCTCGTCTGGTGAAGTGGAGTCGTTGAAATGAAGTCGTTTCTCTCCTTTCAAGGCGATCAGTTTGGTTGAGAATAGAGTTTAGAGTTTGGTTTCTTTTTTGTGAGTCGAATGAGTCACAAACTATCATTGACAAAATTCGCTTCGCGGTACAGGTACAGTATTCTCAATGTCTGAGGAGCTCGTTGAAGAAGTGTACCATATACCACGTACTACGTAGTGAACTGTACACGTGCAGTAAACAACAGTACGTGTACACGCACTGTGTACGTTTATTTTGCAACGTATGACGCGAGTCGGGCGTTCTCGATCAGAAATCAAAAAAAGTCCACGAAAGAAAAATGAGGGCGTAATCCTTCTCATCAAGTGTCATCCAGTCATTAACCGATGGTTGCTTACATATGATACATCACAAAACTCTCGATCATGAATTTCAAAGACGAGGAGCATAGCAGCTTAGCGGCCTCTGCTGATGTGGTCACTCACACTACTACAGTCGAGACTGCAACACTTGTTCTCCCGGATGATACACTTCGTCGCGGAGATGAATTTATACTTCAGACAACAAGTGAGATTGCCGCCGCCACATCAGACGCACCCTTGCAGCAAGGAGGCCACACCATTCACATTGAAGGTATTGTGGACCTCGATGAACTCAGAGATCTGGTACCTGGCATTGATGAGGATGAATTTGCGTCGTTGTTGCATTCGCATCAACAGGACAATGATGATGATGATGATGAAGATAATACAACTCTACTGTCCACGCTACTGAACATTGACGAGCAGTCGCACCTGCTTGGGGACATCGAATCAGAACAGCAAGAGCTGGAAGATGTTCCTGTTTCGGCAGATGCGTTTTTGGAGACCATTGCAAACGCAATGCCACCAACAGAAGTATCTCGAGCGAACAAGACACAGACTTATGAAACGTCAAACCAGGCATTCCTACTATCAATCCCTACGAATGCGACATCAACGGCTTCTGGAGAAGAGCAGACTTTAGTATTGGCCATGCCCGAAATCAATGAATCAGAGCCACTTATCATGGAAGAATCCGAAGTTCCGGCTGGAGATTCAAACATGGAAGGAGAAGCCAACGAGGAAGATGATGACGAATACCATGGATTTGTTGATATGGTCCGTCAGTATTCAGAGTATCTTCCTCAAATTCCTGCTCTTCCAACAGACGTACAAGATGTCGAACTTGTCGCTCATGCAGTCATTGAAAATGTTCCATTTGCCGAGGCGCACACAATGGATAAGGATGATTATGGCAAGGACGAAGAAGAAGAGGAACAAATCGCACATTTGGATTTGATTGTGGAACGTAAAGTTCCTTTGATTGGATACGTGATTTTAGTCGTTGGTCTGTTCGCCTTGGCTTCCGTTGGAGCAGCTTTGGATTTACAAGAAGGCAACATTACTCCCACAATGAAGACGTATTGGAGACTTCAATCAACTGCAATTTGTATTTTCCCGATTGCTGTGTTGTCGATGGCACAAACACCAAAAGAAAAACTCGAGGAACAATGGTCATCGCTAACAAAGAAGGATCTTTATTTCGATTTGCCACTCTGTGCCGCCAGCTATGCATGGCTATCAGCAGGTTTTGTGGTAGCTCTGGAAATGACCTCTTTGGCCAATGCCTTTGTCCTTTCCAATCTTGCATCCCTTGTGATCATATTTGGAAAGCTTTTTCTTGGTATTAAAATTATGTTCTTGGAGGGCATTGGTGCGTCGGTTGGCTTAACAGGGGCACTTGTTTGTGCGCTTGCTCCCACCGCGGTGGCCGTTGAGGCTACTGGGAGGATGCTTGGTACGACGGCTGGGCAAGAAAACCTTGGAAATGGCATTGCTTTTCTGTGTTCCTTGGGATTAGCGGCATATCTGATTCTGGCAAAGAAGCTCCGATACAAGATGGACCTCTTTCTCTTTATGTTCATGGTCTTCTCTCTTTCATCAGCCTTCCTATTGTGCTACATGATTATGACGGGAGAAGAGGTTCAAATTTCAATTGATCCTGATGTGGGAATATTTGGTTGGATGAGTTTGGCCCCTGATCGATTGCCGCTGGAATTGTACATGGCAATTGTTTGCAACATTGTTGGTACAACTGGCTATATTGCCGTCATGAAGTACTTTGACCCGGTTGTCATTACTATGGTGATGCTTACAGAACCTGTCGTTGCGACACTACTGGGAATTCTTGCTGGAGTCGAGGGAATGCCAGTGGAACAAGTGATCGTGGGCAATGCCTTTGTCATCCTTGGTAGCATCATTGTGATTGCATCAGAATCGAAATCTACCGAATCCATTGACGCCACGAAGGCTTTGACGCCAGTCGAAGACAGCAGCGATACAACGGTTGTTCGAACTCCAAAGAATGCTTTGCACAAAAGTACAAGCGCTGACACAGTGAGTACAGCTGGCACGGAGTCTTCGCCAAAGGTTGTCTGGAAACCATCTTGATTCACGTTGAATACTTATGGTTAGAGTGACGTTCGTTCCACATAGGCTAGCATGCTAATTGATAATGGCTATTATTTTGATTATGCAGTACGCAGATTTGAATTGGTTGTTGCTTTTGTAACGTAATTTTGAAGCTCACAGCATCAATTTTTTAAGAAGGTACTTCTATAGCGTCATATACTCCAACCCAACTATTCCCGGCCTGCCTGAATTCATTCTTCCACAACGTTACGACAAGATGATGCCTCTCCGACTTATAGTCTTTCTGTCGTTTGTATCCTACATCCAAGCATCTGCAATATCATCCGCAACCTCGTATAGACGACAAAGCGCCCGAAACAGGACAACCAGAGGTGCTGAAGCCACCCAGCAACCGTGCAATGGGGAATCCACATTTCAAAGCCCTAGAAAGGCATGCAAGTATTACGTTTGGGACCTTCGTTCAGCGTTGTTATACCGATGGTGCCATCACCTATTGAAGGACCACGTTTACGAGGGCCGGGGAGGGAAAAAATTTGTCCGCTTCGAGTCAAACAGTATCCTACAATTGCTTTATCCTTGCAGTCGCTATGCTCCAAACAGATGCCTAGTGTGTGGTGGCAGCTTCTCGGATCACTTGGAACTCTGGTGGTCGAAGCACTTGTACACACCTTGGGATTTATGTATGGACAGAACATACAAGGAAGGAGAGGTGATAATGGAGGAAGACACAACCAAGTCCCGAAGAGGCCGCAACAAGCAAACCTCGCCTCTAATTGTATCACCACCAAGATATGCCTTTCACAAGCAGTATGTTCAAGATGTGAGTGATTTGATGAAGGGGGCAACTACTTTACAGGAACAAAAGAAACTACTAAAGGACAAGTTGGAATCATCGAGAAAAGGTGACAAAAAGAAAGCACTGGTTCAACAACGTCTGACAAGGTTTCCCGAATACGGCGTTGCCTACTTGACTCCTCAAAAACCAAAAGAGAACCCATCTAGAAAGGGCAAACGATCTTCTTTCACTCTTGAATTTGCAAGAGCTCTTTGCTTGCTCCGGCTTGAGGGTCTAGTTGCTGATCAAGAGTATGAAAACGCGGTACTAAAAAACGCTATTTGATGGTCACAGCTACTGCAATAACGGCTTCGACGTTGTATTGCATTGTGTGCTATTTTAAAAACTCCTATTGTCACTTCCATATTTACCTGATATACCTAGTAATGGTACTGTAGCTTTGATTAGATTTCCTCGTTTATCCAAATGCGGAATTTATTGACTTGTTCGACTGATCACCGATGATGAGATCTGTGACACTCATCCGAGGTTGCAGTATTATTGATCATCAGCTTGAAATCATGAACCATCTTCGTCATGAAAAGCTCAGAACCGCGACAATGCTGGTCAGTTTCCTGCTATTCTGGCTCGCCAATCTCGTTTCTGCTTCTAATTCAGCAGAAGTTGCCTTTGTCAACTTTTCAAAGGAAGAGGTCGTCGTATACTGGAAGAATGAAAAGAAGGAGAATGATCTGGTCAAGGTGGGCAGTTTGATGCCATATGAAAGCTTTCATTTGGAATCCTTCACTGGTCACGTATTTGTCTATGAAACCAAAGATACAAAGGGCACACTTGCTGTGGAAGAAGAAACCCATTTCTTTGCACTAGGTCCAGCGGAACTATTGGTGCAGTGCTCGACAACAGAAGGAGATATTCATGCCCATATCATGCCCGAATGGTCCCCATTGGGTGCTGCTCGATTCCTGCAGTTGGTGGACATTGGCTTTTTTTATGGATGTGCTTTGAATCGTGTCGTCCCACAATTCCTGACACAATTTGGAATCAGTGCCAGCTATGACATGCGTACAGCCTGGAGAATGGAATCAATAAAGGACGACCCGCCAGTGGACGTTCCATTTCGACCGGGGTACATGTCTTATGCTGGGTCTGGAGACAATTCTAGATCTACTGAAGTATTCATTGTCATGCCCGGTACTGCACAACATCAGCTACAGCATTTCGGTACCAACTCTTGGGAGACACCCTTTGGATATGTTGAAGAAGAGGATCTCACAACAGTATCCAACTGGTATGCCTACGGGGATATGCCTCCTTGGGGTGAAGGCCCCGATCCACAAATAATTTACAGGGAGGATGGTTACGAATACTTGAAAGACGAATTTCCTAACATGAGCTACATTCAAACTTGCAAGATAGTAGGCCCTGTCTTGGGTGAGGCGGAAGAGGAGCTGTAAGTGAGCATCTTGGTTCGTACCAGGTGCCTGGTTGGTATGGTACGAGAGGTACCAGGTACCTACTTGTATGATATGATACAACGAAAATCCAGGCATTCGCGCGTTTTGTTCACGCGTAGCTAAATCTCTCGCGTTTTATATAAAAATCAGATCTGTATATTGCATTTGATTTGAATTTCTGCTCCACTTCAAAACCAAACCGTGTTTTCGATCCTGTCCTATTTCTATCATCTTCAAGGGAGAGGGGCCCTCTTAATCCCAAGACCATGCACATCCAAGAAATCGTGATCGACGGCTTCAAGTCGTATGCACATCGAACTGTAGTCGAAGGGTGAGTATTCCCTGAATTTCAAGTTTTGAGTTTGCTTTGATAGGCAAAGTTTCACTAATTTCTGAGATGTCCGTTGCCCCTTCACAGGTTCGATCCACAATTCAATGCTATCACTGGTCTCAATGGATCAGGAAAGTCCAATATTCTTGATTCCATTTGCTTCGTCCTGGGAATTACAAATCTTAGTCAAGTTCGAGCCGGAAACCTGTCCGAGCTGGTGTACAAACAAGGACAAGCTGGTGTCAACAGAGCCAGTGTGACAATCATTTTCAACAACGAAGATGAAGCTGGAAGCCCCGTTGGATACGAGCAATGCTCTGAAATTACTGTAACGCGGCAAGTGCTCCTAGGTGGAAAGAGTAAATACTCTATCAATGGAAGAAACTCCTCCGCTGGACAAGTGCAAAACTTGTTTCATTCTGTTCAACTGAATGTGAACAATCCTCACTTTTTGATCATGCAAGGACGAATTACCAAGGTCCTGAACATGAAGCCCATTGAAATTCTCGGTATGGTAGAGGAAGCGGCTGGAACAAGAATGTATGAAACAAAACGTGTTGCAGCAATCAAGACCATTGACAAGAAGCAAGCAAAGGTCGATGAATTGAACGCTGTCTTGTCCGAAGAAATTACCCCTACACTTGAGAGACTCCGTGGTGAAAAGCACAGCTACCTAAAGTGGAGCAAGAACAACGCGGACATTGAACGTATCGAGAGATTTGTGATTGCAAGCAACTTTATGGATGCTCAAGAAGCTCTAGACTGCAACAAGGAAGGATCCGACGAAATGGAAGTGCAAGTAACAGCCCTCGAAGAGAAAGCTAAAGAATACGAAAGTCAGATCGCTGAGAAAGAAGAAGAAGCTAGCGATCTTTCGTCTAGATTGAAGGGTGAATTTGATGATTCCCACAAGTCCTTGAAACAAGAAGAAGAGAAGCGTTCGAAGGAGCTCGTGAAGGTTATATCATCTTGGAAGAACAAGAAAGAACTTACAAAGAATGCAGAAAGTGATCTCGAGGCAGCGAAGAAACTGGTTGAAGAGACCCAGCAAGCTCTTCAACAAAAGAAAAACGAATTTGCAGCAGAATCAAATAGCATTGAGACAAGATTGAATGCCAAGAAGGAAGCAGAAGCTGAATTAGAACGGCTGACTTCTGATTTCCAAAGCATGTCTGCTGGGCTCACATGTTCGCAAGGTGACGACGGTATGACTCTTCCAGATCAGATTGCAAAGGCTCACAGCGACTCCAAGACAGCAGAAGCAAAGGTCAAACAAGCCACAATGAAAATGAAGCACCTGACCAAAGAACTTGGCGTAAGTGTATCGGTGTCTCAATCCGTTCTAGATTGATTTGATACTTGTTCTCACCCCTGCATCTAAAGACTGTTGAGAAGAATCTGAAGAAGGAACAGAAGTCTGCAAGCGACTTGAACGCGAAGCGTGACAGTGCTGTGGAAAAGGAAGAAACCTTGAGCGCTGCAGTCTCAAACCTTGAGTTTGACGAAGAAGAATTCTCGTCGTTGGAACAAGAAAAGGATCAACTTTCTGCTAATGTAGCTGAATGGTCTGATATTGTTGAAGTCCTATCAGCAAAGCTTGGGAATCGCCTTGCTTTCCGCTATGCAGATCCAGTTCGTGGTTTTGATCGATCAAAAGTCAAAGGAATTGTTGCCAATTTGATCAAAGTGAACAGAGCGGTCCATTCTACGGCTCTTGAAGTTGTTGCCGGCGGAAAGCTTTACCAAGTCGTTGTTGACGAAGCGATCACTGGGAAAGCTATTCTCGATCGTGGAAAGTTAGAACGTCGCGTTACTATCATTCCATTGGACAAGATTCGACCACGAAAGGTCACTGACGCTGCGGCACGAAGAGCTGCTGACATTGCGCAATCACTGAAGACTGAAGCATGGCCAGCAATTGAATTGGTTGGGTACGATGAGGAAGTACGTGCTGCGATGGAATACGTCTTCGGATCTTCAATTATAGTTGATGGCTCCAAAGCTGCAAACCAAATCTGTGACTCTACCAAGACACGAACAGTTACTCTGGACGGAGACGTATACGATCCATCTGGTACCATTTCTGGGGGATCAAAAGACAATCTTGGCACAACACTCTCAGAACTTACGAAACTTGCCGAAATATCCTCCAAGCTTGAAGAGGGACAAGTGAGACTTTCGGAAGTACGAAAGAAGTTGGATGTCTTGAAAAAGAAGTCTGCTGACTATGATAAACTCAAGGGAAAATTAGAGATTGCTCAAGCCGAGCTTGGGGCAATTCAAAAACATCTTTCTCAAACATCATATGGGGTTCTGGAAGAGAAATTCAACGCAATGACTGAAGAAATGAAGGAAACTGAAAAGCAGTTCGAAAAAATGCAGAAGGAGCAAGCTTCAAAATGGGATCTCTACCACGAACTCAAAGAAAGAGAAGGGGAACTGACTCAAGAGCGAGAAAATAGGCTTGGGCAGATCGAAAATGATGTTCAGGAGGCTAAGAAGCGAGTCGTAGATACTGACAAATCTGCACGCCAGGCGCAGTCAACTTTGCAAACGCTTACACTTGAGCTAGATGGTCTCAAAACTGAAGTTTTAACAGCTGAAGAATCGGTAGACAGTTCCAAGCGCGCACTTGAAGCCGCTAACACTGAAGAAGATAATATGCAGATGAAAGTTGGTGAAGTCAAGGCCTCGTACGATGATGCCAAGACTGCTCTGTACAACTTTGAGAATCGTCTCGTCGAGGTTTCTTCTCAGCTTGCTGAATTGAAACATGTGAAATCATCCCTAAAGAAGAAAGCCGACGACTGCACTCTGCAAGCCAAGAAAATCTCAGTTACAATCTCTCGGATTCAAAAGGAAAGAGCCAGTGCCGAGAAGTTGGTTGCAGATTTGTTGAAGAATAATATATGGATTGAAAGTGAAAGAAGCGCATTCGGAGTTGAAGGGGGAGATTATGACTTCACTGCTACGGATCCTTCGGAAATGAGCAAACAACTTCAGTCCTTGAAATCCGAACAAGAAGCTTTGGTACGTTCCCCTTTTACTTTTGCAGTCCTATTATATTTTGTACTATTCTATTCTAAACCAATCCTTTGCATGATTGTGTAGAGCAAGAAGATCAACAAGAAAGTTATGGGAATGATTGAGAAGGCTGAAGGAGAGTATACAGAGCTTTTGAGAAAGCGAAAGGTAGTCGAGAATGATAAGAAGAAGATCAAGAGTGTAATCGAAGAACTCGATGTCAAAAAGAAGTCTGAGCTTGAGAGAACATGGAAAAAGGTAAACAAGGACTTTGGTTCAATCTTCAGCACCATTCTTCCCGGAGCATCAGCAAAGCTAGAACCGCCTGAAGGGATGCAAGCGTGGGAAGGTCTAGAAGTCAAGGTTGGATTCGGTGATGTTTGGAAGGAAAGTCTTAGTGAATTGAGTGGTGGGCAGCGATCTCTTCTGGCGTTGTCCTTGATATTATCGCTGCTTCTCTTCAAGCCCGCACCAATGTATATTCTTGATGAAGTTGATGCAGCTCTTGACTTGAGTCATACTCAGAACATCGGAAATATGCTCAAGACACACTTTTCACAGAGTCAATTCATTGTTGTTTCCTTGAAGGAGGGAATGTTCAACAATGCCAATGTCATCTTCCGCACAAAGTTCGTAGATGGGGTATCGACAGTCGCAAGAACGATTGGTACGGGATCTTCAAAGCCAAGAACATTGACTCAATCAGCCGAGAATGAGACAGAGACTCAGCAAACAACATCCAGAAAGCGAGTAGCTCGGGCTGGGAATCGTTCTAGGGGAAAAGAGAACTCCATGGCATAGCTACTGTAGTAAAAACTAGGCTTATTATGTTTGGAGTGTTGAACTTCAAATTGACCAGTAGGACTAAAACACGTCAGGATTTGAACCTGCAATTTCCGAAGATACAAAATCACCACATCAAACTTCAACAGCATGCTAGGAATCGTCTATTTCGTAGCTTTGTTGAGTATTTCTACATCATGGGCATTCATAATGCCTTCAAACAGCCGTGGAGCGCTGTCGTTCAAAAACGCAGGTCGAGAATCTAAGACTTCGAGATCGGCAGCTGTTCAGTCAGGTGACCGAGTTCTCGTTGTTGGCGGTACTGGAGGCGTAGGACAATTGACAGTTGGAAAGCTACAAGGAAGAGGCGGGTTCGAAGTGCGAACAACAACTCGGAATAAAAGCAAGGGGGAAGAAGTAATTGCTGATAGCGGCGTCAATGTGTTTGAACTTGATCTGTTGTCCGAGGATACGACTGCGCTTGAAGCTGCAATGGAAGGAGTTGCAGGTGTCGTCATTTCGGTCGGCACTACTGCCTTCCCCACAGCTAGGTGGAAGGGAGGAAATACACCGAAAGCAATCGACGAGGAAGCTGTCAAACGAATCGCAAGTGTTGCAGCAAAAGTTGATACGATGAAAAAGATTGTCATGGTCACATCAGTCGGCGTAGATAGAACAGGCGAGATGCCATTTCTGATTCTCAATCTATTCGGTGTCTTGGATGCAAAGAAAAGTGGAGAACGAGCAGTTGCTACTGCCGCTGCACAGGGCGGGTTTGATTACGCCGTCATTCGTCCAGGACGATTGGTAGGTGGTCCATTTACAAATCTTGATGTTGCAAAGCTTTTGAAAGTGGAAGGCGGGGCAGAGAATGGAGTTTCGCTCGCGAGAGGAGATTCGCTATTGGGAGATTGCAAGAGAGACGCATGCGCAGAGGCGGTCATTCAATCGTTGATTAACGAGGAATGTAAAAACCTTGAGTACTCCATCATTTCGACTGAAGAGAAAGCGCTCACAGATCCCCAATGGATAGAAGCCTTCCAAAAGCTTTGAATTGAGTCCATCCCAATGCAGCCACCTCTAGTGAGAAAAAAATCTATACGCTTAAGAAATTCTATGCTATCAGTCTATATGTCGAATCTCCCCATCTTGTTTGTAATCCCGGCATCAGTTGAGGTCCTTGATGATATAGTTGCGATTGGATTCACACTCGAGTTTCCCGTCACTTGTTCGGGAAACTGTGCTTCAAGCGTGCGAAGTGTAGGCGAATTTTTTCCAAGAGCTTGCTCTTGTTCAGCTTGGAAGGCAAGACTCCGTTGCCGTTCCGTTGCAACTTTGTGCATCTCCCGAACTTGATCGTAGCGTTGTAGTAGTTTATCGACAGTCACTTGCTCCTCTGTTTTCGGAAAAGCTTCGTCCTTGGTGGGCAATTTGCTAAGACCAAGATTGTCTCTCAGATTACAGACGGCTGTGAGTCTGTTGTTCAGTAATCGAAATGCATCTCCTTGTGGTAGACACAGAAGGATACCATATATGCTCTTGAGCAGTGGTGCGTGACTCTTGGATTCCACATCCAACAGTTTCAACCTTAGGTGAACAAAGATTGGACTTTCGAGCAAGTGGACAAGTTTATCAATTTGCATCAGGAAACCAACCGACACATCATCTACTTGAGAAAATCTCTTGACAAGTGCAAACGACACGTGATATGCCTCTGCCAGCAAACAAAGAGAAAAGGTAGAGACGGGATTATGGCACCAGCATCGGAACAGAGTCGAGAAGACTTGTGAGACGCCAGTTATGGAGCCATTTTTCGTTTGGAGGCGTTTGACTGGTCGAACATTGGTCTTGACAATACTCTTCGCAAGTTCGGATCTCAAATCGTGCAACTCGGAAGCCGTGAGGAGGATCAGACTCAGCGTTTGGACCATGGTGCTCACAAATTCCAATGTTTCTGCGTTTGTCACTTGACCATCGACAGTAGTTTCGAATTGCATCAAGGCATCTGCAAGTCGTATGTAAACACTCTTTGCATTGAGCAGTACACAAAGCTTGCGGATAATTAACGACCCACGTGTCTCGAGCAACTGTCTATCCTTGAGAAATAGATTCAGAATCGCGTTCAGTACCAACTGAAATTGGGCCTCCTCTGTTTTCTCGGCACCACCAAGCTCATTCCGCTGGGCCAAAGATATTCTGGATAAAACTCGAAGGTTCAAAAGGACGACTGGATCACTGGGATCTGATAGTGTACGGAGCAAGACTGGCATGAGTTCTTCCACGTAATCAATCATGTCTGCTTTTCGTTTCTCCATGAGCATATTGATCCATGCCAAAGCTGCCATTTTGGTTGGAACATCTTCCTTGTTCAAAAGCTCATTTGTGAGGGTTTCCAATAGGGTTTTCAGCTCAAAGTCTTCATGTGTTGCCTTTACCAGGGTAAGGAGATCTTCATTGGTCCGCTCTGCAACAACTCTGATTTCCATTTCTCCATCTGATATACAACACATGATTGCACCAAGAATATCGGATTGATACGGCAAGAGAGCATCGCCTCCAGAGTGTGGGTGATTGATCAATTCCGTCAACCAAGTAATGGCCGTCAATCGATTCAGACGTTCCTTATTTTGACATTGAAAGACCAAGATGGAAATGATTGGACCAAACTCCATTACCGAACTCAGTGTAATCTCGCGTAAAAAGTCTGACAGTGCCGAGTCGGCAGCTTGACGAATCTCTCGATTGGAGTCACTCAACATGTTGAACAAACCATCCAGAAACTCGGGCAGATGATCCAGCATATTAATATCGGGGACAGAATCTAAAAGCGTGATCCAGCCAATGATCAGCTGGCGAATGTATGGATTGGTGCGTCGAATGTAATTTTGCAAAAGAGGTAGAAATTGTGCGACATGAAAGGATTCGGCCTCCGTGACAATATCCTTGATGAGCCGGTCCAAAAGATTGGCACCATTCTTCACATCGACATCCACATCTGCAAATAGTTTCGTCAGCCCTTCGAAAATCTGATTGAAGTAACCAAGGATGGCCTGTCGAGACACTTTAGCAATATTGTAGAGACTTTCGCAGGCGTAATATCGAACTCGACTTTCGGGATCATCAAAACAATGCAACACGGGAGGAAGCAACACTGGCAAGTAATTCTTGGAGTTTTGCATCAGTCCAATAGCAGTAGCCGCCAAGCCTACCAAACCTCCTTTTCGATAGTTCGAATTCATGCTTGTACAGAAATCCTTTGACAAGACGGCGATGACGATTTGAATCATTTGATGGTTATTGGATTCTTGGAGTACCTTCACCATCGCTTCGAGTTCAAGCGCTGCATTCTTCCGTTTGTCATTGGATCGATCACCTAGAAATCGTTGAATTGTTGGGGGTAAGGGACTTTCATTGGAGATTGTATGATGCTGCTGTGACACGGAGGTTCCTTGTGATATCGTGGAACTTGATGGGCCAATCGCTGCAGCTCCATGTGGTTGATGAAACGCTGGTCCACGGCCTGCTCGTCGATTTGCAGGAGGACGAGCCTGATGTGGATTGTCTTGGTTTTGTGACCCCGATGTGTCCCAAGAGTCTCTGCTTTGGTTATTCATATTCAATATTGTTCTCGACGATCTTTGTTTGAACACTGTTGGAGAAACAAATCGAACGAGCCAAAGACGTGATAAAAATTGCTTTCAAATTTTTTCGCAGTACGTTTTTCTACGCAAGTGTTTATTCCAATGCTAACAACAATACCAGCATGTGGTGGCTAACACCAAATTCGTAATATTGGAGAACAGACCAAAACATTATTCCCTTCAATGTTACCAAGTTGAAACATGACATATATGAATCTAACATATCACCATATCACGTTGACAACAGCTTTGGGGGCATGCATCGCAACTCTGGGTTTGGATTTGGTAATATACCATAATTTTTGGATTATTCAACACGACATCGTGGCCGAGTGGTCTAAGGCGTTGGATTTAGGCTCCAATCTTCGGGCGCAGGTTCGAATCCTGCCGATGTTATTTTTGCATCACACCAAAGTGTGATGGTAGATATTGTTTTGCGTCAATTTAAGCTTCTTTGCATTCCTCTCTGAATTCCTGTTTGTAGTGTCTGCATATTACACAATTACCGTACCAGTACTGGTACTCACCATGCAGAATGTTTGCCCTTTAGATTTCGGCGATGATCTTGAAACAGATGCTCTGTCATGCGCGCAGCGCGCATTCTCGGAAAAAGAACTTTTTCGGTATGAAGAATTTGTCATGGCATTTTTGTTGTCAAAATTCAACTTGAGGATACGTAGGTATCCGACAACAGGCAACAGAAGACAAACAGACCACTTGTGCGTGCCGACACCCACAAACGCTACAGACTACAGTACCAATGACTCTTCTTCGCAGCATGCTAGCAATTGCTCTAGTTTCCTTCCTATTTGTGCAAGCAAACTCCTTTGCAACACTTCCATCTTTGACAACAAAGATACAACGAAAGTGTCTGGGATACGGTTGTCATCAATTCCCACCGCTCAAGCAAAGTTCCGATGACCATGAAGAGATCGAATCTAAGATTCCTCAGCTTCCGGCCATCGGAACGTCTTCACTCCACCAAGGAGGCTCTTCCACGGTCCAAGCGGAACCACAAGGAAACTCTCATGAACCCTTGAATGACGTCGCTTTTGTATCGCCAAAGTTCCAACTGCAGTACACTTGCAAGGTCTGCAATACACGAAATCATCATCTTGTTTCACGCATTGGTAAGTGATCAAACAAGAATGTTGAATATCTATCTCGCGATTGTGCAACCATGCACACAGCCTCATGAAGTGTTTCGACACTTCGTCATTTCACTCACTCGCTCACTCACTCAATGATTTCATGCAGCTTACACAGAAGGTGTCGTCATCACGACCTGTAAGGGGTGCAAATCCAAGCACATGATCGCCGACAACCTTGGATCTGGATGCTTGGATGGTGACGCCAATATTGAAGCATACTTTAAAGCTAGAGGGATGGAAGACATTACTCGAGTCACGGAAGAAGTCTTTGAACTGGAAAAAGTCCTCAACATGGATGCCCTGGTTGGTGACGATGGGAATCCAGTTTTGGAATAAAACGATACACTTCCATCAAACAAAGGCTACTGCATATATGCACAGGCACACATTGTATGAGATGCCTATAGATTTCGGCATCAGCACATTTTTGAAAATTATAATAGGAATCATCAAAATTCCATTGGACATTAACTTGAAAAAGTATTCATTAGGATAATTAGAAAGTTAGAATAATGTTGAACGTTCTTCAACTGCTGCCTTCGTTGTCACTTTCTTCTTCTTCTTCGGAGCTGCTTTCTTCTGATACTCCATTGTCGCTGAACTCAATTTCCGGAGTTTCTTCTTCAACAACCTCAGCACTACGCGATGACTTGGCTAGCGGGACGCTGAGGTTGGCAAGACTAATAAGGACAGCTTCTTCCGTACGAATGGTCCTACTTCCTTGATATGGGCATGTATTGAGCCTATAACAGGAAACGAAATCGGGGGAGATAACATGTTAGGAAAGGTACGAGTACAAAAGAGGTCGACAGGTAACAATAGAAACGTGTGACATACCAAATGTCAAAGAGATTTTTGCTCTGCGATCCAGGTAGCTTAATCGATTCATCCGCGTCAACGCACTCTTCGATTCCTGCAACACCACCAAAGACAATCAACGAGTGTTCGTACTTTGGAACTTGGAAGTTCTTGTCTTCGGTAGATTTGTCACCACGTTCGCTAGTTCCAATCTTCAAGTCATATCCTCCTTCAAACGGGCACTCATCGAACACAGCATTAATGGAGCTAGCCATTCTAGTTGTGTATCCCCAGTAAGTACCATCGTTCTCTCTTGGTGCCGAAGGCGATACGACAGTCCCATGGATGACTCCGGGCCTGCCATAGGATTTTGGATCCAACTTGACTGTGCATCGGATCCCTGGCGCTATTCGGCGGTCGATTTGAACGGGCCGACTTCTAATTCCACAATTCACAAGTGAAGCAGAAGGGTTGGTTGGTCGTTTCTCCAACACGACACCCTCACGAAACTGGCTGTGATCTTCTACTCGAACATGATGTGGTGCATCCGTGGGTGCCAACAGGCCTGCAAATTGCAAATCGGGGTGCATTGGGAAGAAGTGTCTTCGCAGATATTGAGGACATTCACAATATTGCAACAGACGAGCCATGAACTCTTGGGGGTTGGATCGTGGCCTACGTTCGCCCTCAGGTTGCTCCTTGTGTCCTTTGTGTTCTTTGTGTTCGTTATTATCCTCCTGATTCTCGTCATCTTTCCTTTCTCGTTTCTTTTGCATATCACGCTGTCGCCGCCATCCAGAATTCTCATTCATTTTTCTTCCAAGTTTGTCGTCGAAAACAATGATTTCATCGACATGGTAAATAGTGGCTGCACGAGCGATTTGTCCCACCATGAGGGTTCGGAGTTCCTTTGTCTGACAGTTTGTCAAGACCGACCCTGGAAGTGCAATGCTCAGAGTCGAGAAGCGAGGTTTCTTTCGGCATGGTACGTTTTCCATCACACGTCCAAATCGATGAGCTGTTGGAGCATAAGACTTTGGGCGCTTCTGGAATGTTCGACTCTTGTCAGAATGATGTTCTTTGTTGCTGCTACCATTGTCATTTTGCTCTTCTTTTCGAGGTCGAACTCCACCAGCTTCCTCAATTTTTTGTCGTTTCTTTAGACGACCTTCTTCTTTGCGCTTCTGACGAGAATCGTTAACTTGAGACATCTTGATCTAGTTTGATCTTGTTGTATCTCAACAAGGTTGGAATGAACTTGCGTTGCCAAAAACCGAATGAATCGACGACTTTCGTGTGAGATTTGGTGGCCATCATAGTTTTCGCGCGAAAGGAAGTCGGACGAATCAATCAATCGACCAGTCTGCGACGAAACCAACCGTTGAAGTTCAACAACAACCAACAACAGCTTCAGAAGAGGTGAAAAGCAAGTGGTGCAAGAAGATTATTTCATTGGTCGAGAATGCTTCTATTTTATAGAGCAAAAACGCACCGAAGCTAGACTCGTATCGTCGAATTTTCTGTACATCTGAATTTTCGGTACTTACAACCCAAATGGCGAAGAAAAAGAAAAAGAACGTCAAGAGGAATACCAAGAAGAAGGCAAAGAAGACCAATAAAGAAAATGATGAAGAGAAAGGAAAGAGGAAGGATTCGCTTATTACGATCCAGAAACATTGGCGTGGTACACAAGCCCGAGAGCAATACAGAACATGTCATGCTTCTTGTGTTGTCGTACAGAGCATCACCCGTCAGTGGCTGATTCGACGTAAAATCAACACTAGGATTCAGTCAGCTATAGACATCCAGAAAACATGGCGTGGTTATAGCAGTACCACGAAGATCAAGTCGTTGCCCGAGAAGACGCCCATCGAACAAACAAGAGCCGCAACGAAGATACAATCGATTTATCGCATGCTGATAGCCGAAGAGGCCTACCATTCAAGGCAGCAAATGTCATTTTTGAACAGACTCCGTGCAGCAACAATTCTGCAGAGTTTCGCACGTCGACAAATCGCTCACAAGTCCTTCTACACGCTTCGCGACTGCATTACTACCGTTCAATCTTACGCAAGGGGTCGTCAACTCAGAAAAATGTTAGAAAAAAGGGCCAAGGCTGTCATTATGATTCAGAAGCACACCCGTGGTTCGATTGTACGCGGCTACATGCGAAGGCTACATTCGAGTGCAATAGTCATTCAAATGTTGATAAGAATGGCTCTTGTACCAAGGAGACAGTTTCAGTTTCTGCAGTTGCCTCAAGAACGGCGAAAAGTGTTAAACCGCGCTGCGAAATTGATACAAATAGCCTTCTTGAGATGGAAACTGCAACTTGTAGTAGAATCTATGCAATGTTCAGCAATAATTTTGAATAGAGGCATCCGTGGGCAGCTTGACCGATCAGCGGCAAAGTTTGCTCTATCTCATATGAATGCTTCTCTCAAAAACTCAGCTTCGACCCCATCATTTGCCAGGCTTGTAGCTGGAAACGACCCAAATTTCGCATCAAAAGTCGCTGCATGGGAACTATCTGTTTTGCAGGCGAAATTATTTTCAAGCATTGTGCTGCAAAGGGCTGCTAGGCGATTTCTTTCGAGGAGACAAGAGTCTCGCCAGTCTGATGTTCAGGTCAGCTCTCAAGTATTGCGTGGCCCCACAACGGAACCCTTTTCATCGGTTATTCAGTGGGCCTTTGGGAGGACGAAGCGCGAAGCCACCGTCACCATGCGTTTGGAGGCAGCCATTCGGCTCCAAAGTAAATATCGGGGATGGAAAAGGAGACAAGCATACAACTCGATGTTGGAAGATAGGTCTAAGAAGACGGACCAAGCTGCAGCCATTCGACTGCAAAGTGTATTCAGGGCGCGGAGAAGCCGAAATGTGTACCATTTGCTTCTGGACGATCAATGTCAAAGAAAGAATCGAGCTACAGCCAGTCGAATTCAAAATGTCTCGCTGTTGGAAGATAGGTCAAAGAAGACGGACAAAGCCGCAGTCATTCGACTGCAAAGTGTTTTCAGGTTGTGGAGAAGTCGACAAGCATGCCGTTTGCTTTTGGACAGTCAGCTTCGAAGGAAAAAGCAAGCTGCAGCCACCACTCGAATTCAAACTGTATTCAGAGTGTGGAGAAGTCGCAAGGTTTATGACTTGCTTTTGGAGGACCAACGCCAAAAAACGAGTCGAACCGCAGCCACTAGAATTCAAACTGCGTTCAGAGGATTGATGGGACGAAACAAATACGACTTGCTTTGGGAGGAGCAACACCAAGAAAAGCATCGAATTGCAGTCACTCGAATTCAGACTGCGTTCAGAGGACTGATGGAAAGAAAGGCACATCGCTTCATTTCACTGGATCGATCCAAACAGACAGATCAGGCTTCTATTGACTTGCAAAGAGTTTTTAGAGGCACGGATGGTCGAATTTTGGCTGGTGCGTACACTTCACAAATGACAGATTTGTCAAGCCATGCGACTGCTAGTGTTCTGCATGCTGCTGAACTTTCTAGCACAGCTACTGTCTCTCATCTGTTGGACGATCAGTCAAGCACTTCTATGGTATCCCCAAGTTTGAGACAGCTCATAGACCGTGCAAAGGCGGCCCAGGCGGAAGCTTGTTTTCTTGCAGCCAATATCTTACCAGGTTATGCCACCACAGTTCTACAAAAATATCCATAGCAACTCGAAACTAGAAGATAGAGTATTTACATCTGCCTGGTCGACATGAAAAAAAAACGGAGATATTTCGATTTCAAATCATGGCTGCGGAATGTAGCTTGGGTGAGAGTGTACCCCCATCTTGCAAACTTTTTCAATGACGTCAAAGCATTTGTCGAGATCAAACACATCTTTTGTATCCTTGGTACTTCTCAAACTACTTTCCATGTCAATCCAAATGTCTCGTCCTTGACCCGCTACCAGAACGTCTTCCAAAACTTTTTCCACATTGCTGGGTCCGATGCCACCCGCATATCCAATATCGTATTCATCAGGTGGATTTGGCCAGGATGATGCTAGGACTCCTGTTCCTTTGGACTCGTCGACAAGCATTGTGACATTTTTGGGGAGATAGCCAGCCTTTCCTGCCGTGTCACTGTCTAGTTTCAATAGCCCCTCCCAAAGAGGTTGAGTTTCGGCGTTCTTTTGCAAAATAAACTCCAAACCAGGTAGTTCTGAGACAGTTTTAGCAAATATTTCCACTGATTCTGCCAGTCGAGATGTATCCACACCATTGACAGCCGTTGCATTGATTTGCACTCGTTGAAATCCAAGGTTTTCAATCTTGACCAAGAATTCTTGCTTCCCTTCCAGAACCTCATTGACCCGCGCTCCACAAAGATGTGCCGCGAGCCTCATTGTGCCTCCAGAGGACGCGGAAACCTTGCTCAATTCGTCGACCCATTCCGCCGAGGCATACCGTGGCTCTCCTTCCTTGTCCGGTCGAAACAAAACTCCAAATTCGACAAATGGATAGGAATGGCTGATAACTCCCAACATTCGGGGACTAACAGAATTATCAGCACCACAAAATCCTAGCGCCCGAAGCTTGGTTGTTTTAGCTCTCTTGCTGTCTGGAGGTGTCATGATAGTTGCAGTAGAGTGTTGCCTGTATTATTGTGGATCGATCATCATCAAATTGTTCTTGTTCGGATTCTCATCTTGCGACACGAACGTCAGACTTTATTAGAGGGATTGATTAGATTAGATTGATCATCCTGGACTCAATCGACCAAATGGACTTGATCATTTTTTAGCTTTTTGTTTTGGATTCATTCATTCTATCACTGTTAGTTGTACTGTAGTGCGGGTGCTTGCTGTTGTACATTATTCCCAAAAAGGTATCCAATCTACTGTTTCCTAGTAGCATTTCGTTGTTTGTATTTTTTATAAGAGCTATTTGCTTTTTTTTTAGTACTGTTGTTTCCCTGGTGGTGACTAAATTTCAATCACATCCGCCAAGGCTTCGGGATCAGCCTCGGCTTGTGCAATCATTTCCTTTCCTTCTTTGGAGAAGTGACTTTCGATTGCCGCCAACACATCCACCGATTTGGCATCATCCACCAGACTAATGGCAGTACCCTTGCGCCCGAATCGTCCCGTACGTCCGATACGATGCAAATACGTCTCAAAGTCAGGGTTGTTGTCCCTGTCTAGAGGAGGATCATAGTTGATGACCAAACAGACATTATCGACATCCACTCCACGAGCCAAGACATTTGTAGTCACCAAGACATTGGACTTTCCCATTCGGAAATCATCCATAGTGGAGTCACGTTCTTCTGGAAGCAGTCTACCATGAAGAACGGAACAAGTATATCCATTTTCCTCCAACGATCGGTGTACCTTGTTAGCATTATCGACAGTGGCAACAAAAATGATGGATTGACCAATGGTCAATAAACTATAGATATCGGCAAGGAACTCGATTTTTCCTCCGTCGTAGTTTCTTGTATCGATCCATAATTGTTTGATAATATCCAAAACCTACAATATGAGACGAAAAGGAAAGGGCAAAAGTGAGATACTACAGTAGTCCAGACAGCCAAAGGTGAATTCATGTTGCCTTTCCATTATTCCTGCAACAAATGCTCTTCAAGACAAGCTGAAACTTACCAATGATTCCTCACTCTCAATGAGAATTTTGTCGGCTTTGTAAATCATCTTGTCCGCAAATTGTACGACATCTTTGGGGAAGGTAGCGGAAAACAAAAGAGATTGACAATACTTGGGCATATGCTTCTTGATCAATAGTGAATTGGCCCGATGTCCTCCTTCTGCCACCATATTGTCGGCTTCGTCCAGAACAAAGACCTTGATGGTCTTGGCATTGATCTTTTTGTTTTTCAACCACGCGACAATCTTTCCGGGAGTTCCAATGACAATGTGTGCCACGAGTTTTTGTCCCTTTTCTATGTCTGTTCCCTTGATGGCCAATTGGATTTTGAGGCCCACCATGTTGGCCGCCATGGGACGCACCGCCTTTTCAAAAATTTGGATGGCCAATTCTCGACTCGGCGTCACACACAAGGCCTGCGTCGTGGGTGGTTCATCGACCACTGTCCGGTACAACATTCCCACAGTGAACGCAGCCGTCTTTCCACTACCCGACTGGGCTTGTCCAATAAGGTTGCGAGGAGGATCGGCAAGAATGCGCGGCAAGGCCTCTTCTTGAATGGCAGACGGCCGGTCAAATCCCATGGCGAAAATAGCATCGAGCAAGTGTTTGGGCAAATTGAGCTCTTGGAATGTTTTGGCGCCACTTAGATGACTTTGATGGTCGTCGGATTGAATCACCTTCAATCGTTCTCCAGTGCTTTGTTTTTGTCGTTCCAAGGCTAGCTTTTGGAGTCGCTTGGTAAGCTCTTCGCTCTCTTCGCGTTTTTTCTTGGCTTCGACTGCTTTGTCCTCTTCAGGCGCTTTGGCTTCTTCTGCTGGTGGTGGTGGTTTAGTTTCTGGTGTTTCTTCCTTGGTCGCCATGATGCTATTGATTGCTTTGGTCTATTGGTCTATTGCTCTTCTGTTCTCTTCTCTTACTTGGAAGTGTTTGTGTTGGTGTTTGTGTGATTGCCAATCAAACTTACTTTTGGTTTCTAGACACGTTGATCAAACGTGGAAGAAAATCCTTTGGTTTCTACGTAGTCGTTGCGTAGGCTCAGTACTAATTAATTCGAATAACGGCTAGAACAATTCGCAAACGTATTTATTTCAATGTTTCGCTCGATTGACACCATCGAGTGTTCGAAGCATTCATAGTTTAGTGGTAAAATATCTGCCTTCCAAGCAGATGTCCCGGGTTCGATTCCCGGTGAATGCATTTTTTTTGATTGGTTGGCTGCTAGCCGACATTTTTGCAGGCGACAAAAACACAAATCCCTATTTGCATTGTCTACCACTGTTAGATTGACATCCCATCCTCTCCTCTCCTTTTTCCCATTCTTTTTGACAATCTATTTCATTCCTTTCGAATATTTCAAAAACCATGAGCCTACCCATCCCCTCTACTTCAGGGGCTCCCATCGATCCGAAACAACTCCAAGCCATGGACGCCCCACTCATTGCCTTGACCAACAGTTGTGGTGGTGATTTGCGACGACTATATTTTGCGTTCTTTTCCTTTCTCCACCGCCGAACTGATTTTTACTTGGTGCCTCATGAGGATGACGTCAAGGCGGGAAAGTACATGGGTTTTCCGGAAGGAGATGCCGAAAAGTTTCTCTTGGCCGCCTTTCGTCAATTTCCATTGCGCAAAATTCCAAAGGGAGGACCTCAACGACCAGGAGCAGGGCAGCAAAAACCAAAATCACCACCAGCAGCCCCAAAGGCAGCAGCACCAACAACCTCAAAGACAGTTGACAAAGCGCCCACCAAAAAGGAAACTCCCAAAGAGACACCCAAATCTGCACCAGCATCAGCAGCAGCATCAGCAGCAGCATCAGCAGCATCAGAAGCAAAGCCCAAAGAAGAAGCAAGCAGCACCGTTGATGAGAAAACTCCTGCTGCAGCTTCGGACTCATCATCATCCAATGACGATAAAAATACAACACCTACTGCCAAGAATATGGAAGGCGTTCGGTACAATGAAGAGGGCTTGCAGATCCCTATAGGAAATGGTGGCTCGACTCCCAAATACAAGTGGACCCAAATGATTGATGAATGCAGTGTCTTGATTGGAGTGCCACCCGAATTGAGTTCTGCCAAGGATTTAAACATCAAGATTACACCTAATTCCTTGAGTGTCAAGACCAAAAAGCCACTGTCCGGACAAGAGGAACCGCTGACTATCGTCGAAGGAAAGCTAAGCCACAAAATCCGAGCTGACGAATCTACCTGGAGCATGGAAGGTGGCGTGGTCATTGTCACACTGGACAAGCTGGAAAAGACATTTTGGAAGAATATTTTGGTGGGGGACGAAGAAATCGATACCGAGGAGGTGGACAATCGACGATACATTTCCGAGTATGACGATGCGACGCAAGGGAAAATTCGTCAGATTATCTTTGATCAAAATCAATATCACCTGGGGGGCAAGACATCGGACGAGATTTTGGGTGAAAAGGGTGGCAATAAGCCCAAGATTCCGACAATTCCGGCAATGCCACCAGGAGTCGAGTACATTGATCAGAAAAAGTTGGACCAAGTAGAGGGACAAAAGGCAACAGCGAAAAGTGCTAATGGTGGAGCCAAGCAGGCGACGACGACGACTAAAGCAGATGGGACGAAGCAAAAATATACAATCGATCTAGATAAAAAGTAATAGGAGGAGTAAAAACTGAAAAAAAACATGTATCTACTACCCTTGTTGTTCTTCTATAGTCTAGCCTTGCAATGTGGCCCCCATACCACCTTTTCTATCTTGGCGGGACAGCACCAGCTTCATGTGTCATTGTTGTTGTTTTGGTTTGGTTTCAGTATCATTCTTCATCCTAGTCCTATACTAATCGTGATATCGGATGATCCATTCATTCATTCATTGGAGCTGCTCTCTTAACGTTTTGTTTGCAACATATCCAATAGAATATGAAACACCAAAGCATACGATACTGAAACTCGTCTTCTCTATTCTTCGTACAAGAATTCATATAGATAAATCGGACATGAACCCTTCGATGACCGGTCTACCACAGATGGATCCCACTCTGGAATCTGGAACATGTACGAGAGGATTCGAAAGTTGCGCTTTTGAAGCTTCCGCTTTTCTACCACCGATATCAATAGAGGAATCAGCTTTTCAATGCCTTTGGGCAATACAAAAAGATACAGAATCGAAGCATCATCGATAAATGTCAAATTGGCCACAGGACAAGTTGATTCTTGGTATATCTGATCTTTTAGTGCATCCCCTTCATGCACATAAAGTCTATCTTGCAGGTCTCGTGGCAAGGTTTGAATTTGTTCAATGGCCCGAGTCACAAAGGCATTGTCCAGCTCAATCCCAATGCATTTCAGTTGAGGGTACAATTTTGCGCTGTTGATCAGTAATCTTGCATCACCACAACCCAGATCAAAGAGAACTGGTCCCCCTTCCTTGCTTTCACTGTTGTTGCTGTTGCTGTTGCTGTTGTTGTTGTCACCAAGCGCTCGATCAATCAATAATTCGCAGCATTTCTTTTGGATTTGTTCGCTGGATGGATTAAAGGGAGCAAGCTTGAAGGACGTCTCAGCAGTCTCTATTGCCGTTGACATGTTATTGTAGCAGTCTGGGTGTATTTCTAATATATATATATATATGAATGTATTTCTAGGTTGTTGATAGAATGGAAGCAAAGTATGGCTTTGGGTTTGTTTGCCAACGAATGAATCGAGTTGACATGAGGATGCGAATGTCGAAGATTCTCGTTTTTGGGGGTGAAGAACACCGCCGATGGAAAAAGGACAGACGTACAGTAGGGTCATTCTGATGAGTGTTGAAAAAAGTTTGGTCAATACTATTGACTATTGATATCGGTACCTTGTACTTGTGTAACATCTCTGTAGGAACTAAAAGCAACAGGTGACTACAGCAATTCAAAAGAGTAATGCCAACAAGAAACTTATAAATTGAAGCAAAACAGCAACAATCAACACACCTTGAATAGATGAAAAATAACATCGGCAGGATTCGAACCTGCGCCCGAAGATTGGAGCCTAAATCCAACGCCTTAGACCACTCGGCCACGATGTCATATTTCAACAAGGAAAACTAAGGTATTACAATTGTTTCCTGCTTTACCGTTTGTTCTAAGATATGTAACTTTCTCACCTTGTATCAGTCTTTGATGGCAACAAGTCAGCACGATAATGTTCTTCAATGCCTTTTTACACATCGTACTTTGGTAGAAACTACGAATTCAGTCATCGATTTGAGTGATGGCTTTTATTCTTGTTGTCGGGGCCACAGCATAAAAAATACAAGCAACGTTGATTAGTATATCTAGTTTCATATCTATTCCGAACTCTATTGATCTTATCTTACTGCCAATTGGATTTCCTTCTCAAGGATAATACCGAACGGTTTTTTTAATAATACATACTGCTGCTATTCAACATTGTTGGTACCAGTGTACCATACCGTACTGGTAATGATGGTGTTTCTTGTATTTATTTGAATTCGCCTGCCAACGGTACGATTTCTACATACGCAAATTGTATTTTTTCGTTTCATCCTTCGAAAGTTTCGAATTCCAAAATTGGAGGTCAAGCAGAGTATCGGCAGCACACTATACTAGCGTACGACCTTTCCCCAGGCGACTGCTGCTTCCTACTTCTCTGAATCATCATCTTCATCATGTCATTGACGGCAAAACCACATGCGTTTGCTGGCGCAGTTTTGAGTCCAGATAATGCTCGACGGTTAACGCCTTCTTTGTGTCTGGCAGTTGCCTCAGCATTGGCGGAGCAATCCTACCGAAAGACAGCAGTATCCTATACCTTATGGATTTCGGAGGCTTGGAGAGGTTTGGGTTGGGCCCAACCGTCAGCGGCGCTCTTTTGGGAAATGGCGTCCATGTATCACACATTATTTCTGGCAGGAAGAGCGCATGCTTCAGATTTTAACGATCCATCGGTGATTCCACCTATTTTGTCGTGCGGAAGCACCAGCAGTATTGGAAGTGGAAGCACACATCACACAAACGGACCTTCACAATTCGACAAAAAGAAACAAGGGACGGCAAAAGAGCTTCCAGTTTGGTTGATTACAACGTTTCTGTTGCTTCATTGTGAAGAGAATGCTTATATGAGAAATTTGTCAGGCATCGATGATCGTCGCTTTTATGAAGGCACGTCACCAGCAGTTGATCCTTTGTTGAAAAATGGCGGAGCCGTAGATTTTGCCAATCTTTTGAAGCATCCCTACATGTCCCCGAGGTAAGTGTTGGATCGGTCAATCCAAATGCACTGTCAGTTTCAGGTTTTATATCTTAGATTTTAAACCTCTGCTTTTTCAACAAACAACAGGACACGACTTCACGCAGGTTGGAACAATGATAATTCTCATTGCACTGCTTACCTTTTGCGGCATTTGCGAAAATTGTTACTCCTTGCCGCAGTGTCACATAATACAGATGCCATGAGGGCATGCATGCATTTGGCTTCCATTCCCTCTCCAAACCCACCTCCACCCGAAAAGATTAGACGGAATATTTGGTTTCAGTACTCACCCGATGAGATTAGGCGGCAACATGATGAAGAGCATGGTAACGTCGGTTTGAATGTGCGACTGACCATGGAGGATTTAGAACGACTTCACCTCTGGCTTCAGTCGCCCTCTGGGGGTGGTGTGGATGAACCTGAAATGAAGATTGCCCAGTATTTGTGGTCTAATCTCTACTCGTCACCCCCACCACCAACCGCGACAATTCCTGTTGAAGATGTGGAGCGTGAAGTTAGAAAGCATTTGGAGTTGGAGTTATTGATGGCGGGGGCAGATCAAGACGACGGGGACGATGCTTCGACTGATGGGGAAGAGGCTGCTTTATCTGCTTTTTCACAACTGACGTTAAATGACAGCCATAGTGGTGAAGAGAGTGAGCGAGCACATCAGCCAGAACAAGGATACCAGAAGGAGTTGAGCTATATGCATCTTCGCGGAACAACCATACTCTTGAAACCCAACAGCCACGAGACCCCTTCCGGTTCATCATCTTCATCTGGTGATCATTTGAGCGGGTCGCAATCATCCTCGAATCGATTGCATGATTTGGCGATATCTGACTGTTCAGATGTCCATATGTATCTCCTGCAGCCATTCGAGCACGTCACGATAGCAGCGTGTACTGGTTGTACAATTGTTGTTGGTGCAGTGGCTGGCTTGTTGCATATAGTGGATTGTGAAAAGACCACAATTGTTTCAGCGGCAAGGAGGATTTTGGTGAGCAATTCAAGTGACACGGTCATGTTTGTTTTCACACCAAGTCCACCACTACTGGTGGGTGATAATCGAAACTGCCAGTTTGCGCCGTACAATACATATTATGATGGTTTCCGCGAGGACTTGATCGCTACGGGGCTGGCAGCAAGTGCTGCTCCCGATGGTCCTCCTGCTCACCATGGATCGAAATCAACAGAGGGAGAAGGAGTAGGACCGTGGCCACCTCTTCAATTTGCAAGCAACAAATGGAAGCAGCCGGTAGAAGTATCAAGGCTCGAAATGCCGCAAGGCCCTGCAACGCCAGGATCTGGTGGAGCGTCGTCAACCCCAACGACGTCGCCTTCACCAGGTGCTGATGACAAGGCCGTACCGGGAGGCAAGCCTGGATCGGTCGAAGATAATACCGTCCACGCTCCAGTGCTTCTTCCCCCTTCCGAATTTCATGTCCTATTCGTTCCACTGGAAACCGAGTCGATGAAACAGAAGAAGCCGGAAAATGCCGAGAATGGTGAGAGCCAATATTGCCGAATTCTCACCGAGACGCTACAACTATCACCGTTTCGTCTGCCCATTGAATATGAGCGAAGTGCTGTTGTGAAGGCAGATCGTATGCGCAGCATTCAAGAGGCAGTGAAAACTTTGACAGATGAACAACGGCAGCTCTTTGAAGAGGAGTTGAATCGAGGGTTTCGAGAATGGCTCGTCACAAGTGGTAACTTGAGGCAGGTTTTGGATCTTGTTCATTTGGAACGAAGGGCGGGTCCATAGAGAGAGTAAATAAATTATCATCATGCTGCAGATTGTATTAAAAATAATCGTGACTTGAAAAACTCTAGACAAACCTATATATTCTACAATTCTAGAGTGACATTTCTTCCTCTCCGTATTCTGCACCTTGTGGACGACTCACTTCGATTCGTTGCAAGTCCAGCTTGTCCACTATGTGACTTCCATACTTCTGACTATTATCCGAGGATGCATTCGAAGCTGAAGCCTGTGACTTTTCCGAAAACGAGAACCTTTTCAGAATTCTTTCTTTGACTTTGTTGGCACCTGCTTTGACATATACAAGATGCATGTCATCTTGTTCGTCCGAATCAGAATCCTTGATATCATAGTGTGGTGTAATAATACTGATATCATCTCCTCCTATTGTCGGCGAAACAATGGGCTGCTGTTGCAGCCCTTTGGAAAGACTGGTTGTTTGCAATCCTGTCGCGGGGTCTCGAACGACTATCGAAGGAATGCGACCTGATGAGTTGCCACTAGAGGTGGCTGAGCCTTTCTCCATGACGACTTCAATGCTGGAACCATCCACATTGAGATCGTCTTCGTCGAATGTGGTATCGTTCTTGAAGGAAAAAGTCTGACTTTCAGCCTTGGAATCGGGGGTGACGACCCGGGCACTGGATTCGGACCTGTCGTCTTCTTTCTTTTCTTCCTTGAAGATGGTGCGGGAAATCTTCTTCTGGATTGGTGGTTGTGGCAAAGACCTGGCGGGTGATGGCAAGGAGCTTCCAGTGCTGTATTTGGATGCATAGGATGTATTCAAACCCGTCTCGTCGGTAGAATTGGAAGCATTTAAAGTCTGCTGCTTCATTCTTCGAATACGAAGAGCACGAGCTCTTTCTCTCTTGTCGTAAATACCACCATCCGATTCGGAGCTGCTCGAGTCCTCTCGTGCCATAGCTCGAAGTCGTCGAGCCATCATTGGTGACGATGCTACCGTTCTCGGCGGAGTTTGTGCAGTTGGCGCTTCCATTCTTGGCGGGGTTGGCGCAGCTTGTGCACTTTGTTCTCGGCGTACCATGGGTGGTTTCTGAGGAGTCGTGGCTCTCTGACCTAGATCGCTTTGGGCTCTACGGTGATGTCCATGTTCCACAGCGTTCTCCCTTGGAGCAGTCTTGTCATCCGAGTTGACATCGTCTTCCATTTCAAGTGGGTCTCTGTCGAGATGAGGGTCGTTGTAGGGACTGTAGGGACTTGCTGCCATACCAAGATCGAGAGGATCCCTGTAGGCGCTTGCTGCCATTCCCAAATCTAATGGGTCCTTCTTGGTTGGTGTTGCGAGTCCAAGCTCCAATGGATCCTTTCGCTTCTTCTTGCCAAAATGATTTGGTACGGTGGGTCGAGCCGTCTTGACTGACCCAGCATCCCCACCACCTGCCAAAGGCCTTCGAGTAAGAGACGACGACAGCGATACTTCAATTCCAGTCGATCTTCGAGGCTCTGGTGCCGATATTGTGCGCACAAAGGAATACGGATTTTGCAACTCATCCTCACTAGCCTCTTCGAGGATATCTTGGACAGTCTCTTCGTCGATGGTGAGCGATAGCAACGACACGGACAAGTCCGATCTTTGTCGATGTTTGGATCGCATGGACCGACGGCTCTTGCTGTGCTTTTTCGCCACCGAGGTGGACGAATGACTGGAAATGGTCGAATTGTCATCTGGAATGATCGAGGAAGGAATGTTGCTTGGTCTACCACTCAAATTAATATCGTCCTCTTCATCTTCGTCACTGCTGTAAATGACTGGTTCCGGATCACTGTGATACGATGCCATTTCGTAGGGATCTTCGGTACCACTCATTCCTTCAGTGAGACCCATTCGTACACCAGCAGTCATGGCCAAATGAAGAGCCTTCCAATCGTCGCCACTTTCCTGTTCGTGATCTAACTTGATATGTCTCTGAACCAGTTGCTCCTGCTGTTGTGGTTCTTGTGATGGCGATTGCTGTTGTTGCTGTGCATTGGTGGCCGCATGGAGGGCATCCCAGTCTTCCAACAAGAGTTTTTCATGCGCCACTTGGGACATCGTCTTACTAACAACCGAGGATTCTTCCGATGGAACCGAGGATCGCACCGACATGTTGTCTCCCCGCATGGCCACGGCCACTGGATTGTAAACCGATCCCATGCTACTACTTCGGGACATGTCATCCTCCATCATTTGATCATAAACCTGTGGTCGTTTTCCAAAATTGGGTCGTTGGATTTTGTTCAAGCTGCTCTTGAAATTGCTGAGACGATTAACGATCTTCATTTCGGGAACAATGGGCCTGATCTTCATCATGGAACCCAACTTTTCTTTGGTGGTCGTCGTGGAAGGTGGCGGTGGAGCAGGAGCGTCATCGAAATCGTCAAAGTTGGCAAAATCGGAGAGGGGTTGGTCCTTCTCTGGATTCTTTTTGGATACTGATTTCGTCGCGGCCATTTTGGACTGGAATGGAGTTCGTGGTTGAAGTGGTTCTTCCTGATAGGCTGGATAATTGGAAACCGCTCCATTGCTTTCCTTATCGTTGGGAGGTGTTACCGTGATTCGACCAACCGTCTTGAGGTTTTTATCGGGTGACGACGACGACGGCGGCGGCTCTTGGGATTTTCGTTCCTCCTTCAACTCGGAAAATGCATTAAAGGCACCAGCAAAGTTCTCAAATTCTTCGGCCTTGTCCTCCTTCTTTTCTTCTTCTTCTGCTTGTTTGACTGGAAGAATGTCTCCTATGGGTGGCGAGCTTCGAGGACTGGATCCCTGTTCTTCGTCCACCGAGGGCATGGATTCGGTCGGATTGGATGGAATTTCACCCCCTTCTTCCTTTTGGGCTTGATCCACCAGTTTTGGTTCCAAGCACTGTGTAATGGCGACACCTACCACCCAGCATAGAGTGCTGATGATTTGCAAATGGGATCCAGTCGAAAATATGCAGGTTTGTTGAAATTGAAATTCCGTACAAGGAGTGGCCTCGAAAATGAGAAAGACAGGAATCGCACACAAGGCTGTTACTGCCGATCCAATGGAAAGATTTCTCCACATGGTGGTTGTGGGTTCTACCTTTTTGGAAGCTACTGCAATTGCTCCCATGGTTGTGACTGCTCCCAACACGATGCTAACGTAAAAGAAAATTTGGCTGAGTCCCCACAACGAGTCATCTTCGGTGGAAAAGAAATCACTCGGACAGACCACTCCCAAACCAGCTTGACTAATCTCCAATTCATCGCCGTCTGTTTGTACTAGAACGTCACCATCCACGGCATTGACTTGAATGAAATTGCAATTGGTTCCAGCCAGAATGGCCATGAGGAAGGCAAAACTGGAGGCGCAGGCCATGCCTATAGTGGGGAGTCGTTCCTTGACATCCTTCATATTGGAAGATTGATTCTCTTGGATTGGTGAATGTGACGTGATGGTTGCAGTATTCTTGGGTATGTTGTGGATTGCAGACTGCGAATTGGTCTATTGATTCGGAACTAGACTACTGTTGTCAGTCAGTCAGTCTTTTGTGCAGTAGAGGTACTTGCGGGTAGTGGTATGGTGAAGCAAGTATATCTACTGTAGCTTTTTTGGTTACAGGTTCCGCAAGTTCAAAGTGTTGAATGAGATGAAAAAAGTTGGAAAACACTCGATCCACATTTTTTTCGGCTCGATTTTGCCGACCCGGCAGTGCCCGAGTGATCCAATTTACCTATGGAAGGGACTCGGCTGGCCAAACTTTTACTTATGGCCCCAAAGCATTGAGTCTCGTAAGACTCGCAAACCTCCAATCCGTTGCGAGGAGTCGAAGTATTCATAACCGTTGACAGACAGACGAAAACAGACTCCATATCAAAAACAACGGATGGATGTTCAAAGTGATTGGTCATTGCTACTACCGGTATATTGCAAAGACAAGGTGACAACATTTACAACCTACTAAAATGGGTCTCAAGTACGTAGAATATCAGACTGAAAATTTTTATCTACAGTACTGTACACACACACACACACACACACACACACAAAATGAAGCAGCAAGATCCTAACCTTTTTTACGTTTCAGCGGAATGGATTTGATCATCGATGGCTGGTTTCACGAACGTGGCGTCTTGTGGCCTGGCCAAGCCATGTCTCTAAAAGTAAAGAAAGTCTTGGATCACCACCGTTCCGACTTTCAAGACATTTTGGTCTTTGAATCTGAGAGCCATGGCAATGTTTTGGTGTTGGATGGTGTCATTCAAGTCACGGAACGAGACGAACATGCCTATCAAGAAATGATTGCCCACCTTCCGCTCTACGCGCATCCAAATCCCAAAAAAGTTCTTGTGATTGGTGGTGGAGATGGTGGAGTCCTTCGTGAAGTTGGTGAGTACAGCACTTTGTCGTATTTTGCTTTTGGGGTATGAAGTGAAGTACCTTACAATGTGTATCTGTACATATGCTTGGGCTCATCATCATTCAATCTATTTCTCTTTTTTTTGTTACCACTACAGCCAAACACCCTGGTGTGGAAGAGATTATTGAATGTGAAATTGATGAAGGTGTCATTAATGTTTCCAAAAAGTACTTGCCTTCTCTCGCCAAGGGTTACGATGACCCTCGAGTTTCGGTCAAGATTATGGATGGTGCCAAATTCATGGACGAAAACCAAGATTCCTTTGATGTCATTATCACGGACTCTTCTGATCGTAAGTGAGGATTACTATCTTTTTTTTATTGCATTGATTGCATCACTTTTTATGCAAACTTTCGTCATTGGGTGTTGTATTTTACACACACATACCTCACATTGTAACTATTTGTTTGCTTACTCTATTCAAAACAGCCGTCGGGCCTGCCAGTGTATTGTTTGAAACACCCTTTTACAATGCCATGTACAAGAGTCTACGAGAAGGAGGCATTGTCTGTACACAAGGAGAGTGCATGTGGTTGCACTTGGACCTCATTCGACCACTCATTGATTCCATTGGCAAGACTTATTCGACGGTGGAATATGCGTACACAACTATCCCCACATATCCCTCGGGACAAATTGGATTCATCATTGCCACCAAGGGTCGGGGAGAATGCAAGAAACCAGAACGACAACCAAGTGAGGAAGTTCAAGATGGTTTCCAATATTACTCTACTGAATTGCACGAGGCTTCTTTTGTCCTTCCGGCATTTGCCAGAAGATCCATCTTTGGAAAGAAGTAGAAGTGGTTTTTAAAAAATTGTCAACCTCTAAGAGCTCTTAGAACTGCCATAGCCCATAGTTGTCAAGCGATGCATCCTTAGAAAGAAGCAATTGTTATTAAATATAAGCGCGAAAGGGAAAGGAGATCGTGCCCATTGATGCAAGAAATCGGTCGAACTCTTTCAAATCAACCTCCATTCCAACGAACTGAAACACAGGCGTTCGAACTAGTCGACCCATGTGGCCATGTTTTGCATGCAAAACCCTTTTGTGCTTATCCAGTTCGTGAAAGGACAAGAACTGCTGCGGAGGCTACAGTGCTTGGCTGCGAAGGAAGCTCCCAACAACCAAATTCAGTCAAGCTTGCGACATAAGAGAAAAGAGGTCATTATTTCGTGGAGACGATACGGATAATCTTTGAACTTTGACTTGACAATAGTATTCATTCATTCATTCATTCAAACGACAACCATGATTTCTCCCGTTCCCCTGGTCCTCTTCGTGATCTCCTACCTTATTTTCTGTGCCATCGTGCTTCGATATTGTTTCTTTGCCGATCCAGAATCATCAGAAATGGCCTATTTTGTTCAAATTGTGCTACCGACAAAGCTATGGAACCGATCGCACAAACTGTTTGGGGACAGCATCATGAAAGTCATGCACAAAATAAGTGAGCTTTTCATGGTGTTTGTCTACTTGTTTGTGGTCCTTGGGTGCTGGTGCATCGTATTCTTTCATGTGTACCCATTTATTGATGAGTCCAACAGCGTCTCTAATATCCACAAGTACATTGGGTACTGTGTATTTGTGGCCTGTTTCGGAAGTTGGATAGTGACACACAAGTCGACCCCTGGTTTCATCACACCCAAGACATTCAAGCGATATGATCATTATGCCTACGATCCTCTGCTGTTCCCACCAGGAAGGCGGTGTCAGTCGACAAACATTATCAAGATTCCCAGAAGCAAGTTTGATCGAATCAAATACAAGGCAAACATTCCACGATACGACCATTTCTGCGGATGGGTATACAACACAATTGGTGAAGAGAACTACCGCTGGTTTCTATTATTTCTTGCGGTCCATGTCGTTATGTGTGTATATGGAAGTGTAGTCTGCTTTTTGCTGTTCCGGGGAGAAATTCGAGAGAAGCAGCTACTGGAGCTTACTTTCTTTGACCGAGCTACTGGAGAATCGGTAAAATCCACTTGGTTCATTGTGGTGCAATTCCTGTTTGCACAAGAAACGGCAGTCTGCTCTGTCATGATTGTTATGGCTGTCATGGCGATTGCTCTCGGTGGCTTTCTGGGATATCACGTAAGTTCACAAAGGTCTTTGGAGATTGATTTCCTTTCAACTGCCAACTCTGGTCCATCTTCTTTGACAAACTTTCAGGTCTACATAACATCGACGAATCAAACGACAAATGAGGACGGCAAGTGGACGGATGTACAGAGATGGTACAAGAAGGAAAAGAAAAGGTGGGATGAAGCTGTGGCAGCTGGTCTCGTCAAACCAGGTGGAACAGAAGAACCACCAAAAGAGAAAAAAGAACCGGTTGTTGGCGATGGTGATGTGACTTGCACAGGGGCTTCCACAACCCCTACCGAGCCACAGGAGGAGACATCACCAGACGATGAATACTTTGATCCCGGTCCTCCTCCAAAGAATTTACACAACAAAGGGTTCAGGGAAAATTGGATGGAGGTACTGTTTCCGATATCACTTCGAAAGGACGCACTGAAACATGGGGGTTACTCGCGACCGCCACCTGGGGCGGCGCGGAAGAAGCAAGGCAAAGATATGCCAAGAAAACCTGCACCTCCTCAGCAAAAAAATAAAGCAACGTAAATTGTAGCACAATGTAAAAAGCTCTACAGTTACTTCAGGATATCGCTCGGTATAATGTCAACGCCATGACTGTGCCATCCAAGCATTGAGGGTAGTCCTCATGACTTGCTAATTGAAGATCTCCCCCCATTCGTTGAACCAAAGCTTGGGAAATATCTAACCCGATTCCCGTCCCTTGAACGGACCGGGTTGCTTCACCTCGAAATCCACGCTGGAATATTTGTTCAGCGTCGGTTTCGCTTATCCCTGGCCCATTATCTTCTACCAAGACAGTCACACCGACCGGATCTTGATTGGCAAGAATCCGAATATCAACTTTGGGAGAGGGGTTGGAGGTAAATGGCGAATCACTCTTCGGAAGTATCACATACTTCAGCGCATTGTCAAGCAAGTTCGCAACTGCTTCTTGCAAAGACTTTGGAGCCGCGATCACACCGGGCAGCTCTGGGTCCATTTCGACGACTTTGAGATCTATATTTCTCTCGGATGCGATCGCTTCAAATGCTGATATTATTGGCTCCAAGATGTCATTGACAAACACCATTTCAGTTTCAACATCCCCGACAGTGGTGTGCGCATTACTGGATTGATTTGGCTCTAACTTCGTTTTGACCTTTTGCTTCTTCCTACTGTCGTCACTTCTTGAAGTTGTATTTATTGTCCGCGGCAGGAACAAGGATCCTATCAGCTCAGTATTGTTCTCAATTTTGTTCACATCGAATTCAAAGGTTTTGTTCGTTGGAGTTGAAACGGTTTCCACTTTCCTTCGCCTTTCCCAGAGTACAAGAGGTTGTGGCTGCGGCTCTTTTTCGGCAGGTGCTAGAATGTATGGTCCAGGTTGGTCAAAACTATTTACCAAAGTGTCCATAGGAATCATTAGATCAACAACCCTTTCGCTTTGAGTCATCAATCGCTCCACCAGTTCAAGAAGCTGTGGTGAGCTCATATCGTCACCACGAAAAGAGTCCGCATCCGCCATATGGCGCTGGAGAATCTTTCCATACGTTCTAAGTGCTATTGTTTCGAAACATGAGCAACTTCAATGAAATTGATACCTAAAATATTGCATCTCGCGAGACATACCTTGCAATGGATTCTTGACCTGATGAAGACTGTCAGACAAGCTATCCTTGAACATCTGGTTTTGTTCCCTCAGTATGCTTCGCTCGTTATCCATGGTGAGAGCCATCGACAAACTATCAAAGGGGGTGAGATTTCAAAGATCACAAGGTCAACGACCGTCTTAAACATGAACCATACCTCTGAGCCGCGCTCGACACCTGCCTTCTGTCGTTTTCGGACCAAAACTGCTTTTTTGTAGGCTCTGTCATGCCTGACACAAGCAAAACACCTACAGTTTGTGGTCCTGAAAGCAGTGGAACAGACAATGCTGGCGGTCCATACTTGAATCTGGGATCGCACATGACCTCTTCTACACTGCCCACATCTGGATCACAATCACCTGAAGATGATATCATAGGATATCCCGGAAGGAGGGTCGCTGCATGTGAGAAACCTGGTAATTTCGTCAAAGCCCTTGGTAATGTTGGGGCTTTTCCGGACCCCGCATCGTAGCTGATGAACACTCGTTCGCTCTTTGGATCCGGGTACACGACGACAGGGGTGAACTCCAATTGCCCAGTGAATACATTTTCCTGAGGCAAGTAAAGTGCCATGGATTCAACCTTGCTTTCTGACGAATTCTCGGGCCTGTTTAAAGCATTGGCCAGGACTTCCAGCTGGGACTGGGCCATTTTTCGAAACAAGTCAGAAGGCATTGGCGGAATGGGTGGTCGTTCATTGGTTGACAAATCGTCGAATTCGGTGGCTGATGTTTCAAAACCATTGTTCGAGGCGCTTGAGTGCAATGGGAAAGGATTTGTTGATGCTAGCTGTAATAAACAAGCAACTACTCTCACAACAGTCCTTATTCGCACCCCTCGTATGTAATGCATGTCTCTATTGATGTCGATCTTGGTGTGATGGATGTGTTATTCTTTCACTTTGGTTCATGTCTTTTCCAGTCGATTCACACGACTCCACCAGAAGCATCGAATTGAAGGTAAACTGTACCATAGTAATACAGTAGTACCCTGATTTACCTCTATCTATTGCAGTCTCCGAGGCAGACCTTAGAACACAAAATCGCTATGTTTTAAAATAATCATTACAGTATGTATCAAAAACGCTACTAGCATTCTATCCTCGTCCATCGGAAACGCACTCGTGTGAACCTTCTGAGGAAGAATGTCCTCTGCCCCAGCAAGTGGTGGTGAAATACTATCTAAACAAGACTCCGTGACGAACAAAAGCTGATTGATCCTGAATCATCGTAGTTTCTAGGGCAATGTAATGGCCGTCTCAAAGATGCTGAAACGCTCTAGGAGTCCTTTTCGGAGTCAGGGTTGAAAGCATGGTGTTCTTGCATCATACGAAGATATGACCTCATTTGCTGCTCTTGCTCCTTTGTAAGCGGTGGCAAGGAAGCGCGACGTTCCTCACGATCTTTTGCTGACCATTTTGCAAATTCTTTGGCTTCTCGGTAGTTTTCGGTCGCATCCATATGCGTCCTATGCGCTTGATCTACAAGGATGTCTCTGCAATATTTGAAATAAGCAACCTGCAATACAGACAAAAAGTATAAGAAATCCTCTCGTTTCGAAGAATACTACTCGCGCCGTTCATTCTTACTTTGAAGACTGATCCACCCACGATAACTCCCCCAATGGCGCCCAGCGTTCTCTCCCGAGGAGTCAACCTTCTGAAAAACATTCTGAATTACAGTGTGGCCTCTGTCAATCTATATACAGGCTCGAAACGATATTTATCGCGCAATATAGTACTCTTGAAATCACACTTGCAGTACAGCAAACAATCTCCCCCAGGCAGTCAGTGATTGCAATGATGCCACAGACACTTTCAATTGGGTTTCTGATCTACTGGCAGGGATAATGCGTTGTCGGTGTGGAGTCAGTCAGTGCAAAAGTTCTGATTGTAAGTGGCGACTGTGCTTTTTAGAAACTCCGAAGAAAACTAACTCCGAAGATGAGCCTTTTCCCGACATTTGTGTACTCTACCGGTACCGGAGAGTATTGTAGTAGTAATCAATAAGCAGTGACGGAATGAAAGTGAAGTAGCGGAAACTACAGTTAAGGAAACAAATTAAACAAATATGTTCTTCTTGCTTGCTCAGCATGTCGCTCTTACCAGCTTCAGCATTCATTATTATCGCTCCTAAAAACGTTGTTGAATCTGTCGAATGGAGTGGTGTAATGCATGATCTTTCGGGTTCCAATCATGTGACTATCGGTCGGATAGATCTTGGCACATCCTTCTGTCAACTTAATGCTGCTACTGTTCGATCCCGTCTTCTGTAGTGGCAATCTTGAGTTCGCCGACATCGACGCCAGCCTTGCGACATACAACGTAAAGTATCACTCCCGCAATGATTCCATACTCAACTTCCAGCAGCTGTATCAAGACAAAGGTAGCCAGTCCAATCAAGTACTCGGCTTTGGTGACCTTTGTGCGAATGTCCCATAGCCAGTCATACATGAGGTCCAGGCAGATCATGAACAGAAGTGAACCGTAGAAAAAGTTTGGAACGTATGCCAGAATGGGAAACGGTATGACAATAACCGCCAATTGACAGAATGCCAAGACAAAGCCAGGCAGTCGTTCTCGAATGCCTGCTCGTAGCGTAAATATGCTTTGACTAAAGATGTAACTCCCCGTGTAACCTCCCGTCAGACCTGACACCATATTGCTGATTCCCACCACAATCAACTCTTTGTTGTAGTTCAAAGGTCGCTTCACCTCCAACTCAATGGCTGCGACATCAAGGGAGCTTGATAACGCGACGACAAAGATCATACTTAACTCTGTTAGGAGTAATCGAGGTAGCGCGGACCAAGCGACCAAGCTTGGTTGGATGTAATCCCATGTTCGATACCACACTGGTGAAGGTTCCGCTTTCCGAATCCACCCATCTTCTGTAGCCTCTTTCAAGGTGCACCCCGACATGCTCAAGCTTGCATAAAAAATCAGAAATAGAAGAAGAATCGTCGTGGGAAGGACTGCCACGTGCTTCAATTTTCTCACCGAATAGTAGATGAAGAGACCACCAGCAATGCCTGGTGCAATAAACAGATAATTGTCTACCACCAACTTTGGAAAGGATAAACCGTTTCTTCCCCCAGCCATGAGGATGATTCCCGCTTTACCACAGAATAATCCAATGTACGCCAAGTATCCAGCAACGACACAGATGGGAAGCATTTGGACATAACCTGCTAGTCTCAGTTTCCCAACCACTACTAATCCTAGTCCCAGTAAGGCTGCAGCCAATCCCAGACCAACCGTGACTGTTGCCAGCATTACTTCATCATTATACCCCTGCTGTCGACAGTACACTACCATATCGGAAGCCATGGAAGACAGAAAGATGAGCCCTGCATCTTGGACGCTCCCCACAGCAAAGGGCAAGGAAGAAAAGGTGGAAAAACATAGTTGGTGGACCACTCCAGAAACCATGGTGAGCTTGATCAAGACTGGCATATATGGTGCAAAGGCTGCGTTCTGATAGATGATGTTTCCAAAACTCATGACCACGGGGATGACAATGCTGGCGTTGATGACACCAAACAAAACACATATCCAAGCAGGATTGCGTGGAGGCTCGTCAATTAATTTTGCTTCTTGTGGACCCGTCAGTTCCTTTTGCTGTTCTGGATCATTATTTTGTTCGTGCTGTTGAGGCTGATGTTTCCCATTCTGCGTGTCGGCATGGCCAATGAGCGGCTCTGAAATATGATGATGTGGAAGCTGTACAGATTTTGTAGGTGGCAGCAAGGAACTTGTTTCTGTTGCGACTATATCGATGAAATCATTGAAAGATTGAGATCTTCGGCGTTTCAATTGAGTTGGTGCCGTCGATCGATTGAGGATGACACGTTGTGTCATCGGTGACACGAGATCCCATTTTGTGTCGTGCTGTTCGTAGTTTCTCAGAAAGTTTCCTCCACTTTCGAAGGACTTTGACAGAAAGGAATAAGAGCTATCGGTCGTTTGCTCTGACTCTTCCATCTTTTTTATTGCCCTTACAATCGCAGTATCAAAGTTATGTGATTCTTCCGCTTTTCCATGGCGTCATTCCGATCGATCACATCACTTCCACGACATGCATCAGAATTTGCAGAAATTCCTGTCAATGACTGACACAGACGACTTGTTGAGTCGAGTCACGAATTGCCAGCGCACCATTCATTCATTCGTTTGATTTGCCTTTTCGATGGCGAAGGAATCCAATCCAATCCAATCCAAGATTATCCATCATAATATATACAACCCATCACTTCTCATCACCATCAGTCTATCACACATCGAACAAAGTCATTCACCGCACTTGGCTAAATACAAGGAAATACCAGAAACTTCACATACTACTTGACTTACGCATAGATACAACAATCCAAGACAAGATCACCATGAGCAAAGTCGTTGATAAATCAATATTTGATCGTGGGATATCATGGCGAATGCTTTTGCTCTTAAGTCTCATTGCTTCAATACAAGATGCTTCCCGATTTGCGGTCAGAGCCTTTTCTAATTTCCGTCCTTCTCAGAGAAGCCTCTATCCTACCTCTTTTGTTGAAACTTTCAGGGGCCCTTATTTGGGCTCGTCGTCGTCGTCGTCGTCGTCAAGAATCCCACTCCATGCCCGCACATCGTCAAAGGTTGACGCGGCAGGAACCTCCACCAAAGTGCTATATCAGAAAGTCATTCGACCACCGCCAAGTCTACCAGACATTTTGTTTCTAGGATACCTTGTCGAATACCTGGAAAGCTATTTCGAGCTGCCAAACGGTCTTCCAATGATTTATGAGACCAACAAACCGAAAAAAGAAGCTCAGTACATTATCGAGGTCGATTCGCCGTTGAGTCCAGCCTCGGAGGTCACTCGTATGGAAATAGAAGTAGTGGGAATCTACACGACCAGTAAAGACGACAAAAAAGACAAAAACGGTAATAAGTCCACGTCCCCATCTACCCCAAATATGGCCATGGTCGTCGTCAAAAAGAAAAAGGACCCACAATCTTCCATTCCTCCCATGATGGAAAACTTGTTCACCGATTCGGAAAAAAGAATCCTCAAGGCGTTGGATCGTGGACTGGAGGACTTTGTGCAAGGAAAGATTCGATTTCGGGAAGATGTCGACGTGAAAGACAAGAAGAAGATTCCAAATTTTCGAACCGCCGAACAGGTCATTGAAGCGGAGTTGATGGATGAAGCACCATCCTCCAAATCGAGGTCGAAAACAGATCCTGAAGATGTTGTGGTAGAAGCATATGCAACCTTGGACGATGGTGACAAGGACAGTCAAGCCAAACACAAAACACAGGAAAAGAGCAAACCAAAGGTTCATGATAAAACGACACAAGGGGAAAATACAAAGAAGCCTGAAACAAAGAGCGAGAAGCCAGTTAAGACCAAGGCTGCAAAGGCCAAAAAGGGAGGTAGTAACTCAGTCGCGGCAACTATACCCACCGCTGGTTCCGAGCCGGCTGGACTCGACTTTGCAGTCCGGGCGGCAAAACAAGCAGCTGCCAAACGAAAGGCAAGGGTTGCCAAACAAGAATCACCTGCTACCGAAGATTATGCCGTGGCAGCGGCACGTAAAGCTGCTGCCATAAAATCGCCTCCCGAAGACTTTGCTATTGCGGCAGCGCGCAAAGCTGCTGCTGCTACGGGGAAAAAGAATACCACCACCATGTTGAAGGTCGCCAAACAAAAGGAAGCATCCAAGACGGCTAGGACTCCTGTCAAGGGGGCCGCACGACCACAAGTCATCGAAGAGCAAGCAAAACCAATCGCAATGCCCGAAGTTGAAGACAAATCTCCTCCTGCTCTTTCGCGTGACAATCTGGCACAATCAAGGTCGTTTGGGTACACTATTTCACGACCTTCGGAAAGGGCAAAGAAGGGCAAAACCAAGACAGCTGCCAAAAAGACTGCATCAAAGGTAAAGAAAGGTTCCGGCTCGAAGGTGGCTTCTGCTTCATCGGCAGATACTCCCATAGCAAAGTCCCAAGGCGGGTCAGGAGTTCCGTCAACAGCAGCGGTTCCAACCAATAGCAAGGCAAAACCCACAGCAAAGACCAATGCAAAACCCATCCCACAGGAAGCTGAGACAACAGAAGTCGCAGATGACAAGAAGATGGAATCCAAACCCATGCCATCGAGAGAACAAATGGAACTTGACGTTATGAAGGCTGCTAAAGAGGTGATTGAAGAAATGGTTGAAGATAGCGAAGACATGACTGCAGAGGAACTTCTCAGGGATGTTCTAAAGTTTGATGAAGAGGAGAAAAAAAGTAATGAACCCGGAAGTGGGTTTGTAAGTGGTGCCTTCGAAAAGGCGAAGGAAATCATGCAAGATAGATATCGACAAAGACAGAGAATGGATACCAAAATATTCGATGGTTCCAAGCCGAACATTGCAGACCCGAATCAGTTCCCAGTTGACGCTGATGCTCCTAGCAGCGAAGAAGAAGAGTTGAGACGCATGTTTCAAGCTGGCGAGCAAATTGCCGATACCAGGATCACAAAGTCAATCAAAGACAATGTTGATTTGGGTTACGGACTGGGAAATTCCGAAGACGAAGTTGACCAACTTATTGCCAACGAGAAGTCTATTTCAAACTATGCAAAAGTCCTCGATGATGAGCTAATTGAATTGGAGCTACAAATTAACCCCACCCCGGGTGAAGAATTGGATGGCCCCATGAAAAACCCAATGTTCGATGTGATGTCTGGACCAGAAGTTTACAACCCAAACACGGATATGGATGACGTGAATTACCCTGGAGCTTTGCCAGGAACAAAAGAGTTGCGTCTACCTAAACCATTGAAGGAGGTCAAGAAGCAAGCTGAATTTGCAACGGGTGTACTCAAGAAATTGCGAACTGTTGAAACTAAGGACGACAACGGAAGTGTTGGCGCAAAGTATTTTGTCGGAGAAACGGAAATGACACTTAAGCAACTAACTGATCTTCAATCAGTCGTTTCCGAAGCTTCTCAAATTGGTATTATCACTGACCCTGTCACTCTGATGAAAGAAAGCTCAAGGCTACAACTTCTGGTGGATGAACTTTGGAACCAACCAAAGGAGCGTTTTCGAGAAATTGCGGAAAACTACAAGGACTTGATCTTGTCAGACAATTTTGTTTCACTCGTAAAGGAAAGAATGCAAAATATGGTGGAGCGAGATTTGGATGCATTTCGTCGAGATGACGAGAGTCTCAAGGAGCCTCATGCAAGAGAACGGGAAATTTTGGGCGAAGTCGTTGTGTATGCACAATTGCTATTGAAAGAGGTCCGAGCGCTTGGTGCCGAGCTTGAAGCGCAACAACTTGAAGTCGTTCGATCGATTTGTAAGGTTGCTATGGACCCAAGATATACTACAGAGGAAGAAACCGCAATGGCTTTGACTGACGCTGTGAGAGACATGCGCCCGCTGCTGGATGATATGTTTGTTGCCTACTTGAAGTATGCAGTAGTAGAAGAGAAAGGTCGCCTAGCTCGAGCGGGTTTGTTAGATGATCCAGAACACAACCAATGGCTTTTTGTTCTACAAATTGTACAGCAAGGCGTCTACAATGAGATTGCGATTGGCATCAATCGACACATTGATCATATCGGATATGTTATTAGGATGAAGACTCCACGACAAAGGAGAATGTTACTCGAGAAACTCATTGATGTCATGCCATCATTGGACGTTCGTCCATTTGTCCAAGTGGTGGAGAATATCGTTGGGGCTTTGGGAGACGGCGCAAAAGGCGAATTTGATGGAATTGATACTCTTGGTGGTTGGGCAAATGAACTGCTCCAATTGCATAGGGACGTGAAAGAACTACTTCCACCAGAGAGGATCGCACTAAAGGCTCGAGATGCCGACGAATGGGCAGAAAGGCAGCGACAGCGGTTGCTAGATTTCCGAAAGGTATCAAGACAACGACTTCAGGCTGCAAACGACAATGCCCACTTGCAAGATGAAATTGAAGCTTTGGGAAAACGCGGTGAAATTGAAAGAATAGAGTAGTTGCCCATCGACATGTCCCAAAGTTTTAAAAAGTAGGATTGGAGCGGGTTTATGCTGTTGCTCGAAGCATTGGACAGAAGGGGACCAGAGTCTTGGCGTTCAATCCTTTTCTTCCCCTAATATCTGCAATATGTTGAGGAATAAATTGACAATGTCATCGTATAGAGCCATTGCACCGAGAACATAGTCTTTTTCGTTCATTCTATACTTCGCATGTTTTCCACCGACTATCAGCTTTGTATGATATGCCAGAAAAGCAGAAAAGAGGCAAGATGTAACAAAGGAATACAGAATGTTTGAGAACGGCAGCACTTCGATTGGTATAATACCAATCTGTTGGAACCAGACAACTACTAGATACATGAGCAGTATCAAAGCCCAGCTGCTCAGCGTGTTTCCCCATTGCGAAAGGTCATACTTTGGGTTCTTTTGAAGAATTGTAAATGCCGAAATGGATATCGTGGCGATTGCTGTTGCCACCATCGATAAGATAACCGACTGGAACTTGAAGAATGTTGTAAGGAACCCGACACTCAGCGACTCCCCCAGAGTAAAGATCCCCAGCCACCACCATTTGTTGGGACTTCTATGCCTCGCATTGGGGCTCAGCGACACTCTGAACCATGATACACTACTGATAAGGACCCCGAACAATGGGATCAATGCGAATGTACCCTGATACTCTCCTGACGCAATTCGAGCTGGGAGACTGGAAAGAAACGGATGTGTACCAAATATGGCGCAAGATAAGGCTGTGACTATCAATTGAACACCGAGGATGGCATAGACTCTTGCTATTTAGCCGTTAGGCATGGACTGTGTAACACTGACGAATCAGGAGAAAGGCTTACCAATGAAAGTAGTTCTGGAATCCCTTGTCTTCCGGCAATGCAAGAATAAGGTATGTGGTGAGCCAACGTACGCTTCAATCATCCCATGGATTACTACTTCCGTACCAAAAAGGAGTCAATGATTTCCTTCGTTGAAACATCCTCTGCATCTCTTGTTGGTGTACTTTGGGTCGTTGATGCAGACCCGCTCCATGGTTGGAGTTTTGGAGGTGACCAAGGGCTGAAGTATGATGGTGGAGAACGAGGCAACGATGATGATCCACCCCGAATCCCAAAAGTTGGATCGGGAGGCTGATGCCTCCCAGCGACTATGGTGAGTAATATCGCAAGAAGACCCAGTCTAAACATGGATTCTTGCAAGAAAACTTTCCTTTGCGTTTTATGTTGAAACCGGTAGATAATTTTGGATATGATCAGCATCTGTTTGGTGATTTCGGATTTAGTCGAAGGGGTCCCCAAAGTCAACCTGGCATACACACAATTAATGGACATCATTGATGTCGAAATTAATGATGCTGTAGCTAGCTATCACTAATAGTGAATCATTCATCTCACTTAGAATGTCAAAGGTTATGGGTTTATAGAAAGAATAGAGTGTTTCTCTTGTTTAAAATTTCAGACTTAAATCCTCATTTTTCCTGCTCGAGATCCTCCAAAAAATGGTTGGTGAGAGGACTCCTCTTCTCCTCCAATCGCATTTTTTTCTTCAAATAGATGTCATCGAAGGTGCAGTCTCAGGAGTACTGAATCTGCATTCTCCTGTGCGATTGGGGCCGCTAAAAAAATCTGACACAGCACCCAATGCTATCTGCTCCAGCTTCGTTTGGCACTCGCAATCGCTTGTTTCCACGTCCACAATCTTCCCCAGTAGCTCCCTGCACTGCCTTGGACCCTTTCACTGAAAACTCCCGCTTCCGCCGGAAAGAATGAGCAACTTTGTTCCTCGCATCTACAGGCGACACCTCGATCCACATGCCACATTCGTCATCCAGCTTCATAAACTTCCCTCCATATTCATGGACCATGGCAACAATCCCTTCAGCTACCTTTGTCTTTCCCGCACGCGTCTCTCTATCATACTCATCGTAATGATCCGCAACGATCTCATGAAGGCGCTTATTCCCTGGATGACTATTGAAAGGTGTGCCTCGACCAAGAATCACATCTACTCGAAATGGAATGTCAACAGCATTCTTCGGAAGAGCACGGCTTCTCAAATACGCCTCTTTTCGCTTTCGTCGTTCAATCCACTTGAGATGATTAGTCTTCTTCACCTCATTTCTTTCTAAGAAGGGGAAGTCGTTGATCGGTATACCAAATGACATTAATCCGTACCTCACCTCATTGTGAGAGCCTGCAACGGAGGGACTGAAAAGATGAGATATCACGGCAGCTTTCCAACTAGTCAATCACCCGTGATCTACCTACCACAATGTATCCTAAGACGCACTCGATAGTAGGCATTAGCACCCTTGATTAGGATCCCAAAGAGCGCCGCAGCTGTCGACGAACCTGAGCAAAAATGCACCGCAGTCGCTCTCGCTGGGAGGCCCCTTCCTACGATTGCACAACGCTTCAGAGTTTCTCGTCGAGTGGCATCAGATGGGTGATCTGAGTCGGCAGCGTAACTCACAAAAACAAAACCTTCAATAATAGATGAGCCGTGTTACACTCCCAAAGGCAACAATTTCCTATGAGGAATGAATCTATGGTTCCGTTTACTCACCTTTTTTCTGTGTCTCTTCGTCATCGGCAACAGACATGAACACATACCAGAAAGCTTTTGTCAACGTTTTCACTGGGTCCTTGAATCTGTCAACTTGATCAAGGTATAATCTTTGCGACCCACAGATTACAGCCCGCCCTTGGGAATCCCGAGAAGGTAATACTTGATGCATCATTCCCTGTGATATTGCTTTCATCGAATCTTTGCCAAGATCTTCAAAAGTAATATCTTTCGCAAGCTTTTCCGAGCCAAACAGATCAAGCTTGTGGCGGAAGTACACGGCCATTCGGGATGCTGCCTCCTTTGGGTCGAACATCGTAGCTCTCAGAAACTTCAGTCGGAGTCTACGATCAGTAACATAATCCTTAGACAGGGACTCGGCAAGGTTATAGGCGTATTTGTCACTCAGAAACTTCAGGTGATGGTGCATTTGGTCGAGGGAGTATTCGATCAATTCTGATGTCTCCATAACGTGGTCGCTTACACCATGTACATCTTCATACGCCTCTGCTTAGTTCATCAGCAATCAATTTATCATTTGTCGACTGAGGGTCCATGTTTCCTGGCATCTCAGCGGATGCTGCTAGAGTTATGAAATATGAAATATACCGGTAGTTCGAAACTTGTTATGACCCCGATCCGCGAATTCCCAACCCAAAATGTGGCAGGAATTTGGAATTCTGGTGACAAAGTAAAAATTTCAAAAAGCAGCTATGGACCTAGAACCTTTTCAGGTCGCTAGAGAATAGTTTGCCCATTCCTTGTAAAAAATTCCAAGTTGCTAGCTAGGAGGTCGTAGTCCAACGTAGACCGCAGGCACACTGTTCGATTTCTTTGACTACATTGTGTTACAGACGGACAAAGGCCGAACGGCCTTCGACCGTCAAAAGTTGTTGTCGATGCGCCCAGGCAATGATGCCCAGTTTATCGACTGAGATTGAATTCACCCACTTGTGTCGCGGTAATTCAATTTTTCTCTCCCAAACCTCACCCGCCCTGTTGGGCACCGCCTCCATTTTACCATATCGGCGGTGCCTGGTAGGAAAGCAGATCTCAGTAATACCGCACACGGGATTTCTGAGATTGGTCGAACGAATCGAGTCTATTACTCGATCAGTTCGACCCGCTTCACACCACAACCCACCAGCTACACACCAAGACAAAATACTACGAACACACACACGGAGGACGGCAGTAGGCTATCTTAGATAGAGGGGCTTCACTACAGAAAACAACATTTGTGTAACGGCTAAAAAAGAAACCGTTATCAAGTCGATTGAGTCAATTAGTAAGTCGATTGAGTCAATTCCGATTTTGACTCGTGTGATTACCAAAACGAAAAACAAGAGGTAAGAGGGCGATCTCCTACCATACGACCTTGTTGCGATTACATTTTTAGATAAATTTCCCGGCGATATTATAAATATATACCTAAACTAGACCTCTGCATACTCTAAATTGCGAAAGTGGCTAGATTCGATCACAGGGAAGGAAATTCGACCAAGTCAAAGAGAAACCTTAGGAAAGAGAGAAAAAAATAAGCTAGCCTAGAATCTATTTACCGGCGCAGCACTCCAAAACACCGCCCAAAGTCGATACTAGTTGGTATTTGGACAACTTTGAACTTAGTGCCATGGTGTCTGGGTACTGACTCGGCGACTGAGAAGGATTCCTGACACCAAGTTTCATAAACCTGGATTGACCACTGTAGCAGGGTGATTGCCATTGAATCGCTTGCACGTAGAAATCACCCATTCCAAGCCCCCCAATCTCATCATACATACCCATGGACGACAACTGTATGTTGGAATGAAGAATTCTGAGGAAATTCGGTCCACACCAATACCATTTCCCATTTTGGACCGAATTTCACTGAAAACTCTTCCCATTTTTGTTAGATCATTCTTGATCTAGGCCGAAAAAATGTAAAGAAACCAGAAAATAGAAACAATAGGTATCCAAGGGACCTTCTGGTGTATTGTTGAATGTATAGTTGTCTCCAGGGCGGCCACACCGACCCTCATGATGACAGGTGACACGACAGCAGCAAACATTCGGATTCAAAAATCTCAGCCAATATTCCATAGAAAAAGCAACCGAATGGATCTCCGAGTAGGTATGGTCACTGCGAAGCTTTCCAGCACATGTTGCATATGAGGCCTTGCCCTCTTGACCTTCTGCTGACCAGATTAAGCAACCCAACAGAACATGTTTGGCGAATTTTGGTAGATTGTAGTGTAATGGAGGCGAAAGGAATAGTGAATCGCCGCTCCAGCCATAGTCCATCTATCAAACATGCTTGCCATAACATGTTATTCAGTTTTTACTTCTCTGGGCGCCCACACCGGCTACCCATTGTGATGGACGAATTCCCAACTCAATATTGTCGTGTGAAAATCGTCCTGTAGGAGCCCAGATACCGCACATCAAATGATACCACCGTCTTTCCTATAACATAATAAGCAACTTCCGAAGAAAATTTGACATCTTTACTGCCTTGCGACTGCGTGGGGTCCCAAACCGGGTCGAGCGCATGCCAAACGAAATAACACCGAACAGAGCGGAGGTTTCCAAACGAAACCAAACGTCACGAAACCACACGTATTGAACCGAACGGAACGAAACCGCGCGATTTCGTTTCGTTTGGTTTCGTTCCGTTTCGATATATATTTATAAACGAACGATTTTTAAATACATCGAAAACCAAACGAAGACAAACTAAAAAATTTATCGAAACCAAACCAAACCAAACGAAACCAAACGACACGAAATCGTTTGGTTTTATTCCGGAAAAACACGAGATGTTTGGTTTCGTGTCGTTTGGTTTCGTTTGGAAACCTCCGCTCTGTTCGGTGTTGTTTCGTTTGGCATGCGTGGTTTGATTCGGAATTTATAAATAACAAGCAAACTCCCAGTGGCGCATCACAAGCTCGATCACTTTCGATATTCATTTTTTTTATTTAGTGGAGTGCATATAATAATAAGTAGACCTACAGTACTTTTTAAAATAAAATAAGCATCGTTCTTTTCTATTTATAAAAAGTACGAACCGATATATATGGCCAGCAGTCCTCGGACTGCTGGCCGGCAAGGCGTTTTAACTACTGTACAGTACTAGTCATAATGCGAATCCTCCTTTTCCAGTGGCGAATTGTGAGTGAACCAGTTCGATGAACTGATCCTTTCTGCTTGGTTGCTGACCGAGGTAGCTTACTGGCTCCTCCCGCTTGGTGCTTGTGCCCCGGTTGAGACACCTACAAAATCTGGCACAGTTCCATGGGCCATCTCAAGCTTCGTTCGGCACGCGCAATCGCTTGTTGTCGCGCCCACAGTCTTCCCCAGTAGCTCCCTGCACTGCCTTGGACCCTTTTACTGAAAACTCCCGCTTCCGTCGGAAAGAGTGAGCAACTTTGTTCCTCGAATCAAGAGATGTCACCTCGATCCACATTCCGCATTCATCTTCCAGCTTCATAAACTTCCCTCCATATGCATGGACCGTGGCAACAATCCTCTCAGCTATCTTTGTCTTTCCCACACGCGTCTCTCTATCATACTCATCGTAATGATCCGCAACGATCTCATGGAGACGCTTGTTCCCGGGATGGCTATTGAAAGGAGTACCTCGACCAAGAATCACATCAACTCTCGATGGAATGTCAACAGCATTCTTTGGAAGAGTATGCGTTTTAAGATACTCTTCTTTTCGTTTTCGTCGTTCAATCCACTTGAGATGATTAGTCTTCTTCACATCACCTCTTTCTAAGAAGGGAAAATCGTTGATTGGTATCCCAAATGACATTAATCTGTATTTGATCTCATTGTGCGAACCTGCAACGGAGGGAACAAAAGGATAAGAGATCGCATCAGATTACCGACTAATCGACCACTCGTGATGTACCTACCACAGTGTGTCCTAATTCGAACTCGAGTATAGGTTGGAGAGCTCACAATCATTATTCTCCATAACGCTGCAGCTGCCTGCGAATCCGAACAAAAGTGCGCCGCGGTCGTTCTAACTGGGAGTGTCTCAACTACGGTTGCACAACTCCTGAGAGTTTCTCGCCGAACGGCATCGGATGGTTGATTCGAGTCGACAGCGTAACTTACAAAAACAAAACCTGCAATAACAGATGAGCGGTCTAAAAATACGAACAGCCAATCTTTTCACCAGGAACCATTGGTTCAGCTTACTCACCTTTCTTCTGCGTCTCTTCGTCATCAGCAACAGACGTCAAAATATACCAGAAAGCTTTCGTCAATGTTTTCACTGGGTCATTGAATCTGTCAACTTGAGCCAGGAATAATTTTTGCCAGCCGCAGACTACGGCCCGCCCTTGGGTATCCCGAGAAGGTAATACTTGATGCATCATTCCATGTGAAATTGCATTCATCGAATCTTCTCCAAGATCTTCAAAGGTAATATTCTTCACAAGCTTTTCCAAGCCAAACAGATCAAGCTTGCGGCGGAAGTACCCAGCCATTCGGGATGCTGCCACCTTTGGGTCGAACATCGTAGCTCTCAGGAACTTCAGTCGGAGTCTACGATCGGTAACATAATCCTCAGACTGCGATTCCGCAAGGTTATACGCGTATTTGTCACTCAGAAGCTTTAGTTGATGGTTCATCTGGTCGAGGGAGGATTGTATTAATTCTGGTGTTTCCTTGACTTGGTCGCTTACACCGTGAATATCTTCATATGCCTCCCCTCGTTCCTTAAAAGAGAGTTTGCTTAATTCATCGGCAATAAGTTTCTCATTTGTCACCTGAGGGTCCGTGTTTCCCGACATCTCAGTGGGTGCTGCTAGTGATGAAATACGAATGAAACTCTTGGAGCACAACCTGTACCACTATTATGTTCTCTAGTCGAGTCGTCGTCGCGACGAGGGATGATCGCGAGCATAATATAGTTCCAATCAAAACGGGCAGAAGTAGTCCCAGATTCTCGAAGCCATTTCATTGATCATTTTGTCACTCAATAGTTCGCACTGTAGATGTAGATAAAAAGACCTTATCTACAGTAGAGATTAGGAATACAATACCTATCACTGGTTGGGAGCAGCTATAAGAATCTGAAACAATTCCCTATGACAAATCCGGCTTCGTTCAGCACTCTCGCAATCGCTTGTTGTCGCGCCCACAGTCTTCCCCAGTAGCTCCCTGCACTGCCTTGGACCCTTTTACTGAAAACTCCCGCTTCCGTCGGAAAGAGTGAGCAACTTTGTTCCTCGAATCAAGAGATGTCACCTCGATCCACATTCCGCATTCATCTTCCAGCTTCATAAACTTCCCTCCATATGCATGGACCGTGGCAACAATCCTCTCAGCTATCTTTGTCTTTCCCACACGCGTCTCTCTATCATACTCATCGTAATGATCCGCAACGATCTCATGGAGACGCTTGTTCCCGGGATGGCTATTGAAAGGAGTACCTCGACCAAGAATCACATCAACTCTCGATGGAATGTCAACAGCATTCTTTGGAAGAGTATGCGTTTTAAGATACTCTTCTTTTCGTTTTCGTCGTTCAATCCACTTGAGATGATTAGTCTTCTTCACATCACCTCTTTCTAAGAAAGGAAAATCGTTGATTGGTATCCCAAATGACATTAATCTGTATTTGATCTCATTGTGCGAACCTGCAACGGGGAGATTCCAAGGATGAGACCTCACGTCAGATTCCCAAATAGTGGAGCACTCGTGATGCACCTACCACAATGTGTCCTAAGTCGCACTCGATTATAGGTTACAGAGCTCACAATTATTATCCTCCATAACGCTGCAGCTGTCTGCGAATCCGAACAAAAGTGTACCGCGGTTGTTCTGGCTGGGAGTATCTGATGTACAGTTGCACAGCTTCTAAGGGTTTCTCGCCGAATGGTATCTGATGGTTGATTCGAGTCGACAGCGTAACTCACAAAAACAAAACCTTTTATAACAGATGAGCGGTCGTAATACCAGAAGCAAATCTTCTCACCAGGAGCCCTTGGGCAGCTTACTCACCTTTCTTCTGCGTCTCTTCGTCATCAGCAACAGACGTCAAAACATACCAGAAAGCTTTTGTCAACGTTTTCACTGGGTCCTTGAATCTGTCAACTTGAGCCAGGAATAATCTTTGCCAGCCGCAGACTATAGCCCGCCCTTGGGTATCCCGAGAAGGTAATACTTGATGCATCATTCCCTGAGATACAGCTTTCATCGAATCTTCTCCAAGATCTTCAAAAGTAATATTCTTCACAAGTTTTTCCCAGCCAAACAGATCAAGCTTGTGGCGGAAGTACCCGGCCATTCGAGATGCTGCCTCCTTTGGGTCGAACATCGTAGCTCTAAGGAACTTCAGTCGGAGTCTACGATCTGTAGCATAATCCTTAGACAGGGATTCGGCAAGATCATAGGCGTATTTGTCATGCAGGAGCTTCAGGTGATGGTGCATTTGTTGGAGGGAGTATTCTATTGATTCTGGTGTTTCCTTGACGTGGTCCCTTACACCGTGAATATCTTCATATGCCTCCTCTCGTTCCTGAAAGGAGAGTTTGTTTAATTCATCAGCGATAAGTTTCTCATTTGTCGACCTAGCGTCCATGTTTCCTGGCATCTTGGCGGACGCTGCAGCAGTATGATGAAACAAACCTTCTGCACTCTTGCAGTAACCCGTATGTAATTGAGCGCTTGTCATTTCAATAGCAAAACAGTCCGGCGGCCATCTGTTCGATCTATTTTTGGCGCATGACAGAAGCTATCTGTACTTCGTTCCTCCGTAACAGTGATTTGCTCATTCGAAAATAACAGACAAACATTTGTTTCGACCCAGTAAGAGCGACCCAAATGTTGCCGGCCGGCCACGCGCCTGCCAGGACTAGTTGATCGGTCCAAGTGGATTGACAGTTAGTTAGTTGTCTGTCTGCCTCCTAGCCGACTCCTTTGACTAGCCCTAAGCATTGGCGCCAAAATTGAATTCGGACTTGGCGCTCCGCAAATCATCAAAGTAACTGAAGTGAAATAAATTTCCTGTGAAACAAGCATACTAGTGGTACTACCTGCCCCTCCCCCCCCCATCCTTTTCAATGTCTTTAGAAAATGCGTCAGATCTCACCCAAGAAGACTGGAAGAAGAACTACAAACCCAAGAAGTTGCTGAAGCACAAACAAAACATGGTGCGCCAAGCTTCCCTTTGACGGTCTTGTAGATTATGATGGTGAATCTGCTGATCTGTTCTCATTTGTCACCAGCGCCATTGAAACAAGAGCTGCTAAATTCGATCCAAAGCAATGGCCACCGACCAAAAAAGGTCTGAATGATTTGCTTCACCATTTGAAAGCGATTGGTCTCAGAACGGAAGTGAATTCATATATGATGTCTCAAAAGGCTGGTTGGCTTGTTATAGATCAAAGCCATACCATGGGACAAAACTACAAGACTCAGAGCAATATAATGAAAAAGGGGTCCTTCTCCAGTACCGACACAAGTCCTACCACCATGCTCGCTTAAGGAATCGTCCAGATGGCCTAACACAACCCCGAGCTACACATACTTCAAAAGGACACTACAGGAGACAAGCTTTGCCCTTGCCGACTGCGACTGCGTATTCAGGTGTTTGTGTCGGCCTTTGTCATAAGTCGCACACCATCATGATCACAAAAGAAATCGTGTGAATGGACAAACCAAATCCAGAGCTACCCAAACAGCCAAGGACACTACTGGAAACTGTCTAGGCAACTGTCCCCTATCTTTGAAATTCTCTAGGAGCAAAGAGTTCATCTACGTTTCATGCAAGGGAGAGAAGATCCCAATAGTCATTCAATTCTTCATCACCAAGACCAGCTTTTCTTGTTGCCTTTTTTGCTGTCTCTGTTTCTGGTGCGTCTATTTTAGCACCAGCTCCTGCAGTACCAAGGCCCAATTCCTGCCTCACCTTCTCTGCCCTCCTTTCTTGCGACTTGCATTGATCTCCTAACTCAGAACAAAACTAAGAAAGTGTGTACACTTGAGGAAGCTGCTAAAATGATGATATAGGGAAGATCAAAAGACCATGGTCAAAGCCTTGAAAGTCCATGCCCATTTGAGGAGGAAAAAGTCTGGGCCATGCAGGAGATCAAGAAGGATCTTGCTCATAAAAGCGCATGGGGTTGGGATCTCCATTCTGAGATTGCGAATCTGTGCCCCTGTCATCCTTCGAAAAATGACATCCTTCCCCAAGTTGCTTGGTCCTGAAAGTCCCCAGATGGGAACTCAGTTTCTCTCTTCTGTCAGCATCTGCTTTTCAGATGATTCAATTCACCAAGCGATCCATGACAAGAAGAGACCCAAGAAATCGGAAATTCAAGCGTCCTTTGGGTTTGCCGTTCCTACTGGTAAGCCCTATTCGGTCTATGGTCGGGGTCGCAAGGAATCAGTGACAGCAGAGACCATTTCTGCTGATGCTATCCGTTTTAATGCACCTCAGATGCTCTCTACAGACAAGTTGCGGCTCTTGAACTCGTCTCGCGTCGGAGCAGTCCTTGGAGTATTTTTTACTCCGAATTCTCCTCCGGTTATTGGATTTGGCGCTAGTCCTGTTAGTACTACTTTCAATGGGCAAGATGCTGTCCATCGCGGGGCCCCAAAGTGGTCTGATTGCTTTGATCCCACTTTGATCCAGCAATACTGGCAGGGAGATATGAGTGTCCCTACTCATAGTCTGGTGGTTTCCCTCAGTGGGCGAACAAGGTTGAAAATGCCAGCGTCGCAGCAGGATTTTGTTCAAGCAACAAAGCCTGCAATGCTGGTTGGGGACTTTTCCAAGATCCTTCTGATTCCTGATGGATGCGGTGCCCCGGTGGGCCTTTATTGGCCAACTTCTATTTCTTTCGAGGACTTCAAAAATTCTTTGAGTGGACATGGTACTCCTTATGGGAGTTTCTTGGATTTATTACGGAGTCAGTCTTCTATTTTTGAAGAATGGTTTACGGCAGTGAATTCAAGTGCTGGGTCCTATCAATTGCAAACTACTTCTGCGATGGATCTGTGGGCGACTCTGCCTTGTCCTTCCAACCTTCACGGGAATGGTCTATTGAACGTTGCTGCCGCCCAACCCCTACGAGAGCAATTTGCTCGCTACGTAATGGGGATGGCTCTGGATTGTGCTCTCTTTGGCCCCTGTGATGTGGACAATCAACAGGTTATCAGGCAACGCTGTCAAGTTGGTGCATGGTTGGAACGTGCTCGGCAATGCTACCCGCCAGCACTGGGGTATCATGGTCCGCCGGATCACTTCGCGTACCTATCTGTTCTTTGTCCTCCGGAGGATGGGTGGTCTTGGCTGGAATTTTCTACTTGGCTTTCTTATTTGCCTTTTGACGCGCTACCTGATAGGTATCAGCGATTTGAACCAAAACAAATCCCTGTGAAAGCTCGAGCAGTCTTTGTTCCAGCCATTCTTGTGGAAAAAGAGGACCCTGATAGCGATTTGGATGCTTGCGCAAATGTGTTTGCCACGACTGCAACTACAGATACGGCTACACCTAACATTGCTACAGTCCCAGCTCCAGCTCCAAATGTTGCTACTCCAAGTCCACCAAAAGAAGCTCCACTTCCAACGGTGCGGCAATCGGCCTCCCCACCTTCCGTTCCACAAGACGTCCTCAATGCCATGCAAAAAGTGAGGGCTTTCCAAGAACAAATTGTTCATGGTACATCTGCGAGCACACCTGCTAATCCAGTTGACTTGGTCCCTGGTGATGTGGAGGAGTATGACATTTGCCCGAATGACTTGACAACTAAATTTGCTTCTTCGGCAAATGATTCTTCTACTGCAGCAGTCATGCAAGCTGGCAATATTGCTGATCGTCGTCGCTCTAGTTTGGCACAAGGAAGATTTGGGGCTGGTCCACGTACGGGTTTGCTGGGCCTTGCTCCGATGCAGAACAACATGTTCAACCCGCAGACACTGGCGGCAGCGCTTGGAGTACGACAGTCTTGTTTTGTTCCAGTTGATAAAGCGTCTCTTGCAAGTGTGCAGGCACGTCGGACTTGCAGCCCTTATTTCCTAAATGTTGCTCTGGTTCTTGCAAGTTTCTTTCCCCAAGAGGAGCAACCCTATCTGTGTCTGTCTGATGACCGTGTGGTGGCTGCGACTGATTGGATGAAAGTGCCGGAACCAACGCAACTCGCCCGTGATCTCATTGCGCTATGGGACCATGGCCACAAGGAGGCAACGTCGGGTGTCACACGAACATTGCATTATGCACTTCGTTTTTGTGCGGATATTGCTACAGATTTTCAACAGATCCCAGCTGAATTTGACCTGCTAAATTTTGCAATGCATAAATCGATCTATGATGTGGTGTTGGGATATGATAAAGCAAAATGTGCTCTATCATGAGTGCCTCTCTGCAATCTAAATTCGTAATTGACTGTACAACACTTTCACGACAATAGTTCTCCTGTGTCTAGGCATACTTTGAGTGAAATTGTTCCTATTTGATCAATGTTTGGCTTGAATTGATGATTCAATCACAAAAGTGAGTTCAACAATTTTCCCTTGGAACATCCCTTGTTTACAGAACTCAATTCGACTTCTACGACAATTCTGTGTTGAATGCAGTACTTTGGGACATCTTACATTATTCCCTACTGCATCGTACACAACATCAATATTCCACTTGTACAGGATCTTTTCCTTTTTGGGTGGATACAGATTGTCCGACAGACTTGCGTCCGGCAGACTTGTGTCAAATCCCGACATCACGATCAAAGTCCGATCGCATGTGTCGAAAACCTTGTACTTGAATAGTTTCTTTTGGAACGTAAAAACTCATATTTCGTCATATCCCAACATGTGGCGAGATGGAAGATGGGTCGGAAAGTACCACCAACCCCTGTCAGTGGTCCATCTTGGCACATTTTTCACTTGCTACCCTTGGTAAACTCTACATATGGTGGTACATGTATTCCTCCTGGGGGACTTCCAATTGCTGATGCACAATTGTTTGGGAAGTAGTATGTCTACCTTTTGATGTTGCTGTTTGGTTCCCAAGAAGACGCAACAATGGATCAGATTTATGGGGGGGACTACGACAATTCGGTATTTTGGGCATCTCTGTTTGGCCAAAATCTGCTACATTTGTGCAAACTCCCTCAGCACACCGCCGTCGTTCGCTTATGGAGATGCCTTCCTCGCCAATGCACTCTCCAGTGGATGGAAGATCTATGTGCTCTGTTTGGGGAGGTTACTGCAATGGTGCGTTATTGTTCAGGCGCAGCACCTACTACTTTGGGTCTTCAAGATGCTACGTTCCATGGCAACGAAGATTTTGTGGTGGCTCCAACTATGGTGGGACGCCACAAATTCACCAAAAAACCTCTTTGCTATTTGGACAAGTTCCAGCTGCTTTATGAACGCGTGGAAAGGAAGTGGGATCCTGCTTGAACGGCCATACTTGGAGCCATAGTTTTTCTTCGAGTTTCTTTGGCACCGCCATCCCTCCTGTCCTACCTCCTAGGGGTCCAGATCCTTCTCGACATGGTCTCTCTGATGGGGTACAGCCGCGACAACGATTGGAACTACCTCCTGCCGGCCCACCACCTGGACCACCACAACCTGAACACACTGTACCGTTTACAGCCAAGAAGCCTTTGTTTAAATCTTTGCTCCCGGTGGAAGCTGGTCAGTCCGTATATGAAGCTGTTTTGATGAAGAAATTGGTTCGAGGTGACTCTCCACTTCTCCTGAATCCACAAGGTACGCTGAAAACCCGATTTGTTTTCGTGCTGCGTTTGAAGGGTCTTGCTCGTGTGACAACGGAACAGGGATTTGTCAGTCCCGCGGCTTTGCGAAATCTAAAGGCGTGGGACGGGATCGTCTGCATGTTGATCTTGCAGATCCTTGATGGCATGCACCCGCTTATGCTGAAGCAAATTGGGCCCCAGTGGTCAAGTTTGTCAAATTGTACCAAGAGAAGGGCGTTCTTGGGCCCTCTGCTTGGTTCAAAGCACTGACACCAAGTGCAAAATGGGCTCCGTGAGACCCACTTTTTCCGGAAGGTGCACGAGTTCTGGAAAAAGAATCTCTTACAGCGACATGCATTCCAATTCCATTGGATTGTCGTGTGAAGAGGACGTTTCAACGAAGGTTCCCATCAAAACGGACTCGGACAATTTGACGAAAAAGGAGCAGAAGAAGGAAAGGCGGCGGCGGTCATTCCCTTGGCGGATGGACTGGTCATTGGTGGTAGAGGGCGCTCGACCACCTTTGGATAGGCCACCCACAGCGTGGAATGACACTGTGGATTTTATGGATATTGCTGTCCATGTTCAAGCTAGTGGTTTTCTTGATGATCATACTATCCATACTTTGACTGGGGCGCACCCTCAACAAAGGGCGTGACTTCAATCTTGAATGGGATGTCATCGAATCCCATTTGAAGTCAAAGGTGCTCCCATCAGATCTTCCACCTACAAAATTGAACATGACATATCGTATTCAAACTGAAGGTGTTCGTCTCCGTGGACAATATACTACGCCTATGGAGGCAACACTTCTACAAAACGAATACAATAACCACCCAGCGGTAGGTGCTAACTTGGCCGCGGAAGAATTTTGCAAAGGAGGAGTGGAACTCCTACCACATCCACTACCTGCGATTTGTCTATGAATTTCTTCCGGGCTTGGTCATCAATCCGATTCAGTGGGTCTTTGATACAGGAAAGGGTCAAATCTGTATTGATTGCTCCAATGGTCCTAATTCGTTAGGTTCCATCAATCTTTACATTCCATCTCCGAAAGATGCTATTCCCGGTGAGGAGGATGAATGCCCTGCAGTGTACTACCAATATGCGTTTGATCGCTTCTTGCGTCGAATCCTCAGGATGCGCATCACTCGCCCGAATGATCCCATTATGGTCCATGCGGATGATATAGAAGCTGCGTTTCGACGAGTGCTCTATCATCCTGATATGGCGTGTGCTTTTGCATATGTTTATTCTGATTATCTGATGGTTCCAGTGGGTCAAGTTTTTGGTTCTCGGAGTGCGCCTTCCTACTACTGTGTACTTGCTGATGTCCGCCAAGCATTGGCGGCTTGTCGACAGGATGAGCCTCTTCTTCTTCCATTGGTCGCTTCCTGCACCTATGAGGTAGATACTTCCTCTCCTCTTGTACAGGTGCCTCCAGATTCGAATCATCCTCCACTCACTTTGCAGGAGCAGATTGGTCGAACGAATCGAGTCTATTACTCGATCAGTTCGACCCGCTTCACACCACAACCCACCAGCTACACACCAAGACAAAAATACTACGAACACACACACGGAGGACGGCAGTAGGCTATCTTAGATAGGACAACTACAGCAGTACAGTACAGAGTGGGCGCCGCTGGGTCTATTACGGTTTTGAGGAAAAGGCATATCTCCGTTCCAAAGATAAAAATAATGACAACCATACAGTATGAAACATATTTACGGAGTCTGCAAATCGTGGGACGAAATTTGGTGGTATTATACTACAAGGTTCCACACACGATGCGACACGAAAACATCCACTACTGTAAATAGATAGCTTTATTAATATGTAAAATAACTGTTGTTGACACCCGAACACCAAACCCCACCGTGCACACTCACAAAGTGGTAAGCAAAGCTGCCCTGGGAAAAGAAGACGGGCCATTTTGCAGAAGATACTGTATACTACCGAGCTATCGGTACTATTGTTCTCGAGTCGAGTAGCTGCGAGACCGAGCGATTGAGCAGTTCCAATCAAAACGGGCAGAAGTAGTCCCAAAATTCTCGAAGCCACCACCCTCTTTCATTGATCATTTTGTCACTTGGAGGTAACTCAATAGTTCGCACTGTAGATGTAGATAAAAAGACCTTATCTACAGTAGAGATTAGGAATACAACACCTATCACCGGTTGGGAGCAGCTATAAGAATCTGACACAATTCCCTATGACAAATCCGGCTTCGTTCAGCACTCTCGCAATCGCTTGTTGTCGCGCCCACAGTCTTCCCCAGTAGCTCCCTGCACTGCCTTGGACCCTTTTACTGAAAACTCCCGCTTCCGTCGGAAAGAGTGAGCAACTTTGTTCCTCGAATCAAGAGATGTCACCTCGATCCACATTCCGCATTCATCTTCCAGCTTCATAAACTTCCCTCCATATGCATGGACCGTGGCAACAATCCCCTCAGCTAGCTTTGTCTTTCCCACACGCGTCTCTCTATCATACTCATCGTAATGATCCGCAACGATCTCATGGAGACGCTTGTTCCCGGGATGGCTATTGAAAGGAGTACCTCGACCAAGAATCACATCAACTCTCGATGGAATGTCAACAGCATTCTTTGGAAGAGTATGCGTTTTAAGATACTCTTCTTTTCGTTTTCGTCGTTCAATCCACTTGAGATGATTAGTCTTCTTCACATCACCTCTTTCTAAGAAAGGAAAATCGTTGATTGGTATCCCAAATGACATTAATCTGTATTTGATCTCATTATGCGAACCTGCAACAGAGGGAATAGAAGGATAAGAGATCGCATCAGATTACCGACTAGTCGAGTGATGTACCTACCACAGTGTGTCCTAATTCGAACTCGAGTATAGGTTGGAGAGCTCATAATCATCACCCTCCATAACGCCGCAGCTTCTTGCGAATCGGAGCAAAAGTGTACTGCCGTCGTTCGCGCTGGTAGGCTCCTACCTAAGATTGCACAACTTTGCAGGGCTTTTCGTCGAGTGGCATCAGATGGGTGATTCGAGTCGACAGCGTAACTCACAAAAACAAAACCTTCACAAAAGTTAATTAAAACCGGTCTTTCAATATACCAAAAGCAAAAATCTTATCACGAACTCATGGTTCAGCTTACTCACCTTTCTTCTGCGTCTCTTCGTCATCAGCAACAGACGTCAAAACATACCAGAAAGCTTTTGTCAACGTTTTCACTGGGTCCTTAAATCGGTCAACCTGATCGAGGAATAATCTTTGTGACCCACAGAATACAGCCCGTCCTTGGGTATCCCGACAAGGTAGTACTTGCTGCATCATTCCGTGTGATATTGCCTCCATCGAGTCTTCGCCAAGATCTTCAAAAGTAATATGCTTCACAAGTTTTCCCCAGCCAAACAGATCAAGCTTGTGGCGGAAGTACCCGGCCATTCGAGATGCTGCCTCCTTTGGGTCGAACATCGTAGCTCTCAGGAACTTCAGTCGGAGTCTACGATCGGTAACATAATCCTTAGACAGGGATTCGGCAAGGTTATAGGCGTATCTGTCACTCAGAAGCTTTAGGTAATGGTTCATTTGGTCGATAGAGTATTCTATTAATTCTGATGTCTCCTTGACGTTGTCGCTTACACCATGTACATCTTCATATGCCTCCTCTCGTTCCTTAGAGGAGAGCCTGCTTAATTCATCAGCAATTAGTTTCTCATTCGTCTGCTGAGGGTCCATATTTCCTGGGTGCTGCTGCTGCTGCTGCTGACAAAGATGAAGAAATGGGAGGTATTTTGAAAAAATGTGTATGTGCAGAATAATCCACTGACATTTCTCAAAGAACAAATGTGAGGCACGAAAATACAACCGTGATTCGTATTGGGCGTTAACGAGAGGCATTTTCAATTTGCTTCTTTGTCTTTTGTCCAGGAGGCTCTGTCACTGCGACATTGGAAAAAGGCATACCTTAGTCCAAAGAAGAAATGACAAACCAATAATTTGATGCATTCATTCATTCATTCAATACCGTACAACTCCTGCAGCCTACACCTCATGCTTGATATTTTAAACAATGGACTATGAATCGCTGAACGAGGAGCTCATATCAATCTACCAAAAAAATTCCAAGAATAGCGATGGATTTGCTGATCAGATTCTTTCTCGCGCTGCAAGACTTGGAGTTCTGCAAGCTGCAATGCTGGAGGATTCCAATGCAACTATTGACCCATCTATTGTCGCTTTGCTTTCGCAGACCATCGAAGAAGTCACCATTGCTGCAACTGCAAATTCTCAAGCACTAGAAAACTATCTACCTGTACGACAAGCTCCGCAAGAAGGCTTTGGAAGTAGAGAAATCTCTTCTTTGGACGCGGAAGGATTTTTTGAAGAGTACCCAGAATGTATGAAAGTGCTTCCGGAAACAGACTCGACCAGCGACAGTGATAGCGATGACTCAAGTGTAGTAGAAGTTGTTTCATCGAGGAGACCACGAAAGAATTTGAAGCTTGGCAATCCCCAACAGGAACTAAAATTGTCTTCAACCCAAACCAAAAACAATTCCGTTCAAAATGCGAGCATATCTGCTCCACCACCACAACAGAGTAGACCCATATCCAACCCATACCAGAAACGGGCACAGCCAAATATTAACAATCGCGGTCTCGACTCGCGTTCCAATCCATACGCCAAGAATGCAGCCCAATCAAATGCATTCGTCTATACTCAAGAAACGCAGGATCAGAGTGATACCGCAGTTCGGAAAACTGCATCCAATAGCCAACTACGGCAACATCATCAACAACAGCACCATGCATATGGGAATCCAATAGCAAACTCCTCTTGGGACAATCATCAACAGCAACAAAATCCTTTTCAGACGGCAAAAGAGATTGCTCATGGTAATGACAACCAAAACAATTATCACCAGCACGCCCCTCCGACGTCCAATGACGGATGGAATCGTTACAGTGATCCTAATGATCGGTATGGAAATCCTCACAATGCCTATCCACCGCTACAAGAGGAGGTAGAAACAGCAGAACACGGTGGCCCTAGTATTCCGGATTCCTTGAAACGAAAGTTTCAACCACCCAAAAGGGTGGAAAATGTAAGATATGATCGCCTCCAACGCCGTGTCGTGTCAGTGCCATTTTGTACACTCACCCCTTCTGTATTTTGAAAATCTTCGTTTTGCCTAGTCTCAGAGAGGAGGCAAAAGCAGTGTAGGATCTTGCCCGGTGCCAAAGCGAAGCGGGGGTGGTGTGCAAATCGCGAGACCAACTTCGAGCTCCTCGCGAGCTGACAACGGTGCCAATGTTGACGACCAAGAAGAGCTTCCGGAGGAGCTGCAACATCTGGACAAGGAATTAGTCAAGAAAATTCAAAATGAAATCATGGAGAGCGGGGACAAGATCACATTTGATGATATTGCTGGACTGGACGAAGCCAAGCAAACAGTCCAAGAAGTTGTTTGCTGGCCAATGAAACGGCCTGACCTTTTTACAGGGCTACGAAGGGCACCAAATGGTCTTCTTCTCTACGGTCCTCCAGGAACTGGAAAAACTCTGATTGGAAAGGCGATTGCTCATGAGTCTGGTGCTACGTTCTTTTCTATTTCGAGTTCGTCGCTGACAAGCAAATGGATCGGGGAAGGAGAGAAACTAGTTCGTACTCTCTTTGCCGTTGCTGCATTCCGCCAACCGGCAGTTGTATTCATTGATGAAATCGACTCGCTGTTGACACAGCGAAAGGCCAGTGAAAACGAAGCAAGCAGAAGAATCAAAACTGAATTCTTAGTTCAATTGGATGGGACAGGAACGACTGGACAAGGGCGGGTCTTGGTCATTGGGGCTACCAATCGACCCCAAGAACTGGACGAAGCAGCACGACGCCGATTCACAAAGCGACTATACATTCCGCTACCGGCCGAAATGGACCGTTCCATTCTTTTACAGGTCATGCTGAAAACGAACAACCACATTCTATCGATCGAGGAGGTTCAGAAGCTGGCTAGGGAAACAGATGGGTTTAGTGGAGCTGATTTGAAAGCACTGTGCACAGACGCCGCAATGGGGCCAATCAGGCAACTTGGAGATCGAGCTTTGACCATTGATGTGAAAGATGTGCCAGCAATTTCGTACAAGCACTTCCGCAAGTCCTTGAAAGGGACGAAACCAAGTGTTGCTCCATCGGACCTTATTCAATACGAGGAGTGGGACAAAGTGTATGGTACAAACCGTGCATCCGAAGAAGACAGCAGTAGCGACGAGGAATGAATGCAAGGTCAACATTGCTTTTTAGGTTTCGGTAGGAAGCAAAAAGGCGAAGACACGTGGTCCAACAGTGCAGACATCGTCATTGCAAAGCGGAAAGCAACCCATTTTTGGTGTGATTCGTCGCCCGTTTATAGTCACCAAATCGTTGTCTGATAGAGCACAAAATTGAAAGTCGCTTGAATCCGTTGGGGAATAACGAATATAGGCTGCTTTTTCACTGCACCCAATGGGGCTCCCTCCAATGTGACAATCCATAGAACCAATAACTCCACCTATAGCTGCTGATCTCAGGCCAAGCGACTCGTTCATACGCCGAGTTCTCTCACTAGCGCAGCCAATGACAGTAGAAGTTCCTTGGACAAGGGTCCGGAAAGAATCATTGACACCCTGATCACTGTATTGGGCAATAAGGGCACTCAAAGCACGATCGGCATTCGTTCCCGATGATTCATCAAAGCAATTTGCAACATATTCTTTATCATCCCAACCAAAAGAAACCGAAGAAAGTCCGACCAACATGGCACCAGCTGGATTCGTGATATCTGGGTTGCCTGGTAAGCAAGGCCTGTACTGCATCGCGATTGGCGCAGGCTCATTAGCATCTGAAACACAATATCGCAGTTTTCGTGCAGCAAGTAGCCTTGTAGCAGTTTCTGATGTCAGCTGCATGTCACCATTCTCAGCAAATTGAGGTCTCGGAGCCAATACAACCGCCTGAAAAGAAAGTAAGGTCATACAAAGGTAATTGTGATGAACATTAAAGCTCCAAAACTCACCTTTCCAACACCTTTTGCAAGGATTGGTGCAAGACTTTCCTTGTCTGCAGATGCTCTTCTCTTTTTCTCGCCCCCTGCATCATCCTTAGTCGCACGTCCCCTCTTTCGTCCCGTCTTGCTTTCGCCCTCGCCTTCGTCGTCGTCTTTTCCATCGGCTTTCTTCTTTCCTCCCTGCTTCTTCTTTTTTTCGTTCTTTGGCGGAGTTGCTGGTATCTTACCCTCTGCAATGTCTTTCTTTTCTTGTTCATATGCTGCAGCTGCCTCTTCTCCTTCCTTTTGAGCCTGCTTTGTCGCCTCCTCGCCGTATAGAATCAAGTGTGCCCATGCTGGAGTAAGAATTGTTAAAATACGGCTACTCAAACGAGACAAGAGAGAAAATGCAGTCGAACTTACCATAGATTGCTGCGGCATCCCACTCCGAATCAAATGTTCCAAGGTAATGATTGACACCCATGAATGATATTTGGGATTGCCATCTGTCGTGCCCCTTCCTGGCTTGGCGGCAAACACCTCGATAGGCATAAACGTGTCGCTTTGAATTTCCACCAGTCCTCGAAGTTTGTCTTGGGTCGCGCAGCAGTGGCTTGACCTCGGGGGGTAGATCCTGCAGTCCCACTTTGGTGAGTATTTAATGTTGAAAAACAAACAAACAAAGGAATCTTGACGCTCAGACTTACCTTGATATTGATCACTGATAGTGCAGGAACAACACTGTTGGCGCCTCCACCAAGGCCGGTGGTGGATGTTGTTGATACATCTTCATACAAAATTCGATTCCCGTCATCCTTGAAGTTATATTCAACTTTTCCTTTTGGTTTCTTTGATTTCATGAATTCATCGTGCTTTTTGGCAGCTTCGTCCGCTGTCTCGAAATAAATAACATCGGAATCTTCTCCACTTACACGAGCTCCATCCACCTTGACAAAGTGTTTGCCCGCCTGGTTGACCCAAACTCCACGATAACCTGGAAGTCGTATGGAACCGTCGGAATCTTTTTCCTTGACAGGAACGTTTGCTTGTGACGTTTTGTTGCTTTTCTTTTTCCCGACAATCCCCGTCGGCCCTTTGTATGCACCTCCCCTTCCAATTTGTCCACTAGTAGAAGCTCCCAAGCCATTGCTGCTATCAAGTCCACCTAAAGCAATATGTTTTTGAGCGAAACTTCAAAATGGCAACAGCAAAATCTCGATTCAACAGTTGACTTACCGTTTGGTTGCCCACACGATCTTTCGTGGTGCGTCCTGGCTTGACTGGTCACACAATCCACACTGCAGATACGACAAAGCCATGTTCCCGGGGGTGCATGGAGGGCAGAGTGGTGCTGCCTAAGCCCTTGCTCGGATCCAAAGTGTCGTCCACATCGAACGGCTGGGCGATACGCCATGCTTCCAGCAACTTGCCCCGTGGCCCCAGTCGAGGTCAATATAGAAGCTGTGACAATTTCCTCACAGATATGACCATATGAAGAAGAGTTCTTCATTGCCTCTAGGATATGCTTGAACTGGACACTGCCCAATTCGTATCTCAGCCATGATTCATCCGACGATCCAAGCCATTGTAGTGCACTGCGGCGAGAAGCCGCTACCTTTCCATCAGATACAAATGTCTCGTCAGGAATAAGTTCTGGAACCTCTGGATCGTTAGACTTCTCTACTGATGGCAAATCCCCTTGCAACGCTTCGATGGCCAACTTGTAGGGATCCAAGTCTTCATTTGTCGAATCGTGCACCACAATTGCCCGCGTCAGAAGTTTACGAAAGTGCTTCATACTAGCAGTATCGTTGGTGATTCGGCTCCGATCCCACTCTTCACGGGTAACCTCGGCAAAGTGCGGAAGAATGAAATTGACAATTCTCTCAACTGGCAAAGTATCCAAAGATGCACGCTGCTGCACTTTGAGTATGGAAGAAGTGGCGATGCGATGCCGTGCCGTTAATCCAACCCACGCCTCTTTGATGGTCGTCTCGTCAAAAGTGTCCACGGAATAGTCCCATTCCTTTTCAATGGTACCCGCCAACCCCATTTGGTGATCACTCTTGCTCCAAATGGCTTCATCCCAAATTTTTCCCATGGGAGAGTTTGGATCCCCTTGTGCAGCTGCCAACCACGACACACCATCGTCCATTAGGACTGCCTCGAACGGCATTTGGCAAAAGTGCAGGTAATCTCTCAAGAATTGCGCATACGACGTCACAATCACGTGAAAGGGTGCCTCAGGAAGACCGTTAGCATCGGGAAATTGCTTCCGCAATTTGCAGAGTTGCGACGATGTACCAGCATATTTCAAGCATCGCAAGGAGTCGACATTATCCATGGACATGAGTCTCAAATGACTGTTGATGGGACGAAATTCTTGGGCAAATCGATCTACATCAGGTTCCACTGTGACAATGAGATGGGGTCCATAGTTATTGTCCTTTGTGGTGAGCTTGGACAGCAGATTAGCAATCCGACCATGCCTTGACGGCCAATTCACATCGTGATAGATTGCATGACCAGCCCCCGTATGCAAAATAGACAATAGTCTTGGCCGACAGACAGTGGTCCAAGCTTCTGTCAAAGCCTCACCCGTTGGGTTATACTCGTACATTGGAACTTCATCATCGTCATCATCATCTTCTTCCTCGTCCGAACCTTCTTTTTCCTTCCAAGCAAATGGGTTCTTCATTTGAAAGAATGGCTTGACTGGTTTGTCAAATCGTGCATTATCCTTCCGATACTTGTACCGAAGACTGGATCGTTTGGCAGCATTTTCCGCCACCGCTTCAATCCGTTGTCCCAGCGATTGGGCTTCGACTACCACGGCTCCCATGTTGCTCACTGTAGCTGCATCAGTAGTGTCATCTTCATCGTCACCGTCTTCCTTGTGTGTCGACTTGTCAGCACCAGCCTTGTTGGGATTTTGTGGAACGTCCGAAATGTCCACTTCCAGCCCTTCCAAGGGCGGCGTCAAACTCTCAAAGGTCACATTGGCCGCCGTGCACAAAATAGCCCTAGAGCTCGTCAATCGGGCATCCAATGCTGCCATTGACGACGCCGGTGTGTTTCGTGTAAACTTGGGTGCTTCTGTTTTTTTCTTGGCGGATCTCTTGGACTTGAACAGGGACGACAAATTGAGGGGGGTCTCTTGTTGGCGGGCCAGTTTGCGCTTGGTAGGATCCTTATTGTCATAGGCCCGTTCGATACTAGCGAGTCTCATTGTTTGCAACTTTTTGACATCTGACAAGATGGGTGGTAAATCTTCGTCCTGAATGGATTCATGATCGTAAAAACCGTCGTTGTTGCTTCCTTGTTGAATATGATCCAAAATAGTAGAGGCTGCGGCATCAAAGGCCTTTTTGACTACAGAAATCTTGTCTCGTTTCAATCTCTCCAAGGCAGCATCGACATCAAACTGTGACGAAAGGTTCATTCGACTTTTGGTGGGTGGTGGAACCTTTTCTTGGAGCAAGAAATGGGCTGCATCTCGTACTCTCCAAGTCGAATAGACTGGTCTTGGCGGAATAATTTCGGCAATAGGTTCTTGCTTTGTGGCTTTCGTTGTGGCTGCTGCTGCTGCTGCTGCCTCTGTCTTTACTACTGTTTTCGTTGCGGATTGATCTGTTGCTGGCGATGGTGGTGTTTGTGATTCCAATGCTTTCACTTTTTTCACTTTTTTCACTTTTTTGTGGGGAGTAGTATTGGAAGATACTTTGGTTGTGGATGGTGATTCGGCACCGTCTTCGGCCTTGACTACTGGTGTTTCGGTATCCACTTCCATTGACATGGATGTGTCGGCGGAGACTTGTGCCAGTAGGTCCATTGTGGCGTGTTGGAAGATTTGCCTTGCACTTTGCGTTTGAGTCAATCAGTCAGTCTGCCTCAAGAACAAAGTATCCTTACGCTGTATGCCGTGTGCCGTATGCCGTATGGTGCAGTATGGTGATAGATCAATGCCAAGATGGCAAAAAGATCCAAAGACTTTTTGATTGTGCAATCATGCAACCTTTGGGACAAAAGCGGTTTGTCAAGGGGAAATTAATTCTACGCTCCGCTGCCACGGGGACGCTTGGAAAAAAGCACGGAACGCCATGGTGAAAGAGTTTAGTCTGATCATTCAAAAAGTTTAGTTTCAGATTTAGTAATGACTCCTTCGACTAAAATGGCTTGACCAAAAAATACACAACGGAAGAGGAACGAAGACTTTCAACTTTCATTTGCAAGCAAATACAGAATCAATTGCCAAGTGTGGGTGGGTTCCTTCCTCTCTTCTCCCAACCATCCACTGCTGTCACTGCTGGAAATGAGAAGAATATTCGGCGCCAGGCAAGAAAGCCCAGATGCTAACCTCGTCAAACGAGAATTGATATTGGATGAGCGAGTCCTTGTCATCTCTACCTTTGAACTCAACAAGGTGGCCAGCTTGACCTACAACGAGTTGGTCTGTGATGACATTTTTGAAATGATTGAAGTCATTCTTGCACAACCCTTGCGGCATACCGCGCTAGCATTGAGCAAAACTCTGACGGTGATGCTACACTGTCTCGTGTATGGATCGGAAAAATGTGTCAACAGTGGGTATGGAATTTCCAGATTTGTGGAAGGGTTGAGGGAATACAACACCGTATTGATTGCCCAACAACGGCAAGGGCTTGGAGGCGCGATCAGTCGCATCAAAGGAGGTGGTGTGGACAAAGGAGAACCGGTCCGAGAGACGGCCAAGAAGATTTGTGTCTTGTTGGCAAACATTAAGGATTTGCAACGGATACGGCACGAAAATGCCAGCAAGGATTCCCTTGTGCCAGTGGGCAACAACAAGGTTGGCTTTATCACAGATGAAGTACGTCTCTTGATTTTGCAAAAGAGAATTGAAAAACAAAATCAAATCAATCTAAAGAGCAACTTGGCCAAGGCTGAAGGTGGCTTTGGGGGTGGCTACAACGCAGCCGATGGCAAATCGGTGGTCGGAGCGGCGCATGGAATTGAAGAAATGATGAAAATGGCCAAGCAACAAAAGAAAAAGTTTTCTGATGAAGGTATTGCCCAAGTTGGGGAACCAGAAGATGAACGCATATTGAGAGAATTGATGGAAGAAGCCAATGCAGTCAAAAAGGCACAGGAAAAGGCATTGCAGGAAGCTGCATCGGAGCGTCAGGCACAAGAGGCAGCGAATGCACAGGAATTAGATTTGTTAAGTTTTGGTGGTGGTGGCGTTGTGACTGCACCCTCACCAGCGCCAGCTGCAACGGCAGACTTGCTGGGAGGTGGAGGTATGGATCTAATGGGAGGCGGAGGAGGAGGAGGTATGACTGCGCCAGCACCAACGGGGGATTTGTTGGGAGGAATGGTAACCATGGATCCATTTTCTGCTAATACAGGTACTCCAGCAGCCCAACCACAGACTAGTTTGTTAAATGGTCTCTTGTCCTTTGCCATTGGGCAAAACATCAGCTCGGTACCATCATCAGCAACTAAACCAACGCATGTGTCAGCACCGGCTCCCGCTCCCATGCATGATCCATTTGGCGACATGGTCCTTGGTCCAGCGTCCGGTAATAGTGCACCAGTTTACACGGGGGATGCTTTCAACGCTGCGCCTAGTATATCAGTCTCACAAGATCATGATGCTGGCGTTTGTACTCTTGGAATGCAAAACATGATATTAGCCGAACAACCTCCTGCCATGCAGCAGCAACAAACTCCAGCCCTCATGGCGGCCAGTGAAGATCGATTTGCTGCCTTGGATGCTTTGGCGGGCAATACCAGTAGTAATCAGTACATGGAATCTCCACACATGGGATTTGCGCTACCACCGTCAACAACTCCTAACCAGCCATCATTCGTTGCCACTCCTGAATATCCATCACAACCTACGGCCATCAGTGCGGGCGCTGGTCGAATTGCAACACGGTATGGGGATGCAGGAAATGATAATGACGATGACGAGGATAATCCATGGGTAATGGGTGGTACGGCCGGAACTGGATTGAGCGACCCAGTGTCGCCGCCTCCAGGAGCGGCTCCTCCACCGCCCCCTCCATAGCACGATTTTTTATTTGCAAAAAAAACGATGACCAGATTTCACTGATTGTGATGCATTTTATCCACGACCTTTCAATTGCCATCTCTTGTTGAAAACCATGATGGTAAATCTTTTCACAGTAGTCATCCGCCCAAACATGTATTTCTCTTTTATTAAAAATTTAAATTGTAATTCAGATTGACCGAACCTCTTCCTGGTTTATACTCGATTCGCTCATTTCGACTTGTTGTTTTGCTTTGAATAATTCGCTGTCCTCCAGAATTGCTTTCTGTTGGGGCCCAATAGTACTACTCCCATTGCTACCTGATGGCGTATCTCCCACGAAGTGATCTCCCCCATGTAAACTAGATCCAGTTATACCTGAACTACTCAGATTCATACTCTTCTTGAGCTTTTTCGCCATCTGGGCTTGTTGCTCCTGTGGTGGCATCTTCTTGTACTTTTTCTGCAAGGATACCTTGGGCAAGAAAATGAAGAGGATGATGGCCATACACAACAGGAAGATCAAAAAGGTCGACACCAAGTAGAAGGCAACAGGTATCTCTCTCACGACGACCACGATCGGGACTCCACTCAAGTATGCTTGAACAAGAGTGAACATCGCCAGACCAATGTAGGTTGCTTCGGAGAATTCAGTCTGAATATTTCTTGCCTTGAACGCTTGGAAACAAGCGATTGCCAGGACAAAAAGATTCACTATGCGATGTAGAAAGGAGGAAATAGTTTAGCGATGGAAGAAATGAACGGCATACCTGGTTCGGTGTGGTACTTACACAAGCCCAAAAGAACCAAATATGCGACACTGTTTTCGGATTGACAGGATCCAGCAGAAGCGAATTCGCGATTCCAAATATCTGTTCCCGGGAGGTATTCCCGATTGTACTTCAGTGGATCAATAAAGGTCCAAGTCAACAACACGATCCAGTTGCATGTCATCAATGCAAGAAATGGACCAAGTACATCCCTGTTCTCCACATTGGCTCGAACAAAATGTGTCGACATAGTGACCAGTGTATTGATTCTCCAAGTTTTGCTGAACAAGGCAGAAAAAGTGACCGTAAACCCCGTAAATGCCAACCACGGAATACTCATGCAAATCCCAATGCGCTTAAATTCACTTATCGCATAGGAATTACCCTCATCGTCAAATGAAAGAGGAATAAGCGTACTCCCCATGATCAACACCCCAACAGCTGTCATAATTAAAAATATAGGTTGGGAAGCCCGGACAACAATACTTTCTCGGTTCACATATGTCCATGTGATGCAAGCGATGACGGACAGTGCAATAAGCCCGAAACAGATCCATCCAATGTACTTCAAGTCGTTCAACAAGTTCTGATTCACATCCAAATCAGGCAGTTCCAATGGGATCAGGTTGTAGGTGACAAGATTGGTCGCAACAATACTGTCAACTTCCTTCTTTTCCACCACAACATCATACAAAACTTGCAACGAACTGGCTCCGAACTCATATGGCAACTGACCGATTAATCCATCAACATATTTTTGGTGAAGGTAGCTTAGTTGATAGTCTGATCCATCTGTTCCAATGTATGTGATGTCACGATGGCGATGAATGTCGACGTGCTGGGTCCAGTTAACAAATCGCCTGAAAACGAAAACACAAACAAATATGTTTATGAGCTCCAGCATATTGGAATAGGGAGAAACAGAAAAGAAGAACGTACATTGGGGTTTGCCTCATGATAATGAATGCCGAAGGACTGTGTTTCTCGGCGTACTGGTCCATGAGGTCCACATATCGCGCTGATCCAACTAGATCATTGGTGATGGTCAGATCTTCTATCTCATTCCAGTGTGCGCGATCATCGCGGCCATTGTCTCTTGTAATTTCCTCAACAAATCCTTTGGTTCTATCTGCGATACTGGCTACTACAACGTAAGTTCCGCCCTCCGGTCTTAGTTGCTTGAGAAGACGAGCCATTGTTCTTCCCATCATCTCGTTATCAGTTCCAACGTAGGCAGTTCTATTGGCAGGCACAAAATCCCGATCGAACAAGACGACTGGGATGCCTTTATTTTCCAGTTCTGTGACGATCGGGGCCATTCTGTTTCCATCACAGCCCGCGTTTCCCAAAGCGAGTCCATCCAAACCCTCTTTTCTTAGCTGCAAAATAATTGATTCACAAACATCCGCAGAGGTTGTTCCGATGCCAAGATTGTTGAAATCAGGTGAGATGTAGGTGCAATCCACACCAAGCCTTTGGCAAGCATCTTTCCAACCCTGCTCAACTGGTAAAAAGAAATCTGAACTTCCACCAACTGCTGCAAACCTCAGGGCTTCAGATGTTGGTGTCAACAGTAGGACGAGGAGAACTATGTGCAAGATGTGCATTGTCGGTTTTCAGATACATGTGCTGTAGGAGGTACCGGCACGGTACAACTAATTCCTCGATTGCGAAAGTTTGGAAGTAGAGGTGATCGGGACCATTCGGAAAATGCTGTACTCATCGCTCTCTCTTACACGAATAGCTGTTTTCTACATTATTATTGTCCAAACATCTTCAAAAACGGGACAATAAACATACTAATAAAGCAAGCTTCTTGGGTCCTTCCACTTAAGTAACGGAAGTTACAATTTGCTGGTACGATTCCTGTTGGTACGAACCTGTACGAGTTTCGTGTGGTACTGCTGGTTGGTTTTTCCGTTTTTGTGCTGATCTCTG